AAGTGCATAAATCACTCTGAAGACAACGGTTATGATCGATCATGATTGATCCATTGCAGAACGAAGACCTACACTAGCGTATATACCGTATGTCTTACGATCCTGCAGCGTGATACTCCACGAGCCGATCTCATGGCTCCGTCTCCAAGGTGGCCGTACCCCTGGACTGCCCTTCCCTCCTCTGGCTGTCATGAGTCGTGAATCTCGACCACTGGCACATCGTCCGCTCCAGCCACGACGCGTCCTGCCCAAGCCCAGTTCACTTTCCTTCCATACAGAATCAGAATATTTATCCTGGAGGAATCCGATGAGATGTGAAGCTCTTTTTCACACATTGTCCAGTAGGGGTGCGTCAGAAACTTACAACAACAAACGATAATTGTTTTTTTACCCTTCTATCTGGCAACAAAACTGACACCTTTTTTACAAGGAGTCATGTTTGCATAGACCACAATACCTGCAGTCATAATGCAAACAAAAAACATAACTCTGAAAATGGACGCCTTTTGGCGTCATCTGGTCCAACCCATGTGAGACTAGGCTCTAAGGAAAGCTGTCTCGGGTGTGGACCAATCAACTTCAAGGACAGTGCATCCATTTTCAGAGTTATGTTTTGTGTTTGCATTATGACTGCAGGTATTGTGGTCTATGCAAACATGACTTCTTGTAAAAAAGGTGTCAGTTTTGTTGCCAGATAGAAGGGTAAAAAAACAATTATAATATTTTTTACTGGCAAATGAGGTTCCAATGGTGTAACAATAAACGACACAAAAAAAACGATGGGAGTGCAAAATTATAAGAAATGTAAGCAAATCACACAAAACATGCCTATGTTTATTTTCCCAGGTAAAGCCCACCGAGCTTCTGTTTCAGGAGCGACCTGACCACAAATGGATAGCTCAACGAAGTGGCTTATAAATTGTGGAAATTGATAGCAGCCAAATCATCTAACGCGGGTTCTCTTTGTCAAATGATGGGGCAGCTCAACGACTGGTGAGGCAACACACGGCGGCGAGTGAACGAAAACAAACATCTAGATCCGTAAAATGGCACTTTTAGTTTATCCGCGATCAAATATGTAAGTCTACACCACGTCACCTATACGGTTACCGGTCACCCCGGTCAGGTCAAAGTGACCTGCTGGTGCGACAGGTACTCGTGAAACACAGTATTATTAATGCTGTTCAGAGAATAATGCCCCCCCCCCCCGTGCCTCTGTCCGTAAGACGGGCTCTCATCCAGTAAGCAGTATTTTAATTTACTATAAAAATAAGAATTTATCCAGGAGAGCCACGCTGAAGTCGTATGCCTATTGTCAGGAGGGTCCTGCATTGGGTTTTTATTTTAAGATATTTTCAGCCAATTAAGATGGAGGAATCCAGAGCAACCCCGCAGAAAACCCACGCAACGCTTTATCCCCGTACCGATGGAAAATAGATGGCGATTCTTCCACTTGCTGTACTGCCTTCTCCTGGCGAGCCAGGCTATGGGCACCTCCTCGAAGCCCACGGGAAGGGAGTTTGACGACATCATGCGCACGCTGATCCATCAACCCTGGACTACAGGCGGCGTGCATAGCCACCGTCGCTCGGCTAAATTGCCCACGGAGGCATGGTTTAGATGCAAGCAACACAAACAGCCGATGCAACCCCAGCTCAATTCAATAAGAGTTGGAAGCAGGACGGCTGCTTGCGTTGTGGCCGAAACGTCGTGAGAATTGTATTTTATTATGTTTAATTTTTATTATTTTATTATTTCCCTTCTACGTGACTTTACCGAAAGAACCAAGAAGATGAATCCCTGCAGTCACGAAAGCTTTAAAACTGAAAGCATGAGTTGGGCAAACATCCCAAAGCAGGCCCCGTAAAAAAAACGCGTCTTAGCAAGACTCTCTTGGACAAGAACGTAATTATCAGTGGAGGTCTGTTCGCGGTGGTGAAAGCGTGACAAAAACGAATTTCATGAACGTCAGTTTGTGGTTGAGCTGCTGAGAAAAACTGTTTTTTAAACTTCTAGATTTGAAGCTTTCGTGATTGCAATGATTTATATTCTTAGGTGTTTTCGGTAAAGTCACGTAGGTAAAAAAAAAAATTAATAAAAGTAAAATAAAAATAAAATAAAAATCACGACGTTTATTTTTATTTTACTTTTATTAATTTTTATTTTATACCTACGTGACTTTACCGGTAAAACCTAAGAATATTTTTAAAAACCTTGTGCAACGTCGCCATCTACTGCTCCGCGGCGTGAACTGTTCTCACCGTGGTTCATCCAGAAAAATAAAAACACCGTGCAACGTTTCACGACGATCCAAAAATGCGAAGGAGACATCATCACAGCGATAACCGGCCTTGTGAAATTGTAATTGTTCCAGCAGCCGTACGAAAGAAGCAGAAGGGTCGCGTAGCCTCTTCTTGGTTCTTTCGGTAAAGTCACGTAAAATGGAAATAATAAAATAATAAACTAATAAAATTAAACATAATAAAATAATTCTCACGACGTTTCGGCCACAACGCAAGCAGCCGTTCTACACCTGAGGACGGTTGCTTGCGTTGTGGCCGAAACGTCGTGATAATTATTTTGTTTTATTTTTATTATTTTATTATTTCCATTCTACGTGACTTTACCGAAAGAACCAAGAAGATGAATCCCTGCAGTCGCGAAAGCTTTAAATCGCGTAGCCTCGTTGAGAATTCACGTGCCCGCGTCGTAAGACGCCAGTGGTCGCGGGTGGTTTGGTGTTGAAATGTTGACACTCCGAATGATGCTCCTGCTGTTGTGGAGTGACTCATGCAGCCAGCTATGGCTGCAGAGTTTGGTAGTACATGTTTTTTACGTCGTTTATTGTGAAAATTCGGTCACAGTTCCTATGACCACTGTTTCATTGCTTTTATGGCTTTATTTTGGTGATTTTCGAAAAGTTTTTTGGTTTGGCCATGTTTGTTGTAGTACAGAGTTAGACTGATGGCCTCAATCTAAATTGTCTTGTGGTTGTTGTTGTTGACTTGCATCCCACTGGGATATTTGCACAGGGTTGGTGTACGGTGATTTCTTCTGCAAAACTTTGCTGTCTTTTCTTGGATTTTCTGTTTGCGCATAGTCACTTTAAGATGTTTTCTTGTTCATGTTTTTGTTTTTTTGTTTGTTGCGGTTGCACCCGATTCAAGAGCCGAATGGCTCGCAGGGCTCTACCTGATACATGAACTTTGCACTTTGGTAACCGATTTGGGGTCCTCTTTCGCAGAACTTTTAGTTTTGAGACTCCCTCTTTCAATGAATACAATCCTATCGCGATGGCAGCATAACAAATACGGATGTGGCGAGATCAAATACACGTGTACAAAATAGAGACGTAGAAAAAATAATGTATTTTTTTGTTCAGGAGAGTCCTGCATTGGTTTTTATTTTAACCTGTATTATACAAGTGGGAGACAACCGGAGAAAACGCATGCGTGCGAGGGGGCAACACTCAATCCCCGTAAAGATGGAAACAGGTGGCGATTAATCCACTTGCTGTACTGCCTTCTGGTGAACCAGGGAATGGGCCCTCCTCGACGCCCACGAGGAACGGAGTTTCTCAACATTCATGCGGTGATCCACCAACCATGGCTGCCTCCACAGGCCGCGTGCAGCCACCATCTCACGGGCCTGGTTGGGTCCGAGTTGGACTCATGACTCCAAAGCCACAAGACTCTTGGCACACTTACCTCTTGCTAGAATCTTCAATGAACAGTGGCGACACGTTACAAAAATAACATAACTATTTTTTATTTTACCAGGTCAGGCCCACTGAGATATACAGTTGCTTTTTCAGAAGCGACCTGGCCACAAATAATAGGTCAACGAAGTGGCTTATTACGTGCACATTTACAGCAGCCACATACTCTAAACGCATTTTGATTCTAATCGTGGGAGGAAAAAACCAGAGGACCTGGAGAAAAATCGACGCTACCACAGGGAAAGAGAGACACACGCAAACTCCAAATATATAGCAGCAGGCGTCTGGGTAGCGGTCGAAACCCACGACCTCCTGCATACCAGGCGAGGTAGTTAACATCTCGCCACCCTGGCGTCAAATGATGCACACGTCATAGATTCCGATTAAAATCCCTTACGCATTAACCATGGAACGTTGGGCGAGCGTTGACGTGTGGTTGGTACCGTTAAACCAACGTTGGTCCAACATTCTATTTTAATTTTCACGTGGTTCTTCTCACATTCACCACCCCTTGTGTGTCCACATGAGGCCGCTGTCGAGCTAACGCGTTGAAAAAAACAACCACAAATCAACAGAACTGGCCACGCGAGGGCTCTGACGACGCGTTTCTTAAAATACAATGGGGGAACGCATGCAATCATCCATGACTCGTCTTCTTTTACTTTGTTGCGCTGAATGAATCAGCCGAGTGCGCAAACTGGCAGTTGGGATGTGTTGTTCATCACCATGATTGGCCTTGACTAATATTTCAAAGCGGTCAAGCTTGTCGAACCAAATACTGCTCTATGTAGTAACCACGTGCTGTTACAATGGAGTAATCGCTTGCTTTGGTAACTCTAAAAATGTACACGTCCCTTCTTCGAAGGGCATCTTGGAAAAGCGGCATAGGCTCATGCATGTACCGTATGTTGAACTTCTTTCGCACCGTACGTAGCCAACCGTGCTAATCGGGGGTGCGCGGGAAGGACAACAAACTAAACACAAGAAGCAATGGGGTCTATCTCATGGAATATCCTCTGTGCCGCGCCATTGATTGTTCATGAGCACGTGTTGCGGAGCAGGGCAATCTCTGCTGGTCAATATTTTAAACAGCGTAGTATAAATAACTTTCGAATTTCGTAGACGCCTTTAACTTTTCTAACGCCGTGTTCAACTTTAAAAAAATATATAAGTCTACAACGTATTTTTTTAAAGTGCTTACAAACCGTGAAGTGTAAATAGCATCTTCAATTGACTTAGAATAGGTATGTCACCGGATATTTACAATATGACGAGAATTGCACACGATTAGAAACGTTTATTTGGTATCCCTTTCACACTTTCCACACACCGCAAATTCTAATCAAATGGAAAATGCACACAACCGTACGCCAAAAAACCTTGGCCGACGATGTGTCGACTAACGGTACGTGGCGTTCGGCAGGTGGAAAGAAGCGATGGCAAGATGTGGCGGCTTCGGTGGCAGCGGATGAGATGGCCTCGATCTCCACCGTGAGGGTTCAGCAGTTTCCTGCGTCTCATCTGGTGCGGACCTTAGCGTGAGTACCGTGTGTGTATGTACGTACGTTGAATTTCTTTCGCACCTTACACAGACAATCGTGCTAATTCGAGGTGCGTGGGAAGGACAACAAGCTAAACACAAAAAGCAATTTGAAATAAATTAATTTTCAATCGAGGTTTAAAAGTGGATAGCTCCAGTGGCTTCCTAACATTGGAAGGAAGAACGTTCCAGACGGCTGCAGAAGCGCATCTGGAAGCACGCGGACAGCAGCGACCGTCTTTGTTCGATGGTCAGCCAAAATCCGCTGCTGCGAGGATGACCGGAGTTCGCGTGATGGTGTAAGCTCCTTGACGAGATCGGCAAGGTACCGTGGTTCATTCGTGGCAAGCACTGTGTGCGTAATGAGTGCGACCTCATCACATATCCGTTCGGTAACCGTAAGCCAATGCAGCTGGGCGAGCACCGGACAGACAAGGCCGAGGGGGCCGGGTCACGCTTAAATTGAGGCCGCGGCTTTGTCTATGAACCGGGCGAGGCGAACGTCCCTCTCCGAGAGCCCCCCGCAGTCGTGAGTGCTGAGAGTGATCTGCACCTGTGGAGAGGGGGGACAAGCGGAGGTTGCACAAGCCGTAACATGATTTATGTTCCATTGGAACCTCATTTGCCAGTAAAAAATATGATAATTGGTTTTTTTACCCTTCTATCTGGCAACAAAATTGGCACCTTTTTTTACAAGGAGTCATGTTTGCATAGACCACAATACTTGCATTATGGCTGCATTATGGCTGCAGGTATTGTGGTCTATGCAAACATGACGCATTGTAAAAAAGGTGTCAGTTTTGTTGCCAGATAGAAGGGTAAAAAAACAATTATCATAATTTATGTTATTCATGATAAAGGTTTTTTGGGTTATATCGCGTAAGCATGAATCTGTCGTAACCCTCCACCACCCGACACAGCCAGTAAGGTTTGTCACGTAAACGACGCGCCAATTAGTTACTGCTTCAGCCCACCGATGCGTTGGAGAGTAAATCCACAACATTTACAATTTGAGTAGTACGATGTTTTGCTGGTAATTAACATCCTGCATCATCAGGCGACTTGCCCGAATAGTGAAGCGAATCCACCTGCTTCCGGTCTTAATTAGAGCATCGTTGTAAACCCATCAATTACCAGCGAAACGTCGTACTCAAATTGTAAATCTTGTGGAGATTTTGGGTTACTGAGAGATGCATGACAGAGCGTGTGCTCTCTCGCCCAGAGTATTCGGGGAGGGTTACGGTAGCGATCGTGTTAAGGTGAGTGTACTATGCTACAATCACGGCGAGCAGAGTACGATTCCCGCTCACCGCTAATGTCAGTGACGAATATACGAACCGGTCCTGGGCCTCCCCTCGGTCGACTCGGGGTTAAATCAATACCTGGTCCAGTGCGTAAACATCGCCACTGGGGAGACAAAGCTGGCAGAGCGTGGTGCTGGTCACACGACCCACTCGTGCGCTGTGCTGACTTTCAAATTCCAAGAACACAGGATGAGATGTTACTATCCTTTGTGCAAGCACTTCCAAGAGTTCATGAACAGTGAGCCTGGTGAAATTTGGGGAGCGCATCGTCTGTAGTGTACCTTTGGTTCCTAGGTAATAGCGCTTGCCCTAACAGTCTGGTAAGAATATCTGTCTTGTCTCTCCCACAATACATTCCGGAATGATTAATGCACGTATTGTACTGACCTTGTTGTAAACGTTAAACCACTCGGGATGATGGTCCATTTTCTCTGCTTGAAGAGCGACCCGTGACATAAATCCAAATGCCTAGAAACAACGAGCCATCAGGAGACAAACTTAAGCATTATAAATAATACAGTCCAGCAGTGCCGGATTATCCTAGTAGCAAAAGTAGCATTTGCTACGAGCCCCGCACTTTCAAGGGCCCCGCGCTAAATGCTTTCAAGCTATCAATTCCGGTTCAGTGATTCTGCACTTGCTCTATTACTATAGTACTATACCGCTTTCAACTTTTATGAACGACTGGGTGTTTAAGGTTAGCGATTTGTCATATGATCTGGCTGTATAGCAAATGAAAAAATACAATTACTTTACTGTACCAAGTAAAAAAATTTGTGTTTTAATATTAATGTGTTTTTGTTTTATTTAGGGCCCCTTTATAACATATGCTACAGGCCCCGCACTAGCTTAATCCGGCACAGCAGTGCAGTACTGCGCAATGCGAAATGCAGAATACACAAACAGGACATTACTGAGAGGAAATAAATGTCTGAGGGAGGTATTCTAAAATATAGCGGAGTGGAAATGGTTAGATGGGGGGGAGGGGGGGAGTGGTGGCACGGGCAGGGAGGGGGGGCACCTGGTTGAAATCTTTGAAGAGAAACTCCTTGTGGAGGGCATCCCTGGAGGCCTGCACGAGCCAGCCCGAGGCGGTTAACTCGGGGAGCGCTCCCTCGCGCTCGGCCTGACCCAGCAGCTCTGGCCGACCAGCCTGCGGGGCACGCGGACGAAAAAGAAACGAGAGAAAAAAAAAACCGCCGTGAAGTTTGGAGCCCCGCGGCGAGAGTGAGCATCGTCCCGTTCATTTCATGTTAAGATTGCCAATGTTGCACAAATGTATGGTGTGCAAAAGCTGTTGCCGTGATTTCCATCAGTCTGCCCCGGGTGTGTGCAAAGCCGTCGTTATAGCTACTCTCCTGTGGGCATGTGCATGACCCATTGGGGAGGCTGCCAGCTTGGTTATGATGATCAAGACTCTGAGGCTTATGATGCCCCGGGTTCCCATGAATAGGGAAACCCCAGTGCCAGAGAGGGAAAATTGAGCATGAATGATCTTCTATCAGTCGAGGTGTTGAAGGAAACCGGAGCGCCTGGTGAGCCCATAGGTGGAGGTGACGCTCGAATCTCTGCATAGATGGATTCAAGAATCCATGACCATATTAGCATTTCCTGATCACTTTGAACGTTCAAACCGACACAACTTGGTATTTACTCAATTCTAAACGAATTTTTTTTATTTGACCAGGTAAGGCCCACTGAGATACAAAGCTCTGTTTGAGAAGCGACCTGGCCACAAATGATAGCTCAACGAAGTGGCTCATCGTGTGGAAATTTAAAGCAGCCAAATACTCTAAACGCATGGTTCTAAAATCCACGCGACCACGGGCAAAACATGCAAACTCCAAATAAACAGGCGCCGGGGTCGGGATCGAACCAACAACCTTTCCTGTAGACCAGGCGAGTTAGTTAACATCTCGCCACCATGCGAGATTTTCAATCTTCCATCCAAATCAGTTTCAACCCTCCTTAGCTTCCAAGATCTCATGAGATCAGGTGTATATTCAGGATAATTGTATATCGAAGTTGGTTAAGGTTGCCTCATGCTACTTGGGCGTGCATGACCAGGAATACAACTTGAGTGACCGGCATGATTGCAACGCTGCCATGAATGACCACAGCACTGCACCCCACTCCAGCGTACCCACAGAATGAGGCAACCAGTCTCCACCCTACAATTAAGTACCAAGGAATTTTCATCCTGGGGCATGGCAAATAAAGACAAAGACCCCCGTATAACCTATTAACAGACTGTAGGGGCAAGTGCTGTTAGCGAGCACCTATGAAGGCTGGCACGGCATACGAGGGGGTGGGTGGCCAGCACCACGCCCGGCCGCATTTGTCTCCCTCGTGGCGACATTTACACACTGCGCCAGGTACTCATTTGAGGCTGAGTCGACCTAGGGGAGGCGCATGACCGGTTCAGATAATCGTCATTGGTGTTGGCTGTGAGCGTGAAACGAACTCGGGTCGCCGGGTTTGTAGCGTGGCGTGCTAACCATTACACCACCTGGGGCATGGCACACTCACACACACGCAGGTCGTGGAAAGATATAGAGATGGCAATAGATATGTTAATGTACCCACACAAACTGTCCTCTGCAAGCTACACACCACACACAAGTCTTTGTTAGCTTTTGGCAGAGTAGAACCTTTGGCAAAGCATAAACCACACATTAACAACACAAAGTTGATACGCCAAAATCTCTTTGACAAAAAAGCTATTGTGATCAAATGCTTATTCCTGAATCACTGTGAAAATTATATTATCACTACGCGCTTATTTATGGGCAGTACCGTACCACTGTCAGAAACATCATGAAGCCTCCTTTGCCAGTAGCAAAATATAATAATAGGTTTCTTACCCTTTTTTCTGGCAACAAAACTGAAACCTTTTTTTACAAGGAATCATGTTTGCATTAACCACAATACCTGCAGTCAGAATCCAAACAAAAAACACACTCTGATAATGTTTGCATTGTCCTTGAAATTGATACTGGTAGGAACCTCCTGGTTACACCAGCCCACAGGGGATTATTGTGTCCGTCCGTCGTGCAGGGAGGGGCTGGGTGGAGAGGGAGGGGCTGGATGGGGAGGGGAGGGTAGGGAGGGGCTGGGTGGGGAGGGTGGGGCTGGGTGGGGATGGGAGGGTGGGGAGGGACTGGGTGGGGAGGGGCTGAGTGGGGAGGGTGGAGAGGGGCTGGGTGGGGATGGTGGGAGGGGTGGGGCTGGGTGGGGAGGGGCTGGTCACCCCGTGGTGCCCTTATAAAACTCAACGTTTAACCGACTCACGCCGGCTTGTGCCCACCCTCACAGTCGGGCATATTTGCGGAATACACCACGCCGCTGTTGACCCTGGCCATTGACCGAGCAACCCAACGTTCCTACCAGCTCCCTCCGCAGGAATGTGTTTGGTCCACACCAGAGACAGCTTTCCTTAGAGCCTAGTCTCATACGGTGTTCGACCAGAAGACGCCAAAAGGCGCACAATTCAAAGACAACGCACTATCAGAATAATGAGGGCTCGGGGTAAGCATTTACATCATGAGGGTAAAGAACCTATTACCACTGTCAGAAAGTTAAGATGATTCACAGCGCTTCGTCGATCCACTGCTGTATGAAGGCCTCTCGATGGTATGTTGGCCTTGGTAGTTGTTTGACCATACTTCACCAAACTGCTCAGCGTGGATTGGTAAAGAAGGGCACCTGGGACCGGTTAAGATATTTGAAGTTTGCACGTCTCTCTCTCCGTGGTCACATGGATTTTTGTTCGGGTCCTCCGGTTTTTCCCTCCACATTTAGAAACATGCGTTTAGAGTATTTGGCTGCTGTAAATTTAGTTTAACACGTAGGCTTTCGCGACCAATATTATTCATAATCAACGTTTTTGGGTTAGATCGCGTTACTTATAAATGTGTCATAACCCTCCACCACCCGACATGGCCAATCAGCAAAAAAGTGTCACGTTGACAAAAGACAAATAGTTCACTGCTTTAGCCCACCGGGCAATTCGATTGCCCGATGATGCTGGATGCAATTACCAGCGAAACGTCGTACTCAAAAATTGTAAATGTTGTGGTTTCACGCTTCAGCACACTGGTGGGCTAAAGCAGTGAACTATTTGTCTTTTGTCAACGTGACGCTTTTTTGCTGATTGGCCGTGTCGGGTGGTGGAGGGTTACGACACATTTATAAATAACGCGATCTAAACCCAAAAACGTTGATTATGCTGTAAATGTACACATAAACCACTAAGTTGAGCTGTCATTTGTGGCCCGATCTCTTCTGAAAAAGAACAAGATAGCTCCTTGGGCCTTACTTGGTAAAATAAAAAATAGTTTAGTTTAGATACCACTTGCCACGGATATTTCCCATGACTGGCGATTAAACTCTGGATTTCATAGAGCAAGTGGTCACAACCAAATAACCTGATGCTGTTTCGACTGAATATATTCCTGTAGAAGCATTCTACCCGGCACCACGGTGATGAGATGTTAACTACCTCGCCTGGTATTAAGGATGTTGTGGGTGCGATCCTGACCCTGACGCCTGCTGTATATTTGGAGTTTGTATGTCTTTCTCCTCCCGTGGTCGCGTGGATTTGTATATGGGCCCTCCCGTTTTTCCCTCCACGTTTAGAATAAACGTGCATTTAGAGTATTTGGCTGCTGTACACTTCCACTTGCTAAGCCATTTCGTTGAGCTATCATTTGTTGCCAGGTCGCTTCTGAAAAAGAATTACATAGCTCAGTGGGCCACTGATGTTTACCATGCCTTGCGATCAAACTCGTGTTGCTGGATTTCATCGTGAAAGTGCTCGTAATCAGATAAACCTGCTGCTATTTAGACTAAACATATGCCTGTAGAAGCATTCTACCCGTATTATTATTATCATCATCATGTTCAACGTTGGTCGAAAACAAAGTAAGCATCTGAAAATGTAAATATAGCCTCGAGGAGGAGGGGAGGGTGGTTGGCTCGGGATGGGGTGGTCAGAATCAGCCGATCAAACAGGAATTCCTAACCGCTGTCATTGTCCGGTTGATCGCTGCACTCACACCCCCTTCACAAGCACCAATCCCCTATCGGCAGGACTCAGCCGCCCAATGGATTTGGAAAAATTGGTGGGGGGGGGAAGGGTAAAAAACGAGACGGATTTCTCCATGGCCCCCGTGACCTGTGACCTCGTTATCAATGGCGCAGTTTGTGTCTAATGGTCAACAGGGAGTGTACTGCACACGTGCAACGTAACACTGCAGGCATTGTGCTGCAAATTTTAGTTAGAGTTTTTTGCTGCCTTGCCCAATCTTGGTCAATCGGACTTATGTCATTAATTTGCTTATTTGTTTAATTTTAGTGACTTGCTTTACAATTTTCTCTATTTTACACTCCGATCGTTTTTACACGCTTTCATTTAACTCAATCTGTCTGTTGTCGTCGTTGTCGTTGTTGTATCCTCAAATCTTGTAACTAAATTTTAATCCACTTCCCAATGTGGTATCGACTGCAAACTTGGTATACTTATGTCATACTGATGACAATACTATCTATATTCTATCATAAAAAATATATATTTGTAAACATTATTTTTTATATGTTATGTTTCGGCTTGGGTCTAATTGCCCACGGTCAACTGACGTTGTGGCAAGTTTCGGGGCCACTTCCTGGAGTCTTGGAGTTCTTCCATTACTCGTACATTTCATAAAAGCGTGTTTAAAAAAAAAGTTTTTTAAAATATTACTTATTTTTGCCTTGTTTGCTGTTGTAACTTTCCGACCCGCCCAATACTGGACATCGAGTATAAAATCCCGGCCATCCGTTTGTCCTTCAACTAAGTTACAAGAGCCTTTCAAAAGGCCTGAATTAAAAATAAAGTTACATGTAGTGGACCCCCCCCCCCCCCATCCTAGACGTGGGGGTAAAAAGTCGATCAAAAATTTGTTGACCCCCTTCCAAAAAAAAATGCCACCTCCCCCCCAAAAATAAATGTCTTTTTTTTATTTGAAGCTTTCGTGACTGCAGGAATCCATACTCTTTGGTTCTTTCGGTAAAGTCACGTGGGCAGAAAAGTAATAAGATCACGACGTTTCGATCACAACACAAGCAACCGTCATCAGGTGAAACAAACACAGCAGGAGAACTGATGACGTACGTCATCAGTTCGTGATCTATTACCGAAAGAACCAAGGAGTATACGTGTCTTTTGTAGGCATATACGCCAATACACCTTACATACAATAGTCATCAGTAGCTTCATAGCTCATCGGATTCCTCCAGGCTAAATAAAGATTCTGAATCTAAACAAACCGTAGCGTTCACAGCAAACCCGCAGAGATTTATTAAAACACAATCAGTTGTAAGTCGTGTTGATTAAATGGTTATTGTTACACTTTAGCAGTTGGCATGGATGGATATGCATGTCTTTCCGTGATTGATGATGATAATTATTATTGCTTGGCAATGCACCGAGTGATTTTAAGCCCGGGCAATTCCTTAATTGTTGGAAGAAGCATAACACATTGCAGCAATTACTATTGACAACAAAGCAGTTCTGAGGGCTCTGTAAAATGGGTCACAGCATGACTGTGATTTTTTTTTAGGTCCACTGTAGTTTCCCTGCGGCACGCCCACCATGCCTTATCAGATCACATTCACCAACACTATCATCATCATCACCCCGAGCCATGATCTATCCACTACTGGATTAATCAAGGCCATCCTATCACTGTCACTACAGATCTGGGCTGCATTAATGTCATACACACCACTCTACACTGCACAGTGCAAAATGTACTGCCTACGTAATACACAGTGTACTGAAGTGTATGTTTATAAAAATGACAGGCCAAGTCGCACATCCGATTAGCACGGTGGGCTACGTACGGTGCGAAAAAAGTCCATCATGCACACATCCAATGTGCAGAATTGCGTGATAATACGCAGCCTGACCAACACAACACACAACGCGTTTCATTTACAGCAGAATGACCAATTTCTCATGATTATTGATGACGCTGCAGACCTGCACGGTCAACTATTAATGAGATATCTCTGTAAACGCGTGAATCGCTGCACACATTTATGTGGAACTTCTTTCGCACCGTACAAAGACAAAGATCCCCCGGGTAGCCTGTAACAGGCTGTAGGGGCAAGTGCTGTTAGGGAGCACCTACAGACACACAACAAAGACAAAGATCCCCGTGTAGCCTGTAACAGGCTGCAGGGGCAAGTGCTGTTAGCGAGCACCTACAGACACACAACAAAGACAAAGATCCCCCGTGTAGCCTGTAACAAGCTGCAGGGGCAAGTGCTGTTAGCGAGCACCTACTGACACATAATAAAGACAAAGATCCCCCGTGTAGCCTGTAACAGGCTGCTGGGGCAAGTGCTGTTAGCGAGCACCTTCAGACATACAAAGACAAAGATCCCCCGTGTAGCCTGTAACAGGCTGCTGGGGCAAGTGCTGTTAGCGAGCACCCCCAGACACACACCAAAGACAAAGATCCCCCGTGTAGCCTGTAACAGGCTGTAGGGGCAAGTGCTGTTAGCGAACACCTCCAGACATACAACAAAGACAAAGATCTCCCGTGTAGCCTGTAACAGACTGTAGGGGCAAGTGCTGTTAGCGAACACCTACAGACACACAACAAAGACAAAGATCCCCCGTGTAGCCTGTAACAGGCTGCAGGGGCAAGTGCTGTTAGCGAGCACCTACAGACACACAACAAAGATAAAGATCCCCCGTGTAGCCTGTAACAGGCTGTAGGGGCAAGTGCTGTTAGCGAACACCTCCAGACACACAACAAAGACAAAGATCCCCCGTGTAGCCTGTAACAGACTGCAGGGGCAAGTGCTCTTAGCGAGCACCCCCAGACACACACCAAAGACAAAGATCCCCCGTGTAGCCTGTAACAGACTGTAGGGGCAAGTGCTGTTAGCGAACACCTACAGACACACAACAAAGATCCCCCGTGTAGCCTGTAACAGGCTGCAGGGGCAAGTGCTGTTAGCGAGCACCTACAGACACACAACAAAGATAAAGATCCCCCGTGTAGCCTGTAACAGGCTGTAGGGGCAAGTGCTGTTAGCGAACACCTCCAGACACACAACAAAGACAAAGATCCCCCGTGTAGCCTGTAACAGACTGCAGGGGCAAGTGCTCTTAGCGAGCACCCCCAGACACACACCAAAGACAAAGATCCCCCGTGTAGCCTGTAACAGGCTGTATGGGCAAGTGCTGTTAGCGAACACCTAGAGACATACAACAAAGATAAAGATCCCCGTTTAGCCTATAAGACTGAACGGGCAAGTGCTGTTAGCGAGCACCTACAGACTACAAAGATAAAGATCCCCCGTGTAGCCTGTAACAGGCTGCAGGGGCAAGTGCTGTTAGCGAGCACCGAGTGGCCAGCACCACCACGCCCGACCGCCTTTGTCTACCCCAGTGGCGACGTTTATTTACAACACCGCAACCAGGTGGCTCGTTTGAGGCCGAGTCGACCTAGGGGAGGCCCGGGACCGCTGCAGCACCACCACTCGCTGTGTCTCGCTCACCATCTGACAAGTCGCTCGTTCCACGTGGTAGCGACACCGCGGACGCGAGCAGCGGAGTGACACCAAAACCGGGTCTCGCTTTGCTTGCTTGGTTTCTTGGTTGTTGTTGTTGTTGTTTGGTTGCTGCTGCTGCTGTTGTTGTTGTTGCTGCGTCCAATCGCTCGTTCCACAATCTGTGTCTCTCTTCTCTGGATGACGTCCCCGGTTTGTGTCGCGCAAGCGATGTATTGTTTGGGTGGGCGGTGACCTCCCCCACGCCACCACCGCCGTCTCTACAAGTTCACCCCGCCTCTCCTGTGATGTGTGTGTGTGAGTGTGCTGTGTGTGTGGTGTGCTGTGTGTGCTGTGTGTGTGTGCTGTGTGTGTGTTGCACACTCGAAATAAAGGACGTGGGCATGTGCCACATGTGCTGTGTGTGTGTGCTTTGTGTATGTGTGTGTGCTGTGATGTGTTGTGTGTGCTGTGTGTGTGCTGTGTGTGTGTGTGCTGTGTGTGCTGTGCCTTGTGTATGTGTGTGTGCTGTGCTGTATGTGTGCTGTGTGTGTGTGCCTTGTGTATGTGTGTGTGCTGTGCTGTATGTGTGCTGTGTGTGTGTGCCTTGTGTATGTATGTGTGCTGTGCTGTATGTGTGCTGTGTGTGTGTGCCTTGTGTATGTATGTGTGCTGTGCTGTATGTGTGCTGTGTGTGTGTGCCTTGTGTATGTATGTGTGCTGTGCTGTCTGCTGTGTGTGCTGTATGTGTGTGCTGTGTGTGTATGCTGTATGTGTGTGCTGTGCCTTGTGTATGTATGTGTGCTGTGCTGTCTGCTGTGTGTGTGCGAGACAGCGGATCGGCCTTGCCCGTTCCAAGCCTCTGAGATTCTGTCCCACGTCCACACACACGGAGAGAGACGACGGACTGCGCCCCCCACTGGTCAACTTGCAGAGCAGCCCACGGACTGACGGGGGCTTGGCACGGGATCGTCGAGTGGCGCAGACGTCCAAGTGGAATTAAATGCGTGTATGTGTGTGCGTGCTGCTTCAAGGGCGGTGTTCTTCATTGCGCCCCCCCCCCACCCCCGACAATGCACGAAGGGTGAAAACACCCCCCCCCCAATCAGTGCCGGATGAAGCTAGTGCAGGACCTTTAGCATAATAAAAAAAACATAAATATTAAAACACAAAATGTTCACTTGCATAGTAAAGTAATTGTTTTTTTTCATTTGCTATACAGCCAGATAATACGACAAATCGCTAACCTTAAACACCCGTCGTTCGTAAACGTTGAAGGCGGTATAGTACTATAGTGATAGAACAAGTGCAGAATCACTGAACCGGAATTGATAGCTTGAAAGCATTTAGCGCGGGGCCCTTGAAAGTGCGGGGCCCGTAGCATATGTAGCTACTTTTGCTACTAGGATAATCTGCACTGCCCCCAATCAGTTGAACACGTAGGCTTTCGCGACCAATATCCATAAAGCAGGTTTTTTTGGGTTGTATCGCGTAAATACCCCCCCCCCCCCCATCATCATGTTGCTGTTAAACCCCCAATGGCTTCAAATGTGTGGCGACACTCACACTGATGATGTCTTCTTATTGGCGAAAATCCCCCCCCCCTTGAAAATTAGTTAAGAACACTGCTTTAAGTGGTGATGCAGACGTGAAGACTTGTTGTTCAGTGTGAAATACGAGCTGCTGTATAGGGTTCCGTGGGATCTGCAAATCAATTGTCGGTCCCATGATGTCACCTGTTCGTCCTATCTGCCGGAAGGTCTCCACTGCAATTCCAGAAAACGATCAGCGACGTAAATGGATAAGATGTGACAGTGACATCTTGCTCAACCGAGTGTTGAGGTGATGCTTGTGCCAGTAGCACGGTTGGCTAGGTACGATGCAAAGAAGTTCTACATACATGCATAGCACTGAGCTAAGTGGTGGTAATTCCACATTCCTCTGGTGGTAGCTCGCCTTCCCAACAACATTTGACTACCCCACAGTGGTACTCATTTATCGACCCCGAAGGTATGATGGGCTGAGTGAACACTCCCCCCCCCAATTATGAATTAAACTCGCAGGCTTCCGATTGCGAGCTGCGAGCTCTACACCCGAGGCGACCTGGATGTATATGTTTTGTGTACATGTTATGATTAGTTTTGCTCAAAGTTCGAGTGTAGTTTGGGCAGTGAAAGAAAAAAAGACATGCACATGAATGATTGTAATAAGATTAATTTTTTTTTATTAATACGATGAAACTCTCATTACATATATATTCAGGTTTGATTTTGACAAAACTCCGCTGTGAAAACACAACATTTGAAAAACAGAATACAGTAACATCGGAGGAATAGCAAAGACCAGTGGACAATTACAATATTAAACGCAAATATTCTGTTGCTATGTATTGGCAAAGGTGAAATTAACAATAATAATTAAAACATTAAAAGAGTACCTGAAATGTATTTTGATTTACAATTACTTTGTAAACCTTAAAAAGTTACATAAAGTGCTATCATACATTGTCCTAAACATCTATAATTTATTGCTATCGTTTTGTTAAAACTAGTAAATCACAATCTTTAGTTTAACGTCTACAGTTGTTCCTCAGAATGCATAATATATTTGCTCGTGTCAACTCCACGTGCATAGCACAGACTAATCCAGCACATGCCTGAACAATTCCAAAAGGAACTTTGACCCAGAAGTCATTTTTCGCTGCAAATAATTTGAGGATTCTCAGAGCAGTGAGCAATACAGAGCACGCACTGAACTCGGATCCGTTTGCTCTCGAGAGCAGACGCCCATCCACCGGACCGGCCTCCCACAAAATCAGAAAAGTCGTGGGAATTGCTTAGAATGATTGTCAATCTGCCGCGTCTGTACCGCGATGTCCTAACCAGAAGCGGTGCCATTCATTAAGCGTTGTGTTCAAGCACCGAAACGCCAAAATCATATTGCCATCAAGGTCCGTAATGCGACATCGGGCTCCGTTGCATGAACCAGCTGCTCTTTAGTAGAAATATAGAACGTTTGGAAATGTTTTGTTTATCTTTGTGCTATTGTTTTATCCTTAATATGAGGTGAACAAGCCATTCATTCTACAAATGGTCTCATGTGAAGTGCCAAAAACATCGCCTAGTTTAATTTTGGTTCATTTGAAGGCATTATTATTGATCAATGTGTTGAGCTTTTTTTGTTAATGTGGAAATAGACTATTAAACCCTTTGAATGCTGTCCTTAAATTATGTGTGGAAGGGGAATGCATGTATGGAATATGTTTTACTGCGTGGTTGGTAATCTTAAGAGAAGCTGGGAGTCCTGGAGTTGCCTTAAAGAAATAAAAAACCCACTTTGTTCTGTCAGTTAACCTGTGTAAACTACATTCATCACGAACGTTACTTTTAATAGGTTGTTTTGGTGAAAACGAGCTTCATAGCTCATCGGATTCTTCCAGTTCAAATGAAGATTCTGATTCTGGAACCACAGGTTGCTCTGCAAAGAACGAGGTTTTTTTTCTCTGCATGGTTACTTCCACATCCCTCGCCATAACTCCACATGGCTGCACCAGTGTATACTTTGTTAGCGACCATACGATTGAGAGGGAGCCAGCAGCTTGCGAGCTGATGGTGTGCAAGGGGCACGCCGCAGGCTCCGGTTAGATATCCGTTGTGTCAAGAACATCGTTGTCGACGCCCTGCAAGTTGGGCAATTTCATGTCGCGGGCACTGCGATCCTTTTCTCGCTGCTGGAGGGCGGCTCCCAGGAGGTTCTGCTGGGCGCTCTCACCGTGCTTGGGGCTGTAATTCGTTGGCGGCGCCTGTTGAGACACGTAGACGTTCAAGGGTGTTGCTGTGTTTTGGATGCGATGTCACGCAGGATGACGAATGGACGTTCACTCAGCCTCGCCACATTTTAACAACGGAGTGGATGGTAAACAGATGGTGAAGGAGGAAGACAGCGGAAAAAGATGGCGAGACGGTGTCAAGAAATCGGAGGCCTCTACTGGGCAAGAATAACGAAGGAAAGCACGGAATGGAAGACAATGGGGGAGAGGTCTCTGCCCAGGATTGAAAAGTTACACAGACTGACAAAGAACAGACAAAGCTACCTTAAATGTCACTTTGCTTGTGCCTCTCTCTTTTTTCCAGAGGTGCATTCATATTTTAGTAAACGATAAACATGGAAAATTTGTATCTGTCTTATAAAAGCTTCCTTGGAGGGGTTTCAAGATGCTGAATTTAGTCTTTTTAGATAAGAACGCAGTGCGATGAGTTGAAAGGTGAACCGTAAAATGCGTACCTTCTTCACACTCATTTCCGTTTCTTCGATCCGCAAATCGCTTGCATCAAGAACATTTTCATCCAGAGAGTTTATGCTGAGAAAATGAAAAAAACGATGTTCAGATATACCACTTTCACCGCCACCACCGTCACCATGACTGTCATCACAACCACCGACAGCCATCATCATCGTCACGGTTGTCAACTCGCTTGTGAACGTGTTATTATGGCATCAAAAATTATCATTGTGACTACATAAAACAGTTGATTAGCAATGCATTGTGCACTGTGAAGGAGGATTGTTTGCAATAAAATAATGAACAAAGTGACAAAAGTCTGTGTCTACAAATAAAACTATAAAAAAACTACTGCAGTATGTTAGTCCAGCAGCCTATGAGCCTTCTGGATCCAATGTTTCCCAATAGAATTTGTTTCAAAAGATAAAACCTGATACCGGAGCATTTAACTTGTTTCACTTTGCAGTTGAAACCGAAAAGTGAAACCATTCCAGCTTTCGCCTGCTGATATAAAACACTGCTGGAAAAAATCAGTCTGGAGGGCCCATTGCTGATGGACCAAAAACGTTCTATGTGTATGTTGTCTGTTCATTACGGTGGTGTCGCGTGGTTGTCATGGGCCCTGGTGCAAGGAATTAAATAGGCAATCCCCTCCCCACCAACTCCGTCCCATGTCCCCCCACCCCTGTTTGTACCCTAGTGCTTTGCTCCCTGCAGCTCGTGGCCCCTGGCGCAGTTGCAACTGCCTGTACATTTCATAGCTACACCACTGGTTTATACGTTGTTATATATATTTTTAAATCCTTTATATTAAGTTCACTTGCTTGCTTGCTTGCGCGCTTACGACCGTGCAAATCTTTCGGTCGTTTTTTAACCCACTTCCCGTGACACAATCGAGCTGACATTTTGCACACAGACTCGTTGTGCGTGACAATTTATTTTCGTGAAAACTTTTTTCCAAAATTTTACACTTTTTAGGAAAAAATAAATTATATTTAATTACCAATTGCTTAATGGTGGCAGGCAATCATCTGACCCATAGGTGGCAGCCATCTCAAGCCAGAGGACGAGAGGACTCTAGCCGCCACGCATATAAAGGATTTATAGTGAAAAACTTTGTTTTTACGGGTTAAATTTTTTTTAAGTGAACCGGTTGGTGTGCATTAAATGTCCAATTAATGAAAGCTAACGCCTTCCTCGCATTGTCACCGACCTCTTCCTGTCAGGGTCACTCTCCTCGATATAGCCAAGGTCAGGAAGCTCATAGACGGGGCTGTTCCACAGCGGGTTCGATCTGCGGAGACACCGGCGGTTTCACGTCACCACAGATTTGCATTGCACACGGCGACGATTGTAAAAGTTGCATAAGAAGAATAACCAACTGAAACTGGATCGTTCCAATTTGCAATTCAAAATACAATTGGTTAGCCAGAGCACACGAAACTAATTGTCATCTTGAAGCAGTGAAATTATAAATATTCCTCCAATATAGTTAAAAGTTTTTCATCAATAAAATGCATGCGGAGATTTACATACGCATTAGGTACTGCATTAGTATAACACTTTAAATGTAGCTATTTAACAAAAGCCATCTCAATCCTTCTAGATGTGAATACATAAGCTGTTCAAATTTTTTGTAATTTGTTAATCCACTGCTGGATTAAGGTCACAATTTGTGTTTAGTTTGTTGTCCTTCCTTTGATGTTGGCTACATACGCTGCAAAAGAAGTTCTACACACTATAAACTTTTTATTTTACCGGTAAGTGACCTGGCCACAAATCACAGCGCAACGAAATGGCTTACCACGTCGAAATTCAATGCAGCCAAATACTCAAAATGCATGCTTCTAAATGTGGAGGGAACAACCGGAGGATGCGGAGAAAAATCCACTCAACCACGGGGAGAACATGCAAACCCAAATATACAGGCGTCAGGGTCGGAATTGAACCCACGACCTTCTGTATTTATTATCTCGCCACCGTGGCGCCACCACTGGATGAGGGCCGCCACATACCATATTGGGGTTTCGTGACCATACATCACCACGCTTGTCAATGCGAGTTAGTCAATGCGGGGGGCCCAAGACCAGTTCAAATATCACTCCCCACTCATGTTAGCCGTGAATAAATTATGGGTCATCAGGTTCACAGCGCAGCATGCAAGCCACTGTTCGACCGCTCCACCCCACCGTGGGCTGTCAGACACAAATCCCATAGGGGTGTGTTCTCAGTTGTTGATCGACACGATGATAGTGAGAGGGTGGCGAGAGACGCTGCTATGCTGGGCAACTCACTTTTCCGTGGCGTGCATGTTCGTGCCGGGAACCTGGGTTCCGTTCTGCGCCGGTGCGCTCTTCACTTCCTTGGCGCGGTTCATCGCGGTCATGGACTTGAGTTTCCTCTGGTAGCTGCAGATGCAACAGCATGATCGTAATTTTTTGGTGGACGTGGCACACCCATTAAAGTTTAATACGAAACAAGAGACAATTTAAATTGATAATACCCATGTGTGTGCTTGCTAAAGTTGGTTCTCCAATCAAGTCCTCCAGAAGTTTTCCTTAGGTTCCTGTTGTGCTAAGAACTGTTAACCTGATTATTGAAGACTTTAGGATGATGCAGACTTGATAATGAAAAAAGGGCCACTCCAGCGTTGAATTTAAATGAAGAAAGTAATCATGATTTTGCATGCAAACTTGTGATATATTCAATATACTGTCTTGGCTATAGCATACAGGCATTAGTAGCGAAATGTGAGAGAGATGGGAGATGTACAAGACGAGACAGGATATAACACAGACTGAAGAGACACTCTAAATGAGACAATGTCAGACAGGGTGATCCATCTATAGACACGTGATTGAAAATTGTGAAAGTGATGGCTCCATACCTTACAGAATGGTTTGTTAAAAGGATTTAAAATGCGTATTGAGATTAGTGGGAGACATGAGAGTCTTTTATCTACAGTTTCTCGCTATAATGTCAGTGGAGCATCTATAAGTGTAGATTACTGACACTGGCTAAGTACACGCGAAAAATATTTCCTGGATCGTTGTCAACGAACCCGACTGCAACGTCGGTGGCGGCTCGTCAATAGGAGCTGGTGGGGCCAGGCATCACGAGTAAAAAAATAAAATCCTTAACAATACATGACTCACCTGCTCATTATATAGATTATAAATTGCATTCAAACCCCTTTCTCTCCCGCTCCAGCTGCCACTGTACACGGAAATCACATTTAACAGCCAGACCTGTTCACAAGGCCTCAATAGGAACCCACTTTGCAGCTTAATTACTTAACTGGGTTAAATTTTATAGATATATAACCGGGAAAGAACGACTGAACTATATAGTTATTTTTCAGAAGTGACCGGCCCCCAAATGATTGCCCAACGAAGTGGCGTATGATGTTGACATTTATTAGCAGCCAAATACTCGAAACGAATGTTAGTTTTAAAAGTGGGGGGAAAAACCGGAGGACCAGGAGAAAAATCCACGTGACCATGGGCGTCTGGGCCAGGATGTGACGAACCCACGACCTCCTGTACCACTAGGCGAGGTAGTTAACATCTTGCCACCGTGGCGCCCCCCCCCCCCCAAGAATGCCCCCCCCCAGCATGCCCCCCCCCAGCATGCCACCCACCCCCCCCCCGACCTTACATATCTGAGACATTATAGCACAAACACTAACTAATAGTATTATTGTTATGGGCTACCTCGTGCGCATGCAGACTGTGATGGTGATCATGACAGTCAGGATGAGGAGGAGAACCACCGCCAGCGAGATCACCAATATCTCCAACAGCCTTAACTGCGCCATATTTGGATCTTCAAATGTGGGACCCGAACCCTGTAGCAGACGCGGAGGGAATGTAAAGCGATGAGGTCAGAAACTGGACACAATGGTGAATGATATTCACTGTTGTTAATCGATCATTTATATCAGAGGTGGGGAACCATTTTCCTTCTGGAGGGCCGAATAACACGTTTAAATACTTTTTGTTGGCCGCACGTGCACAGAGACATGACATGATAATCAGTTGTCACGTCGACTGTATATGAACTGCATACATTTTGTATTTATTTAACTCTATGTACATGTACAACCCTTTTTGTCAATCCACTGCTGGATGACGGCCTTCCCACACCGTGCAGGTTGGGGGGGGGGGGATTGTTTACCATAATTCACCGCACTAGTCGGTGCAGGTGAGTGAAGGCGGGGAGAGCATCGATGTAGGAGCATAGAAAGCACAACAATGCATTTGCTACACTGTAGCCCCACAGCATCAACCAACAGCGCCTGTTTCATGCCTGGCAGTCGCCAATCCAGGCACTAACGAAGCTCACGCCTGCTCAGCTTCCAAGGTCTGGCAAGGCGGCGTGCATTCTGGGTTACTGGGCCCTAGGCATAAATACATATTGCAGAGGTCACTTAGGCCACTGTGCTGTTTGTCACTTTTGGCTACCACTTCCTGACTTTGGGACCGGTCATTGATTCTGAAAATGATTGCCGGTTTACCGTGTATCATATTACGGTTACCGGTTTACTAAGTCTAATATCACGGTTACCGGTTTACTAAGTATCATTGAACAACCCTTGCACTTACCACACCCGTCATTCCCAGGCCTATGAGTTTCTGCACCGCCTCTGTTCCCACACTGTCCTGTATCACTCTGTGGGAAACACAATTATACATGAGTTTATTATAACGACAATCCCTTACTACCAAGACATGTCAAATCACACGATTCGACATGTCTTGGTGGTAAGTGACAGAAACAAGTGTTTGGGTCAGATACGTTTTTTTTACAATCAGATACAGTATATGTATAAAAGCTATGCAACTTTTAAATCTAGATAGAACACTCATTTCTTTAGGACTGGTTTTAAAGTTTAGTTTTGATGACCTTCCCCTGCACCTCCGATTTACACAGTTGGCTCCATACGGTGTGAAAGAAGTTCTACATGTAAACATAGGAATATATTGTTGTATATTTACTTGTGCAGTTACAGTGTTGACAGTGAACCTGGCACGTACTTCACCGCTCGTTCTTGACTCACAGCTGTCCCATTGCTGAAGTAGAAGTACACCTCCATAACTGACCTGAAAACAAGACATCGCACTATTACATTCTGGTTGCATGCCAACTGCCAACACAACCCAGAGGTCGCAATCGGGTACCCGATACCCGTACCCTACCCGATACCCGGCCGGGTACGGGTAGCCGTTTGCGACCCTGGTGCGGCCGGGTACGGGTAGGCCGTGAGTCACTGGTGAGTCACCGTTTGTCACTCATTTCGGGTAGGGTACGGGTAGGATACGGCTACCTGTACCCAGCCGGATACGAGTACGGGTACCCATTTGGGACCCTGGTGCGGCCGGGTACGGGTATGGGTAAGGAATCAAAACCCGTTTGCGACCTCTAACACAACCCCTTAATATTTTATTGACCTTTTTATCGATTTCAAATGCATTTTTTTTGCCTGTAGCACCTGGTATGCACTTGTGGTGACACATCCCAAGCACAAACCAGGCTCGACCCCTCCTCCGTATTTTCCAGAGTTGGATGGTATCCGGCACGTGCAAGGTGATTTGGTTGCAATTGACTGATTTTGCGATTTAAAGCTTTCCTGACTGCAGGGATTCATCTTCTTGGTTTTTTCGGTAAAGTCACGTAGAATGGAGATAAAAGACGCTGTCTTTCTGACAGCCCTGTTCTTCACCTGAGGACGGCTGCTTGCGTTGTGGCCGGAACGTCGTGAGAATTTTATTTTATTATGTTTAATTTGTATTATTTTATTATTTCCCTTCTACGTGACTTTACCAAAAGAACCAAGAAGAATTGACTGATTGTTAATTCAGCCCGAGACCTCATCCGTGCTTGCTCAGTGTGCTCTCGACACAAGCCTAGACAGTGCCAGGTGCACGCCCCAACGATCAATTGTGCAGACAAACTGCTCAGCAGACCCATCGGCCTGCAGGCGCTTTGACCACATCTGAGCGAGTGGCTGTGTGTCAAGAAAACGACGGCGCATTCAGGATTGCAACGACAGATCGTAATTCGCGAACGTGAGCGTGATGCGATACGGCCGACGCGAATAGCCGCGCGGGCTTGATGCGAAGGAGCAACTGGCCACGCAAACTGCTCGCAACTGATTGCAGAGACGTCCACGGATCAGCGATTAAATTGCATGCAAACAAGTAGCACGAGTAGTGCAAGCTAAAACGTGTGTGTTCCGTTGCAATAAAAAATATTTATAAGCGTGTTGTGTTCCACTCACTTGTCGCTTCCCTCGCGGGTTTGTTTCGTAGACGCTGGTTTGATGGCAGTTATTGCGACAATGGAGTTGTACACAGTCTTCTGCAGATTTCTGAAAAACCAGGACGCATTACGCATTGGACATGTCCTGCTGCCAACGTTTCTGCTGCTCATCGACATCACTCCATCTGCCAGTGGTTAAGCAGGTCATGCAATCTGACCGAGTCGTACCGAGTGGTCAGTGGTGACTATTGTCTACCTTAGAGGCCAAAATAAGCCCTTGCCTTCAGCAAAATGTGCAAGTGGATGCTGCTAATCCTGCATAATGCACGGGCATAAATAGTACTATTCACATACCTGCATTTCCCATATCACATACCTGCATTTCCCATATCCCCTCCCTTTGATGCTGCTAATCCTGCATAATGCACGGGCATATGCAGTACTAATCACATACCTGCATTTCCCATAAATATGCTAAATTCCTATTGATATGCATATTCTTTGTTAAGGCTCCCCCTTTCCCCCCCTTCCAACCCAGCTTTTATACATGCTCCAAGCACGTGTGCTGTTTCATTCAGACGCTGTCGCCTCGACAGACCTGGTTTTCACCTGAGGACGGATACTTGCGTTGTGGCCGAAACGTCGTGAGAATTATTTTATTATGTTTTATTTTTATTATTTTATTACTTCCCTTCTACGTGACTTTACCAAAAGAACCAAGAAGATGAATCCCTGCAGTCACGAAAGCTTTAAATCGAAATGGAAGGCAATTGTGGATATCCTGCCATGTTCGTGGAAACACTGAGAACTGGCGAAACGTCGTACTCAGATTGTAAATGTTGTAGCTTGGCTCTCCAACACACCGGTGTGCTGTACTAGTAACGAATTGGCACGTTCTGTTTACGTGACAAACCTTACTAATTAGCTGTGTCGGGTGGTGGCGGGTTTAACGACACATTTATATATTTACACGATCTAACCCAAAAAAACCTGTATTATGGATGATATTGGTCGCGAAAGCTTACGTGTTAAACCGAGAGCATCTTCGGACATGTAAACTTTAGCAACAGCAAAATCTGACATCAAGCTATGTATGCGTATTTCTGTCGGGGAAAAATCTTCATCCCCCAGCGATTCTATACGTTGCTGAGATTCACGGTTGTGATTTGAATTATTTGATCCGTTTTTTTTATTGTGGAGAATGTAGTGGCCACATGAACCCACCGCGTACGTATATGTTTAGAAAAAAACTGAATCTTATACCCGCGATATCGATGTGCGTACGTGAACTTACGAATCGATTTATTCCACTCCGGATATAGTTATCTGTTGGCATTTTACTACTAAACAAATTGTAGAGTAATTACAGTGGTACATTAAATTTTTTGGAGGATAATATCCTTGCTATTGCACATCTGTTGATTAGAAGACTGTCTCATGTCCTCTTCTCTTTAAATGCCAACGTTTGATAGGAAAGTTACATTTCATAATTAAGATTATCAGAGAAAAAAATCTAGCTTAATATTAAAATCACAGAAAACTGTAGACGCAACAGTTTCCCCCCCCCTTAATGGTGATGAAGACCGAACCTTCGATTAGCACAGTTAGCTACATACGGTACAAAAGAAGGTAAACCCACATACATACAAGGCATTGGCAAATTTAAAAGAGAGCAGAAAAAAAAACATTTGGCAAACATATGGTTCGTACCCAAAATGCTAAATATTGTACAATATTTATAACAATTTAATCATATAGCAGAGTTTATGTTAATGATACACAAATAGATGAGACTATTTCAGAGTTTGATATTACTGCTTATCGTAATGAGTCTTAATCACACTAGTTTTTTTTATCGTGTGTATCGCGTGCAAATTTTCTTACATGGATATTTGACCTTTCTTTGCTTCAATATCTTGTACAGAACCATCGAAATCCAGCTTTACCTTGTTCGTCTCACTGATGAGGAAGGCCTTATAGGAGAAAAAGTAAGAACACATCCTCAGAGTAGAACACGTGCAAGATTAAGCTCATCCTGCAGTGTCCATTAACGTGTTTGTTTGACCAAAAAAAAAAGAATGACTATCTTGATTTGAAGCTTTCGTGACTGCAGGATTCCATACTCTTTGGTTCTTTCGGTAAAGTCACGTCGACAGAAAAATATAGATTTTCGTGCAACAGACAATAATCTCACAGCTCTGTGTGTGGGGAAAGTCTGCCCTCTGCAGTGTGTGAATAAAACACATTCCTGCGGAGGGAGCTGGTAGGAACGTTGGGTTGCTCGGTCAATGGCCAGAGTCAACGGCGGCGTGGTGTATTCCGCAAATATGCCCGACTGTGAGGGCGGGCACAAGCCGGCGTGAGTAGGTTAAACGTTGAGTTTTATAAAGGCACCACGGGGTGACCAGCCCCTCCCCACCCAGCCCCACCCAGCCCCTCCCCACTCTCCCCTCCCCACCCAGCCCCACTCTCCCCACCCAGCCCCTCCCCACCCTCCCCTCCCCACCCAGCCCCTCCCTCCCCACCCAGCCCCTCCCTGCACGACGGACGGACACAATAATCCCCTGTGGGCTGGTGGAACCAGTGGGTTCTTACCCGTAAAAGTAACTTGAGGGGATTTTTTTTACTTTGGGCGCGAAATTATCTGACATTCGGCGGGATCGCAACTGACCTCGACGAATATGGAATCGATGATTTGTTTTCTGACATTGATGCTGATTGCACAATTGGAATAAATTGGAGGGGGGGGGTGACACCTTTAAATATAATAAAATATAATATGAAGAAAAGAAAAATTGAACTGGAATGAGTGCAGCATTAAATACAGCATCCTTCATAGGACGTACTGTAGGATGGTCTTGGGATGCTAGGCCATGACGTGCATATAGATATACAATCGATATATTTAGCGTTTAGTGTAACTCATTCCAATACCACCAAAATAACTCCATTACGCGTTTGCTATGTTTTCTATGTACGTGTTTTTTGTAATTTTAGTTTTTGTTCCAATTCTGCACTTTATTGCTGTGCTTTGTTTGTGCTACTTTGGTCAATTTGGCGAATCCAGATCACACTTGCAAATGAAAGTTATCCTGGTCTCTCTGAGTCCTCACCTGGTTAAACAAGTTGCAATTGAAACTTTGAATGCGTCAGTCGACACCCTGGACACCATTGCGAGTGAGATGTCCCTTCTCAGGGGACTGTCAAGGTAAAGTATTTGAATGAAGACAAAATAAATATACGATACCAAAAGAACCAAATAGTATGGATTCCAACATTGCTGCAATCAAGACTTGCAGACTCTCCATTGTGAGTCGAGGGTTTTAACCACAGAGCCAGACACTCAACACATACTTTTACATACACAGTTTATACTTTGTCCTTCATTTGATTACCGTTTGTAACGGACCGAGTTTATAAAAGTGTGTTGAGTTTGGAGAAGCCATTCGAGGCCATCCGGTGTTGCCAGGTGATTTCCATTTGTACCTCTTTTTAAAAGTGTGTGGGGCGATGATCGATAACGCTGAGTAATATATTGCACTTCACTTACAGAGAAGACACACGGAGACCCACAGACTCACACAGAAATCCATCGCCTCACAAAGGGACCCATATCCTAACATAGAGATATATAATACACGATACAATTTGGTGTCTACTGGATATCTTTGAACTACTGGACATCTGTGAAAAAGAGCTTCATAGCTCATCGGATTCCTCCAATCTAAACAAAAAACATCTGATTCTGATAATGTGATGTACATGTGTATGTTGAACTTCTTTCGCACTGTACATAGCCAACCATGCTAATATGTGTGGGTAAGGACAACACACTAAACACAAAAAAATTAACCCGTAAAAACAACGTTTTTCACTATAAATCCTTTATATGCGTGGCGGCTAGAGTCCTCTGGCTTGAGATGGCTGCCACCTATGGGTCAGATGATTGCCTGCCACCATTAAGCAATTGGTAATTAAATATAAAAAAAAAAAATTCCTAAAAAGTGTAAAATTTTGGAAAAAATTTTCACGAAAATAAATTGTCACGCACAACGAGTCTGTGTGCAAAATGTCAGCTCGATTGGATCACGGGAAGTGGGTTAAAAAACGACCGAAAGATTTGCACGGTCGTAAGCACGCAAGCAAGCAAGCAAGTGAACTTAATATAGAGGATTTAAAAAGCAAGGGGTTGTCTTTCACCACAGCCATACTTCGAAATTCACCACTCATGCAGGAGGTATCTGCATCTTCCTTCACATGTGTTTTTCTAACACGGTTAAGTGCCGTCCAGGGTCTTAAAGGTGGACTTTGTGCTGACCACCGCACTGAGGAGGCGTATGTAAAGTTGTGCTGGAAGGACGATGACGTACGGTGAAGTCGGTCGATGCTCTAAGCTGAGGACTCCCGTTGTCCGACACTGTCACGGTGATGATGTACCTTCCGTCCTGCGCAGGGTTTATGGCTCTTGTTATGCTGTGTAAAAAAACAAAAAAAGATGCACGCAAAAAATACAAATTTAGTTTGACCACTAATTGAAATTAGGTTAATGACCCCGCACTCAAAGGAACAAGAAAAAAATCACGCACACAACAGCTGACAATTCAAGCAAAGGCCCAAAATTATAATTTTTAACGATGAACGTAAATGTCTCGAAGGCATTGCTATTGACGAACGCGCTGAGGTGTTGTTATCCGAGTGTTTGTGCACCACCCACTGCCACCACAGCCTCACAGGTGTCTTGTGTCATTTCGCCGGCGCTGCCGTGGTGTGAGTAAAGTGGCAAAGCCACCACGGTGACGGCGTCCACTCACCCCATGGAGCCCGTGTACTGGTTGTTGTTTTCGCTCGCTTGGGTCTCCATGGAGAATATGTTCACATCCTGCTCCTCCGATATGTTGTTGGAATGAACCAGCAGCAGCTTCGTCACACTGAACCTGAGCTTGGCGTTTTCTCCCTCGTCACTGTCTGTCGCCTATGCAGAATAACAATAACGCATCGTAGCAACAGCAGTAAAAGCACTCGATGCATTCGTCAATAATAATGTAAATGGAATGTATGTTGAATTTCTTTCGCACTCTGCATAGCCAACTGTGCTAATCGTAGGTGCGAAAATACATAACAGGCGACGTTTCAATTAAGGAAAAAAAATATTGCTATGAAGAATGAGCATTGCTCAAAATGTCTCCTTTAAAAAAAGGTGTTTATATTTATTTATTTTGACCAAGAGTCCAATACAAGGGGGTGAAACACATGCCATGAGCGAGCGGTAAATCCGGCGCCATCATTTTAGAGACCGGACGAGATATATATATATTTTTTCCTTTTAAGGCACACAGTGTTACGTTTTGAGAGTTTTTTTTGTTTGATATTTGTGCTTATGCGCCACTGCCAATGCAGCATCGCCGAATAATTTGCCTTTAATAACGCATCTTAGGTTTTTTTTTAGTCATTTCATTGTTTCTAATTTGTGACTGTTGTCGAAATTACACACCTCAATTTCACTGATAATTGGTATCGAAATTCCACTAGACACGCTGAATTGGTAAGTTGTATCTGTATTATATATTTTTTCCTATCTACGTGGCTTTACCGAAAGACCCAAAGAATATTAAGTCCTGCAGTCACGAAAGCTTTAAGTCAAAATTTTAATGTAATTTATCATTTTAATGTATTTTGCCCATCTTCACTGTTACTCCGAACTTAAACTTTTTGTACAGTACGTGGTATAGGTCGCGTGCAAACACTTAAAATGAGCGTGTGGTGGAGAGCTAGACAAAGATTCCAATGAATAATGGAAAACAAATACTTTACCTGCCAAATTTCTGGAAACACGTATTTATCATTCGCAATTTCTGCAACGATTACACCTGCGAAGGCAAACACGTAGATTTCATTTAGCTGGGGTCAACAAACACAAACATGTCTGTGACTTTGGAAACGTACTGAGGTTTATTTTGCTTATCCACATTTGTCGCGCGTAGGCCCACGTGGACAGCAACAAACAGCAACTGGCGATGGTGTGATGGATGAGCGATAATGCGTCTCTTGCATTGAGCGAGGTTATCACCGCAACGTGAGGAAATAAACGATGGGAGGGAATTCCAAAGTGGAGCAGTGCGTGGGAAGGAATCAGAAATAAAAGTGCCGTGACATGCAGTGTGGTCAAGTATATGTTGCTATGGCATCCTGTGTAAACATACCTGTCGAAGGTCTTATTTGGAAAATGGGATCATTGTCATTGGCATCCACAATGTTGATTGTGAGTACACCAGCTGTGTTGATAAAAAGGATAATGGTTGTTAAGAAACCTGAGATAGCCCACGTGATTGAGCATCAGTAAAATATATGCAAATATGCAAGATCTCCCTTGACGCAAACTTTGTCTCATTAAGCTGTCACCTGCTAAAATAATAGTTAACCGAATTCCAGCTCACATAAGAGTCGTTAATGCATGCGAGGCTGTATCTGAAATCATGAATATGAAATATCATCTATCACGATTATAAGCGTAAAGTAGAATTTATATTTGTTTCTTCTGCACGTAACCCATTTATATTGTCTCAAGTATATAATGATCCTTAATTAAGGAGTTCCCAAATGGCTACACCTAAGCACCAGAAGATGTGTGCTTTCTTCACAGAAGACAAACGCAGCTATCTTAAAACGTAATGGTGATTTCACTCCACAACAGCGTATTACAGATTTCTAACACATTACTTTACGACCCAAACACAGCTTTATGATGATGCTGATGATGACGGCATTATTGAGTAATGGCCTGTGCTTCATTTCTCACTCAATATTTTCCAGAACGCTGCTAAACTGGCTTTTAGTTCGGGATTATCTGCATCAGGACACTACCACTAGAGTACAAAGAAGGCCTATCCACAATAACGTATATTATTGTAACATACGTTCCTCTGAACAAGTTTATACAAATTCCATGAATAACGTAACTGTGAGATGGATGTGGCATCCCAGAAATAATTTCGAGGACAACAGTTCCGGACAGTTCCGGGTGAAATTATGTACTGGCAATGGCTGTAGGCAAATTGTTCTTGCACTCTTAACACGCCGTTCGGGCCTATTCTAAGCATCTTATTATTCAGCTCACTTACAGGTAAAATTTCTGCTTTTCACTGTCGCAAGATCAATGAGGACCACAGTGAGATCCACCTGGTGATCTTCTCAAAGTCCACCTCGATGTCACCATAGTAGACGGTTCCAGATGTGCTGTTGATCTCAAACCACCTGGCGCATTCCGATTTGTTGACACTATTCACTCCTTTGTAGCAAGAGTGGTCGCTGATGAAAAACTTCAGGTCCGCGTCCGTGTCCTTGTCAAATCCAGTCACGTTGGCCACCATCGCCCCAGGCCGTCCGTTCTCGACGGCATCGACGCTGCGGGGCAAATCCTTGATTTCCGGAGTCTCGTCGTTTACGTCTGTGATGAGGACCGTAACAGTGGTGCTTGAGCTGCGCTCCGGGAAGCCCAAGTCAGTCGCCACGATCACCATCGTGTAGATTTTGTCTACCTCGTAGTCGAGCTGGTTGCCGGAATCCACTGATATGTTGCCGACGAAGTCTAAAGAGCCGTCGGCTATCGGAACAGCTCTGATCAGGAAGTTTCCTCGCGACCCACTGAAGATGCTGTAGCTGACGCGATTGTTCGGGGGGCTGACGTCAGAGTCCGGAGCGTGAACGCTCACCACAAAATGTCCTGCGTGAAAATAAAAAAAATGTTTATATTTGCGTGCACATGTGCAGCGCATAAGTACATACAACATACACTCGTGCACATTTGCAAGATACACAAATACAAATATTAATTATATTTACAAATGGATTTGAATTGATGGGGCTTCACCCATTCATAGTTAAGTGTGTGTACATATACAGTAAAACCGTTGGTCTGCGAGTGTTTTGCAAGACGAGCAAACTTTTAAAATAAATATTAATTTTATAAACGAGCGAGGTCTTGCAATACGAGTAGTACGTATACGCTTTGTCTGCCGAGCGTCACATGATCACAACTGATATTACGAGTGCTTTGATATACGAGTGCTTTGGATTACAAACCCGTTTCCGGAACGAATTATGCTCGCAATCCGAGGTTTTACTCTATATAATGCAATATATCATGCAGATGCATATACACCTGCACATAGGTAAACGTGCATTGTGACTGAGATGCACACAAGACGTCCTGTATATGGCAAAGTAGAACTCCTCTTATCTGCAGTGATGTAGGGGATGAATATCGGGGATCCTATTATCCGCAATGTTCTCTGCCAATTTACTTCACATATCTTTGGGGGGGGGCAAATCCGTGGATAATCGTGCAGAATAATAATAATTGGGGTGCGGATAATGAGTTTTTGCGGGTGATATGGTTGCAGATAAAGAGACATTCTACTAATATATATGCTTTAGCAAAATTAACACAAATCAATGTCAACATTGTTATGTTACCTGCGATTGCGTCTTCTGGGATGGAAGCAGTGTACACCGGCTTTGTGAAGACCGGAGTTTCGTCATTCAAATCCTAACAAAATACACATCATAAAGAATGTTAAACAGCGTTTGTTGTGCCATAGTCTTTATTATTATTTTTTGCTCAACAGTTTTGTTGTGAATATTGTGATTGTACTTCATTGTCATAATTCATTATATTATTGAAACCTTGCGCAGATGTGGTGGCGCATGCAGAAGAAGAAGGAGAGAGAGAGAGATCAGTAGAAAGGCTGCGATGGGAAATCCGGTTGTTTTGCGCTGCTGGGCGTTAGCGGATGACGGCGCGTCCAACCTACCTCCACCTTGACGACGACCGACACGGTGGAGTTGAGCGGAGGATTTCCCTGATCCTGTGCCATCACCGTGAGGTTGAACATCCCATTCAGCGACGGGTCCATGGACTCTGCGTCCAGATGCCCGCTGACGGTCAGCTTTCCCGAGGCGGCGTCGATGGTGAAATTCGAGAAGTCGTCCCCTCCGAAGATGGAGTACGTGATGTTGCTGTTCTGGGTGCCTTCCTCATCTTTATCCGTGGCCTTCGCCGTGCCAGGTGATCAACAAGAGGAGGCAACAGCAACCGCCGCGTGTTACGAGACGTTCTTTGAACATGACACTCGTTTTGTAAGAGGAGCATGGCGCCCTCTGCAATGTTTGTGCACGTGAATAGAGGCGAAAGGTGCTGCCCTACAATTTCTTGCTCACGCCACTGCAAGGGCCTCCACTACAGGGGGGCTCCAGAGGAACCCCCTCGAGAGGCTGTTTTTTGGGCCTACTCTTCCACGTTGAAAAAGAGATGGGAATACCCACACTTTGCCCCACCACACGTACCCTGTCGATCGACCGTGGTGGAATTGTATAACTTTAGTATTTATATTTGCATATTGAACTTCTTTCGCACCGTACGTAGCCAACCGTGTTTCAACTGAACAAGCCACCGAGTCCTTAGATAACATAGAGATTACAAAACTAATGTTGGGTCTAAAATGTATTAATTTAATACAAACAGGAGCTTTGGCGTTGGTAAAACCGCGTGCGGAGCATGTCCTACCAGGATTAAAATGGGATCGTTGACCATGTTCTCTTTGTAGAATGCCGTGTAGGTCATCTGCTGGAACCGGGGAATGTTGTCATTGACGTCCAACACGTTGATCTGCAGGGGCACGCTCGAGACGCGGCCCCCACCGTCCATGGCGATGACGTTGGCGTAGAACACAGGCTTCGTCTCGCGGTCAAGCTGCTTTTTGTCACGCACGCTAAGCGCTCCCGTCACATTGTCCACCTGGAACGTGTCCCTCCTGCGCGCAGAAAAACATATTGCGGAGTCCGTTTAACGTTCGTCGCTGTTGTTTTTTGTTAATCGTCGCATCGGTGAGATTGCAACCGTTGAGGCATTAGAGTGGAGGCTGTAAAAAGATTCCAAAGGTCAACGAGCTGCCATTTCATGGCGCTCGCATGAAGTGGCTGAGAGAGTTTGTCCTTGTCATCAGCCAGGTGAAAATGTAAAATGGCTGCCCTGCCATTTTGCAAGCGGTATCGTGCACATGAATTGCAAGTCAAGATGAGGAAAAAAAGCAGTCACACGGTTGTTTATTTGAGAAATGTATATGGTAATGACTCTTGGCATGGAAATTTTAAGGTAATTACTTCACCCTTCCAGTTTATATTCTGGTTGTGTACGGTTTAGTCTTTAGACCCTGAACTGACTGTTCAACTTTGGTCAAAAGAGAAATGCCTTATAAAACACTGTTTTTGAGCACATCTACCGGCTATAGCTTCAGAAGAAAACATCGTATGCACCAGACACTGCTGATCTGTCTTGCACAATGCTGTTTTATCGAACACATGTTTTGGTTATACACCACACGGTTCACTTATTGAGGTACGTTTTACCGGAACACGGGGGAGGTGACGCTTCGGCCCTGCGTCGCTTTGACGCCACTAAGATTCTCATCTCCGTGTCGACGAGTACAGTAGATGCTGGGGGGGAAATCTCGTGACCATCTGCCCTCCCCAACACTCGCATGCGGTCTCCCTCCACGTCTAAGCCCCCTATAACACCCCCACCAACATCATCATCATCATCTTCTTCTTTGCCTTGATCATCGGCGTCATTCATTGTACATAAATTAAAAATTTTCATATAGTTTTTTTAAGTGTTACATTTTGTCCCATATTTAACTTTTTTACATGTATGCTACATGCGTGATTTTTTGTTGTTGGCATGACAACAAGGGGAGGGGGGGGGGAATCACATAGAATAATAAGTTGAACAAAGAGGGGGTGATAATGTCGTACCAAGGAACGCAACCCTATTTTCCCCACGAGGTCTATTATCTGTCAGACGCAGTTTTTGCTCAACACGGACGTAACCCTCAACGCTTTTGGCGAGGTTATTGTGGTGCTTCAAATACGAGATTCAAAATGATAACCTGGGTCTGTCCCCAAACCTGGAAAACTCTTGTAAACCAATCCTATTAAGGGGTTTGCTCGAGAGAATATTAATCTTGCCTCACTGGCGCCTGGTGACGGAGCAAATGGGAAACTAATTGAAAAAAACCACTGTTTATTATGACATAATCCATTACCTTTCTTCATATATCCAACCAGGTATAACCTCTTCAAACAGTTCTCGAATCGCCATAGGATGGATGTACCAGTGTGCTTGGGTCAGCAGATACAAATCAGTATTTTAAAAATGACGTTTCGCACCTCCGATTAGCACAGTTGACTACGTATGGTGCTAAAGAAGTTCAGCATACGTATATTTATCGGCGACAAACAGGACCCTGCGGGGTGGGCTGGTAGGAACGAATAACCAAAGAATATAAACATAATGTATTATTACACTTGTTTAGCCAGGAAAGCCCCACTGAGTCGAAAGGTTTTTGTAGGGTCCTGCCAAGTGTTTGCAGTAGGGAGCGATGTTGCTACAGCTAATCGGACGATCCGAAGGGAGATTTTGAGGCCTAGTTCTAGGCTTTAGACCTAGCTGTAGGCTTTAGGGCGCTGTGAGTTAATTTTTAATTTAAATGTTTTAATTATTAATGTATAATTTAAATGTTTTAATTATTAATGTAAAAGCTTTAAATGTAATTTTTTTCTATTTTAAAACATCAGGGAATGTAACATTGTTAAACATTAACTCCCTTTCACACACGCGGGGGTACGATACGAAGGGAGACTTTGAGGCCTAGTTCTAGGCTTTAGGCCTAGCTGTAGGCTTTAGGGCGCTGTGAGTTTTTTTATTTCATTTCAAAGTTGCAATTAAAAGCTATCTCAGGGAATTATAAGGGAATGTTACACGTGTTTAGCCAGGAAAGCCTAATTAATTTAAATGTTTTAATTAAAAGCTATTTGAGGGAATTATAAGGGAATGTTACACTTGTTTAGCCAGGAAAGCCTCACAGAGTCTAAAGGTTTTTGTAGGGTCATGCCAAGTGTTTTCAGTAGGGGGCGATGTTGCTACACGTAATCGGACATCGGACGGACGATATAATCTATTGTAGGCTGATCCACTTCGTTCCTACCAGTATAAAGTACTGCATCACAGTAGCTGAAACTAGCGATACTCACACATCTGTTGCACCAGAAAGGCTGAACAATATTTCTCCAAAGCTTCCTGAGTCGATGTCGGTAGCCTGGGCAACAAAATGAAATGATGTACAAAGGACATTTATGTTAGGAAATATGATATCTTCTAGTTTACGGGCATTTATTTTTATTTTAGTCGTTCTCTTCGGGCAGTATTTCCTGGTCGTGGCTCGACTCTGGCTTTGCCTCTTACAGAGAGAGCTCAGCTCAAGGTTTGAGCCGCTCAACTCGGGGTTGAGCCGCTAGGTACCTTTCAAAGACGCATGGGCGGCTCAGCCATGGCTCGGCTCACCGAAATCCTGAGCCTGGCTGGGACTGTGCTCAGAACCGGCTCAAGTTAAGCGTGGCTTTGAGCCGCCTCACCTGAGCCAAGCCTGAAACGAACCATGCCTAAGAATACAGGCCTTAGTCTAGTCGACTAAAGCAGTAAAAATGCTAGTCTACTCTTAGTTGTATAAAAAGGTCACGAGAGAGGCTTGCAATCCCCCCCCCCCAACCCTCCCAAATATTATTAAGTCAACCAATCAACGAATTAAATTATTAATATACAATTACGACCTTACTAAATTGTCTCAAGTCTGCGTCTTCATTCATATTCCTTCATTTTGGCTTCATAGTCGCGCTTAGGTCATTGGTGGTCAGGAGTCGCAGACATCGTCACAAACAATCATTTTCGTCCACTCACAGTCATCGTTGACGAACGTAAAAAAAAATACCGTGCCGACAAATATTTGTTGTCACCTATCTTGGGAGCAAAACTTATGCTGCCTTCATGCAAGGATTTTTGATTGTGCTAATGAATGTATACATGTGCTCTATAAGTGTGTGTGTATATGCAGAGCTCACTTCAATTATATGTATAAAGTCACCATTACTTGCGCCCTCTGACACATTGACGTAGATATTTTCGTCAGAAAATGTTGGGCTGTTGTCGTTAATGTCGACGAGGTTAATAGTCACGATGGCCGTCGTGGTGAAGTTACCATTTGTGGCAGTGACCTGTAAGTACAAAGAGACACAGACTTCTCATTTAGGCAGAATACTGTATTCATGGTAACTCTATAATGAGTTCACAGTTATTTATGACAAATAGGAAGAAGCAGATGAGCACATGTGTCTTTTCAAAACAATAAAATATAAGTACATTTTTGTCATCCTTCCCCAGCACCTCCGATTAGCACGGTTGGCTACATACGGTGGTGAAAGAAGTTCAACATGCTGTACATATGTAATAAAGGACTCTTTCTCAGTGTCGATCTCCGTTGTCCTTTATTTGGGTTCGTGTAAATCTCGCTCCCACGGCGTCCTCGCTCAGGCCCGCGTCTCCTCCGTCGATCACTCCACAGCCACACTGCTGCTCCGCTCTGCAGCCAGCCTTCCCGAGCCCGCTAGCCCTCTGCGCCCTGACACCGATGGCCGACGGTGCCGAGGTCTCCCAACACGTGGCGATCGCGCCACCCTCCTCGTACTGCCCAGCGTGGCCTCCTCCCGTTCCACTCCGTCTCAACTCCCCGATCCCCTACGGTTCTCTCCCTAAATCCTCTCCCCCACGTGACCCTAACTCCTCCCTCTCCTCACGTGACCCAGACTCCGCCCTCCTCAATCCTTGCTCGCATTACACATACATATTTCAGTATACTCTAGTTATCTTGTACATTCGATGAAAGGCATTATAGCGTGACGAAAAAACATGTAACAAACGAAATCTGACAAGTGCACCGCGAAGCAAGGAGGGGTGCACGCGTGGAATTGCACTGACCAAGGCATACATATAGATGGAGAAAATATTAAACACCTCTTGATTTGCTGGTGACATTATAATGCTCAATGGGGTGAACTACAGGAGATCTTAGAATAACTTAATGAAGGATGTGGAGTTGGGGCCAAGTTAAGTGGAAAACGAAGACGACTTACAACAAAGTCACGTAGTTAGAAATAAAATAAAACAAACTACGACGTTTCGATCGCAACACAAGAGGTCGTAATCAGGCAAAGGAGGCAGCCTCTAAAGGCAAACTGTTTATAGTTTGACTCCTTTGCCTGATGACGACCGCTTGTGTTGTGATCGAAATGTCGTGATTTGTTTTACTCTATTTCTAACTACGTGACTTTTACTGAAAGAACCAAAGAGTATGGATTCCTGCAGTCACGAAAGCTTCAAATCAAGATTGACTTATGACAAGTTCAACAAGACTAATCAAGGTACATATTTCTGTACAGGCCAATAAAAGTGCAATATTTTGTTATAGACGCTTAATTTTGTTTCTTTTTCTGTCTCTGGTGATACTGATAAGTGAATTATTGTGTTTGGACATTTGCCGAGTGTCTCTGTGGATGGTGAGTGCCATACCTGCACATATAACACTTGGATCTTTTCATAATCCAACTGACTTTTCAGTTTTGACTCGGATGGTGAGAGGGCCTTCATTTATGGTTACGTTGGGCACGATTTCAAAGACTGTTGTGTTTATGGAAAGGACTAACTTCGCCATTCTCCCCCTGAATGAAAAAAAAATAGCAACGTTAAAAGCCTCGACCAACAACTGCTGCCACTGCAGCTTAATTCAATGAGAGTAGGAACAAATAAAGATGAAGGCGCAGCCCTGCAATTTGCTTTGCTCACACCACTGCTGGTGGAAGGGCCTCCAATAGAGGAGGCTCAAAGGAGCCCCTTCTAATGTTTTTTTGCTTTACTCTTCCACACAGGGCCAGACACTGTGGAAGAGGTGGAAATACCCACACTTTACCCCAGCACATGCCTTGCCGGAAGAATGAATCGAACCCGGCAACCTCTGGATTGGAAGTCCAGTGTGATACCATTACACCATGGCAACATCTGATTACAAACATGCATAAGAATTCATTGTTATGTGTGCAGTACACAGAAATACACTCCAGAACTTTAATTGTCTGACACTCTTAGGTACAATATCTATGACGTATAATATTTACATTAACTGTGTATTTAATGATTATATATACCGTGCACACAGTTCAAATGTGAAAACAAATTCTTGCCATATAAAAATGCACAACACTGTAAAATCAGGTCATAGTTCTAACTTTAGCTTTGCCAGTGTGTGCTTGTCTTTCTGTTTGGGGAGTAGTGGCGCATCGGTTAGCGCACTGCGCTACAATCTCAGGCAACCTCAGCTCAGTCCACATTGTTGGATAACACAGTGCCAAGTAATATTTCTTGTCCCTGGGCCTCCACTAGGTTTCCCTCGGCCTTAAATGGGTACCTCTGTTGCGGTGTATGACCAGCACTGGGAAGGCAGGTGGTTGGGCATGTAGCTGGCCTGACCCTTGACCTCCTTGGTAACGCCCCAATCTTAACAGGTAATCGCTCACAGCACTTGCCCCCAAACAGTTTGTATGTTTTTATGGGGGGAGGGACCTTTGTGTGCGTGTGTGTGTGGAAAATAGAAAAGCTTACCTTATCGGGGTCCCTTATGTACATGTTGAGGTTTGAGATCGGTGACCCGGCTGAACTCTGTTCGGGTAAGTACACGTCAAACGTGCTGCTAATACTGCCCATGGGCTCGTCGGCCGTCTTCAGGTAAAACGTGGGCTCATTGTCGTTCTCATCCATCACCGTCACTATGATTGTAGCTGTGGCGTTGGAAGGACCAGTATGGTTGCCATTGAGTACCTCGGAAGCCTTGGGAAGGAAAATGACATGCACACCATTGTGTAAAACACAATGAAATTGTGCCGATATCGTAATTCGAAATAGTTTAATGAACTGCAACAGTGAGTATTAACACGATCATCAATTACACAAAAATATATTTAATATTATTGGTTCTTTCGGTAAAGTCAGGTAGAAGGCAAATAATAAAATAATAAAAATATATAACAATACAATTATCACGACGTTTCGACTGCAACACAAGCAATCATCATCAGGTGAGAAATCCACAGCAATAAAATTTGAAAAAAGTGTTTTATTCTATTGTTTTTTTTATTATTTTCCTTCTACGTGACTTTACCGAAAGAACCAAGAATATGAATCCCTGCATTCACGAAAGCTTTAAATAAAAATATATATTTAATGTTCATACAATTATTACGCAGCCTTTGTACAATCAAGCGCTGGAAGAACCCCCCCCCCCCCCACTGCCAAAAGCCTGTTGGTCATGGGGTTTAATTTACCATCCACCACCACGCTGGTAAATGCATGGGGCCATATATATGTGGGAGCACGTATTGCAGTGCCCTCGGCTGGTCACCCCGCAGCCCTGCAGAAGCCTGTAACACGTGCATGGCGATCACCCATCCAAGCACTATCCCAGGCTCAGTCTTGCTTGGCTTCTGCAATCTGATGAGATCGGGCGCATTCTGGGAGAGCTGGTCTTAAGCAAGGTGTGACTTGGTCACAAACCACACTATTACTGTTGTTATTTAATTATACGAACCTGGACATAGAATGTGATGGTATCACCGGGCTGGATGTAGGTGGTGTTTTCTCGGTCAATACGTGCGGCCGTTTGTATTTCCCCAGTTGCATTATTAATCTTGAAATTGCCGTTCATGTCACCTGGAGAAATGTGGAGAGCAGGACACACACAGCATTCCTTTCTAAATAGTAGAGCAAAACATTTCATATCGAGACCTCGATTTTTCATTTTGTGGGCACACCGCTCCAGATCCAAACCATGCAATTCACCCAGCTCCACGTTTGAAGCATTTCCATGAAGTTGTAAGAACGTCGCCAAAACATTTACATGTTGCAAAAGCATTATTAGATTTTACTTTAAGAAATGTGTAGACTCAACCCGAACATATCTTTAAGAATTATAAACAGATTTTGCTTTAAAGTAATTTAAGCCCAATTTTTAGTCAGCACTGCGTTGTTATCTCAATTCTATTACGGTATATAGAATACTAGCTTTACTACCCGGCTTCACTCGGAACTTGGAGTTACGACACCCCAGTGGTGATGTTCACACACCACACCAGTTACTCGTTTGAGGATGAGACGACCTAGGGGAGGCCCAGGACCGGTTCAAATAATCGTCACCAGTGGTGGCCATGAGCAGGAATCGAACTCGGGTCGCCGGGTTCGTAGCATGGCGCGCTAACCACTACACTACAATGCGTTACGCTTCCACGTGCGCGGGTCACATGACAGATTTGACGTCACTGTGACGTCACTGTGATGTCACTGTGACGTCACTGCGACATCCCTCGTATATTTTCTAAAGCACTTCAATACGGGCGTCATTTGAGTGCTATTATGGATGGGCCTGACCAATATGTAACAAAAAAATTCTCAAGAACGAAGTTTCAAACCTGTTTGGGGCATCCTGGTTTCAGAGTAACGACAGTTGCTGGGTTCTGTCATCGTTCAATAAATTCACAAGGGCCAATTTGAACATCCTACAGCCGATATGGCAACTACGAGACCGATGCAAGATGAAAATAAACTGGCGCAGGGGGTCTGTCGTTGTGAAACACGAACTATCGAGCACATCATCCACAGTTGTCCCCTCAGATATATTTCGACGGAGGAAATGGAAGATCTTCACTTGGGTGTCACCCATCTCGTGGCTAAACAGCCCAGAATTAGAAGTGTTTATATCCAAACGCAGCCATATATATGCAAGAAGAACTAATAGGGCCATAAGCTGCCACTGTAATTATTTAGATTGAAATAATCGTTACCTTTAAGTTCATATTCAATTCGATTGTTGATGCCCTTGTCTCCGTCCACAGCTGTCACAGACAAAACAAAGGTGCCCTGGCCAACAAAAGAACAACAAGTCTGATTACACATCAAAAACATGTACAGACTATAAGAAATGTAAGTGAACGGCTTAGGACAAAAATACATCCAATCTGGCTAATCAAGTATTTGTACATTTATATCTCCTCTCATGTTTTGTTATATTGCCCACTGTAGTTTCTCAACATGGCCCAAAGTTGAACATTATGAAGAAAAATGCAATGGATTGCTGAAATAAAGCTCCATGCCTACAGGCACTAGATGAGTAGTTTCTCACGATGGCCATTAGCTACTTTGCTCCCGTGAAGTACGTGAACGACAGTCGAGTCGATTGTGGGACTACCTGCCTCTGACAATTTTAAGAATTGTTGCCAACAGAGTAAGGCATTATCTTAGCTACTCTACAGTAGCGTTAACATCTGAAAGCGCCAAAGCACAGAGGCAAAACAATCGACTCTAAAATAAAGTTCGTCAATGTGATTTCCTGGAGAAGCAGCTTTTAGTGTAGACGGTCCTCACCTGCGACACAGCCTGCCAGGGGATCTGCAGGCTTCAGAATCATGAAGCACTTTTGAAATAAATCTCAAAACTTCATTTTTTAAACTTGCTTTTAATTAGGATGTTCTTATTGTGTTATTTGTATCATGTCTTTGCTAGAAATTTGTTACGTGATTTTATTTTGCCTACAATTTCACTTTTATTACTCTTTGGCTCTTTCGGCAAAGTCACGTATAAAGAGAAAATAACAAATTAAATAATAGCATACGACATTTCGATTGCAACACAAGCAATCATCATCAGGTATAAATGATACGTTAATTTGTTATTTTCTTTTTTCGGTGTGAAGCTTTCGTGACTGCAGGGATTCATCTTCTTGGTTCTTTCGGTAAAGTCACGTAGAATGGAAATAATAAAAATTAAACATAATAAAATACAATTCTCACGACGTTTCGGCCACAACGCAAGCAGCCGTCCTCAGGTGGAGAGCAGGTCTGCGTTGTGGCCGAAACGTCGTGAGAATTGTATTTTATTATGTTTAATTTTTATTATTTTCATTCTACGTGACTTTACCGAAAGAACCAAGAAGAGGTTGTTATTTTCTCTTTATACGTGACTTTACCGAAAGAACCAAAGAGTAATTCCTGCAGTCACGAAAGCTCCAAATTAAGTTTTCACTTTTATTGTTCATGCCTGTAATGCAGTATGTATTGCATTTGCACGAATTATGTTATAGAAATAAAGTTTGATTTATTGATTAAATGAGCATTGAAGTGGTGCCCATCTGTTTACAGTCCAGAACTAGTGGTGGAAAATTCCACAATTCCTCTGACAGGAGTAAGTATATCAATAGGACAAGTAGTGTCGACTTCCCCGTATTGTGTGACCCAGAGGGATGGTGGGATGAGTCAACCCCCTACCACAGTTTGGACTCAAAACCTTCTGATTGCGAGCCACTCCCTCAACTCACTCTCTGCACCACAGCGTGGATGAATGTGTGTTTTTTTACTCTGCAAAGCACCAATATAAGTTTATAATATTACTGAAATCAAAGTTGGCTGCGCAAGTTTGAAATGTATCTAATGTGTTTGTGGCGTGTGCATGTTCGGTCGTGATGTTACCACAGGGGAGTTCTCCATTATGTTTTTTTGGTAAATTTCATTTCTGAATTCTGGCGGCAGATTGGGCTGGTCCTCAACGTTAACGATCAGAATTGCAGCTGAACTCAACGGGATGTCTCCCTTGTCCTGAACACAACAACACAACACCATCCAGTCACCGTGTACAATCGCGTTAACGTTTTAGCTCTCCTATCCGTTTTCGGGAAAGCAGCCCATATATGAACTCAGGATTTCAATGTTGTTACCACAGCACTATTGTAGAGACATTAGTATGTATGCTGAACTTATTTTGCACTCTACATAGCCAACTGTGCTAATCGGAGGTGCAGGGGAAGGATATCAAACTAAACACAAAAGGCAGTTTAAAAAAATAGGTTTCAATTTAGAATTAAAAGTGCATAAGTCCAGTGGCTACCTAAGCAATCAAAACCATGCTCCTCACTTATTATCAATCCTGCTACAGTTGTCTTATATTTTGTCAAGGAGGCATAAGTTCGTTAATAAGATTCAGCAACATCAGCAAGAAATGTGTTTCAACTTGTTTCACATTTTACGGTAATCTCTATTTTAACCAACATTCCTTCAAAAACAAATTTTCTCAAATATATCTGATTAAAAATCATCCATTTCTGGAAAACAAAAATATCTTACATTCATATATTGTGAAGTGAATAAAACAGCTTACAGATTATTCATGAACACTCCCTTAAATCGGAAAGATGTAAACTATATTTAGTGGCTCCGAACAAGCGTCATTGCCTCAAATGTTTGCCTGGTATATTTATTTTTCCCCATTAAAGGATGGCGTTACAGACTCATCTGGTGAGGGCTTTGAGAATTGTGCCTGTGCACAACTGCCCAAGCGTCCTTTAATGTTTTAAGTGAACAAATTGTGACTCACCGAGGCATTGATCTTGATCTGATAGACAATGTTTTCAGCGTAATCAAGTCTTCCATTAATAAAGATACTTCCGTTGTTGGCATCTATTGTGAATATGTTTGTGTTCGGAACAACCTGGAAACAACAGCAGCAGGCACAGATGTAAGCATTGCCAATATTATTGTTTATTTCCATGTGCATTGAATATTGTGAATATATTGTGCTTGTATATTGCAAATATTTTGTGTTCGGAACAACCTGGAAACAACAGCAGCAGGCACAGATGTAAGCATTGGCATTATTATTGTTTATTTCCATGTGCATTGTACTTACGATATATACTATATTGTACTTTAAGGCAATAATGCAATATGTATATCATAGTAGTGATATATAAATGTATGTGTGTTGAACTTCTTTGACACTGTATGTAGCCAACCATACTAATCGGAGGTACGGGGGAAGGACAACAAACTAAACACAAAAAGCAATTCTAAAGAAATGAGTTTAAGGCCGAGTTGACCTAAGGGGGGAGACATGATTGGTTCAAAATTTCGCCACCGTTATTGGTCGTGTAGAGCTCTTTGTCAGTTCACTGCTGGAAGAGGGCCCTCTATTAACCAAGCCAGACGTGCGGATTGTCTGTGACCATACTACATGCATGACCATACATGACCATATTGACATGTATGACCATACATGATGATACATATTGGCATGTAATACATGTACGACCATACATGGCCATACATGACCGTGATTGTCTGTGACCATATTTCACCAACATGCCAAGTGCGGGCTTGTGGAAGCGGGGAGCATAGATGCGGGACAGTTCAGCAGTGGATTTTACTGCACCGGCTTCTGCTTCCCACAGCACCTGATAACACCTGTTATGCATTGCGGTCACCCATGCAGCCAACTATCCAAGGTCAACCCTGTTTGTCTTGAGGTCTTATGAGATTGGGTGAATTCTGTGTGATTTGGTCATCGGCATAAATAAGCTATGAGAGGTTTTACTGACAATAAACTAAATATCACCGACACTGTTTTAAAACACACAGCAGTACAGTACTGTAATACTATTCATAGCTGTATGGAAATCGTGAATACAGTGCAATCATTTGCCCTTTTATTTTGACACAGCAATATCAGTGAAGTAATGCATTTATTGATGCTACAATTTTTATTTTCCCAGTGTATCAGCTCTTATGGACCTTCGGGGCCAATGTGTTAAAGCAGGATGCGTTGAAGCAAGCGAACTCTGGACTGGTTTCAACATGCTGGTTGCTTATCAGCAGTGGGGTATGTTGTCCTTAGTAACAGTGCCCTATTCTAGCACGTGGAAAGATGGGATTGCTTTTGTGTTAGTATATTTATTTATTACCCATGCAACCTCCAGATGATACATACCACACAAAATGTCGTACTTTTGTTATGTTTACATTTCATACTTTTATATGCAATGTTATATGCTACGTTGTATTCAATTCATGTCCAAATCAAGACATGTTAAATAATTATCCACGTCACATGAATTATATTGAAACACCGATGCTAAAAGCAAAGGTGCCGTCTGGCAATTGCTTGCTCACACTACTTCTGGAGGAAGAGCCTCCGCTGCAGGGAGTTTGAGAGAACCCCCGAGAGAGGGTATTTGGCCTTCTCTTCCACTGCCGGCGAGACGGCTTGGGAGAGATGGGAGTACCCACGGTTTTATCCCACCGCACGTAACGCAGTGTACCCATTTATAGTGTGGGTGCACAGAGGCAGAAGGTGGGGATGGAATTTAATTGTATGTAAAAACTCGCACCATTATTATATTAACTGTCGCGGGGGGATTTCAAACTGGATTTCAAAGTCCAACCTGTTAACCATTACATGACGGGCAGCATTCATGGCCTGATATGCAATAAAGATATTTAAAACATTCTGTTTAGGAATGTCTGCAAATGGGAACCAAAGGTGTCCAATAGGATTAGGTGGGGGGAATTGAGAAAGTTGCCCATTATTTCCTATACCACAGATAGCGAGTAAATGAATTAAACCGGCAAACACCAAATTACACGTCCGGTATAACAATAATTTCAAGTTGTAATGTGCCGCAAAGTATTCGCTTGTTCCCAAAGAGAGAGAGACCAACTCAGAGGCGCGAGGAACCGCAGACGAGCGGGAAAGGCAGCCAGGTGGTGAGCCGACATCAAATTCCCCTCCAAGCTCTGCAGTTTTATATATTAAAGTATTAGCGCCCAATAAGGAAACCGGAGCACCAACACGTGCGAAGGAGCAACACTCTATCCCACAAAGATGGAATAGGTGGATTCCACATTTGCTGTACCGCCTTCTCCTGGCAAGCAAGGGTGTTGCACCTCGACAGCCACGGGAAGGAATTTTAACAATTTACACCATTGGAACCTCATTTGCCAGTAAAAATATGTTGATTGGTCTACACCCGAGACAGCTTTCTCGGGTGTGCACATTATCAGAGTTATGTTTTTTGTTTGCATTATGACTGCAGGTATTGTGGTCTATGCAAACATGACTCCTTGTAAAAAGGTGTTAGTTTTGTTTCCAGATAGAAGGGTAAAAAAACAATTATCAATTTTAACAATGTTTGTGTGATCCACTGACCCTCGCCTGCACAGTGCTGGCTTACCACCCACATATATATTCTATCCATGACACCACGGCCGCATCGTGAAACACTAAAAATATATATTTTTAAATGTTAATTCTAGATTTGAAGCTTTCGTGACTGCAAGGATTCATATTCTTAGGTTTTTTCGGTAAAGTCACGTAGGTAAAACATCAAAATTAATAAAAATAAAATAAAATAAAGATCATGACGTTTCGGAGGCAACACAAGTCTCCGTCATCAGGTGGGACCGTCACAGCCAGATTAGCTGCATCAAGTGAGGCAATGATTCAAGATGTAATCCCTTAAAAGCGAGTTGGGGGGGGAGGAGAGGGGGGGGGGAGTTCATCAGAATGTGGTAGCCAATGAATACAAAATATTGATCGGGAAATTATGTGTATATACATTCTGTTTTATGCTGTTGTCCAAACAAGGCATAGCAATATTTGTGCAATCGTGCGGTGTGAAAGGGTTAACTTGCCTCCATTTTATAGCCAACTCTGCCAAAATTTCCACCATCTTTATCTTCAGCGGTGACGTTAAAAAAATTTTCATGTACATATTCTTTCTGCGAATAAAAACATTTTTACACCGTTTAATGAAAACCATTACCGTATTCTGACTGGATGGATACAAATCTTGATGGTAATGTGATCTCTGCCATTACCTCTGCTAAAGTAATTTGATACGGAAGCCCCTTGAACTCTGGAATGTTGTCATTGGCATCCAAAACGATGATTGTCAGAACTCTTCTGTCAGCCTAAAAAGTAAAAAATAAGCAACGCGATTAATATTTCACCATGAAAAGCAAACAAAACTTCACGTCCTTCCAGAATAATATACTCTACAGGAATCGCCAAGGCATATCATTATTGGGCTGAGGTTGAGGCGTGACGTCACCACGGACTCAGTGTGACGTCATCACGCAGATGTGCACACTTGCAGTTGACCGTGCACCGGGAAGCAAGGAAAACTTTAAAAAATTTAATATTACGATAACATTATTCCGTTTTCTGTGTGTATATGGGTAAGTATGTGCCACTTTTAACAAACTTTCACAAATCCATAATTTTCAAGGGGCGTGTAAGAATTTGGTATCCATTGAATGACGGTCTATAGATGTGCATCAAAAAAATTTTTATTTTTAAATCTACGACCTTTCCGGCTTCATTCACACTTCTTCACAGCTTACTTCATTGGCAGTCTACCCATAGGGATATCTTCTATGGATACATACTGTACCTCTCCTCTCCCATCCCTTAAATACTCACGACCCTTGCTTCTAGAACCTTCTCGCCACCGTTACAAAGTAACCAAACTCCCGTCTAATCCCGTCTGAATCCACTTGCCAATCCAATGCTCGCCGGTGGAACAGACCGTCAATCGTCAGTGGCCGTTTCGACTGACCAATCAGGATTATGCCGAACAGCGATTAATGAGCTATGAGATCATTAATAATATCGCATTTGACATCCGTTACGCAGGTAATTCAGCATTACGATAATTTGCAAATGCGAGCTAAATTATATGTCTTATTTAACTTTAATGTTTACAAGTCCGTAAACATTAAAGCTAAATATGTATACATGTGAAGTATTGGAAAATGACGGCAGGAACTCCTTGACGGGTAACACACTTTTTATTAAATCTTGACGTGTCACAATACAACGTGTGGTCTCTATTCTTCTGACTATACACTTCACTTAACTCGTGTAGACTCTATGCCTCTGGCTACACACACTTCACTTGACTCGTGTAGACCCTATGCCTCTGGCTACACACAATGCATTCGACTCGTGTAGACCCTATGCCTCTGGCTACACACAATGCATTCGCCTCTGGGTTACACAGAGTCCCGGTCCCCTTAGGACAGCGGGACTAGGTACCGCAGGGCCCTATCTCTTCGTCCCCGTCTTCAGTCTTCGCTGGTTACACACTGCCCTTACGCCTGTGTGCATCCCCTTATATAGCCCCTGCTCACGGGAGACGGAGCGGATGCGGACCTCGACGTGAGCATCGCTCCTTAGTTAACCAATGACGACGCGCTATCTCTACGATCCGTTTTCCCCAGCGCGTGTTACCACTACTCAACCAATCACACCGCGCTGCCACCCGATCACTCCCTCTCAAGCGCGTCACCGGCACACAGCCAATCAGCACCACATAACCCACGACCCCGCGCTGACCCCTGATCCTTCACCGTCAGCGCGCGTCACCACATACACAGCCAATCACTACGCGCTGGCACACGATCCCTACCCCAGCGCGTATCACCACTACACATGTGTATGCATGTCTTGTCATTTCAGATTAACGTTTTTTCCATATAAAGTAGGATGGCAGATCAATATATTTCAATTAAACAATTGTTTGCAAAACACCTGGGAAAAAACCGTACTGCACAATGTTTTTTTTCTGGACCAATTATTTCCGGCAGATCTTGATCGAAATGAAACGTCGGGTGAACAACGCAAGATGGTGTACAGTTTAAAAACGTTAAGTGACAATGAAAAGGAGCATAACAGTGTCCCTTAATAAGGTTTCAACCAGGGCATATTAACCACCATTGTATACGCATCAGAAACACGAACAATACACAGCGAACGTCGGACGTGTGCAAAAAAGCGCTTGATGATGGACGTATGGAATTAAAAGTAGAGAAACAGACGAGGGAAGGACCAGGGAAGAAGTGCAACCCAGGGACATGTTGACACTTTGCTTAAAAAGCGACCCTGCTCGATGGACAAGACTGGCGAGAGAATGGAAGCTAAAGGAGGGAGTTTTCTCGACAGGAGTTATGGCATTATCTGTGAAGAAATAAGCATCTGTAACAAAAGATCTTTATAGCTTATCAAATTCCTCCAGTATAAATACATATTCTGATTCTCATCCTGGATTGTGGCAGCACAGGACCATGAGGAATGGCAAATGGTGTAGCGAGGCCATCAGCAAGCAGTGGAGATGATGAGGAATTAAGAACATAAACACTTACGGTATAAACTACATCTTTAATGATGGCTTGAACTGTAAACTGCTCATTCTTTTCTGGGGTAGCATATTCCTGTTGGGGATGTAAATCATTGAGCACACATTATTCATTTATGAAAATGGAATTAAAGCAAAACACTAGTTATGATTATGATCACACCTTCCCAAATGTGGGATATACATTACTATCATGAAGTAATTTAATATGCTTGACAACAGTTACGCAAAACATGATAGATGCACAACAAACAAGCTAAAAAAATGTTCCCCCATTCACATATTTATTTTAACACATAGGATTTCGCGATCAATATTATCCAATTTAGTACGCCATTCTGGCGATTTGCCTGATGATGCTGGATGTAATTACCAGCGAAACGTCATACTCAAAAATTGTAAATGTTGTGGATTCACTCTTCAACACACCAGTGGGCTAAAGTAGTGAACTATTTGTCTTTTGTCAACGTGACACTTTTTTGCTGATTGACCGTGTCGGGTGGTGGAGGGTTAACGCGATCTAACCCAAAAAGTTTATTATGGATAATATTGGTCGCGAATGCCTACGTGTTAAACAAACTCTTCACTGGTTTTGACATGCATTGTCTCATCAGCAGAGTCAGGCTTGCTTAAACCAATGCTAGAGAACTGTTCGATCTTTATAGGCAAGGAACCTGTTAAATAATAAATGCAAAGCTCCTCTCTCAAGTTAATGGAAATATCCTTGGCCTTATATACAGTAAATATTTTTTTTTATCTTCTGTTCGTGAATGCTTATAAATAGGCAGCCAAAAGGATGAGGTGGGGTGGGGGTGATTTGAAATTCTTGCTCATTGTTTAAACTGGCCCGCCGGGAGACTGAACAGGTAACCGCTGAATTACTAACCATTACACCTGGGCAAACAATCTGTCACGGCAGAATCTCACTCGAGTATAGTGCTTTAAAAAAAAAGTAAAAAAATGTAAACCTGACATTTCAATCAGATTAAAGCTATGCAATTGTGCCTCCGTAATTTAGTACTCACCTCACGATCTATGGTGGACTTCAGAGTCACGACTCCCGTGATACTATTGATCGTGAAGTAACGAGTCGCTTCAGACCCACTGAGGCTGTACGTAATTACACCGTCATCTTGTGCCAACACCGTGAATACATCGGTACCTACAGGAAGCATGCAGCAGAGAACGCAAAACATGAGAATGTATATTTTAAACATCATGGACTGTACTATATTTTTTTGTGAGCACTAATGTCTGACTTAAAAAATAGACTTGATTTTCAGTGTATTGTTTATAAAAGCAGCATACACAAAATACGGCTCACAGAAGGGCCTCCACTAGAGACCACTCTCGACAGCCCATCGAGAGGGTATCTTGGCCTAGTCTCAGATTAAGTAGCCATACCGCACTTTACGCCATCACACGCATCCTGCCGCCGTTAGACTACCCTTAACTATTTGTATTTTACCAGGTGAGGCCCACTGAGCTATATAGCTCTTGTACAAAAGTGGCCTGGCCACAAATGATAGCTCAACGAAGTGGCTTATCATATGGAAATGTTATAGCAACCAAATACTCTAAACGCATGTTTCTAAACGTGGAGGGAAAAACCGGAGGATCCGGAGAGAGAACACGCAAACTCCAAATATACAGCAGGCATCAGGGTCAGGATCAAACCCACGACCCTCCTCTATACCAGACTAACTGTGGTGCATACATTTGTAGGACTTGAAATATCACGCGCCACGCGTTCTGTTGCTATGCAAGCGAGCAGCATGCAGTGGGGGGCATCTGAGGACACGGTTGTTGTTGTCGTGGCATTAAGGGGGGGGTCGTTAAGAGACGCGACAGGTGTTAGGGGTAACCGAGGACGCAGGCCGGTGATTGGTCAGGAGGGTGAGTGGCTAATGACCGGCGCCGGCCTGGCGGCAATAACATGGTCATGTGAGGCTGGGGGCCTGGGGGCGAGTAGCAAAGCGGGGGGTGAGATAATTGATTGGGACTGATTGCTGCGGGGATAAAGGGCACAGCGTAACGGAGAAACGGGAGTCTTGGTTGGGGTTGGAGTTGGAGTGGTTGGTGCCCGGGACAGAGACGGAGCAGCAGTGAGCAGGAATAGATACGATAAGGGTAGACAGAGAGAACACAGTGTACGGTAGCAGTGGATAGAGAGAATACAGTGTACGGTAGCAGTGGATAGAGAGAATACAGTGTACGGTAGCAGTGGATAGAGAGAATACAGTGTACGGTAGCAGTGGTAGCAGTGGACGGAGTGAGTACAGAGTAGGGTAGCAGCGGAGTAACGGACTATGGGAGAGAGGGAGAGAGAGCGAGCAAAGTCGCGGAGCGGAGCGAGCGAACGGGGAGACATGGAGTGTTGTTGATGGCGGGTTGTACATCGGAGCGAACGGAGAGACACGGAGCGATGATGAGGAGGAGGTGTGAACTCTAAAGCGTGAATTAACGAGACGAGAAAGACAACGAGAGTACGAGTCCTACAACTGGTGTTAGAAGTGATTGAAAGAACTACGCCGATATGTCAAAGAAAATTGCGAAGAAGAACAACTTGCCGGCGGCCTCGTCGGCCGACAGCAGCGATGCGGACGTGATACCTCCTTCGGGAATGGAGGCTCCCGCTTCCCCGGGGGACGCGACTGATGGGGCGCCGCCGCGTGACGAGGGCGACCCGAACGACGAGGATGAGCCGAGCCCGCCTCACGTATGGAGAGCTACGATGGCGGCGTGGGAGGTCAGGATGGCGGCGCTCACACAAGAATTTGAACAATTTATGCAGACGATACAGGAGGCGCCGACGGGATCGGATCAGCGGCCGCACGACCTCGTTACATCTGCGGGGGCCGGCGGCGCGGCTGGATCTCCCGATGCGCCAGGTGCACAGCTGGACGTTGTGGAGGAGCCGGAATCGCTGCCTTCAAACACGCCACGCCGACTGCACGTGGAACGCCTCGAGGTTACAGTCGGCGACTGGACGGCGTTTACACGACGATTTCGGGCAGCGTATGAGTTGTTCGGGTGGACGGAAGCTAAAGCGCTACGGGCCCTGCCAACGGCCTTGGACGACGACGCGATGGCGACGTTCTACGGCCTGCCTCTGGGGGTTCGCTTGTCGTTGTTAGGGATATTCGCGGCGATGCAGGACATTTATGAACCTTGATCGGTCGCCAAGTGCAAGTTTCAGTTGAGGCGACGGGCGGGGGGGGGGGAATCTCCCCTCGCGTATCGCAGTGCGCTATTGACCCTCGGCCAAGCGGCTTACCCGGCAATGGATGAGGCTGCCCTTGATTCCTTGGCCCAGAAGAAGCTGTTGCAGATGGCGAAGGAGCTACGAGTCGTCCTCTCACTTCCCAGCGACAGCGACGACGATGGGTCATCTTTGCAGATTGCCAGGAACATCCAGGTCAACCTGGATCTTCGCGACGAGCCATCGGCGGTGCCACCACAGCCCATGGTGGTGGGCGTCGGTGCGGATGGGGGCCTACCGGAGTGGGAGCCGACGTCGCTGACGGCAGCGGCCGCACGACCGCCGTTGGGCCCACCCCGCCGCTCGGGGACGGGCGGACGTGGCGGTCCGCTGACGTGTTACGAGTATGGGCGTCAATGACACTTTACACGGGACTGCTGGAGACGGAGAGGCGTCTTCCCGCGATCATCAGGAGGCTACAACCGCGGATTCTACCCAGCGCAGGATTATCAGGCGAGTCGCGACACATGCAATACATGGCCGTATCCTACACCTCACCCATCCGCGACACCACACACTGTTGATCCCCCTTCGTATGATGCACAGGGGAATGCTGTATGGGGTGCGTTGGCTCATCGTGTTTTGGGAGCCGCGCCGGGTTCGTCGGATGTGATGGCGCTTGTTCAAGGGGTTCAGGTTCGAGTCATTGTTGATACGGGGGCTTTGGCAACACTTATTTCCTTGCAAACTTTCCGATTATTACCAACCTCGCCCCATGTTTTGGAACCAGTGGATGGCCCTTGTATAGCGGCAAATGGGGGCAGTTTGGGAATTTTGGGTCGAGTACTTGCAACGATACAAGTCGGGGAGGTGTGCGTAACTGGATACATTTTGGTTTCATCTGTTTTGGCTGTACCTTGTTTGTTAGGTACGGATTTTTTGCTAAAGATGCCTATTAAGATTTTGATTGAGAAGGGACGATTGGAATTGCCATCAGGGAAGTGCCTAAAATTTTTGGGAACTCCGTCTAAATTTGCTCGTGTCAACGCTGTGGTTCAGGCGGTGGTTAGCCGCATGGTGCGCCTTCCGCCTGCGACGCAGATGCTTGTGCCATTAAGGTTGAAAAAAGGGCTGTCAGTGGGTAACTTGGAGGAAGGCATTCTGTTGTCACCCTCAAATGCCGTGGCACGAATGCCCTCTTTGGTGGGTGCTTTTACAATGGTGTCGGCGACGGCCGAACCGTTCATTCAGATTGTGAACACGGGGCACGAGCCGGTCGTTATTCAAGAGGGGACTATGTTGGCGCACGCGTTGGTCGCGCGGGGTTCGGAAGGAGATGCGTGTTTGGCAGCTGGGGGTGGTGACACGCTGCCACGGGAGGAGGAACCGAGCTGGTTTCGCGATTTGTATGAATGCAACAACGATTTGACACCCGAGCAGCGGATGCGGTTAAGGGAGTTGCTTTGGGAATTCAGGGACGTTTTTAGTTCAGGGAAGTTTGATGTCGGTCGCACGACCTTATTGCGACATCACATTGATACTAGGGATGCGCCCCCAATTTGATTGAATCCTCACCGTGTGAGCCCGCTGGAGAAGGATTGCATTCGGAAAACGGTTTACGAGATGTTGCAACAGAATATCGTCTCCCCTTCTTCCAGCCCATGGGGAGTTCCGATCGTATTGGTTAAAAAACGAGATGGTTCTCTACGATTTTGTGTGGATTACCGCAAATTGAATAAGGTTTCAGTGGCGGATGCATACCCGCTCCCGCGCATTGATGACTCATTGGACGCATTGTCCGGTGCAAAGTTTTTTTCCACTTTGGATCTCTTGTCTGGCTTTTGGCAATAGCCCTTGGACAAGGAATCTAAACCGAAGATGGCCTTCCGCACGCCACAAGGGTTGTTCCAATTTAATGTGCTACCGATGGGGCTGCACTCCGCGCCAGCCACCTTTCAAAGATTGATGGAACTTGTTTAGTCTGGATTGCAGTGGGAGTCATGTTTGATATACCTTGACGACGTCATTGTGTTCAGTAAGGATTTTGAGGGACATTTGCAGCGGCTACGGGCTGTGTTTGGCAGGGTACGGGACGCCAATTTGAAATTTAAACCCCAAAAATGCCATTTGTTGAGAACGTCTGTTAAATACTTGGGGCATGTGGTAAGTGAAGCGGGGGTCGCCACAGACCCGGAGAAAACCAGTTGTGTACGTGCATGGCCAGTGCCTAAGACAGTGTCGGAAGTACGTAGCTTCGTGGGATTTGCGTCATACTACCGTCGATTTGTTAAAAACTTTGCCACAATTGCGAGGCCGCTGCACACGCTGACTGCTAACGGTAAGACGTTTCTGTGGGGTGACGAGGAACAGCGTTCGTTTGAAATGCTCCGGGACGCTTTGGCGGACGCACCGCCGCTCGGATATCCAAATTTTGCGGAAATTTTTATTTTGGACACCGATGCCAGTGATAATGGCATCGGCACTGTATTGTCGCAAACGATTGACGGAGTTGAAAGGGTCGTCGCGTATGGCAGCCGTGTACTGTCCCCGGCAGAGCAAAGATATTGTGTAACACGCAGGGAATTGTTTGCGATTGTACACTTTGTGCAGCTGTATCGACCATACTTGTACGGGCGGCAATTTTTGGTCCGCACCGACCACGCAGCACTACAGTACTCCTTGCGGATCGATCAACCCTCGGGCCAAATGGTCCGCTGGCTTGAGGCCTTGCAGGGATACTCATTCACGGTCCAGCACAGAAAAGGGACGTGTCATATTAACGCGGATGCTCTGTCCCGATTGCCTCAGTCATCGGGCTTGTGTAGATGCTCCAAGGGATCGCTGCGCTGCGGGCCGCTGCTGCAGGGCATTCTGGCCATGGCCGCCGCAGCCGATTCAGACCGGGTTGACGAAGCACCGGCTAAGGAGCCTGGGTTGCTGGGATTGTCACGGGATCGTTGGGCGCGCTTGCAAGCGAACGATCCTTCGCTTACCAAAATGAGGCTTCGGCCTCTCGTTCCAAACAGTCGGATGATCGGGCCTTTCTTCGACTCGTTGACGACCTCCTGGTCAGATGGGATGTCGTCTTGCAGAAGTATTGTATTGTGGTACCATTATGTTTGAGAGGGGAACTTATTCGCGACACGCACGAGCAATTGATGCACTTGGGGGAGAAGAAAACGGCTTTGACTCTGAGTAACGATTTCTATTGGCCGGGATTACAGAATGATGTTCATTTGTATGTTAAGGCTTGTCACGAGTGCGCACGGCGGAAGGCGCCGGCACAGCCATATCGGGTACCATTGCAGTCGATACGTGTTTCGCGGGTGAACGAGATTGTAGCCCTTGATATTCTGGGACCGTTCCCCGTTACCCCGCGGGGTCACAAATACCTGCTTGTGGGGGTCGAGTACCTCACTCAGTGGCCTATGGCATGGCCGCTAGCGGCCCAATCGGCAGGATCGATCGTGGAGGCCTTCCTGCAGGGTTACGTTTTTGACCAAGGTGCCCCGGAGCACCTGCTTACGGACCAGGGTAAGAATTTTTTGTCCCGCCTATTGAAGGAAGTGTGTGACGCATTGGGTTCAAGGAAAATTCAGACATCCCCATACCACCCGCAAACCGACGGGATGGTCGAGCGTCTTCATCGAACATTGACATCTATGTTGTGCCAAAATAGATGTCAATGTTCGACAGACTGGGATCTACATGTCCCGGCGGCCTTGGCCACTTATAGATTAGCCCCACACGCTTCAACAGGGTATTTACCCTTCTATTTGATGTATGGTCGTGAACCAGAAGCCCCGGCCTTGGTCAGGCTGGGGGTGAAATCTAAAGGGAAGTCGCCAGCGGTGCCTGTCCCCATGCGTGAGGCATTGGATCGGTTGAAAGAGGCCAGGGAGGCCTCGCTGGGAAATACGGAACGAAGGCAGGCGGCTAATGAGCGCCTGCACGGTACACAGCCTCCACGTGAGCCATGGCATGTGGGGGACAAGGCCTGGTTACATTGTCCGATGGTGCCGGTAGGCACATCACCGAAATTCCATTGGTCCTGGCAGGGGCCCGTTGAGATTGTGGAAGTTCGTCGGGATCAGAGTGTGAGGATTCGATACGGTCGCCGATTGTGGCACATTCACCCGTCGCGCTTGAAGAGATATGTGGTGCCTTATGATGCGTCATCTCTCATCCCGGAATGGCCTGTATTGGATGTGTCTGACGAGCGTACTGTGCGGCGACGGGAGAACGCACCTCAGCAGTCTACCCCCCGTGTGTCTGCAGGATCGCCGTTTTTGAGTCAGGGGACACCCCGGGACACACGAGGCCACGTTGGGGTCGCATCGACAAATGGCCGGTGTAACGAAGATGGGCGCACGTTTCGGGCAGGACGCTGCCCCGCGTTCACGGACAGAGATACCCTGCCCCCTGTTCAGTCGAGCCGGGGTGACGGACTGGCTGCGGGAACCCGCTCAAGAAGACTGACTTTTTCTTAAAACTTTGGGAGTTGGGGATCGTGTACATTTTGTTGTGTGTTGTGTTTTCTGCGTGATGCGTTGTGCTTAGCCGGGACGCCTAACTTTTTCAACAGGGGGTGGGGTGATGTAGAACTTGAAAAATCACGCGCCACGCGTTCTGTTGCTATGCAAGCGAGTAGCATACAGTGGGGGGCATCTGAGGACACGGTTGTTGTTGTCGTGGCATTAAGGGGGGGTCGTTAAGAGACGCGACAGGTGTTAGGGGTAACCCAGGACGCAGGCCGGTGATTGGTCAGGAGGGTGAGTGGCTAATGACCGGCGCCGGCCTGGCGGCAATAACATGGTCACGTGAGGCTGGGGGCCTGGGGGCGAGTAGCAAAGCGGGGGGTGAGATAATTGATTGGGACTGATTGCTGCGGGGATAAAGGGCACAGCGTAACGGAGAGACGGGAGTCTTGGTTGGGGTTGGAGTTGGACTGGTTGGTGCCCGGGACAGAGACGGAGCAGTAGTGAGCAGGAATAGATACGATAAGGGTAGACAGAAAGAACACAGTGTATGGTAGCCGTGGATAGAGAGAATACAGTGTACGGTAGCAGTGGATAGAGAGAATACAGTGTACGGTAGCAGTGGATAGAGAGAATACAGTGTACGGTAGCAGTGGTAGCAGTGGACGGAGTGAGTACAAAGTAGGGTAGCAGCGGAGTAGCGGACCTTGGGAGAGAGGGAGAGAGAGCGAGCGAAATCGCGGAGCGAGCGAACGGGGAGACATGGAGTGTTGTTGATGGAAGGTTATACATCGGAGCGAACGGAGAGACACGGAGCGATGATGAGGAGGAGGTGTGAAGGTAAGGAGATTAAAGAAACTCGCACCATTATTTCAACTGCGGTGCCAGGAAATCGAATCAAACCAACAATCCCTGGATTTCATAGTGCAGCGTGCCAACCATTGCACTACGGCAGCACCTGGACGTACGAGACACTTTACGGCAGTACCTACGGATTGCTGACGCGCCCATACTGGGCATCCAGATCCCCCCTACCTGCAGTCTCCCTTCCTGAAGCCTAGCCCCCCCCCCCCCCAATGCCCCCCCTACCCCTACCCATGTGGCCCCCCACTAATCGTGGAGGCAGGCCATGGCTCGGGGCACGTGGGGGGGTGGGGGGTCATAGGGGGGTGTTGGGAAAGATACGGGAAAGATACGGGAGGGGGGTGAGGGGGGCGGCTGAGGGAAAGGGAGTGTGGGTGAAGCGGGCCCTTTGTCGTACTTTGCATTTAATTTGCGATGTTTTGTGGTAATTAGTCGATTAAACTTAATCCACTTTGAAGGTCATGTAATGCCAAGTGATGGCGTAGCAAATGAAATAATTTAAGAAAAAAAACCTTTCCTCACAATTAGAATACTGTCAAATAAGGTGGAATATTTAAAATCTACAACTGAACATCAGTGGCGGCTCCTGCAAAATCGCTCAGGGGGGGCAAATGTCTGGATAATTGATAAGGATAAGGTCCACCCATGCAATGGATAAATTAACAGCTCAAGCATGTAAAGGCAACTTCACTTCTTTAATATTAATGAAAAATAAAGTGACTCTTACAATACATCTTGTTTGTTTCTATACTCACTATTAATACAATCCACTCAAGTTTATTTTATTAAAGATTCCACTAGGTGGCGACAAATTATATTGTTGGATGAAACGTGCTTACGTATGATGACGTAAGCACGTTAGGGCGAGCCCACCCGGAAGCCCCCCGTTCGAAAAAAAACATCTTTGAATGTAAGTCTATGGGGCCACTCGGGGCGATTCTCAGCCGGAGTGAAATCGCCCAAAAAGAGGCGGTACTCCACAGAATGTGACATGACGCTGATTGGACTATATCCAGAGGCACAGTGACGGCTAGCGTGACTCTGTGGTTGAATGACATTGGTGGTGCGTCGCCCAATCGCCCTAATGAAGAAACCGCCCCTGCTGAACATGTAAAATTCCAACTTTCCCCATGTGAAAAAGCATTGATTTGATTGGCCAGTGTCGTACAGTATCAAGGGATATCGTTGCTTGTTTAGCTCACATCTGGTCACGAAGATGCTACGTTGGATTTGTGTAAAGTAGAGACATGTTTTTACTTCACTTGCAGTGTATAAATTTAATATGTAAACTATGAGAAATCCCATCACATAACTCAACAGTACTTACCTATTGGCGTGTCTTCAATTATTGTATATACCCCATCACCTTGAAACACTGGAGGAGTGTTACCTGTATAAAACAAAAACAAGATTTTTTGAGTATTTTGTGTTACCGTCATCACTGTTTTATAAGTTATCTGCCCAGGGCCAGGTCCCAATGGCACAAGTCTCTTCTGTCCCATAGAATCCTGCACTCCATGAATCACCCCCACAAGACCACACTCCACACAGGACTAGAATCAGTGGCGCAACTACGTCATGAGCTCGGGGGTTGTTCGGGAATCGGCCAGGTGGAGCCCCAATATTTGATTTGTCTCGCACTGTCGCACCTCGGTTATATAAATCGTCTGATGAAGCTGGTTGTAATTACTGGCGAAACGTCGTATTCAGATTGTAAATGTTGTGGCTTGGCTCTCCAACACACCGGTGTGCTGTACGTTCTGTTTAAGTGACAATACTTACTAGTTGGCTGTGTCGGGTGGTGGTGGGTATTAACGACACATTTATATATTTACGCGATCCGACCCCAAAAAACCCTCTATTATGGATGATATTGGTCGCGAAAGCCTCCGTGTTAAACTCCTCTTGCCTAATCACATCATGGCGCTCCTTATAGGGGCGTTTCGTCTAAGCAACATTATTTTTCGTTCTTTTACACTTTTGTCCAAAACATAATCTCGTGGTGGTTGTAAAAAGAGGGCCCCAAGTCGTAGCTTTGGTCACGGCGGGGTAGGTGGGGGAATGGGGGGGCAAGGCACCCCCTGCCACCACACTAATTACGCTACTGACTAGAATTATTGAACCGTAGCTGGGGGAGTATCGTTGAGGTGGTTTCCCCCATTTTGCTTTGCTCAGCAGTGTTTTATTATTCAGGTTGATACATATTACTGTACAATTTCTAGTGTGCTGTTTATTTTGGTCACTTGGCATTTTCGATCTTTCGGCCTGCGCTCAGCAGATGCGATCAAAAAAAGTGCGCGCATTGAGAGTGTATTTATTACAAAAATGTGTGACATCAAACGGCAGTGTTGTATAGGGGGGTGAACGGTGCAGTAGCTTGATTTCAGATTGAATTGAAGGCGTTTACCTTTGACAAAATGAAGAAGGCAGGTTAATAAACAAATCCTAAGTGCAAGTGGCATGCCCGTCCTGGAAGAGAGGCACACGCATGTACGAAACACAGAAACATAACATTAACTTTCAAAAGTAGTTTTTTACTTTAGCAGTACTTTGAAAATACTGCACAATCAATCGGACATCTTCAGTCTGTCTGGTTTGGCTTCATATTCACAAAAGCAATGTCAGCCGACAACACGTTGGAACAGCAGGCACCAGACAAAATACAAGTGACATTATTGATATTCTTGCAGGGTTGCAAAGCTGAAACTTGGCACAGATAAGGTTGGACAAAAGTTCTAAATAAATTCAAGTTTGAATTCTGAGAGACCATACCATGTAATGTGTTTCCTTTGGTGTGTGACGGTGAAGCCAATTGCAGTCAATGCCCACTACCAGTTAGGAATATCATATACAATGTATTTACTGCAATTATTATATTTATGTTTTCTAGTGTGAAATAATTGTTGAAATAACATTTACAAAAAAGTGTAAATGTATACTGAGGTGTGCAGAAATTAAGTCTACAGTACTGCAAAGGAGGATGGTGCGAGAATGATGGCAGGTTGGATGATGGATGGAAATGCCTTTGGAAAGCAACTCACCAAAATGAGAGCAGCTAAATGGGGGGAGGGGTATGCCTTAAGTAGATGGACTACAAAACTGATGCAGTCGTGTCCTGCATTTCTCCATGAATGTTTACTATTTGGGAAGCCAGCTGAAGATGGTATTATACCGTACTCCATCCACCATGTCAATGTAAGAACTATAGAATATGCCAAATGGGAAGACATGCATAAATCAAACCAAACCACACACGTTTGATTTGCCTCGTGGCAGATGCACATGCATAGACTATACATGTACATTTGTATCGAGTTGCTAACTTTAGAAATCATCACGTTCAATTTATATTCGGGCATTGGGTGCATACTAATTTATCGGTGACACTTCATAGCAGTTCCCAGTCTCATGTATTTCACAGCACTGAGTGTACTCAGAATACAACAGTGTGCATTGTATAACTGTGGTGCCTAAATGGACTGTGCATCACGTCCCGTGCACCAACAAATGTGGGCGATGTGGCGATTGCCGCTATGTGCGGCGATCGCCTCTTGTGTCATCAAGAGAGGCAAAAGCCATCGATCCGGCCTACTTCTCCGCAAGCGATGCGCGACGTGATGGACGGTGAGTACCCTTGCGTGCGCCACACCTGCATGTGCTTGTGCTCAAGAGGCCTCTACGATGCCCGCGGTGCAAACGAGCTCAATATCCTGCTCCCCGTTTGCGTACGGTGAGAGGGCAGCTCTTACCAAGTGTGGACATTCCTGGTCCTGTAGCCCAACAGGCATGTGTTTATCTTCTTGGTTCTTTCGGTAAAGTCACGTAGAATGGAAACAATAAAAATAAAATAAAACATAATAAAATAATTCTCACGACGTTTCGGCCACAACGCAAGCAGCCGTCATCAGGTGAAGACCAGGTCTGCTTGCGTTGTGGCCGAAACGTCGTGAGAATTATTTTATTATGTTTTATTTTATTTTTATTGTTTCCATTCTACGTGACTTTACCGAAAGAACCAAGAAGATGAATCCCTGCAGTCACGAAAGCTTTAAATCGAGGCATGTGTTTATCTATCCAGAAAATCATGAGACTCAAAGGTTTGCTTTTAAGGAGAGTTCTACATTGGGATATTTGGTCAATTCTCAGGGCGTGGTTTGTGAAGGTATATTTTTTTTGGGGGGGGGGGCAATCCCCAATCCCCTGCAGCTTGCCCCCCACATATTCCTCCCCCCCAGTGGGGGAATGGGGGGTGAGAAAAAAGTTTTGGAGCTCAGCCTCGGATAGGGTCGGCTGAAATTAAGCCCTGCCAATTCCATTAAGGAGATGTTTCATGAGACAGTAAACCAGAGACTCCTTGAGAAACCCCACTCATTAAAGCGGATAACTCAAAGGTCCACATAAGATTGATTCACGAGCCCATTTTCTGTACTGTTATTGTCTGTTTGTCCAGAGGGCCCATCGTATTTACGAGTTTCACGAACGGGTAAATGTACATTTTAGATTGTAACACGTGCTTAAGTTGTCGTTCGGCGGGATTGTAGAGTTGCATGATCGTGATAAAACTCTGATGGATGAGATCATCATTGGCAGCCCAGTGATCTTACTGACTGTGTTGTTCTCGTCTTAAATATTTATTGGGAGGGGGAAAGCAGAGACATCTCTCATATGGCTCCCTGTAGGTGAGGTTGCCATTTGAGGTACAAAAAAAATCTGGAAATATTATGGGAAGTGGAATATCTCACAATATATCGGACGAGGGGTACGCATAGTACCACTGCACTCACGAGTTGATTAGGGATAGGGTAAGCCTAGTTACTACTCGCTAGTTCATTTGGGGATGGTGTAGAACTAGCAAGAGTCACATTAGGTGAGTAATTCCTGTATGTAATCCATTATTATTAGTCAGTTAGCCAGTCACTGAGTCAATACAATACTGTATGTGACTAGAACAGCAATCAGGAGGTTTTCCCTCCCATCTGTCTCGATCCCACTCAAGCTGATTGTGTTCCATTGCACAACGCGTGACAGCGAAAGGCAGTCACGTATGCTCTCGCTCCGATCTCATTGGAAGTTGCCGCCCAGGTGCCCGCTAGTGGGCAGCTTGAATCAGAATTGTTCAGAATTGGGGGAAGTGGGGGGCATCAATGAGATCTTTAGAATGGGAAATTCTGCGGCAAACATTGCTGCCGATGATTGCCGGCAATGATTGCCTTAAAATTGCCCTCGTGGATCGTGGTCTATTACAGATTTCCCAGGAGAGCCATCTCAAAACGAGGCCAATCCTCGATGGGGAAAAAACTAGGACAGGCGGCAACTCTACCCAAAGGCAGGAAAATAAAGATGGTTCCAAGAGGTGTGTGCCACCACAGCCACACAGCACACGAGGTGGCACGTGCTGTTCCTCTCATCCAGTTCCCCATATGCTGTTAGTCATTACTTTATTTTGGGTAATTCCGGTAATAACTTTCAGATATCGTTTTCAAATGTTATTTTACACTTGTGAACTTCACACATACATACCTGTCAACTCCTTATCAGTGTCTACCTAATTACAGATCAATTCAGACCTTATTGGTCACCCCGTGCCCTTATAAATCTCAACGTTCATCCTACAAAGTCCCATCACAAGGGATAAACACAAATAGACAAAAAAATTTTTGCCCGCATTTGAAACGGCTGTACGCCGTATGGACCTGAAAAACTCAATTTCCCTGTTCAATAATATGGGTAAACCGTATGGGTTGACAGGTATGTCCATAATCGTCATCGGCATCATCACCCACGGTCTATCAACGGCTGGGTGAAGGCCCCCACACCCCAACTTCGCTGTCACCATCCCTCACAATAAATCCAGCAAGGCTCCTGCACATGAGCTCATCTCGTCACTGCACCTCCTCGCACACGTGTTCCTCTCCTGTGGCTGCCATTTTATCACCGGTGACACCCGTCGGCCAACGTCCCATCAAAGTGTGCTGCCCAAATTCCATTGACTCTCCTCGATATCTCTCACTGGCATGATGATCTCTCTGACTTGCGTATGCGTCCCCGAATACTCCCGAACCATGGGTTTAGCTTCCTTAAGTGTAATTACCAGCACGCGTATTTCCATGTTTTTTTGAGTACTTTTCAGATTTTATTAAAATATTTTTTTTGCCAGTGTTCACGTATCTGATCCATAAATCATACCAGGTAAAGGGTACTGGTTGAAAACGTTCACCTTCAGGCAAAGTGGTATGTTGCTTTTCATGATCCACCTTGCTGGTCTCTTTATTTAATGTTGATTATAATCTGCCTTCATGGCTTGGATATATACAGTACGTGTGTGTTGTGCTGTTGTGTTCTCCCGACAATGCTTTTAATGTTTCGGAAACTGCAAAAAAACAGCCCATCACATTAAGTTTGGTTTGTCACCATTGGCTCAATTACAGGCCTAAAAATTACGAATATTGATTGTCTTTCATGCGACAAACACAGATCTCTGCGTTCCCAATTTAATTGTCTAAAGATAAAAATGTTAGAATAAGTTTCCCCCCTTTTATCTGGCAACAAAAAGGGGAAAAACTTATTCTCATATTTTGGTACTGGCAAAGGAGGTCCCATGATAAAAATGTTACTTGATAAGGTTTTTCAGGTTTTATGAAAATCTCTTGCGCAGTCATTCTCTGACTCCGGGAGTACTCTGAATATATTGACTGGCTCATGGCATGATACTGCTAATGGTGCAGGAATATGTTTGTCAAAAAAACCCCTCCATAAATATTGTATCAAAAAAATACTATTTAAATGGATATAGTATTTACATGTTATAAAAGCAGCTTTATGTCAATCCACTGAAGGCTGATAGGCCCTCCCCTCAACATATTGGTCATGGGGTTTGACCATACTTCACCACGCTGGTCAGTGTGCATCGTTCGCCGTGTCTGTCTCTGCGTGCTAAAGATAAGCATGCGTATTACTCATTGTTCATTATTGGGGTGGCCGTTAATGGCAGCAAAACAGAGCGGCATTGTCCTTGGTCAGCTATCCTCACACGAGCTTATGACAAGGCCTCACTCCAACGTGTGGTGACTAACGACAGCTGGCACCGTAATAAAAAAAAATGTGGCAATCGCCTGTTTTGTTTAGAAATACTGGTGTGCTCTTTGCTCAGGTGCACCATAAATGATGAATGCGCGATGAGTATGCAACATCGACAAAACAGAAGCATCTAATAATGTTCACGTAATGCTTAAAAGTTATTTTCTGAAAACACCAAATGGGCTTAGCTCTGGCACATGAGCATTGTTTCGTGATACTGTTGAACATTTGTTAACGGTAAACGTACGATACTGAAAGATAGAAACATATATGAATTAAACTTTTTTAAAGTAGAAAATATTCATATACAGTACTTTACTATAATTACGTGCCTTGATTACAGTAGTCATATAAATGGTATATTTATGAAGCAATATGTTTTAATCTTCAACCTTTACACTTTAACTGAAGGTGCACTGTTATCACAGTAATGGAAACGCTTCTTACATTTCTTCGTAATTGTATTAACTTTCGTTTTCCTTTACCACAACATCATTACAAAGTCTACCATTTCTCACTTTGGGTAACATGTAGGCGCTATGCTAGATTCAAGTCATCTAACAAAATGACAAAAACTACAATCATTTTAGTAATTCTGAAGAATATAAGGAACAAAACTAATTTGGAAACAAATATCACCTTGACATATCTTTCCCAGTTTCCCTCCACGTAAAAAGTACGTAAAATGCGTAGTATTTTTTACGTGGCGGGACACAAGGCCTTAATATTGGTGCAATATAAGCAAACTCTGAACCAGTTTTGATCAGACACTTTGTGCCGAATCGGGTCAAAAAGACACGTTCTGTTACATTTTATTTCAACGAACTAAACACTTTTCCTTGGCAATTGTCCTCTTTGTTGGCCAGAGATAAGCACGACTTTTTTCGGGCCAAAAAGGGAATATTCGCCAGTATACCACGTGAATGAGGACCGTCACCATCATTTGACAATCCGTACCTTTGTACAAAACCAGAGTATTAGCATGTTCGACTGCCACGCGTTGCCTGTCCGCCTCTTACATGAACGTCGGAAAATCCAGTAAATCCAGCGCATTTAGCAATGGAAAACAAACTGAAAAAAATATATATTTGCATTGCATATACATTTCTTTGCACAAACAATGCAAATCCACAGAGTTCCATCCAGTACTTACATTATTTTTGGCCAAGTCTTGAGAGATCTATAGATAGGCTTTGGAGATGCGCGTCTCTCTCTGAGTCGAGATTTTTGTAAAACAAAAAAACCCACACCAACACAAAAAAAACCCCGTCGCCCACTGAATTCACTCGAGCGGTGAGGTCCTCAACGTAGACGCGGTGGAGTGGCCAGGCGAGGTGTGGCGTTTAGTGTTTAATGAGTAACGGTGCGCGTCAGACGGCCCTCAGAGTTCAAGGGTCGTTTCTCTCACCGCACTCGGCTCAAAAAGGGGCCCTATAAAATCCCACAATGTTGAAATGCGCAAGAAAAAAAAAACCGCACGGGTTACAAGCACGCTTGCCTTGTGTCGTAAAAAAAAGGAATACCGCAGAACTGTGTTTTTTTAGCGAAGTTCAAGAAGCCAAGAGATTGTTGGTAAGAGCGCGACTGAGAATTGTGCCAGTTGTTACCAATCTTTATCTTAAACTGGTGCTGCGGACTTTAGACATTGAACCAGGAAATACATTCATTCATTCCTATTTTTTTTAATTGACTCTTAATCATTACACGGTTAACCAGATTAACTCTGGGGATAATACATAAAGCCATAGCGAAATACATTACGACTGCGTGAGGACGTGACATATCAATAATCATCTGGATGGTTCGAAACGAATACGGTATTTGTTCTGCAAAACGACTTCAGTTGTTAAGGGGCCGTCCATAAATGACGTCACACACCTGGGGGGGGGGGTCAGACATTTGTGACGATGTGTGACGATGGGGGGGGGGGGAGAAATGTGACGTCACATCAAAATGCGCAACTTTATACTTAATTAAATAGACTTTTTAATACATGTTTTCTCCTACAACATCAGAGTGCAGCGCCACATTAAATACGCACTACAATGACAATAGTTTAAAGCGATTTGAAGCATGTTTTACATTTGGGGGGGGGGGCAGAGCTTTGTGACGTCATATTTGAGGGGGGGTCTGACTTTTTGTGACGTCGTGTGACAAGGGGGGGGGGGGGTCAAAAATCGTCCAAAATCGCGTGACGTCATTTATGGACGGCCCCTTATGTGACTAAACTGGGTTCTCAAGTGCAGCGATTTCCGAGTTGCAGTCCAACTGCCACTTTCCCAGAAGGTGAACACCGTAATCTAAAAGCTGAAAATGTAAAATGTATTTATGCTTCATTATAGACAGGCATTGGATTCACCTCATAAAAAAACCCAGTGATAACAAAGAACTCTGATGCTGAGAGTGAATGAGTATTATTTGGGTCTTTCGGTAAAGCCACGTAGATAGAAAAAATCATCAATATAACAATATCACGACGTTTCGATCGCAACACAAGCAATCGTCTTCAGGTGAAAAAAAGAGGGGAATGATTGTTACATCCAAAAATGCTACAACTCGATACATAAAGCCAAGGTGACTTAGGGGTTTATGTCCACTCCAGAGCCCTAAACGTGCACCACTCAGATTCCAGTTATAAATCCAGGAATGCACCCCCAATTAAACACGGTTCTTCAATGTAGTGAGTTCCATGATGGTCTCAATTCAGTTAGTAGTTTACAAAAAAACCTAATACACTTCTGGCAAATCGCCCGATGATGCTGGATGTAATTACCAGCGAAACGTATTCAAATTGTAAATGTTGTGGATTTACTCTCCAACACACAGGTGGGCTGAAGTAGTAACTAATTTGCACATTGTTTACGTGACAAACCTTACTGGCTGTGTTGGGTGGTGGAGGGTTACGACACATTAAAACTTACGCGATCGAACCCAAAAATCTTATTATGAATATTGGTCGCGAAAGCCTAGGTGTTATACCCAATACACTGTACTGTATTGTATGCAGAATAACTTAGTTTTTTTCACTTAATTTATCTTAGCGTACCTGTGGATAGTGTACAATATTGTATATTAATGAAGTTCAATATTCTAAACGCACTCCAACCTGCTCTCATTTCTCATTATTTCAACCCCTCTTAAGTTTTTGTTTATACAAGTCAAAAAATGTTGGTGCATTAGTTAACACGAGGGGCGGGTTTCTTTTCTTTCATTCAAAACATCTCTATGGCATCACCTAGCCTGCAGTTCTGTGAACACTTATAACCACAACACAAATGCCCCTTGAGTGTCAACTTCAATTTAGTGAATGATCAATAAAAGCAGAGCCTTTCGATTTAAAGCTTTCGTGACTGCAGGGATTCATCTTCTTGGTTCTTTCGGTAAGTAATAAAAAAAAATATTTTATTTTATTACTTCCCTTCTACGTGACTTTACCGAAAGAACCAAGAAGCAGAGCGTTTGTTTTTTCATTCTGCGTGGTGATAAACATTTGCTTAAAGTTTAACATGGCATCGTGCCCCCCGAACCTCTGAATTTTCGTGGGGCCCCCTCTTCGATAAATCTCTGAGCTATACCCCATGCGCAGGACCCAGATCGATTGTTGCATCGCAAGGCCTTGAGAGATGGCAACGGCTTTGGGGAAGCATTCATCCAGCAGTGGATCGATCATGGCTGGTGGTGATACCAACGTTGCACGAATTACTGGTTACAGGCAAGTTACTCTCGATGTGTGGCACTTTTGTCAAGGCAACTGCAGAGGCCGTTCCTGAAATACTATTATCTCAACTACTTCATGAATACGATTTTTTTAAATCACGAAACTAAACAAAATATCTCACCAGAGTATTGTTCCTTGGACATCCTCGGCACTCGGGATGAGTTTCAGGTTTTTAGGATTAAACTGTGATTCATTCAATTCTGGGTCCAACCATATGAATGTAGAATGAGTTACCTGTCAACAGTTGTGTAGCTACTGGTGGATTTTGCCATCACTTGACACTTGTAAACAATGTACTCTGTACAGAATACCCTCAGTTACCCAAGGTAATGCGGGCAGAGTTGGCATGGATACAACAAGAACACAGAAAATTGTAAAACAACGTTTTAAACGATGTTATTGCTCACCTAACATAGACCAGCGGTTGAATGTGTCATCTATTTTACTGTGTTTATAAGCACACGAATTGGTTTACATGGCAACATGTTTGGGCTCACGTTGCCACTGATATTAGTCACTGGCCAAATGTAATGTGTGTGGTGGTGGGGAGGGCATTGCACTTGCTATGAGAAGCGGATAGACATTGCGTCTCGTGAAGTGACATAAATAAAGCAGGACAATAACATTGTGAAAACAGCATCTTATTGTCACGTTCAATATCTTTAAATTGGTTAATATCGACTTGCTGGCCCCAGCTAGATCACACGGGGTGTAACCAAGCCTTTGATGCTGTAGTGGGAGATCTTATTTTACCAGATGAGCTATCAGTTGACAACTCCAAGTATTTTGCAAGGTTGCCCTGGGTTTGTGATGTTCCCAAGTTAGTTATCTTACACGAAGTGGATTTATGTAGTCTGATCCGTGATAAATACGCGAATTATATGATTACGCATTTTTTTTAACAACCGCATGGCGCAAATCTGTCATATGGGTGTATATTAAGATTTTTTGTTAGTATTTTGCAAAATAAAAAAAATTAACATTTTTTTCCCTCGATTCTATCTGCATCTCCTCCATCCAAACACTTCGGAATTCGCATTGAAAAAACCATCCGGGGCCAGCTTCATGCCACTGCGGAGGGAGGCGGGGCGAGGGAGGGGGGAGGAGGGGCGAGGGGGAGAGAGGCGGGGCCAGGGGGGAGGCGGGGCGAGGGGGGAGGGAGGCGGGGCGAGGAAGGCGGGGCGAGGGAGGGGGGAGGCGGGGCGAGGGAGGCGGGGCGAGGGAGGGGGGAGGCGGGGCGAGGGGGGCGAGGGAGGGGGGAGGCGGGGCGAGGGGGGAGGGAGGCGGGGCGAGGAAGGCGGGGCGAGGGAGGGGGGAGGCGGGGCGAGGGGGAAGGGAGGCGGGGCGAGGGAGGGGGGAGGCGGGGCGAGGGGGGAGGGAGGCGGGGCGAGGGAGGGGGGAGGCGGGGCGAGGGGGGAGGGAGGCGGGGCGAGGGGGGAGGAGGGGCGAGGGGGAGAGAGGCGGGGCGAGGGAGGGGGGAGGCGGGGCGAGGGAGGGGGGAGGCGGGGCGAGGGGGGAGGGAGGCGGGGCGAGGGGGGAGGGAGGCGGGGCGAAGGAGAGGGAGGCGGGGCCAGGGGGGAGGCGGGGCGAGGGAGGGAGGAGGCGAGGAAGGCGGGGGGATCGTGACGTCACTCGGCGGGGGGCGCGTGACGTCACCCACAAGAGCCCCACCGCCTGCCCCCTGCATTGTTGACCTCTTCGTGGCCAGCGCGCGTCCCGGGGCAGGTGAATGAGAAGCAGCGAGTCGAGGCGAGCGGCGACCTTCGCGAGGAAGCATCGCAGCCGCCGTTCGTCTTCTCTGTTTTCTCCCCCTTGCGTGATTTCCCCTGCCCCCCCCCGTCAATCTGACGACTTACGATCCGTCTCATCGTAGTGGGGTGGGGGGCCCTCATGTCCCTCTCTCGTTCGAAGGAACCGCGTCGTTTTGACGTCGTCATATATTTTTTTTAAAAGAACCGCCTTCTCTAGAAGTCTTCGCGGACGCCGCTGCGGCTCTTGAAACATTGAGGCGGGTGCGTGGCGTGGCTTGTTTGTTGCTGAATTTGACAACAACAACAACAACAAAAGCCCCCCACCCCACCCCCCCACATTTACCTCTCGTTGTTTACGATTCTTTCCGCTTTGCCGCGACCCCTCGCCCGCGCTGGTGACGTCTCGCGAAGCCCCGCCCCCCCCTCCTTGCATTTCCCAGCACGGACAAACGCGGCGGCGCTCGCCTCGTGATTGGCCGGCGGTGCCCCCACAGCCCCTCCCCCCCACCCTCACGAACGACGCTCGCCTCGTGATTGGCCGGCGGTGCCCCCACAGCCCCTCCCCCCACCCTCACGGACGACGCTCGCCTCGTGATTGGCCGGCGGTGCCCCCACAGCCCCTCCGCCCACACCCTCACGGACGACGCTCGCCTCGTGATTGGCCGGCGGTGCCCCCACAGCCCCTCCCCCCACACCCTCACGGACGACGCTCGCCTCGTGATTGGCCGGCAGTGCCCCCACAGCCCCTCCCCCCACACCCTCACGAACGACGCTCACGTGGGCCGCTTTGGGCCAATGGTGGCGGCGCGCGCGGTGACCATTCGCGTTGGGGAAATTGAAGGCCGCCGGCTCCCTCTACGGTACTGTACAAGATGGGGGGGGGTACAAGATGGGGGGTTTCAAGGGGGGGGGGGTTCAAGGTGGTGGGGGTTGCAAGGGGGGGGGCTACAAGGGGGGGGGGTACAAGGTGGGAGGGGGGTACAAGGGGGGGGGTACAAGGGGGGGGGGTACAAGGGGGGGGGTACAAGATGGGGGGTTTCAAGGGGGGGGGGTTCAAGGGGGGGGGGGTCAAGGTGGTGGGGGTTGCAAGGGGGGGGGGGGGCTACAAGGGGGGGGGGTACAAGGTGGGAGGGGGGTACAAGGTGGGAGGGGGGTACAAGGTGGGAGGGGGGTACAAGGTGGGAGGGGGGTACAAGGTGGGAGGGGGGTACAAGGTGGGAGGGGGGTACAAGGGGGGGGGGGTACAAGGTGGGGGGGGTACAAGGTGGGGGGGGGGTACAAGGTGGGGGGGGGGGGGGTACAAGGTGGGGGGGGGGTACAAGGTGGGGGGGGGTACAAGTTGGGGGGGTACAAGATGGGGGGGGTACAAGATGGGGGGTTTCGATGGGGTTTCAAGGGGGGGGGGTGCAAGGTGGGGGTTGAAATGAACTTGAAAGGTGGGGGTTACAAGGGGGGGGGGGTACAAGGGGGGGGTACAAGGTGGGGGGGGTACAAGTTGGGGGGGTACAAGGGGGGGGGATACAAGGTGGGGGGGTGGGGTTCAAGGGGGGGGTACAAGGTGGGGGGGGTTCAAGGTGGGGGGGGTACAAGGGGGTAGGGGTACAAGGTGGGGGGGGTACAAGGTGGGGGGGGGTACAAGGTGGGGGGGGTTCAAGGTGGGGGGGGGGGGGTTCAAAGGGGGGCTACAAGGTGGGGGGGGGTACAAGATGGGGGGGTTCAAGGTGGGGGTTACAGGGGGGGGGGTACAAGGAGGGGGGCAAAGGAGGAGCGGTGGCGCAGCGGTTAGCGTCTGCTTCATAGGGGATCTTTGTCTTTGATGGGGGTAGAGAAGTGATGGGGATGACCGTGGCGTTATAGCGATGTGGTTGATGGCTGTGGTCTTCCGATGGGCGTGATGATGGTGGTAAGTGATGGTAGTTGCTGATGATTGTGATGGTGATTAACAGGCGCTAATAATGGTGATTGGGGTAATAATGATGGAAATCCAAAGTGTATTGCGGCAAGATGTGGATGATGGCGAGGATGAGTGTGATGTGATGGTGTTGGCGGGATTATAATGATGCTCACTTGATGCAGATGATGGCAGTGATCCTTGAATTAGGGGTGACGGTCATGTGAGGGTTATGATGGGAGGGTGGTGGTGTTGGTGGGGTAATCATGCTGATATTCTGATATTGACAGGAGTGGTCCTATAATGACGACGGTAGTGTGGATTATGGTGATGCGGGTGATGGAGATGGGGGTGATGAGGGTAGTGATGATAATGGGAGTGTGATGGTGGGGTTATGTTGAGGTGATGGGTGTGGTGGTTTTTGGGGTAACAGTGATAATGGAGTTGATGTTATGGAGATGGGGTGGTGGCAATGAAGGAAATGTAAATGTGATGATTGTTTTATAGTGATGTGGTGAAGTAGGTAATTTTAGTAGAAGTGTGGATGATGGGTGATGATGTTCCGGTGGCAAAAATATGGTTTACAACACGAGTTGTATTCATGGTTTCTTCAGAGCAAAACCATTCCGATATGACATCCACAGCACTATATGTAGTAGTGGAGGTGCAATCAAGCTGTACATGTACCAACCCTGTGGTCTATATTTTTTGGGACAATACTGACAATCTCTTTGGCCCCGTGTGCTCAGGAGGAGGCCATGGACAGAGTTCCCCTGCCGATCACAGACTTCCCCCTCCACCACAGTCGCATGGTTCTGCAGAAGCTGAACGAGCAGCGAATATCTGGGCTCTTCTGCGACGTGACTGTGACGGTGTCGGCGCGCACCTTCCTGGCGCACAGCAATGTCCTTTCGGCCTGCAGCGAGTACTTCAGCTCGGTGCTGACGGGACGCAGTCCTCGGCAGTCTGTGGCGCTGAAGTCTATCGCGCCCGACTGCTTCAGCCAGCTGCTCGAGTTCTTCTACACGGCAAAGCTGCCGGCGGATCACATTGCGGAGTTCTCGGCGGCCGCAAAGCAGCTCAAAGTGGTCGGGATCCTTGACCTGGGCTCGGACTCCTCGGGCTATGACTGGGACAGCGAGGTCTCCGCCAATGGCACTTCGGAGCCCGGCGCCAACGGCGTCAAGGGTGACGGCTGGAACACCTGGAGCCATGTGGCCGTGGGCGCAGAAGCGGGCAGCCATATGCCTTTGAGCCCAGCCGGTCGTGCCGCGCACTTGAATCCGAGATCTGTGGTGTCGGACGATGACTATGAGCCACTGGACGACGTGAGCAGTGGTTCTCCGGCCTCTGGCGAACGAGGGCTTTTAGACGGTGTGTCTTGTGGCAGCATTGAATCTCTGTGCCTTACGAGAGAGAATGGCAAAGAGAAAGTGGGTCTTGTAGGATGTCCTGCCAGGGGTAGGAGCGGAAGTCCCGTGGCACTTGGCTGTGGAGTTGAGCAGACGGGAGTAGATGTAAATCTACCCGATAGCCCCGGTTCCCTGGCCTTGGCCACGGCGCTTGTGCCCCTCACAGTAACGAAAGCCTGCAGGTCTTTGAGGAGCTCGTCCGTCGTTTCCTCGCCTCCATTGGTCAAGCGAAGAGGGAGACCCAGGTCTGAATGAAGCCAACCACTGTTACTATGTTTATGAGATGCTATAAACAATAACAGATTTTTTTTTAACCAAAAATATATCGATTTTTAAAAAATAAGTACAAGGAATGTTATTTGAAGTGCAAATGTATATATTTTAGAGTAATTTTAAATATACCTCTTTGAAAATGCAGTTGTATGCATACGCAAACAACTAAATGTTAGTTATGCTATGGTTGCTTGCCGTAGTATACTTAAAATGTTGCATATGAATTTCGTAGTTTAATATGTGGTCTTGAACTGGGAAAGCAGCTGCTCAATCTAGCGCCTCTCAGTGCAGTCACGTCTGTTGTTGCTCACCTCAGGAAACAGCTCCAGAGAACGGAGTGCCCCGTCATACCAAGAGCACGGAAAGCACCGGAGCGTTTCAAATCAACGCCGCAAGCTGCCGTCCCACATTCCCCGTCCCGTCAGGAAGATTGCACGGGCATTGTAACAGGTGTGGTCCCCGCGGATGAGTCTCCGGACCCCCTTTGTGAGGCCTCGCAAGTACCCTGTACTCCGAGGAAGCGCGGGAGGCCTAAGGGCTCGAAGAACAAGCTGCAGCACGCCAAGATCGAGGCAGAAGACTGCTCACCGGGCATTATGGACTCCCAGGTAAACAAATGCAGAAATCGCCTTGGGGGGAAAAATGACCAGAGTACGGTAATCACCAAAGATTCACCAGATCTCATCATATCTTAGCGGCTAAGCGTGAATATGCCTGGATAGTGCTTAGATGAGTAACAGCTATGCATAAAGCAGGTTTTTGTAGGTTGCTGTGAGCCTACATGGACAGTGCAGCAGAACGTTGTTGTATCTATGCCTCTGCTTTCACCAACCCACACCACGAATAACCTCACATTCCTCACGGCGTGGGGAGGCCCTCATCTAGCAGTGGATTAGCGAAGGGCTGCATATATTAACATAATAATAAGGGTCCCGCTTTGTTAAGTGTTTTACAGGTCAAGTGTATGTAAACCCATGCTTTCTAATTGAGTGATCTGTATATTTGACACATTTGCGTTTGGGTATTAGTCTGAGTTGAGTTTTAAATAAGGTTCTGTGGCGTGTTTCTCCTCTTGCTTTCCAACATTGAGAATGAAGAGAAGCCCTCCCTGTTGTACACGAGTGGAGAATTTGGCAGCAAGTGGAAGAGGGAGAGGTGTGAGGGTTGCAAGAAACTCTCCCCGCACTGCCATCAAGTACAGCCTGGTGCAGCCCCTTTCAGCTGCGATCTGTGTGATAAAGAATTCATTTACAGGTGATGAATGCTCCAACATTCTGTAGTTCACAGCTCTCACTATGTGTGTGTGTGCGCGTTTGTGAATGAGGGATCAGATTTTAAAGGAAACCTTGCATTAATACAGTACCTAAAAATATGTATAAACAGTCTCCTATTTGTTTAGAGGCTTTCACGCATCTGTATTGATATCTACAGTCTTGTTTTCATAACGTCTTTCCAAGTAATGCTATGCACGTGTTATTTTGTTATATTGTTAGTGACTATACAGAGGCTGGAGTGGTGGTGTAGTGGGAAATTCACTCTGCTACAAACCTAACAATGTGAGTTCGATTCCCAGCCATTGCTAACATCAGTGGCAAATATAAGAACCGTTTCTGGACTTGTCCTTTGTAAACATCGGTACTGATGAGATAAAAGACAGCAAGGCGTGGAGTTAGCCACACCACCCTTTCTTGCGTTCCGGCCTTAATAGATGCTTGCTGAGAGCACTTACCCCAGTAATGGCTATACGAGGGATCGCTTGCGTGTTCATGAATGCTTTGCTGCCGTACGAATTAGTTTAGATTAAAGTTGTCATTATTTTCCCCACCGGTGGGCCCTCGTAACCACACGACGGGACAGTTGCATGCTGCGCCAGCATTGCAAGGTGCACAGGCAGCGCAAGCTGTACCAGTGTGAGCAGTGCGGCAAGTGGCTGCTGTCCCTGGAGAAGCTACGGGACCACGTGGCGTATCATGGGGAGGCCAGGCCGCACCACTGCTCCCTCTGCGAGAAGGCCTACAAGGTCAAGAGTAAGGGCCGCCAATGCCACACCATTGCACATCGTGTCCAAGCAGGAAGAAATAAAGTTTATAATCTCTCTGCATTGTGTAAAAAAAACATGTTACGGGCATCATATTCAATGGGTAAGCTGTGGGTGGATTGAGAGATGTTCATTTTTTTCCTAACGTGCATTTAATAAGACTGGTTTATCGCATATTTATATTTCAACAGCCCAATCCACAGCCGATGAAGGCCTCCCCAAGTCAGTCATGGGGGTTGTTTGACCATACTTCATCATTTTGGTCAGTGCATTTTATTGGAGGGGGGTGCCCAGCATAAGTTCAGATATCTCTTGCCACTGATGTTAGTCTTTTTCCAGAAATCAAAATCGGGTCACTGAGTTCATAACACATTGCGCTAACCAATTCACCACCAATCCGAAGCATTCTGTTATTTGCTTGGCTTATAAAAAGCTGCTTGTAGAGTTTGATGTGTCAATTTTCTTTGTAATTTTTTTAGTTCAAGGCAGCCTCACAAAATCAAGGCGCTTAATCAAATTCCTTTTCCTTGAGTTTTTGCATGTGGGGGGAAACAAGTATTTTAAGACAGTACACACGCACAAGGAAACAATACTCCAAGGGTCACACACATAGGTTCACAAATCCGCTTGCTGTTCTGTCATTACCTGGTCACCTCGCAACTCGGTGTAGCATAATTTTTTTCCGCTACCCGTGTCTTGAATATTTTTTGGAGCATCTGCTGCTAAGTAATGTTGTAGTTCGTTAGAAGTAGTATAACCTGGTGTTGATGTTAGGCATATGGGAGAGTGCACCCGCTGAAAAGTGGATAAAAATTCCATTTGAAGGGTACTCAGAAGAAGTTCTGTGAAATCTGTTTCTGCGCATCAAACTCTTAATGCACAGGGTTGCACTGGAGTGAGAGATTACCGAATAAATAACTTTATTTGAAAATTTGATGTTGACAGCAACTTTTTTATAAAATTTGGGAAGAAAGCAAAAATAGAAGTCATAAGAGGCACCATAACAACTATCAGTGGAAGAAGGCAAAGCCGTTAAATTGTTTTTGACATTGTCTTGACCGATCGTGGGGGGTGCGGGGGGTGTGCACGTATGCAGACGACCTGACGCAGCACGTGCGCATGAAGCACATGGAGGCAGCGCGGGGCAAGCCGCCCCTCGTCCAGCTGTGCGAGTTCTGTGGCCAGGCGGTCAAGCACTACAAGAGCCACAAGATCTTCTGCAGGTGCGCGGCGATGACCGCCTGGACAATTCGTGCTGGGGACCTGCGGGAGTTGTGTCGATGTGGTTTTTGTTTCAGTTGCGCGTTTGGGATGGGGAGTGTGCATGGGATGTTGGATTGGCTGGGACTGAATTCCATCCCCTATGTGCGCTGGACTTTTCCTGGTGACCCACGTTGTTCTTTGGACTCACAGGCACTTCCGGCTCTTATGAGATGTGCTCATGGTTTTCACGTGTCATTTTCCTGCGTTTTCTCAATCCTTCACCGATGTTTACTTTGTCATTGTGATATTGTTATTTTATGTACGTTTTCTACAGCACTTTCAGACGTGGAAGCATTTAGACACTCATTAAATGCGCATTTTGTTATTCTTACAATTATTAGTCGTGGTGTGATTCAGTTTTGGCTACTCTGTGCTCAGTTTTAAATTCTTAACCTGAACTAAGGGTTTGGCTCAGAAATGAAACTCGCTAAAAATGGTGCCATTTAATGCGTAACTAGTTAAATATGATTGTTTTATCATTATTTTCCTTCTTAGTTGCTAAGAACGCACTGATGAACAAATCCCCAATCCCCCAATGTCTTCCACTCTTCATGATCTCCTGCCACTTACATCCATTGCGTTCCTACAAATCTTCTAATTTTCTGCCTGCTTCTCTTTCTCCTTCCCTCAATCAGCTTCCTTTCTGTTATTAATGTATATGCATTTGCCCCACCTGGCATTTGATATCCTCACTATATGTATTACTTAACTCAATTTTAAGTATTTCTTTACTTTGTTAACCACATCTGTAATCCTAGTTTTTATTGAGCAATTATTTCCTTACTCGTTACATTCCAATGTTTATGCTCATTGCTCCGTCACACTGTACATGGGTGCATGCAAATTCGTGCCTGAGATAAATGGTGTTGACGGGCTGCATTTTTGTTTTTGCAGCGGTGTGAAGAAGTTTCAATGCAAGTTTTGCCTGCAGGCGTACTCACGCTTGTCCGAGCTAAAGAGACACACGTGGACCCACACGGGAGAGCTGCCCTACCAGTGTCAGGTGGGCTGATTTTCGCTAACTTTTCTTATCCAATGGAAGGCAGTGGTGGAAAACGCGGAGAGGCCTTCATGTATCGTGACAGGCCAAAGATGAGATTCAACACTTAATATGTGGAAACAGCAATTGTAAACAGTTTAAAAATGTGTGTTTAAATTTTTTACCAAACTGCATTATTTAAGTCTTGCTTTATGAGCTTAATTCCAGTGTAATTATTCAGGATTCATAAATCACGTCTTTTTTGTTAGATTGTGTAGGTATAATTCCAATTTTCAGCTGTACCCTCCGCCAACCAACATATCAAGTTGTCACGTCGGCAAATATGCGAATTTATTAGTTTTATTAGCAAACCGGTGGAATGTTGGAAAGAAAGCCAAAGATTGACAGTTTTATCAGACACTAGCTTTACTACCCGGCTTCGCCCGAGACTTGGATTCTTGTCTTGGATTAATACACGGCCTACGCGGAGGGTGGGGGGGGGGATGCGTGACGTCAACAGGCACACTGCGTGACGCTGCCGCATGCGGGTGACATCCCAGATGTGACGTCACCGCTCACTTGCCGTGCAAAATATATCCATTATTGCGCCCCCACCCCTCCCCCAAAATACAAAAGTCTATTTTTATGCTTTATGCATTGTGTACAGTCTGGTAACTACCCACATGCCAAATGTCAAGTTTGTTGCATGTTGGGAAGTATGCTAAACATTTTGAACAGACACACATTCACAAATTTCCCTTTTATATATATATAGATTTCGCGGGAGATTACATCCAGCATCATCAGGTATTAACAGCAGCTCAGCTCCTGCGTGAATGAGCTTCCTAATCTTGGCCCTTAAGTACGGGATATTTTACATGTTGGGTGAATTGTGTTGTTGACCATGGCATGGTTGTAGGAATATTTTACAATTGAGAATTCAACCCAGGATTTTTTATCCATTGGTACCCTGTTTACTGATACATTAGGCATTTTCCTGTTCTTACAACATTGCAAGGTTGGCTTCATACGGTGCGAAATAAGTTGGACATACGTACATACATACGATTATAAATGAAGAAATGAGGCATTGCCTCAAATCCCTGCATACGCCCCCATCAAGAAAACGGCTCCTACCATCACGGCTCCTACCATCACAAAAACTGTCGCCATCTGGCCTGAGGGTGCCACCCAGCAGCTGCAGGACTGCTTTGATAGGACCGACTGGGGGGTCTTCGAACATCAGGACCTGGAGGTGTTCACATATAGTGTATTATGCTACATTAAAAACTGCATAGACACTGTCACTGTGGACAAACGCGTTCGGGTTTACCCCAACCAGAAGCCCTGGATGACCCGGGAGGTCCAGCAACTGCTGAAGGAGAGGAATATCGCCTTCAACTCCGGAGACAAAGCTCCCTACAGTACAGCCCGAGCTAACCTGAAGAGAGGCATCCGCAAGGCCAAAGCAGACTACAGGAGGAGGATTGAGGAACGCCTGGACAGTCACGACAGCAGGCAGGTGTGGCAGGGAGTCCAGCACCTCACCAACTACAGGGCCAACCGCGGAGCTGCTGATGGTGACAACGCTCTGGCAGAGGAATTGAACCTCTTCTTTACCCGCTTTGAGGTGACACCACAAGGGACAGCATCACCAAACCTCACGGTCCACAGCAGCTTAAACCTCACAGTGGAGGAGCATGAGGTGAGGCGCACGCTGCGGGCCGTCAACCCGAGGAAGGCTGCGGGATCTGATGGCGTCCCGGGACGTGTGCTGAGGGACTGTGCTGACGAGCTGGCTGGAGTCTTCACAAGGATTTTCAACCTGTCTCTGGAACAGTCCACCGTACCAACCTGCCTAAAGTCCTCCACCATAGTCCCGCTGCCCAAAAAAACCCACATTTGCAGCTACAACGACTACCGGCCAGTAGCACTCACGCCAGTGGTGATGAAGTGCTTTGAAAAACTGGTCCGGAGTCACATCATAGGAAGCTTGCCCCGAAACCTTGACCCCCACCAGTTTGCCTACAGAGCGAACCGATCCACGGAGGACGCCGTGGCCACAGCACTACATGCTGCACTGTCACACCTGGAGCAGCAGGGGAGCTATGCGAGGATGCTCTTCGTGGATTACAGTTCCGCGTTCAACACCATCCTCCCACACAAACTGGTGGAAAAACTGGGCGACCTGGGGATTCCACATTCCACCTGCATGTGGATATATAGTTTCCTCTCGGGCCGCAGACAGAGGGTCAGAGTGGGCCGTCATACATCCACAGCCCTGAGCCTCAGTACCGGCTCCCCCCAGGGCTGTGTACTGAGCCCCCTGCTCTACTCCCTCTACACACATGACTGTGCCGCCGTCCACCATAGCAACACCATTGTGAAGTTTGCTGATGACACCACAGTTGTGGGGCTCATCTCTGGGGGGGATGAGTCTGCCTACAGGGACGAGGTGGAGCGGCTGACAGCATACTGCAGGGGCAACAACCTGCTCCTTAACACCGCAAAGACCAAGGAGCTCATAATAGACTACAGGAGAAAGAAAACGGACACTCCACCACTAATCATCAGCGGGGACTGTGTGGAGAGGGTGGCAGACTTCTGCTTCCTGGGAGTCCACATTGGGGAGGGCCTGACCTGGAGCGCCAACAGCACTGAGCTTCTGAAAAAGGCCCAGCAGAGACTTTACTTCCTGAGAATTCTCAGGAATAATAACATCACACAGAAACTGCTGGTGTCCTTCTACCGAGCCTCCATCGAGAGCATTATTACATACTGCATCTGTGTATGGTACACCAGCTGCACAGTGGCTCAGAGGAAAGCGCTCCAGAGGGTCATCAACACAGCCCAAAGGATCGCCGGCTGCCATCTCCCCACACTGGAAGAACTACACAGTTCACGTTGCATCAAAAAAGCACAGAACATTATAAAGGACTCTTCTCACCCTGGACACTCACTGTTTGAGCTGTTGCCATCAGGCAGACGATTCAGATCAGTCAAAACAAGGACAAACAGATTCAAACAGAGCTTTTATCCTACAGCGATCACCACATTCAATAATGCTAATTAATTATTAAGTAATAGCGTTTACAATTGACTGTGAAATAGAGATGTGCAATGACAAAATGTAACCTTATGTGGGTATACTTGGGCTGTTTTTATATATAGTATAAATTGATTATCTTTCATTTAATTTTATTTTTATTTTCTTGTTTTATTTAATTTAAATTTATGAATGAGGCCCTGACTGGTGAGCATTTTAAATTTCGTTGTACTGGTGACAATGACAATAAACGATCTATCTATCTAAATAGAACGATGTCAGCAGCTGCCCGAGTTGTCCCCGATCGGTACTTAACGCAGCCTCCCTTCGGCGTGTTTCCCCCCCCCCCCACCGCAGATATGTGGCAAGCGCTGCCGACACCCCAGCAACCTGAAGAAGCACATTCGCACGGTGCACAAGGAGGAAGTGAGAGTTCAGATCGATCGGGAGCACGCCGCCCCCAAGCTCCTCAAGGACTTCACTCCACCGGACGTCGAGGTGCACGGCGTCGTGGCCAGCCCCACCGACGCTTGGTCCGAGGTCGTGGATTTCGGCTCAGAGAAACTGGCCGGCGCCTATGGCCAGCACGTGTTCATGGGTGCGCAGCAGCTTCTGCCCGACATGCCGGGAGAGCCCCTGATGCAGAACATGTACTATCAGCCGGACTCTGGCACGCAGCACTCCATCAGCCCCGTCGAGGGTTCGGGCGGGATCGCAGTCATCCCCCTCACCGTCGTCAATCCCTGCGAGCCCAAGGTCAATCACGCCGGAACGATCCCGATGCCTCCTCCCGAGCGGCAGGGCCTGTCCTCGTCGCCCGCGTCGCTGGAGAGCTCGGCCGACCTGACGCCGCTATCTGCCCTCGCCGTTCTACCCGTGGGCAGCTTCCCACCCACCGTCTCCTCGTCGGCCGTCCTCTCTCCCCAGTTCCCCGTGGGCGTCTCCGATTTTCCCGTGATCATTTCGGGCAAGGCGGCAACGCCGCAAGTCCCGAGCCAGCTGCCCTCCTTCAACTCGCTTTTGACGGCCGCCCCCCTGGACATGATGAGCAGCCACCTGCTCGTGGCGCACCAGTCTGATGTCCACAACGAGCAGCTCTAGAGAGCACGGTTGTGGTCGGCGACTGTATTTATTCGAGGCAGCTCAATTTTAACTGATAACTGCAAGTTTACAAGCAGCTGCAGTTGTTGTTGTTTTCTGGCCGTCGGCACTGGAGATTGTAGCACAGGAGGATGGAATAAATCAATTGTGGTGAGCACGGTAGTCAAGTTGGCCGTGGGCCCCGCTCGCTGTGGTGCATTTGCGCCGCCTCTACACTTGGTAGCGATGCCACTGACTGCAGTCGACTGTTTGAGATTGTGGAAAGCAGTCTGGAGCAATGTTTAGCATCTCGTGGGAAAGTCAGTATTCCATACGCAAACGAGCATTGGACATTGCTCATCATTGTTGGTGGCATTGAAACTGGTGGAAGTGACACATTCCTGAGTCGGGGGATCAGTATCTCCAGAGGACAACCATTTTTATTCTCGTCAAAAATGGTGATTTCAAGTTTACCAACTGAGCTATATCTAGGCGCTTACATAGTAATGGCTTAACATTATGGTGGCATGCACTGTGAATCCGTTATGTCTAGCAAGTGGACCAGGGATATAATGTACGAATATACACATTCGTATGTTTACGGTACTGTACAATGCAGGTCAGCTGCTGGCAGACTTTGGATTGAAAGGATTTGCTGCTTTCCTATTCACTTACATTTTTAGACGTGATCTCACTTGGTATTAGACTGATGAGATATAGGGGAGGTGGAGATTATCCTTTTGACACTGCACTATGCGAGTTTAACTCAGCGCTGTGTCCTGTTGAAGAGCCAACCGGTTGTTTTGTAGGCAACACACTAAAGACTTAAAAGTCACTGTTCATGAATTAAAGGGTGTTAAAGTTTATGCTTTTTATTTTGAAAACAAACTTTATTTAACTTATAAAATGTGTGCTTATGGGTTTCTATTGTTAAATTCATAGGAAACTGGGTCACGATGGCAGTTGAGGTACAGTAAAACGCCAGCCAGCCGGGCTATATATGTGAATCACTGGTCCGGCAAAGCTTAACAAATAATTAAATAAATATGAAACCTTATCAATACTGTAACCTTTAGATATGAGCATTCAAGTACGAATCTTGACTTAAAGCTTTCGGTAAAGTCACGTAAAAAGGTTCAAAAAACCTATCTATATGACTTTACCGAAAGACCCAAAGAATACGTACAATTACATTTAAAACAAATGTTTTAATTACATTTTCCTAAAGAATGGAATATGCGTATAATACGAATCAAATCGACCATGTTGTACTCTATGAACGCTGTGTGCTGCATTACTCACAGAGGTGTATTGATGTCCTCTGAGGAGTAAAAATGGAGGAAACTAAACTCAAAAGACAGAGTGAAGAGAGATAAAATCGGAGAAGCAGAAAGCAAGCAAAGAGGACGACAGAGCGAGAGAGCCCAGTGAGTCCACGATCACAGACCAGATATTCCACCTGGGGTGGCATTACTTCACTGATTCCACTTTCTTTATGTGGCCAACTACAATGCATTATGTGATAACCACTTTAATCTTCTTGGTTCTTTCGGTAAAGTCACGTAGAATGAAAATAATAAAATAATAAAAATAAAATAATAAAATAATTTTCACAACGTTTCGGCCACAACGCAAGCAGCCGTCCTCAGGTGAAGAATAGGTCTGTCGAGAAGACAGTCTGAAATTAGCGAGTTGTCGAATAATTCACTTTATTTCCCATATAAATCGGAACGACTGAAATTTTGCCACCTTGGATGGCTTCAATTTCTGCTCTGAACCATGCATTGAATAGGAAGCTACATTCGCCACCTACTGTGCATGTCAGTGCACTGCAAACTTTGTGCTCTAGTTGGTGCCAGACTCTGTGGGATATTGTATTGGTCTGGGATACGTGAAACCAGCAAGGCAGTACCGCAATTTTGTATAACGCCGGGCCAAGTGGCTGATAAAGAACTAATGCTGACCTTTGGCTCCTTGGAAATAACAATTAGCTATGAAGATGACAGTTTTTTTAAAAGTATGTTGATTCATTTGGAATTAAGGAAAATCATTCGTGAGCATATATAATGAATTCTACAAAAGAGCGGTCCCAGCCAGCATGTCTTGTAACCGTTAGATAGCAGTGACATGTTTATTTTATTGCTTTGCAGGTGCAGTCAAAATAGATTATGGAAAACCGTACCTTTTGCAATGCAAAATATAATTTATCTGCATAGACATTGTGATGATTAATCCCATGATTACTCATCTGAGCTGGGCATTATAGGTGAAGTAAAATAAAACATTGATGCGATGCAGAAGTAGAAAATGCAGTATGTTGAACATTGTTTTGGCGAGTAGAGATGCTAATCAAGTGCCCATTGCATTGCCAGTATCCTTTCCAGGATGAGTCGTGTGGATAGGTTGAGGCCAGGATACATGGACAGATGAAGTGTACTTCATGTAAGCGGGGCTCCATGGAGTTGAAAAGGGGGTGAAATGACCTACCGTTTGCTCCCAGTGGATACAACGTGCTCACTTTACAACTTACATGTAAGTCCCCCACAACCATACGGCAAGGGGAGGGAAAAACACCTTTTGAACTTTTTTTGCACCAGGCCTTACAGAAATACGAACGTAAGTCAGTGAGGCTAAATTAAGGGTATGGGTTACATAGGTTCGACCTCAGGGAGTTGGAAAAGGATGGACTCGGAGAAATGTTTGTTTGGATAGCACTGTTGTAGCAGCAATGGAAATGTAACAGTGCAATGCCTATGGTACATGATGCACGTCTCCCACAGACACCGACACCCCATTTCAGGTTCGGGCTGGTCCACAAGAGTTGACTGTTCCCTATAGTCTCGAGTGACAAGAAGCACAATATTGTGTTGTAACAACCTAAACTGCCATTACCTGGGAATTTATCCGGAATATTCATTAACGTTACCAGTTTGCAGCCAAATTCTGCTGTATATCAGACATGGTGTGTTAGAGTACACATCACATTTCCACTGTTCAAGCTTGGTATTCCCTCTATACATATGCTTGTTACACTGTGAGCGATAGCTTACTAATTGCCATCGGTATGAATTAATGTGTTGGCATTAAGACTCCAGGTTATGTTAACTTGGCTTCGTGTTAACCATATATTTCATCACTTTGTGTTTTGCTTTCACAATGTGAAGGTTATTTTTACTTTCTTTTTACCTGCACAAATTCAGCATCACCTCCTTTTGCACTAGGGTGCTGCTGAAGTGAGTTCTTTTGCAGTATTGAAAATAAACTGACGACTTTTGTACACCTTTGCCTTGTCTGGTTACTTTGAACCCCACGCATTTAAATGTCAATGTTCAGTTTTGTTACAGGTGTTGACGATTTTTCTATTTAAAGCTTTCGTGACTGCAGGGATTCATCTTCTTGGTTCTTTCGGTAAAGTCACGTAGAATGGAAATAATAAAATAATAAAACATAATAAAATAAGTCTCACCATGTTTTATGTTTATTATTTTATTATTTCCATTCTACGTGACTTTACCGAAAGAACCAAGAAGAAGAGGTGCTGACGAGTTCCCACGGACGCACTCGGAGACGGAGGTAAGTTATGGGCTTTCGCCAAGGGTGTATTAAAGACTTCACAATACACACAAGGGTAGACAACTCCCAGGGGCTAGTGGTCCTACAATGAGTCCTTGGTCCCTGCCTGGCTAGCTCCGGTCTCTCTCGTGTCGGATCGGGGACTCTGCCGACTCCACCGACCGGAGAGAGAGCACCTCTATCGGCTACCACCACCGGCTTCTCCCTAGACTCGCTACTCGATCCCTCTCTACCCCTGGTTCCCTCTTCACCCTTCGTACCCGTTCCCAAAGTGACCCCGCGTTCGTCACGGGGTCTCCCTTAAGTACCCTAGGAGGCGTGACGTCATTGCACTGAACAGCACACATGACGTCACGTCCCCATTTTACTCCTCTACACATGGTAACCATGAGGTTTTGGCCAATCCTACAGCATGTCTATTGTTAAATTGTTAACATCTGCTGTTGAGAAGGGCCAATGCCCTTACGTAATATTTCCTCGCCATGGCTGTTTTAATAACGAATGTATCGCGTTTGGTGTTACTTTGTGCACTGGTGGGGTGCAGTGTCTGTAGTTTACTGTCTTGTAACAAGTTTGGCGAGCTTGAAGAGATTATTACTGTACACACATTCTTGAAAAGGAGGTTCCAACGAGCAAGTGTCCCGAGCAATGCACTTGACCTTAAGTGTTTTTATTTGGGTCGTCTCTAACATGTAATTCGAGATTGAAGCTTTCGTGACTGCAAGGATTCATAATCTTAGGTTTTTTCGGTAAAGTCACGTAGGTACAAATAAATAAATAATAATAAATAAGAGAAATAAAATAAATTATTTTATTTTATTTCTATTATTATTTCTATTATGTTTATTATGTAAAATAAGTAAATAATAAAAGTGATAGAAAAAATATTTTAAATTTTAGAATGTTTATTATTATTTATTTATTTCCCCTACGTGACTATACCGAACAAACCTAAGAGTAGTAACATGTAAATGTGCTTACATCATGGAAAACACGTGAATCACAACGGGATTTTCGTCGCGTAGTGGTTATACATGTGCCTCGCAGCAAGAAACGCCAGGTTCAATTCCCAACTCGGGTGCCGATGTGTACTGTAGAGTTTTATGTTCTCCGGCTTCTCTTGTTTCATCCCAAATAAAAAAAAGACTCCAATGTAATTGGTAATTAGACAAACATTCCAATGATACATTTCCTTGCAAACTACTCAATTGGGATTTCACAAAGTAACATGAATGTATGTTGAAATTCTTACGCACCGTACGTAGCCAACCATGCTAACCGAAGGTGCGGTGGAAGGACAACAAACTAAACAGAAAAAAACTCCTAAAGAAATGAGTTTTCAATATAGATTTAGAAGCGGATAGCTCCAGTGGTTTCCTAACATTGGAACGAAGAGCGTTCCAGACGGCCGCAGAAGCGCATCTGAAAGTGCGTGGTGCCAGTCACCGCCTTTGTTTGATAGCCTTGCCAAAAGCCGCCGCCGCTGCTGCTGCAAAGATGAACTGAGTTCGCGTGAGAATTATTTTATAATGTTTTATTTTTATTATTTTATTACTTCCCTTTTACGTGACTTTACCGAAAGAACCAAGAAGATGAATCCCTGCAGTCACGAAAGCTTTAAATCGAAATTTGAGTTCGCGTGATCGTATATGCAGGACCCTCCTGAAAAGGACGTGAGATTCAGCGAGACTCTGCTGGGTGAACAAGATTACCAATAAACACATGCTCGGTGGGATGAACAGCAAATCTGTGCTATTGAAATAATTTGTGTAAACCATGATTTGAGTCAGGGCACTGCCTTTACATATTTGGTCACGACCAATTGGTTCTGGTTTTCAACCATATTTGTGTACGAATAATAGAATAATATAAATCTCAGGTACCTTATTTCACAAACAAGTAACTCACCAACCAGGTAACTAACCGGCAACTTATATTCTTGGTTCTTTCGGTAAAGTCACGTAGAAGGGAAATAATAAAATAATACAAATACAAAATACAATTCTCACGTCGTTTCGATTGCAACGCAAGCAACCATCATCAGGTGTGAAAACCACAGCAATAATTTTTTTGTTTTATTTGTATTATTTTATTATTTCCCTTCTACGTGATTTTACCGAAAGAACCAAGAATATGAATCCCTGCAGTCACGAAAGCTTTAAATCGAAACTTAACCGGCAACTGTAAACCAACTAGTAACCTCACATTTGATTATTTTATTAAAACAGAAGACTGGAGAAAGTTTTGGTTTATTGCTACAATAGATGTAAGGGAAATACAATCTCATAAAAATTTTTTTAAACAAAGCAATATAACCCGATGTCACTAGATGCATGCATTTTCGTACACTATTCAACCTTTCGAAAGTACATCTGCAATATGTATATACTGTACTGTGTGTATAGAATCAACTCGGTCGACTGCCAAGACTCAATCACATTGCATATTGCACAATATCAATAGCAGCGTTTTAAGAGCTCTTTTGCAGGTTCATACATTGACCCCTGCACACGAGACATTAAATACCAAGCCACGATTCTTCTACCAGGCCAATACGCAATAACCAACACCACGCAGTGCAGTCACAGCTCTCATTTCCCCTTTTTGTGTTGTGCCTCAACGTTACATTAGACCCGGGTTCTTTAAAACACATCCCTCATCAGTTCTGTCCAACTGGTTTTGACATTGCACAACTACTGCATTGTTGTTACCCCGTGGAGTCAGTCACTCTGGTTAGCGCTGCACCCGAGTTACGTTCCCCATCATGGTCAACACCCAGTGACATCACCTAGGTCGACTCGGCCTCAAATGAGTACCTCTGGTGACCAGTGCCGGGTTAAGCTAGCACGGGACCTGTAGCATATGTTTTAGAAGGGCCCTAACAAAAAAATAACCACGTAAATATTAAAACACATACATTTTTTACTTGCCTAGTAAAGTAATTTGATGCCTTCATTTTCTACGACAAATCGCTAACCTTAAACACCGAGTCGTTCATAAAAGTTGAAGGCAGTATAGTACTATAGTAATAGAGCAAGTGCAGAATCACTGAATCGGAATTGATAGCTTGAAAGCATTTAGCGTGGGGCCCTTGAGAGTGCGGGACCCGTAGCTACTACACGTGTAGATCAAGACCGTAGCCATGGAGTCAACATAGGGGGGGACCAAATCTTCCAAGGGGTCCCCCCCCCCCCAGAAAAAAAATCGAAATTTTAAAAGAATTTCCTGCCTAAAATATAAAAAAATTCACTAACACAGGATGGACTTTTTATGAATTTTTTACAATAATGTCTAACAGTCTATTGTATTAAATTCCTCTACTTTTTCTATTTTACCTTTTCTTGTTTCATTGTATGTAATGGCAGAGATTAGGGATTAATAAAGTACAACCATAACCACAATCACATAAACAGAAATATATTTTATAACAATATATTGGGGGGGACATTTTTAGCATATTTTTATATATTATAATTACTATCTTGATGTAGATACCTGCTACCAGGATAATCCGGCACTGCGGGTGCGGTATGTAAACATCGCCTTCAATAGCTGCTCGCTAACAGGCTAAACAGGGGTGGGTGGAGGGGGTTTGTTTTTTGGTTTGTCACTCTGATGCGGCTGTCTGGTTTGAACTCGTTGACTTGTGCTGCCCAACCAGGGGCGGTTTCTTCATTAGGGCGATTGGGCGACGCACCACCAATGTCATTCAACCACAGTCACGCTAGCCGTCACTGTCAGCCTCTGGATATAGTCCAATCAGCATCATGTCACGTTCTGTGGAGTACCGCCTCTTTTGGGGTGATTTCACTCCGGCTGAGAATCGCCCCAAGTGGCCCCATCTATATATATAAAATCGTTCATGTCTGTGTGTCTGTGTGTGTGTGTGTGGTCAACCACGTTATGTATGCCGATGATTTGGTAATAGCTGCTCATTCAGAAGAGGAGTTGGAGGCGCTGCTGCTGAGACTGGAGCGTGCCACTAAGAGGTGGGGCCTTACCATCAGCCCCACCAAAACCAAGCACCTGCCTGGGTATTTTGTACCATCGGACACTCCACCCCCACAACTCCCAATTGGTGATGGGGCAGTTGTGGAGAGAGTGGAGAGTTTCCCATACCTGGGCAGTGTGCTTATGACCGGCTCCAGTCTATCAGCAGAGGTCTCACTCCGAATCAGTCGAGCGGCAATATCTTTTCATCGGTTGCGTAACGCTGTGTGGAAGCTACCTGGTCTGTCGCTCCGCACGAAGCTTCAGGTCTTCTCGGCCACGGTCATTCCCTCCCTTCTCTACGCTTGCGAGACGTGGACCCCCCTGGTGGAGCATCTTCGCCGGTTGGAAACATTTAGGCTGGCCTGCCTACGATCCATCCTGGGTTTAACCAGGCTGGATTGTGTGAGGAGCTCACAAATCCTTGAAAGATCTGGGCAAAGTCCCATCAGTGAGCTCCTCCGGCAGGCAAGGCTGCGTTGGCTGGGTCATGTAGCCCGCATGCCCAGCCACCGCATGCCTAAACAGCTTTTGTTCGGCCGGATCGAGGGGGCTAGACGGGCGCGGCACGGGCTGGAGAAGAGATGGAGTGATGTGGTACAGGAGGACGTGGAGCTGAGTGGACTTGCCGATGACTGGTACCAGCGGTGTCAAGATCGGCCTCAGTGGAGGAGGCTCGTGAAGGACGCTACTGGGCAGTTGGAGGCAGTCGCCCTCCAACAACAACGGAGGGCGGAGGAGCGACGCTCACAACAACGAGCGGAGCGCCGGGTGGCTAAAGCACAGCAAGTTGGCACAGTAGGGGGCACAGTTGGTGCATCAGCCAGTCATCTCGGTCATCTCGGTCAGTCGACCCGTGGCACCTGGGTCTGCCCCGTGACCTCCTGCCAGCGGGCTTTCGACACTTCACGTGGCCTCAAGGTGCACTTGGCCTGGCACAAGCATCGTGGTGACGTCACCGCCACTTAGTGGCGAATGGCGGTTGTTGTTGTTGTGTGTGTGGACTTTGGCCCATACGCACTTTCATTGGACGGCGGTTGCCCCTGGCAACGGCTAGCCACGCCTTCGCCGCTTTCATTGGACGGCGGTTGCCCCTGGCAACGAGTAGCAACTTTTCTCCGCGGGGTGGACGCCATTTTTAATAGCGCGGGGGGCGGGGGGGGGACCGGCACCTGTACCCAGCGTTCGCCGGGTGGGAAAATCAGGCAAGGCGGGAGGCTCTGCACGGTGCTAGGCCTCGACACCCAACACGCCACTCTGAGGTAAATTCATACAAATTTCACGTCCTCTACAGAGTGGCGAGGGAGGCAGAGTGGCGAGGGAGGGACTCAGCCTCAAAACGAGTAACTGGTGTGGCGTATTAACATCGCCACTGGGGAGACAAAGGCGGCCGGGCGTGGTGGATACAAGTCCCGGGCAAAGCCGGGTCATGACTATGTGTGTATGTGTTTATGTGTATGTCTATGTGTCTGTATGTATGTGTGTATGTATGTGTCTGTATGTGTTTGTGTGTATGTATGTGTGTGTCTGTATGTATGTGTGTGTGTATTGTGTATGTGTTTGTGTGTATGTATGTGTGTGTTTGTATGTATGTGTATGTCTGTGTGTATGCATGTGTGTGTATGTGTTTGTGTGTATGTGCGTGTATGTATGTGTGTGTATGTGTGTGTCTGCAGCAAGCGCGTGTATGTGTACCTATGGACGCGCGCGCGTGTGTTGTGTAGGGGGAACGGTAGTGTAGTGCTTAGCGTGCTGCCTGTGTCTATGTGTGTGTGTCTGTGTGTGTGTCTGTGTGTGTGTGTGTCTGTGTGTGTGTCTGTGTGTGTGTCTGTGTGTGTGCGTGTGTGGTGTGTAGGAGGAACGGTAGTGTAGTGCTTAGCGTGCTGCCTGTGTGTGTGTGTCTGTGTGTGTGTGTCTGTGTGTGTGTGTCTGTGTGTGTGTGTCTGTGTGTGTGTGTCTGTGTGTGTGTCTGTGTGTGTGTCTGTGTGTGTGTGTCTGTGTGTGTGTCTGTGTGTGTGCATGTGTGGTGTGTGGGGAGCGGTAGTGTAGTGGTTAGCGTGCTGTCTGTGTGTCTGTCTGTGTCTGTCTGTGTGTTTCTGCGTGTGTCTGTGTGTGTGTCTGTGCGTCTGTGTGTGTGAGGAGCGGTGGGTGTAGTGGTTAACGCTACGCTGCGCTACCAACCCGGCGAACCGAGTTAGATTCCCGCTCATGGCCACCACCGGTCAAGATTATTTGAACCTCCCATAGGTCGACTCAGCCTCAAACGAGTAACTGGTGTGGCGTATTAACATCGCCACTGGGGAGACAAAGGCGGCCGGCCGTGGTGGATACAAGTCCCGGGCGAAGCCGGGTAGTACAGCTAGTAGACTTACATTGAAAGATGTTTTTTTTCGAACGGGGGCGCTCCAATGCATTCTCTATGGCTCCGGGAGGGCATGCCCTAACGTGCTTACGTCATCATACGTGCTTACGTCATCATACGTGCTTACGTCATCATACGTAAGCACGTTTCATCCAACAATATAATTTATCGCTACCGAGTGGAATCTTTAATAAAATAAACTTGAGTGGTTTGTTTTAATAGTGAGTATATAAACTAACAAAATGTATTGTAAGAGTCACTTTATTTTTCATTAATATTAAAGAAGTGAAGTTGCCTTTACATGCTTAAGCTGTTAATTTATTCATTGCATGGGTGGACCTTAATCATCCAGACATTTGCCCCCCCTGAGAGATTTTGCAGGAGCCGCCACTGTGCCCAACTCTTGCATTGCGGCTGTGGACTGCGATGACCCAGTCTGTGTTGTGGAGCAGCAACGTTGTTTCTCATTGCACAGCACAGCACTCAACACGACCCCAACAAAACAAACAAAAACCCCCACGGGTAGACTTCTCCGTGTTTGCCAACCATCGGGTGTGTGCAGTGGCTTCATTGGCATATGAATAGAACAAGATTGCTACTATTCTTTGGGTCTTTCGGTAAAGTCACGTAAATGTTTCAAAGAAAATAACAAAAAACTACGGCGTTTCGATCACAACACAAGCGATCGTCATCTACGTGACTTTACCGAAAGACCCAAATAATATGAATTCCTGCAGTCACCAAAGCTTTAAGTCAAGATTTAAGATTGCTACTCATGAGAAAGCGGACCCTGGGGGGTCTCGATGACTGGAGTTGAGCAAAATTGAATTGTATAACAACAACAATCGCCATTCGTCACTTCGTGGCGGTGACATCACCACGGCGCCTGTGCCAGGCCAGGTGCACTTTAAAGCCCAATGGCAGGAGGTCACGGGACAGACCCAGCAGGTGCCATGGGGTTGACCGACTGAGATGACTGGCCGATGTACCACCTGTGCCCCTACTGTGCCAATTCGCTGTGTGTTAACCGCCCGGCGTTCCGCTCGTTGTTGTGAGCGTCGCTCCTCTGCCCTCCGTTGTTGCAGGAGGGTGACTGCCTCCAACTGCCCAGTAGCAGCGTCCTTCACGAGCCTCCTCCGCTGTATAATAATAGGGGTATCCAACACAGACTGTCAGAGCGGTCCCGATGGTACATCGAATCGGGGCGGTCTAGTTGCGTTGCATTCCAAATCTGAGCTCATTGCCTAAGGCTGACCGACTGTGTTTCTTAATGTCACACCAAAGGGGTGATCCGTCAACAGATACGCAACTAAAACAATGCGGAGCAATTAGAGAACCTTTATTTATCCATTTCAAAGCCCTTTACATATGTAGCGTCCGACGATATTCAATACATCATTTTAATGCACTTCCCTGTGAGATATGGAGCAATTTCCCCTTGCACTATGTTCAATCAAATGTTAATAGGTATCGGTGAGATTGAATATATATAATCGGGTTCGCCTGTATATACCACTGTTATTAAAGCTGGATTGGAGAATGAGATTTTGTTCAGTCTTTGCTTCTTCACCTGCCTGAAGTAATGCGGACACTCCTCATGCATGAGGACGTGTTCTCGAAATCACGTGGGACCTTCCTCCACAATTTTTTTTGTCCTGAGAAAATCGAAAATAAAGCAATAAAAACAAATAAAATGACACTCCCAGTGCTCAAAGATTTAGGCAGCATGCAGAGAGAGAGCAATGCCGACCTGGTCCTGTTCGCTGCTTCTGCGCCGAGTGGAGGCCACGTGCCAGGCCAGTGGGCTTCATTGCAAGGCCCGGGGGACACTGGCGGCCCCGGGTGGGCCTTTAGTTCCGGCCAATTGCAGGCGGTGTGGCGGCCCTCGCACTGATGTCGTATCGGCAAAAGTGACCCCCCCCCCCCCCCACCTCTGAAAATTCGTGAAGCACAATATTACTCTTACGCATTACATAGTAACCATGCACCGGATATGCACGAGAGGATTGGCTTTACACTTATTAAATGAGTAAACATTTCTATATGGCGGAGTGAAGAAAATGAAGCAAATGTCCCAAATTGCTTTAGTCGACAATTGCGTCAAGGCGGATCAAACCACGCGTTGCAGTCGCGATGAGGCTCATCGCTTGTTCCACCTGATGTCGGACGCTTGTGTTGCGCCCGAAACGTCGTGATTTATTTTATTTTATACCCAACGTGACTTGACCGAAAGAACCAAAGAGTATGGATTCCTGCAGTCACGAAAGCTTCAAATCAAGGTTGAGGCTCATCTGTTTAGTTTGTTTGTGTCCTTCCAACGCACCTCCGATCAGCACGGTTGGCTACGTATGGTGCGAAAGAAATTCAACATGAACACGTAGATGTGAACGCGCGCGGACGTGATTATACATTGAAGCTTACAAAGTTGACCTTTGGAGCAAGCGGGCGCGTTGTGATGAATCGAAACCCAATCTAAAGAAACTTGCGCATGAGGGGTCATCATTTCTCCCCGAGGCACACGCGCTGAAGTGACGAATGTCTACGCTAATATGAGCACGTAATCTAGTTGTAGCAAACAGAAAACTAAGTCTTCACAATTCTAAATTCATGTATATATATAAACTTGTACATAAGATACAAACACTGCAACTCGTGTTAATGTGATAACAGCATTTTTTACTTGAGAGAATATATATTATATTCTTGGTTCTTTCGGTAAAGTCACGTAGAAGGGAAATAATAAAATAATAAAAATAAAGCCATAAACTTTTATTACTTTATTATTTCCCTTCTATGTGACTTTACCAAAAGAACCAAGAATATGAATCCCTGCAGTCACGAAAGCTTTAAATCGAAATATAATATATATTGTTTTAGTCGAACTATTACATTTTTTATTAACCCTATGAGATGGGTCATAATTCGGTTGATTGAACATAGTTTTACACAAATCTTTTAGTCCAGGGGTGGGAATTTAACTTTCAAATTCCTTTGGTGGGGCAAATGAACATGCACTTTCGTCTCCTCTGCCGTTGAACGAGGCACTCGCAGTGACACAAGTGACTGAGCGCGACAAAAATTAGAAACACAAGTTGCCAGGTCGAAAATATTTCCCCTTTTTTTTACCCGATTCGACCGCCCCACATCTTTGCAGTGACGGATTGAACATCGTTTGCAGACCGCATCGTATGTATGTGGAACTTTTTTTCACACCGTACGTAGCCAACCGTGCTAAATCAGAGGTGCGAGGGAAAGACAACAAAGTGCTTAGGCCTCGTGCCTATGGGCCGCATGAAATTAAATCACGTGCCCCTAAATTCACCACCCTTGGTTTAGTCCATCCGGTTGCATGATTTCAGTTGATTTCCCTTCCATGCAAAAAAAAGGGGCGATTTTCCCCGTTAGGGCTGCTCCCTCGTGATGAAAAGAGTCACTCCGCCAAACTCCAGGAGGCTCTGCGGAAAGTACGGCGTTCGCTCCTCCGCTCGCTCGCTACTTGAAGTAGAACTCGCGCGTGAGCATGGACATGATGCACGGAATCTGCTTCTTGTCGTTGTAGGTGATGTCCCGTGAGCAGGACACGTACTGCGTGGCCACGCGGCGGTTCACGCACACGAGAATCTTCACGAGCTCCAACTGCGAGCTGTTCCTCAGCAGCTCTTCGCACAGCGACTGGATGAACCAGGAGCCCCTCTCCTCATTGCGCCACGAGTAGTACCCTGCAGGTGCGAGCCAGAGACAGACACGGCGTGCTCTGGTGAGTGAGGGGTGTCGCCGGGGTGTGTGCTGAACCAGCCATGATGTCCTGGCTCATATAAAGGGCCCCAGCCGCCCATGGGATGGCCTAGGGCTCGTTGGTGAATGGCCCTGGCTAAGGGTGGGCACCCGTCCTGGTTTTCCCTGTGCATGAGGGCGTGGTGATTTTTACACATGACATTAGATATTAGTTTAAGGCTAAGTCGACTTAGGGCAGGCATCGGACTGGACCAGATATCATGAACACTGATGTTAACCATGGCCAGGAATCGAATTTGTGTTGCTGGGTTCAAATCACGGTGTGCAAGCCACGGTGCCACCACTGCTCACATACAAAGACAAAGATCCCCCCATATAGCCTTAACAGAATGTTGGGGCAAGTGCTGTTAGCGAGCACCTATGAAGGCTTGCACGGTAGATTAGTGGGTGGGTGGCCAGCACAACGCCCGCCTGCCTTTGTCTCCCCAGTGGCGATGTTTACACATCACACCAGGAAGTCATTTGAGGCTGAGTGGACCTAGGGGAGGCGCAGGACCGGTTCGGATCATTGTCACTGGTGTTGGCCGTGAGCGGGAATCGAATCCGTGTCGCCGGATTCGTAGCGCAGCGTAGCGCTAACCGCTGAGCCACCACTCCCCACCACTGCCCAAACACACACAGACACACCGAGTGGGAAGGTCAAACGGGGGTTTCTGTTGCTGCGTAGATCTTCCCAGGTTGCGCTACGCAGCTTTCCGATGCGTTTTCGGATTGTGCCGCATATTGTTTGACTGTTATGCACAATGTCCGACGTTTTGCTCCACGTGCTGGGAGCTCCTTCAGGAACTGAATTGAGCGGCCAATCGAAGGAGAATGTAAGCTGCTCAGTTCGGTTACTGACATGTACCGTCAGACATCGTGCCAAATAGCACGCGGTAACAACCCCCCCCAAAAAAATGTGCCAGAGAGACAAGCGCTTGGGCCGGCGAGTGACGACACCAGCGGCGGCGGCACCTGGTACGGTGGAGAAGGCGTAGAGGAAATCGGGCTGGATGACGTTGTATCTGGGGAGCAGCGAGTCCTCCACTGGCTTGGAGTGGCCTCGGTTGTCCGTATCGTCGCTGCGCCCCAATCCGTCCACGTGGTCCACACCCTCGTCAAACATGCTACCCCGGCAGGCCTGCGAAGACACGCGCCTTGTTTATTGGTGCCCTCGGCAGTGAAGGCTGGGACAGCGGGCTAACTCCGGTAGACAGAGTGACCCCTGACCTGTATGAAGAAGAGCTTGGGCTTCCCGGCCAGCGAGGGGCAATGTTTCTCGGAGAAGATCTCTGCGAGGATGGAGACGGGGAGCGTGCCGTCGGTGCCGTACAGCACGCCCTCCTCCCCGTGGCTAAGGATGGCGCACACGAAGCAGGCGCGGGTGCCGTGGTCCTCGCTCGACGCTGCGTTGCGGAGAAAGCGCGCGGGTGTGGGCAGTGGGTACAACGCGCAACAGCCACGCGCGTGCTCGGGAAACTTCGCACGAGCAAACCTGGGCACGATTAACATTCTGGACTGTGGTCGTATCTGCGGCTGGAGCACCCAGTTCTCGCGGTGAACTTCACTCGTTGATTCCTCCGCCCATGCCGAAGACTCGGTCTCTCCACCAGACTGATGGTTTCATCTCACCCACGCTGCAGGTCAACATACTTCTCTTGTACTGCTCGACTTCTGAATTCCACCCCCGACCATGGCCGAACATGCATGGCATTTAATTAAAAAAAATCTGATCCCATGTATTTTTTTATGAATTTTCTTTCGGGGTGATTTAAACAATTGCTGCCCTTCACGACACCGCGACGGAAACTACATGCATTGCGTCTCCTACAGTACCTTTTTTCAAGTTGTCGACCATTTGCATGCAGGTCAGATCTTTATACGATTCCACTTGGAAGCCCAGGCTCACGAAGCACACTTTCAGCTGCATGGCATCCCGGTCTGTGCCCTTCCGGCGATTCATGCCTACCGGAGGAGGAAGAAGAAGAAAAACAGCGTTCGTCGGCTTGAGAGGGAGACAGAGGGAGAGCATTCCCACAGCCACACAATTACGTGCGGTCCACAAAAAAAAATAGGCAAAGATGCAACCCTACTATTTACTCGCTCGCACCGCTCGTAGACGAAGGGCCTTCGCTCGAGGGAGCTCGTCAAGAGCTGGTCTCGGGTGTACTTTGGTCTACTCTTCCACCATAACCGTCTTGGAGGAGGTGAGTACCCACACTTTACTCGACCACACGCAACCAGCCGATTGACTCACTTGTAGTGCACTCATTTATACTGGCATGTGGACAAGGGCTGGGGTATTTAATAAACGTGCACAATCGTTGCAAATGCTGTGCCCCGGAAAATCGAATGGAAGCAGCGGCCAGTGCCGCTTACCAATACACAACTGCAGCATACCCATAATAAAAACCCACCATATTATTGCCAACCCACACAAGGACATAGTCTCCTAAGCATTATGGAGTGATCGTTGATGTTAATCTGGAGCCTGTGGAGTAACTTCTACATCCAGTATATCCATCTTACCGTGTGTGGTGTGTTGAGCGCACCTGTTTGCGGAGAGAAGTTCTCGTTGTTGATGATAATGCACTTGCTCTTGACCTGGAAGTGCATGTTGTACTGCGCCGAGGAAGTCCAATCGATGTCATCTGTCAATTTCTGATCGCCAAGTTTGCCGTACGTCCCGGCACTGCCCAACGAAGGGCACACACGCATCGTTAAAACGCTCTGTTCACCACACTGCATCGTGAAAACGGTCGGAGATATTGTTTGCGCGGGTTAGGCTGCCCTGCTCACTTATTAAACTCTCGTTTTCTCAACCAATGGCACTCCCTTCCTACATGCCTGCCAGTCTACACCAAAAAAATATTTTCACGTACATGGCAGATCAAATGTAAACGCGGCTATTTTCAGAGGTGTGGACTCGAGTCATGTGACTTGGACTCGAGTCAGACTCGAGTCATGAATTTGATGACTTCAGACTCGACTTGGACTTGCATAACAATGACTTTGTCCCACCTCTGAGGTATGGACTCGAGTCATGTGACTTGGACTCGAGTCAGACTCGAGTCATGAATTTGATGACTTCAGACTCGACTTGGACTTGCATAACAATGACTTTGTCCCACCTCTGAGGTATGGACTCGAGTCATGTGACTTGGACTCGAGTCAGACTCGAGTCATGAATTTGATGACTTCAGACTCGACTTGGACTTGCATAACAATGACTTTGTCCCACCTCTGAGGTATGGACTCGAGTCATGTGACTTGGACTCGAGTCAGACTCGAGTCATGAATTTGATGACTTCAGACTCGACTTGGACTTGCATAACAATGACTTTGTCCCACCTCTGAGGTATGGACTCGAGTCATGTGACTTGGACTCGAGTCAGACTCGAGTCATGAATTTGATGACTTCAGACTCGACTTGGACTTGCATAACAATGACTTTGTCCCACCTCTGAGGTATGGACTCGAGTCATGTGACTTGGACTCGAGTCAGACTCGAGTCATGAATTTGATGACTTCAGACTCGACTTGGACTTGCATAACAATGACTTTGTCCCACCTCTGAGGTATGGACTCGAGTCATGTGACTTGGACTCGAGTCAGACTCGAGTCATGAATTTGATGACTTCAGACTCGACTTGGACTTGCATAACAATGACTTTGTCCCACCTCTGAGGTGTGGACTCGAGTCATGTGACTTGGACTCGAGTCAGACTCGAGTCATGAATTTGATGACTTCAGACTCGACTTGGACTTGCATAACAATGACTTTGTCCCACCTCTGGCTATTTTGCAACGGGCTTTCAGTCACTTAAATTATAAAACAGAAGGCACGGCTTTCTGTCAAAACCCAAAGCCGACCTTCACTCAGTGGGAGGTCGCTCATTCTCCTCCGCTGCCCCCACAGTCTGGAACTCCTTTCTCCAAGGCATGCGTGCTGTCGACCCCCCCCCCCCCCGCCTCTGTTCAAGTCCAGGCTCAAAAGCTTCCTTCATTCCTCGACCGCTGTGACTGCTTCGCTTTACAAAATGCAATAATATTCCCACCGTTTCTGTCCAGAATCCTGAGATGCGGACACATTTAGATGCTGCATAAATCCACATTGGATTATGATTACGTACGCTTCCCGATAGTCTCGTGTTTGTCTGTGCTTGTCTTCGTTGGCTAGTTTTAAGGATTATGAGTCATGGGTAGGGGATGGTCTTTGACACTGCCCAGGTGTTGTGACCCTCAGTAATAATTATCTAAGAACGCCTAAAAGCGTGGGACGTGAGCACTTGTGTAAGTGCTGTCATCGAGCTGTGTAAGCACGGAACTTGCCACGTGCTTGTGCCAGGAAGTCCCATCTGTGAAAATCTACTGGACATCTGTGAAAAAGAGCTTCAGAGCTCATCGGATTCCTCCAGTATCAATAAATATTCAGATTCTGATGGTACTGGACGTGTACTGTGCAATAACTATCGTGGCATTGACTTGCGAGTTCGAATACTTGTTGTGTTCTGTGGTTTCAGTGCTTTTGGTTAGTTTTTGTAGATGCTTCATAGCATTTTTTATAATAACAAAAGCAATATACTGGAGAAATAAATACAAAATGTCAACGGCATAAATGTAAATACTGGGGTATTTTTGGTAAGAAAGTGGATATTATCGAGGTTCTCAACCCTTGTATCAGCCTGGTGTTTTCAGTTCAGTTCAGTTTCATTTATTAGGTATAGCCCTGTGAGCCATTCGGCTCTTGAATCGGGCGCAACCGCAACAAACAAAAACATGAACAAGAAACATCTTAAAGTGGCTACGTGCAAACAAAAAAATCCAGGAAAAAACAGCCTTCCAGAAAAAGCACCGTTTATCAATGCTGTGTGCAAAAATCCCAGTGGGATGCAAGTCAAACAATAACAACCATAAGACAATTTAGAGGACATGCTGTGATTTCCAAGTGGACAGGTGCCTCTCACACACGTGTGTCTGGATCATGGACAGCAGAACTCCGTAACAGAAAGAACAGCTCTCACCCTCTGAATATATTTGGAAGATTGATGGCCTTTCTCCCATCTTTGCTGTCCATTGCAGCCTCCGAGATCAGCAGGCCCCTTTGCCTCTGGACACGTGACGCACGACGGTAGGGCTGCAAAGTGGGGGCAGAAAGAGACATTCGACCGGACTCGTGGCAAACCCTGTTGTTTTGGTTGTTGTCAAAAATGAGTGAAGTGACCTCTTTGCTCTGCGATGATTAATTTAAGCCCCGGAGCAAATGATCAAATGACGGTGTTACTTCCTTATTGAGAAAGCACCACAAAAGGCTGACACTGTAACGATTTATAAAAAACAACACAAGTGAATAAATGTTGATAATAGTTTTTTTACCCTTCTATCTGGCAACAAAACTGACACTTTTTTTTTTTACAAGGAGTCATGTTTGCATAGACCACAATACCTGCAGCCATAATGCAAACAAAAAAACATAACTCTGATAACCCATGTGAGACTAGGCTCTACGGAAAGCTGTCTCGGGTATGGACCAATCAACTTCAAGGACAGTGCATATATTATCAGAGTTATGTTTTTTGTTTGCATTATGGCTGCAGGTATTGTGGTCTATGCAAACATGACTTTTTGTAAAAAAAAAAAAGGTGTCAGTTTTGTTGCCAGATAGAAGGGTAAAAAAACTATTATCATATTTTTTACTGGCAAATGAGGTTCCAATGGTGAATAAATGTGGCAGTTAGTATGTTTATTTTTGTATTAAATCGCTGATACAATCACTCAAGCTCGTGTGCACGCGGGTGCTAGATGGAGCGCTGGATCGTGAGATTTGGTGACGGCTTGGGGAAGCCTTCACCCAGCTGTGGATTGATCTCGATCTATTTTAGGTATTTATTTTTCGTGATTTGCTTACCTTTCTTATACTTTGCACTCATACTGTTTATTTTATTTAGTTGTTGTAACTTTATGAGCCACCCCTACAGGACAGCTGTGAAAAAACGAGCTTCATAGCTCATCGGATTTCTCCAGGATAAATAAAGATTGTGATTCCGATGGCTGCTGATGTTTATTCTCAATAAGGTCATAGTTAATTCTAGATTTGAAGCTTTCGTGACTGCAAGGATTCATACTCTTAGGTTTTTTCGGTAAAGTCACGTAGGTAAAAAATAATATTAAAATTAATAAAAGTAAAATAAAAATCACGACGTTTCGGAAGGCAACACAAGCTTCCGTCTTCGTGCTGTGACGGTTCCACCTGAAGACGGAAGCTTGTGTTGCCTCCGAAACGTCGTGATTTTTATTTTACTTTTATTAATTTTAATTTAATTTTTTACCTACGTGACTTTACCGAAAAAACCTAAGAGTTTAAGGTCATAGTTAGTAAAATTACTTTTTGTATATACAGTAATTACATTACTGAATGGGTATTTGGTGTTTTGGTGCCCATGGTTTGGGACACATAACCTGGACATATTCTCAGCGCATTCGCAATTCATGAATTTAAGACTAATTTAAAAGCCACTTTATTTTCAGATAACATAAAAATTCAATAGACAAAAATATAGTACAGCAGTCTCAATCACACATTTACAATGCTGTTTATTCTCGTTCGTTGTGTTTACTGTCCTGCATCGTTTTTGAACACTATATTTGGGCTGTACTCACTTCCTTACTGGGCGATTCCTTTGTTATCATCTCAAATACCCCAGTGTCTCGGCACCTCGAAATCGCGACTGCATTGGAGATACGGTATCAAATCATATACATCACGGCTCGTGCCCCATATCGCCCTCGCGAATGAGTCTCATCCTGTTCGCTCGAGTTTCCTCACCTGGTTGAACCAAAATGAACTTCAACTTGAAGTTCGAAACTTGGCTCGCTCAGTATCAAGCTGCGACAAAACGACACAATCCACTGCGACGTGCCCGCTATTTTTCAGTGGTGGCTGCGAAGACAGCCAGTGGAGATACCACAAAAGCCAATTCCTATGTGATTCGCAATCTGCGACTCTCTTCCCGGCCATGGGGAAATCGCTGCTGCAGCAGTGACATTTAGTCGAGCTTTAAAAAAAAAAAAATCGGTAAACATCCACTCCTATACAGGACACAGTTCAAAACGGCAAACATACACTGAAGCACACAACAAAGGCGAAACTGCACACGTAACGACAACAATGCAATTGCCACGAGACCAGCAGTAGCATGGAAACTACATTACACAGAAGTCAAGAATGTCGTGTGGTCTAACCAGTATAACTCTAACATCCCACGGATGTACGTACAGGTTTAACCATACTTCACCATGCTGGTCAGTACGGATTGGTGAAGGCAGGTATGTATGTACTGTGTGTTGAATTTCTTCCGCACCGTACCTGCCCAAGCGTGCTAATCGGGGGTATAGATAGACATGGGGGGGGGTACAGGGTGGTCCAGATGTTCTTGTGATCTACATTTAACTCTCCAAAACTTAATATTTTATAAGTAAGGTTTATTTAAAACAGAAACGAATATGCAAAGGGAAAATAAGTGCTGAACTGCATTAGGTAGTTATTTAAGTTATCTAAAGCATCTTGCATATCAGCAGCCTCGACATAAGATGGGTTCTGAAATTGTGTAACTCTGTTTCAAGGTGAGTTGAACCGGTTTAGCCTTTACCCTAACCTGGTAAAGGTCTAATCGGTGGTACAGCGTAACAATGTGCTGTTATCACTGTTGTATGCTACAATGATTTTATTTTCACTGAAGGTGTACCACCCTCTGTATCCACTGCAACAGTAGTGCATTGGTTATGAACAGGGCCTGATTAATGTGTGGGTTTGAGATTCTGAAGCCTCTGGGCCTTGGATGATTGAGGACCCCTCCCAAAATTACGTACTGTTTTATAATATCTTCTTGGTTCTTTCGGTAAAGTTACGTAGAATGGAAATAATAAAATAATAAAAATTTAACATAATAAAATAATTCTCACGACGTTTCGGCCACAACGCAAACAGCCGTCCTGAGGTGAAGAGCTGGTCTGTCGGGAAGACAGTCTGAATGTTCTTCACATGAGGACGGGACGGCTGCTTGCGTTGTGGCCGAAACGTCGTGAGAATTATTTTATGATGTTTTATTTGTATTATTTTATTATTTCCCTTCTACGTGACTTTACCGAAAGAACCAAGAAGATGAATCCCTGCAGTCACGAAAGCTTTAAATCGAAATTGTTTTATAAAGGTTACTAAATCGCACTGTCATATATACGATTGGCAATCTGGAGATTACAGCCACAGCATATAACTATAGTAAGTGTGTTACTGGCAGGTATGTACAAAAAATGTAATACACAATGGTGTATTGTGTTCACTTTAACTTTGATTGAGCTTTTAGAATTCGTATACTGTATCACATATACAAACAAAACAACTAGAAGCGAAATATCTTAAGTAAAAACAATGGAGTGTGTGGCGTCTGTTATGGGTGGCATTACATCGTTAAAGGGAATGCATTGAACACAGCACAGTATACAAATATGTGTCGACCAAATCATAACAGCTTCACCACGCCCCGGCTTTGGGTAATTCACTGAACCCAGTGATCCTGAGTTGGATTCCTGAGCAAATCTCACACCAACCATCCATGCTGCTCCCTATTTTACCATCCATCATCGACCAGCAATGCGAAGTGTGGTTAAAACAAACCCGTATGATTGACACAACATGGGGAGGAGCTGACATTCATGCAGCAGTGCATGTAGCCTGACCATGGCAGAGTTTCTAGGGCACAGTAAACTGAATTGGCAGCAAATGCGTTTTTTACATACCAACCCAAGTTATGCTATTAACTGCCCCTTGTTTAAAATTAAACATTTGTGGATTTTTTTCCAGGCAATAAGAATGGCCACAGACTTAGGACACTGTAACATTGATTATATGTCATTGTTTAAGCTTACTTTTCACAGTTGATGGAACAATTTAAATGAACTTTACAATAGATGGACACCTATGAATACCATTCTACTAAAATGGGTACCATTTGTTGGGGAAGTCAACAATGGTTGTCCTTTGATATATGTACTGTACTCGCCTCTTGCCATAGGAATGTGGAATTTCCACTAGTGGCCCTGGGCTGTAAAGGGGGGACGATATCTGCCTCAAAGCTCATTTGAGCAGTAACTCACTATGACTTTGATGGACCTCACTGAACACCCTATAATGCTGTTAAACTGTAACCAAGTAACTTATTAGCAACAATAATGTTTTGTTTGTCAATAAATGTTTAATATTTCACTGAGTAATTCAGGGGAGTAAAATGTGATTGGCATATGCCGATACATCTACAGCACGATATAGTTTTTCAAAATACGATGGACTCCCCATTGTGTCTGTACAAGGAAATGTTACATTATAGTTTATTCGTACAGGTTTTGTTTTAAATAGGAAGCGCGTTATTACGCTGGTGGGGCAGTCAACACTCTCTACTGTGTTGAGATTGAATCCATCCCATCAGGTAAATTCTTATTTATTTGTACTTCCTATCATATTGTACTGCCAGTTAACCACTACAATAACAGACTGCTGAGGTATACAACATGTTTCTGTTTTCATTAGTTATCCATATAGCTGCTTATGTGTGAGACTCCAACTCTTCTATACAACCAAGGTGTACGAATATTTAAGTTTTTTCGCACCGTACACTACTTGATATACTCAGTACAATTGATCTAACTACTTATAATTAAGAAACATTTCAGAAATATACGCAGCTATCTCTTTCAGCGTTGGTTTTCTTTCGAGTTTCATAAATTGTATGCAACGGTAATTGTGTCAGTATAGCGACTTACATTTCTATTCTTAACACGTCGGCTTTCATCCATAATAGAAGTTGTTTTTGGCTGTGTCGGGTGGTGGCGGGTTTTAACGACACATTTATATATTTACGCGATCTAACCTCCCAAAAAAACTCTATTATGGGTTTCTATGCTTATTTCACAATATAGATTTTTTTACTATTCCCAAATAAATAAAAACTGCGGTACATTTTACAGGCAAGTATTTTTTTTGCAAACAGAATTATGTTAGGCGAGACGCTAGATTTAACTGGTAATGTTATTGCTGAAGGACAACAATACAGCATAAAACAAATGATGAATGTACTCACATTCTGCCAGCTCGCTCTATGCGCCTCTGTTGTTGACCTGCCTATAAATAGGCCTCCGTCACTGTGGCATTTCCCCTCTCTCTCTCTCATAGGCCAGCCAACCTGTGCACGTCATGTTTGAATGCAATATCATTTTACATATTTTTGGGCGTCAGCTAATGTGGGTGTTGCCAGTCGCTTATCGGGTGTGTGTGTGTGTGGCCTCTGTTGAAAGGTGAATTGACGTGGTCCAGTCTGGCACCGCCCATGGGATTTACCTGTGCGGACCGTAGAGTTGCCACCTTTGGATTGAACAATTTACATGGGCAAAATACAACACAGGAGAGTGTTGGACTTCAAAGTCATCTATCGTACAGCTGCACCATTCAACATTACAATTGACGGTCATGTAATCAGTTCGGCACAGGAAGTCACAAATCTAGGGGTCATCAGTGACCCCACTTTGTCATTCAAGGCTCATATTAAAAAGATCACAGAAACAATGTTTTCATATTCAGAATATCTCACGCATCCGATCCCTTCTCTCTGCCTCAGATGCAGAAAAGCTGGTCCATGCCTTCATCTTATCTCGCATAGACTATGGTGATGTCTTACTCCCTGGCGTGGCTAAAAAGGTGCTAATCAATTTGCAGGATGTTCAAAATGCGGCTGCTAAGGGTGTTAACCATAACACCTCTTCACATCATATTACACCCTTTTGGCCTCCCTACACTTACTTCCAGTTTCACGTAGAATACAGTTTAAAATCATATTGTTAACTTACAAATCCAGTGAACCATCTTGCCTCAGACAGCTTTTCTTAGAGCCTAGTCTCACATGGTGTTGGACCAGATGACGCCAAAAGGCTCACGACACCACGTGAGACTAGGATCTAAGAAAAGCTGTCTCGGGTGTGGACCAATCAATTTCAAGGACAGTGCATACATTATCAGAGTTGTGTTTTTTGTTTGCATTCCGACCGCAGGTATTGTGGTCAATGCAAACATGACTCGGGATAAGCATTTACAACCATTGGAACCTCATTTGCCATTTGCCAGCATTATGACTGCAGGTATTGTGGCCTATGGAAACATGACTCCTTGTAAAAGAGGTGTCAGTTTTGTTGCCAGATAAAAGGGTAAAAAAACAATTATTATACGCTTCCCGCTTATTAAATGTTCAGTTCTTTAAGTAAATTCTTTTTAAGATGTATTTATAATATTATTTTCATGCTGAGTGTCTGCTGCTGTTGCTGTGTCCTGTACAGCGATTTGAGATCCTTGATGAAAAGCGCTATATACATGTACGTATTATTAATTATCTTGGTAAATACGTGTTTGGGACAATGGTGTGATATCACTCAAGCGCTTTAAAGAGTTAAACAGTGCCAATATAAATTTAGATTTAAAGCTTTCGTGACTGCAGGGATTCATATTCTTGGTTCTTTCGGTAAAGTCACGTAGAAGAGAAACAATAAAATAATAAAAATATAAAACAATAAAATTATCACGACGTTTCGACTGCAACACACGCAATCATCATCAGGTGTGAAATCCACAGCAAGAATTTTTTTTTTTGAAATTATTGCTGTGGATTTCACACCTGATGATCCACAGTAATAAAATTTGCTGTGGATTTTGGACGATTTTTGACGCCCCCCCCCTTTCCTCACACGGCGTCACAAAAAGTCAGACCCCCCCTCAAAGATGACGTCACAAAGCTCTGCCCCCCCCCCCCCAAATAAAAAAAACATGCTTCAAATCGCTTTAAAATATTGTCATTGTAGTGCGTATTTAACGTGGCGCTGCACTCTGATGTTGTAGGAGAAAACATTTATTAAAAAGTCTATTTAATTAAGTAGAACGTGTTGTCTATATTTATTTAAAGTTGCGCATTTTGATGTGACGTCACATTTCTCACCCCCCCCCCCCCTCGTCACACATCGTCACAAATGTCTGACCCCCCCCCCCTCGCAGGTGCGTGACGTCATTTATGGACGGCCCCAAAGCTCGGCAGACCCTCCTGGAAGGAAAGAGTCGTGAGACTCCAGTGAGGCGTTCCTGCTAAATAAGCGTCATATTGAAGGCCCTCCAATACTGTTGACTGGAACAGAGGACCCAATCCCAAATATTATCCGAGGGCAAAGCCCCGTTTTTGCCACGGAATTACAAGTTAAACATTTAATTACTGGAGCGAACTTACACAACAGGCTGTTGACCAGATGACCTGGCTATAGTCAGCTGTATCATTACTCTAGTCTGCATTTTTTGACGGGGCAGTGAGCATGCCGAGGCACGCCTTTTTCGGCGAGAGAGAGAGAGGTGGGGGTGGATGGACCTCACGGGGTGTTTCCTGGAGACATATAACTTCGATTTAAAGCTTTCGTGACTGCAGGGATTCATCTTCTTGGTTCTTTCGGTAAAATCACGTATAATGGAAATAAAATAATAATAAAATAATAAAACATACTAAAATAATTCTCACGACGTTTCGGCCACAACGCAAGCAGCCGTCCTCAGGTGAAGAACAGGTCTGTCGGAAAGACAGCGTCTGAATGAACACCACCAGGCTTGGCAGCGTATATTTAAGCTGTCAAGGCGCTCTTCCCCCTCCAACCCAGCTTAAATATACGCTGCCAAGCCTGGTGGTGTTCATTCAGACGCTGTCTCTCCGACAGACCTGTCCTTCACCTGAGGACGGCTGCTTGAGTTGTGGCCGAAACGTCGTGAAAATTATTTTATTATGTTTAATTTTTATTATTTTACCGAAAGAACCAAGAAGACATATAACTTCGTGATGATGCTGCTGCATTGGCAGTGGTGCACAAGCACACGTAACGAAAAGCAGGTAAAACACATTGGAGGGTAAATTGGACATCACTGTGATGTGTCGGGTAACGAGGAACCCAGGGACGTGAGTTTTCTTGTCGGCCACGGCTAACATTGTTGGCGAATGATGTCAGAACTGGCCCTGGGCCATCTGGCACGAACCAGATTGGTGAGGTTACGGCCAAACAATGACCGACGGCGTTGGTGAGGCCTTCATATATCAGTGGATTGACAATGGGCTGATAGTTATATTATATTATTTGGGTCTTTCCGTAAAGTCACGTGGATAGATTTCGATTTAAAGCTTTCGTGACTGCAGGGATTCATATTCTTGGTTCTTTAGGTAAAGTCACGTAGAAGGGAAATAATAACATAATAAAATAATTCTCACGACGTTTCGGCCACAACGCAAGCAGCCTTCCTCAGGTGAAGAACAGGGCTGTCGGAAAGACAGCGTCTGAATGTCTTTCCGACAGACCTGTTCTTCACCTGAGGACGGCTGCTTGCGTTGTGGCCGAAACGTCGTGAGAATTCTTTTATTATGTTTTATTTTTATTATTTAATTATTTCCCTTCTACGTGACTTTACCGAAAGAACCAAAAGACATATAACTTCGTGATGATGCTGCTGCTGCATTGGCAGTGGTGCACAAGCACACGTAACAAAAAGCAGGTAAAACACATTGGAGGGTAAATTGGACTTCACTGTGATGTGTCGGGTAACGAGGAACCCAGGGACGTGAGTTTTCTTGTCGGCCACGGCTAACATTGTTGGCGAATGATGTCAGAACTGGCCCTGGGCCATCTGGCACGAACCAGATTGGTGAGGTTACGGCCAAACAATGACCGACGGCGTTGGTGAGGCCTTCATCTATCAGTGGATTGACAATGGGCTGATAGTTATATTATATTATTTGGGTCTTTCGGTAAAGTCACGTGGATAGATTTCGATTTAAAGCTTTCGTGACTGCAGGGATTCATATTCTTGGTTCTTTAGGTAAAGTCACGTAGAAGGGAAATAATAACATAATAAAAATAAAACATAATAAAATAATTCTCACGACGTTTCGGCCACAACGCAAGCAGCCTTCCTCAGGTGAAGAACAGGGCTGTCGGAAAGACAGCGTCTGAATGTCTTTCCGACAGACCTGTTCTTCGCCTGAGGACGGCTGCTTGCGTTGTGGCCGAAACGTCGTGAGAATTATTTTATTATGTTTATTTTTTATCAGATTGGTGACGTTACGGCCAAACAATGCCCGACGGCGTTGGGAGGCCTTCATCTATCAGTGGATTGACAATGGGCTGATAGTTATATTATATTATTTGGGTCTTTCGGTAAAGTCACGTGGATAGATTTCGATTTAAAGCTTTCGTGACTGCAGGGATTCATATTCTTGGTTCTTTAGGTAAAGTCACGTAGAAGGGAAATAATAACATAATAAAAATAAAACATAATAAAATAATTCTCACGACGTTTCGGCCACAACGCAAGCAGCCTTCCTCAGGTGAAGAACAGGGCTGTCGGAAAGACAGCGTCTGAATGTCTTTCCGACAGACCTGTTCTTCGCCTGAGGACGGCTGCTTGCGTTGTGGCCGAAACGTCGTGAGAATTATTTTATTATGTTTATTTTTTATCAGATTGGTGACGTTACGGCCAAACAATGCCCGACGGCGTTGGGAGGCCTTCATCTATCAGTGGATTGACAATGGGCTGATAGTTATATTATATTATTTGGGTCTTTCGGTAAAGTCACGTGGATGGGTTAAAAGAAAATAACAAAAAAACTACGACGTTTCGATCGCAACACAAGCAATCGTCCGTCATCAGTTAGTTGATGTTTGTTTTGAATGTCGAAATATCTACATTTAAAATTAGCACACGACAAAAGTGCTTCTCAACCAGTGTGGCAGTATTTTCGGAATTACATGAAAGGAAGGAATGTTGTGGTATTTAGTGGGACCGATTTTCTTTGGTTCGGTGTGCCAGGAAGATCGAGACACCCCGAATGCGCGCTGTGGGATGAAGAGGACTGGGAAGCAGTGCATTACAATACACTTCTTAGGGAAACGTATTTGAATGATAGGGCAGTTAAAAAATGTATAAATTGTACTGTAACACTATACGTATAAAGATCATCTATATATAGTATATATGAATTATGTTGTTTAAATGACGTACACATTCCCGTCGCTGCAATGAATATCTAAGATGTGAAATTGACCTCGAGCTATGAAAGCCACTCAAGACTCTGTCGGTGTGTGTGTCGGTATGGTAAGTACCTAAATGCCACAAGAACCCACCGAAAACAACGCTTGAATGTTCGAGCTCTTGGTGTGGAAGTTCAAGTTGAGTCCGTTGTGTTAGTCCCAGCTGATGTATGCTACGATTGTATCTGCTGACTTATTTATGATAACGATTTCTTCGGATACCGCATTGCTTGTAAATAACGTGAACACCCGTGATAGAAAACTAGTGTAGTCTGGAACAACTATGTGTTTCAAACAACACGCAGAAATGTGTCCAAACAAAAAACCGCTCAGCCTCGTATTTTTAAAAATTATCAACAGTTCCTGTAGAGCTATACTATGGTCTTGTCTGAGGTCACCATAAAATAAATATGACCACATGTGACTGATGGACTGACATGCAACAGTGAGACAGAGAGACAACGAGTTCCATATAAAACCCAGTTAGCATTCTCTCTCGTCAGCCAACACTTCCAAATTCTCGTTAAGCTGCTACAATGTTTAGTTCAGCTAGAGTTTATAGTAAAAGCTCACAGGATAGCAGCAGATCAATGATGGTGCTGAACCATTTGGTGGCCATGAGCAGACAACGTTTTTGGGGATCCCTCTTTCGATTTCTAACCTCCTCGTAAGATGACAAAAGAGATGCAGACAAGAGATGGAGGCGTAGCGACATTAGACAAATGCAGATAAAACGCAGGGTTACAGTGAGATGGGATACCGTATCCGAGATACAAAATTCTGCAGACAGAAATGTAGTCAAATGAGAGGGGTTGTAGGCGCAATACTGTCGTAGTTTTTAGTTGGTATTTCATGAGAGTTTATACCAGTGGGAGTAAACCAGTGCACCAGGAGAAGCTCCGTGTACACGAGGGGGGGGGGGGGGGGCAACACAATCCCCGTATTGATGAAAAGAAATAGCGATTAGTCCACTTGCTGTACTGCCATCTTCTGGTGAGTCCACGGTTTGGCATCTTAGGGACATTTAACATTTCTATGCTCAACCACCAACCCTCGCCTTCGCTACCCGGAAACAAGATAGATTTAGAAAACAATCAGACATTCAAACAAGGTAGGGATTCGATAGATTGCAGTAATTCGAGTTTTATGTTTATTAGGATTTAAATTCGAGATATTTGGTTCACTCATATTGTTCACGAGCCTAGGACCCCTTGGGCTATTAGGGGTGCTGGGATTTTTCTTAGTTTGCTTGTGCCACTTCCACTGCAGCTGATACCAATGCCCATCAGCAGCTGATATCATTGCCATCAGCAGCAGCTGATATTATTGCCCATCATGAGCTGATATCAATACCCATCAGCAGCTGATATTATTGCCCATCAGCAGCTGATATCAATGCCCATTATCAGCTGATATCAATGCCCATCATCAGCTGATATTATTGCCCATCAGCAGCTGATATCATTGCCTATCATGAGCTGATATTATTGCCCATCAGCAGCTGATATCAATGCCCATCATCAGCTGATATCAATGCCCATCATCAGCTGATATTATTGCCCATCATCAGCTGATATCAATGCCCATCATCAGCTGATATCAATGCCCACCATCAGCTGATATCAATGCCCACCATCAGCTGATATCAATGCCCACCATCAGCTGATATCAATGCCCACCATCAGCTGATATTATTGCCCATCAGCAGCTGATACTATTGCCCATCATCAGCTGATATTATTGCCCACCATCAGCTGATATCAATGCCCACCATCAGCTGATATTATTGCCCATCAGCAGCTGATATCAATGCCCATCAGCAGCTGATATCAATGCCCATCATCAGCTGATATCAATGCCCATCAGCAGCTGATATCATCGTCCATCATCAGCTGATATCAATGCCCATCAGCAGCTGATATCAATGCCCATCAGCAGCTGATATCAATGCCCATCAGCAGCTGATATCATCGTCCATCATCAGCTGATTTCAATGCCCATCAGCAGCTGATATCATCGCCCATCATCAGCTGATATCAATGCCCCGTCAGCCGCTGAGACGATTTAGAAACAGCAACTCTTGTCAGCTTGCCGACAAAGCGGCGGCACGTCACGTGGTGCGGGTCACGAGATCCCCTTGCAGTGCTGACGCGGGGCTGGGTGGACGCTTATTGAATAAACTAAAGCGTAAAAAATAAACACGCAACTTTTAACGCTCCATCGCGGGGACCGCGGATCAGCATGGTGAGTTCGGTGTTGGTGTTGCACAGCGGATTACGTGTTTTTTGGGGAGGTTTTTAAAAAAAAATATTTCTTCCCGTCGATCACCGCCGATCCGAGCGAGACCGCTTCTCGCCGCCTCGCCCAGCGGGCCTGAGCGCGGGCTTGTCGGCTTGGGCGACTAGGCGATACCGAGGCTTCGGCCTAGTCCTGCCGGGGATCCGCTTTGACTTTCGAGGTCGTGGATGTAGTGCATTTGTGTGTGTGCTGGGACGGGGTTTTTAATGGTAAAGTGTCTTAAAGAGTTAAACCACCTCGCTTAATTAGCCCATCGGGGCATTAATGTTTATACGGAAATGTAATTGATTTACACTCAGTTTATCGCCTGAGTAATTGCTCGGCGTCGCAATGCAATTTCGTCCTAGTTAAAGAGACAACAAACGAGGGCTCATGTTCTAAGTACGTGCTGCCTAAGCTGTCGTCCCAGGATCTCACATCGCCGTTTTAAAAGAATCGTTCATGAGAAAGGGCAAATTGTGTAAAGTTACGACCAAGCTCGTCATTATGGAACGCCGGTGCAGTCACGCCTAAAATACCCTTTGATAACGCGTACATTAATGAGGTTCCACTAGCTTTGTGAGTATCGAGTTCCTTTGTTAATAAAGCTTAAACAATGTATATTCGACAACCCGGAACACATGCCTCGATATTCTTTTAAGTATTGTATCTACAAGGTAATTGTGTGTGTGTGTGTTTTAGGGATGCATTTTAAAAGTGAAAACAAGTACAGTGCCATGATTGTTTATTTTATCATCAGGGATGTGTTTGTAATGTGATGGCTTTTTAAAATGTCCGATATTGTATCGATGTTTGCATAAGTGTGCGCTATTCTATTCCAGGGTCTTGCTAAAGCATTTTAATCGGATGCAATCTGGTTTATTGAAGGACTGAAACACACACACACATCACCTACTTTTTTCACATTACATATGTACAAGCAACCATTACCGACTGGTTTCTGGTAATTGCACAGTAATTTAATAAACACTGACAGTGTTAATCGCCTTGTTTGGAAAAAAAAGTGTAATGTGGGAGCTGTTAAACGTTATAATCTCAACTTGCCAGACTAAGTGCGCACATTAAAAGTCTTGATTACATACGTTGCAGGCATATTATTGTAATACACTTGCGATGCATATAGCAACGTCTGCATTTAAATAAGCAATTGTAAAATAAGTGCTACATTTGACAATGCATTCACTTGGAATGAATTTACAAGTCCAGTAAAGCATCTAAAATGGATTTTTAAAATCCTGAAAAGCATCCAAATATGAGCATTTGTAATGAAGAACATCTGCCATGTGTGGAAGTCAAAATGGAAATGTGTTTTATCTGCGATAGCTGCAACAATACCTATCAACTACTTTTGAATAAATCGCTTAGTTTATTGAAACAAAATGATCCCAACATTACAAGTCTACACACTCAAATTAGTACTACATATTTAATTTTTTATAAAGACACGAAAGTGCACACAGTCCTCAAAGCTTAATATCGGCCAATATATGCCACCTATTTTAAGTGCTTAACCAGAGGTCACCTGTTTTTAAGTGTTAGAAGTGTTACATTTTAATACGTGTTTGCTGTTATAAAACATTGAAAATGCGTAGTGCCTACAGAAGGACAGTCACACAACACGATGACAGAGTGCCCTTTGTTGGTAGTTACTGCTGACTATGACAAGTCACATGTTTTACATGTGATATGTGCATAAGAGCCTCTCTTCTTGTAATTGCCATTATGAAACAAGCACCATCAGTCGCCATGGCACAAATCTAAGCTGAAAAATGTCACGCTGCTGGGTCTCGTACAGTCACAGTAGCTACTCATCCCGCGGAGAAGGCAATCTGGCTGCCGATGGACACGCTTAAAGCTACGGCTGTAAGTTGTGCAGGCTCGTGGTTTGCGCACCATCATTATCACAGCAAAACCTTAACCCCAGCTGAAAAGTGTGTGCCTTAACCTGAAAATGCAACCTTTTACTTGAGTAAAGTGGAGCATCTCTGGACGGTGGAAACTTGTTGGCTGGAATGTTTTCTATTGTAACTTCGTTGGTGGTGTTTACACTAACTTAGCAATGTCATGAGTTGAGCAATTTTGCACGTGATGTGTTACATTTGCATGTGCCAGATTTGTCGCCTTATGACAGGATTATCTAACATTTGCTGCGGTGATACAGGAGTAACAATTAACTAATTTATGGTAATTTGAATGTAAAATGTGTACGTATTTGAATCAACACAAATCGTCAAGAAGACCACCTTCAAGACAATGATGTAATACGTGACGTGCTATGAATATAAGGGTCATTGCCGAAATTGTCACTTGTATAACTGGTCGTATTTTTTAAGTGGTGTTATTGATGAATGTAAGTTTTTGTTATTTGTGCTTGTGCAGTAATGCCAATGCACTATCACCAAATGATTTGTAAACATTTTTTATGATCTGCTACTGATTTACAAGGCGGTGATGACTTTCTTCAATTCGGCTATCACAAGCTTGATGTGTATAGCTGTTTTGTCAGTTTTTTGCCAAATGAGGGCCTCCCTATGCCATGGGCTTTTGTGGAGGTCAGTTGATTATACTTCATCACGCAAGTCAGTGAAGGTGTGGAGCATAGGCGTGGTGTCATAGAAGCACAGTACAACAATATATTTTCTGGCCCTCTGCTGCCAACAGCATCGCCCCATAGTCTAAAACAGCCTGTTTACGCATGGTGGTTGACCCTCCATGCACGAGCCAGGCCCAAACTTATTTTCTGAGATTTGATCGGGCACATTTGGGGAGATTTGGTCATAGGTTTTAAAATATGAGACATGAAAATGCTAAAAATGTTCTACATTACTTTGTTATCAACCAAAAATTACGTGCCGAAAGACCCAAAGAATGAAAAAAATTATGTACATAATAAATCATTATTTTCAGCTGGTGTGCCGTGATTTGTTTATTATATAGCAGTGGCTGCTTAACTATTCAAATTGTGTTATAAACAATGTGGGTGCATTGATGAAATAATGGGGGCTGTTATGGAGTCGGGTTTCCACACTGGCCATAGCACAATGTGAATGTGTTTATATTGAAGATAATTGCATTGTGCTGTGCTGCATGCCTATCTTATGTATTTAATCTCGAAAATCCTTCTGCTTGCGGCTGTGACAGAGTTTCCTCACGGGACTTCTGGGCCCTTCTTGCGAGATCGACATTGTGTTGGATGGAGCGGAGACCAGAAAGACTGCCGAGATTAAGACCGAGGATGGAAAGGTGGAGAAGCACTTTTTGTACTTTGACGGCGAGTCCGTCTCCGGAAAGGTAAGTTCTGTTGCTTTCCTTAAGTGTATCGCAGTGGAATAAATGTATCAAGTAAATTATGCATTTACATTGTTTAAGTAAATTAAGCATTCATGTTTTTTCAACCCATATAATTTTTTAACAGTACAAAGTATAGAGTTATTGCTTCCTATTAATAAATTTTTTTTTCAACTTGTGGTTTGTTTGCAGGTGAACATCACCATGAAGCAGTCAGGGAAGAGGCTGGAGCACAATGGCATAAGGATAGAGTTTATTGGACAGATTGGTATGCCTTACATAATTTTAACTGCACCAAACTATACGAAATGTGCAGTCTTAAATCAAACCGATGGGCACTGTAGCTATATTACTTTGTCAATACTGTACGTACAAGCGGACATTCTCATGTTCCTCTTTAAACATGTTTTTTAATCATTGACAGCCCCGTGTCAAGCACGGTTGTGATGAACGCCTCTCGATGGCGTGTTAGTCACGGGGGTTGTTTGACCAGACTTAATTCTGGTAAGTGCGAGTTTGGCGAAGGTGGGGGGGGGTCCAGGGACCAGTTCAGATGTCACTCGCCAGTTATGTCAGCAATGGCTGCGATTTTAACTTGTGTTCACTGTGTTCACAGCGCAGTGTGCTAACCACTGCACCTCTGTTCCCCAAAAATAATGACGTGCAGTGTGCTCGTTTCCGTTTGATTTGCTTGCGTCTCTCTTTACCCATAACCCCTTCTGTTGTATCCGCCCCTCTTCACATGCCTGACCGTCTCATATGTCGCTGTAACTATTGTCGTCACCAGCTATTGTTTAGCTCTTACTGATGTCTCAGTACAGTATCTTGTCTTACCATATCTCTTTCCTCTAATATCATCATACCGTCACTCAACTGTTGTTTTTTATCGTGGATTTTTCCCGTTATCAAATACTTTTTTGTCACCATAAAAAACACGTTATTGGTCAGCTTCAGCTGCACTCCCAATTAACTATTCGGTATACAGCCAGACATAGCTAGCTTCGCAGCCTGTAACACCGGTTATACACAGCGGTTGCTCCATCCAAGAACTATCCAGGCTCCTCCTTGCTTGGCTGTAAAGGGACTGATTTAATGGGGTGCATTTCGATTTATTTAGTCATGGTGTAAATGCAGTAGAGGGCAATGCAACGCAATCCATCGTAACGTACTCCTATGCTTCCCCATCTCTTTATTTTGGTGATTTCGAGAAGTGTATTGGTTTGGCCATGTTTGTTGTAGTACAGAGTAAGACTGATGGCATTAATCTAAGTTGTCTTGTGGTTGTTGTTGTTGTTTAACTTGCTTCCCACTGGGATTTTTGCACACAGCATTGGTGTACGGTATTTTTTATGCAATATTTTGCTGTCTTTTTTTAATTTTCTGTTTGCACTTAGTCACATAGTCACTTTAAGATGTTTTCTTGTTCATGTTTTTTTTTTGTTGCGGTTGCACCCGATTCAAGAGCCAAATGGCTCACAGGGCTATACCTAATAAATGAACTTGGAACTGGAACTTCTGCCGTGCCTTCACCAACCCTCGCTGACCGGCATGGTTATGTATAGTCACATCACCCCCATGAGCTGCACAGCATGGGGGGAGGAGCGCCTTCATTTGTAACAGTGGATTGACAAATAGCCGAACATGTACGTGCAGCCATCGAGCAAGCAAACGATGATATTCACACTTGCTGCACGGCTCTGGCGCTCGTGTTGTTTCAGAGCTATTCTATGACAAGAGCAACACCCACGAGTTTGTGAGTTTGGTGAAGGAGCTGGCTTTGCCCGGGGAGCTCACGCAGAGCCGCAGCTACGACTTTGACTTCATGCAGGTGGAGAAACCCTACGAGTCGTACACCGGCACCAACGTGCGCCTCCGGTGAGTTGACTCACCCACGAGCTTTTTTTACGAGCACTCTTCCCCCCCGCCCAAGCTTTCATTAACAATGACCATCGCTGTACTTTCAGCTTGGCCGTTGATTGTTTTTCTTAAAATGAGGTGCAAACCAATAGAGGTATAGCATTGACTGCAGCCAAGTCAAGAAGAAAGTTCGCAACGATCTACATTACTGTGACTATATGGGATAAAACGTTTTTGACATATCTGGAGTATTACCACAGCTGTTGTAAGATTCCCCTATTCCGTTTGTGATCAGATGTAGATACTCAAGCATCTCATACCAAAGAACAGTCCAATATCTGTAACGTCTCAAGATAAAATAGTCATTACGTGCTTGCTATGAATGTGTCGAGTGACACCCCAAACACCCTTGCGATTTTTGATCTCAAAGGACCATCTCGGTAAAATATTTTTACGAAAAAAATGGTACATGTATTGCTGTTCTTGTCGTTCTCCGTGTTACGAAGCCAAAACATGGTAAACAAAGAAGTACGTACTCTCTGGGTACATTAGCGTGTGCAGATTAGTCTGGGCTTGAGAATGTGCCTCATTTGCATACTGTAGTATATATGCAGTTCTTTTCATTATAAGAATTCCACTTTTGAAGAAGTGATATCTCAGAAAAAGATCATACAAATGTACAAAACATCTAAATTAGATCATTCTCTTACAGGTGTGGTATATGGACGTTTGAGTGTTATTCCCTCATACCTGGGTTTTCTCTGAGGATTCTGTCTTCCTTTCGTATGCAAACCACTCGTTGAAATGAAATTGACCAAAGCACAACCCAATCCAAGGCCCCCTTCTGAAAAAGTGTTTTGTCACTCGGTGATGCTTTTATGGGTAAACAAAGAATATGATTATTACAATTACTATAGTCTCATTATGTTGTGCATTCCCATTTAGTGCAAGTCTAGATTTGAATGACTGCGCAAATACATGTTTTTAAATTGCACATGCACGTGTCTATTCCTAATGTCTGGCTGTGCGAGTAGGTATTACTTGAAAGTGACAATCGCCCGCCGTTTGACGGACATTGTGAAGGAGTACGAGCTTGTGGTTCACCAGCTCTCCACATACCCGGATGTCAACAGCTCCATCAAGATGGAGGTGGGCATCGAGGACTGCCTGCACATCGAGTTTGAGTACAACAAGTCCAAGTGAGTCCAGGTTTCAGTTAATACTCTGCATTGAAATCGTATGAAACAGGAGGTGGCCAGTTAAACTAAAAGCTATTTTTTTATTTTCTTTTAGCAGGTAAGGCCAATCGAGCTATATAACTATTTTTCAGAAGCGACCTGGCCACAAATGATAGCTCAACGGAAGTGGCTTATCACTTGGAAAATTATAGCAGCAGCGAAATAGTCTAAATGCGTGTTTCTAAATGTGGAGGGAAAAATAGGAGGATCCAGAGAAAAAGTCCACGTGACAATGGAAAAAGCCTGGAATCTCCAGATATACAAGCATTAGGGTGGGGATCAAACCCACGACCTGTATACCAGGCGAGGTTGTTAACATCTCGTCACCGTGGCACCCCAGGTGACTTGTCAGAGCACGAAGTGGCTTCCAAGGGAATTAAGTATTCCTCACACTGAAAATAGTACACTTGATTGAGATAACCTGCTATTTTTTAACCTCTGAAAACCCTCTAGAAAATTTAATACTTTGAGGAAGCATTGAACTTATTGAAACCATTGGCTTCACTCAGACCCACACAGTATGCTGTCACAATAACATCAACACAGCCCCACCCATCACAAATATATTTAAGCCATGTGTTGTACACCTTGGTATTTCCTCAATCAACGCACGTTCACCAAAACATGAAGAGCTTTCTTCCTTTTCAGTGACAGGGAAACACTTATTTTTTTAATCAACTTGGTTTTCAAAAACAATGTTTTAGTTCTCCGGTGTTGAATTTATACATTTTTACTGGTAATATAAATGTTGGGTGATTCCACGAGAATCACCATTGAAACAACCACCAATTCAGCTTGGCATTTCGGCAAGATGTGTGGCCAAGTCCAGTGGCAGCACCATTGCAGTGTATTGTTGGTGCCCAGGTTTTGTTTTAATGGCGATTCTAGTAAATACCAGCCGCACCACCGGGGACTTCCACTGGGAATATTTCACCACCCGCACTGCCACTGGGACCTCCGAGACTACCACTTGGACTACTGGTACCACCAGAACTCCTGGGACTACCATTAAGACTACTTGGACCAATGGGACTACCAACGGGACCACCAGAACTGCCACCATGACCCACGGGCCAGCACCACTTTGATCGCTGGGACCACCGGGACTAATACTCGGATTCACTGGAATACTGGAATATCCATCATTACTACTACTACTTGGACTATAGGAACTACCATATCATTAGATGCTGACTCATGTATGTAAGGAGTTGCCCAGATAATAATTGCAATTTATGCTGGAATAATGCAGAATGGAATGGTATGAATCAAATGTGATTCCTGCAAGAATATGCCAGCTCTAGTCATCGATAACATTAACTTTTTCCTTTCAGTGAGCTGATTGCTGATGTGGAAATGACCAAAAAGCTGTAGAAATTATGATCTTTGATAGGTAATGACCATTTGTGAAGTGTTATATGCGTGCAAGTGTGATAGTTGATGGTTTTGGCATTGCTGTGCAGGTATCACCTGAAGGATGTGATTGTGGGTAAAATCTACTTCCTGCTTGTGAGGATCAAAATCCAGCACATGGAACTGCAGCTCATCAAGAAGGAGATCACGGGTGGTGGTGAGTGGGACAGTGTTGTGGCTGAGAGCCTAGGACACAACACTCATTCATCACAATATCGAATGTTTCATTAATTTAGTTAACTGCATCCACATATGCTATCAAATGCAGTTAATACAAATTACTCATTAACTTGATATAGCATGATCTTATTCACTTTATGGGATGTTATTCACATGAATGACGCTATATATAAATGAAACATCGTACTTGGCTTGTTGGGGTGGTGGCAGGTTTAACGACATTGATATTTACGCGATCTAACCCCAACAAACCTTTGTTGTGAATAAAATGTAAGTATTATTATATACAGTTTTATTCCAATTCCAGTGACACTTCACTACTCGGGTGATACACAGTTGTAAGTTTTAGTGTCCATGTGACTATTGGGCATGCATTGGTGACTAAAGATCTGATAACAATGGGTTTATTTGTTGTCCCTGCAGGTCCAAGCACGACCACAGAAAGCGAGACCATAGCCAAGTACGAGATTATGGACGGTGCCCCCGTTAAGGGTGAGTGATTTGTGTCTGTCTGAACTCGTCAATAAAATAAAGAAGCCATACAATACACCTCATGACTTCCAAATATATCAATAAAACAGGTTATACTCTTTGGTTCTTTTGGTAAAGCCACGTAGATAGAAAAGTAAATAATAAATATATTTTCCTTTTTTACCTACGTGACTTTACCGAAAGAACCAAAGAGTGAATTCCTGCAGTCATGAAAGCTGCAAATCAAAACTGGTTATATTATATCTTCTTATTTTATGGGATATAATGACAATTTCAAAATAAAACCTTATTCAAAACTCGACAGGGATGACCACTCAAGCATTATAATGCATTATAACCACTGTACTGTGCATGTACATGTGTACAATCCAAATGTGGGATAAAGGGATTTGCCACACTTCGAGTTGTGATTGGTTATTCGACAATGTTTCATCACGCTGGTGAATGTGGGTTGGTGAAGGAGGGAAGCTTAGATGTGGTAGCATAGTACAGTAGAGCATAGAGTTTGCTGCATTGCCCTCTGATGTTCATGTCGTAGCATAACCCCACAGTCTTTGCTGTGTAAAAAGCTTGTATAAAAAAACATTGGGCTACTGCATGCCTGCGCGGTTGTAACCACCCGAACTGCTGTGGCTCGCACAGGAGAGTCCATCCCCATCCGACTCTTCCTCGCCGGCTACGATCTCTCCCCCACCATGAGAGACGTCAACAAGAAGTTCTCTGTGCGTTACTTCATCAACCTGGTGCTCATCGATGAGGAAGACCGGCGATACTTCAAGCAGCAGGTGCGTGGCAGGTGTAGGACGTGGGCAAACGCGAACGCCTGGCGAGAGCGGACCGACCGTGTGCCTGCTTTTTTTCCCGTCACCAAATTTCACCCACGTGTAGTGTATTGTTTCAATTTCACCCACACGTGCAGTGTATTTATTAGCCATGTTGCTTGTCAACCGAGAGCTTGCCAATCAGGATAGGATTTCGTAGGCCTACAAAAGATTGACATCGCCCGGGGGGGATCATAAGGGTTAGAGGTTTATGAGCATGGTTATAATTTTGAACTGTTTTAAATCTCTCTACCTGTGTGTGAATAAAGTATATTGTAAGTGTGGCATGAGGATATAAGGGGTCACAAGTTAATCTTAAATAACTTTTGAACCTTTTTTAACAGCTGAAACTGGGTAAGGCAGCAGGAGTGTTCCAACATTCTTGCTTGAAGTGTTGAAAGAAGGTGGATAACAGATGCTGGAGTAGCTGTATAATCAAAGCTGTATGGGATAGAGGGAGCATTTCCCACATGATTGGAAAAAGTCCATGGTAATACCATTACATGAGATGACAAATAAGGAGTGTAATAACTAGAGAGACACATTTCCTGAGAATTCTAAGGAAAGGGTTTACTAGGGTTTTGCTAAATTGAATAAACGGGCAAATAAAAGTACACTTAAGGGAAAGCAAGTGTGGAATCATGTAATTGGGAAGAAAAGTGTTGCTTTTCCTCACTGCGCACCAATTGTATGTTTGTTTAATTTCTTTCACACCGTATGTAGCCAACCATGCTCATCGGAGGTGCAGGGGAAGGACAACAAACTCAAAACAACACGCAGTTCTAAAGAAATTCATTTTCAATCTAGATTTAAAAGTCCATAGCTGCAGTAGCTTCCTCATATCGGAAGGTAGAGGATTCCAGATGGCCGTAGAAGTGCATCTTAAAGCACGCGATGCAGTGACCGTCTTCATTTTGTGTGTGATGGATATATGTACGTTTTGCTCAGAGTATATTGGGCTGTTCACAGGAGGTGGTGTTATGGAGGAAGGCTCCAGAGAAGATGAAGAGAAGACCGTACGCATACCATTACGAATCGACAACTCAGGATGCCCATCAAGCTGAGATATGATGTTTCACTGGCCAGCTCTTTCATCTGTCTTGATTAACCCATCGCTACCTCCCAACTTCTTCCCCTTGTGTGTCCACGTGCAGGCTGTGTGATTTGGAGGTTTTACCAAATTATTTTTTTTGCATGATTTGGACATAAACACCGAACTTTCACATTCCGGAACATCCATGTCTCAGTTTCCTCACTATTTGAGACCTGGGAAACATGGTGGTGAAAGTTCATCTCGGTTTCAAAGTAAAACTGTGAGCAAAGTCATTTCATTTGGGTGTGTTTCTTATGTGTTTGGCAGTACATATTCATACGTAAAGTCATGTTTTTGTTTTCTCAAGTAATGCTTCATTTTTCACAAACGTGTTGTACTTTGTTTTGCACATTTTACTGAATTATCTTGATCGTTTTTGCAATTTTCGTTTTTCCCATAATCGGTTATAATCTAAAAGGTTATTTGTAATTTGTCCAATTCTGATTGTAATGGTTATTATCCTTATTAGTTTTTAACAATATCACAATAAGGAACTTTGCTTATGATCATGCGCTGTGCGAGGCACTGCGTCATTTCGTTTGGAGGCTATGCATTAGCCACATTTAAGATGCAGGTTTATTCGGTTTAAAATTAGCCACAACATTAAAACATAGCACTTTATGCCCACAAACAGTTTTAAAGTATCATGCAACGGCAAGCACATCCTACATTACCGTCTTTCAATGAGAGAGAAAAAATAATGAAGATCATTTTGGTTTACATTTTCTGTCTGTACTTGACAGTTACCACCGAAAGTGCAACATTTTATTTGTTAAAAAAAAGTGCAGCACTAATGTCAGCCTAAAGAAGATGTCGCATATTCACCGATATCCAATGATTCATCTGCTGTGTTGTATATCATCAGCGCTGCTGTGTGATTACCCTGCCCGTGTAAGTCTTGCACACGTGTACTTATTTAGAACCGCATGCCCTCTTGTCATCAGATTCACTTTGTTACTATCTTAAATCACGTCCATGGTTATATATGTACCCTTGTCTGCATGTTCTTCAATCAAATCGCAGTACTGTATACCACTGAACCATCAAGCAGTCGGCAAAGGTTATAAAAAAAAGTTGTATATATCCATCATAAACTTGTATAAAACTCTATCTTTAACATACCACAAATACATATTACCAAGAATAGCGCCTGAATATCTGCGAGTTCAGTGACTTTATTGACATGCAGTTATCGCATATTATGCATTTGTTTAAACCTTTCGATCATGCTCCAAACTTACTATAAACTTGATATGATGCGGTGTGTATGCATTCTCTCTGCCTACATATGCTAACATTACAGCTAAAGTCAATTGCTTGTAGTCATTGGGCAAAGTCCAAATCTCATGTATTTCACTCGATTGTAAAACACTTGACTTGAAAAGGAAAAATTTCATTGTGACACTTGGTATATTGGGGTATTAATGGCATGAAGGTCCTTGAAAAAAATATACATTTATATAAATGTTTATTCATGAGGAAGCCATTCTTAAAGGGTGATAGTGGCTCTTGACAGGTCATTCTAAAACAAAATTGTGCTGTATTAACAAAGGTTGCGCTGCCAATTCCAAATGTTTTTGCCTTCATTTTCTGAGCTGTTATCAAAGCATGCTTGTTAAACGCTTAATATGCAGTATAAAAAGCAAAGTTTTTTGTACATTGTGTGCCAGTGTAGTGGTTTTCTTGCTTAAATGACACGCAGTCCACTACTCCACGCAGTAATCGGAGTACGAGCAGTGTGGCTGGCTTTACTGTTATTTAGCAACTGCAGATTAAGAGCTATGACTTATGCCAAACGACAACACGTGAATGGGAATGATTATATAAATATTGGCAACGTCAACTGCTAAATATAGGTATTTGAGGCATATTTTTGTGTTATTTCAAATTCAACACCTTTCCCTTTGTTTCTGCATTTTATGCAAATAAAATTGCTAATTGAGCATTTTACACGGGTTTTTGTATTGGAGACCAAATAGCTTTTGTGGTTAAGACGCTACCTGCTATGAGTGCACTAAGAAGCCATGTTTATGAAGCGGTGTTTTGCTCACCTGTTGAAGACTGCACACAGTGCACCTGGCGAACCGAGTTCCGATCGCTTGTTTAATACCCCACTCTTGTTTGCGAGCGATATTGTAACCGATTTAACCCGGACTGACCAGCTTCGTGGAGCGTGGTCAAACAAACCACCATGACTGCCCATGGCACGGGGGGGTGGGGGGGGATTCAACTGCAGCGGTTTGGATTAGGTGTTTAAAGGGTGTTTGACGCCACGTGGCCACTGTGTTCTTTTTGAAATAACGAGCGCATCAAAAGTCCGTGCTCCGTGCAGGCATTGCTCTGCTCGGGCGTGCAACTGGAGTCGCTGCTGCCGCCACCCTTTTACCTTGGTGCATGGGTTTTAGTGGCGTTCACGACGTGTGAGTGGTGGAGCTTGGGGGGTGGAGACAACATAGCCGTCAACCCATACGGTTCACCCGAATTCTTGTCCAGGGAAATTGAGTTCAGGTCCATACGGCGTCCAGCCGTTTCAATACCGCCAATTTTAAAATTCCTTTATATTAAGTTCGCTTGCTTGCTTAGGACCGTGCAAATCTTTCGGTCGTTTTTTAACTCACTTCCCGTGATCCAATCGAGCTGACATTTTCCACACAGACTCGTTGTGCGTGACAATTAATGTTCGTGAAACTGTTTTCCAAAATTTTACACTTTTTAGGACAAAAATATATTTAATTACCAATTGCTTAATGGTGCAATGCAATCATCTGACCCATAGGTGGCAGCCATCTCAAGCCACGCATATAAAGGATGTATAGTGAAAAACTTTGTTTTTACGGGTTATACTTGTTTGCTATTTGTTTCTCCCTTGGGATGGGACTTTGTCGGATGAACATTGCGATTTGTAAGGGCACGGGGTGACCAATAGGGTCTGAGTTGGTCTTATAAGGGAGGCACTAATAAGGGGTTTACGGGTATGAGACAAGAGGGCGGTTGGGGTGGGGCGATTTCACGAATACCAAAGTCACTCTTAGAGAAATGGATAATATAGCGATGGGGCAAGGGGTATCCAGACGAGGTAAAAAGGCAGCTGATAGGAGCAACATGATATCAGAGATGAAACGATAGGGAAATGAACTTGTTTGAGATAGAAGACGTGAACATACTTGAAGACTGAACAGTCACTGTCATTAGGCCATTGGACCGAATATATCGGTATAATTGCCTTTTTTAAACCCCAAGATGCAATACGATTGCGAGACGATGCTCACACATTTATAGAGATGTGCAATCATGGAACCACTGACTTGCCTGCTGACATCTGTAACTAACTTAAGATGATCATGTTGCAAGATTAATATACGATTGGCGTGACTGTATATTACCTACTCTGACCTTTCGATCAGAAAAGTGGATATTAATGAAGCAAATTGAAGCAGAGTGCACAGAAGCATAGAGGTACATGCTTGGAATGACATACATAGAAACAAAAGGATTCTAAAACAAGCAGATTAAAGGCAATTGACGAAGCCAAGTGGGCTTGGACAGGACGAGTTGCTAGCAGGGATGATGACCAGTGGTGAATGATGGAATTGCATTCCAGGGAGGGAACATAATGAGGAGACGGAGCAATTAGATCAGCTCTTGTGCAGGTGCCGGGTAGATTGTTGCATCACAGGATCGTGATTTGGGGAGGCTTTCATCCAGCAGTAAATCGATCGTGGCTGAAGATTAATTTACTTTTAGCATACAGGATTCATTATGATTGATATCGAACCACTTGTGCACGTTTTGCAAATCAACATTTTTCAAATCAACATTTGAGCTTGCTTTTTGTCTACCGAATATCCTTGCAGTTATGGCACTCGCCACCAAATCTAGATTTAACTCGCTACCAAATCAATTCGCCTGTGCTTCCATTTCTGCACCAGATCTATCCAGTTTAAAAGTTGAACTTAAACACCGTGTGACACGAGCACTTGTCATTATGGCAAAAATAAGGGTCATACCAAATATGGGTGTCGCACGTCATCTCCCACCTCCTGAATGAGTTGTACTAGAATGACATGGATTGTTTTTAGTACACACCTTTACATTTGAAGTAGTCCGTAAAGTATATATTCTGGGGTGGAATGGTGGTCCAGCAGTTTAGTGGCGTGCGATGAATCTGGCGACCCGAGTTCAATTGCTGGCCATGGTAAAAGCCAAGTTGCAATTGATATTCGACCCGATCCTGGGACACCCATCTCTTTCACCAACAAGTAAAGACCAGCATAATGAAGTATGGTTAGACAAACCCCATGGGACTGATGAGACAAAGTATTAATCCATCAGTGGATTGACTAAGGGCTTTGCATTATTTATGACATTTATAATACTACTTACATTGATGTGCCAAAGTATGTACACAAGCAACAGATAAGGGGGTGATGGAAGAGTTGATGCATCTTTCCACGGGCTCCGCCAAGATGTAACACTGCCAGGCTTGACAGCTCCTTAGTCAAGACTGTACGTGAATTGCACCCACCAACTAAAAATATACTCCAGATTTAATAGTTCGCGTAGACTACCAATTAAAATGCATTCAACCAATGTTCATTTTACTTTATGGAAAAATTACAAATGTATCAATTTCTTACTATTGCATAAAATTGTTGTCTTGGTTTGCATGACATGATTTTTCAAACATTTCACCTTTTAAGTTATAGAACACAAACTTGTCAGACGTGAATCCACCATATTTTATTACCAGTACTCAATAACATTCACCAATTAACAAAATCTGATAAACAAAAGCATTCAGATCATAGGAATCGACATTATTTAACGAAGTTTAATATCCGATTAAACTTCACTTTGCATATTCAAACCAATGCAATTTTCCCAAAGATCTCATCTGATTTGTGAAGGTCTGGGACTATTATGCACCACATCACACTATATACAATGCCAACGTTGCAAGAAAAATAAAAACATTATTTAAGGGGATTGTCTTCATATCCCAAAGAACCCAAACTATTGAAGTATAAATCAGTACCTGTTAACTAAATATGTATATATATTTTTAATGTGTGCACACGCTGTAGCATTATTGATGTCTTTTCCTCGTACACCTGGATGATTGGATTGATGCTTGAATTGTTTCCATTGGCTGTTGTGTGCAAAGGTTGCACAGCACTCACAGGCTCCGATCACTGAAAGAGAAACGTGTGGTATTTTAATTTCTAAAACTGATACCACATTGCAAGAATAATGTACTGCAAAAGTAAAAAAAAAAAGTCCTGTTTATGACTTTAAAATAACATGACGCTCTAGTCTGGTGCGCATGCACACACAATACAATGACATACTATGGTTAGATGTTGAAGTCCCGACTCCGTTTGAGCGATGGCATGGCTTCACTCACGTTCTGATCCAGACGCTGATATTTGGTCCGCTGCCCAGTGGAGGGTTTTCTCCCAATGCAATTTGACATGATCTGTAAAAAAAACATGTAATATCATCACAAACTAATCATGATCCAGAGGCTCTTGTACTTGTTTGGGCCTACATGTTTATCCTATATGTCAACATATTCACCCCAAACAACACCAATATCTAGGCTGTGTGTCTCCCCAGATGTCTGGATGTGTTTCAATCTTTCTTTCGGAAAACACCTTAAAACCATGGCCAGGTTATCTAGTGATTGAAAGATATAGACACATTATTATTCAAATATATAGGGATGGCATCACCAGAATGCTTGACTGCAACTTGGAGGTCTTATTTTCTCAAAGCTTAAATTGTCAGACAACCCAGCCCCATATCGACAAAGGGTTATCTGCTGTTTGGGTCACATCCTCATTTAAGTTACTATTCAAACAAATTGGGAAAAAATATTTATATCCACGTGACTTAGTTTTTAGGACACCAACTTGACTTTTTACGATTCATTTTATATATTCGCTTTTACGACCAATATTTTGTTTTCATGAATACAGTAGTTTAATTTTGGCTAGATCGTGTAGGTATAATGTATTGTTTCAACTATAACTCTCCACCATCCGAGAGAAACAATCAAATCAAGTTGTCATGTGGGCAAATATGCTAAATTATAGTTCTTTCCGCTAACCAGAATGTTGAAAAGCAAGCAAATAAATTGTCACGTGCACATTATACCGACACGATCTAACCCGAAATGAATTATGAATCATATTTTACTGTTACTATTTACAGCCCATTTGTCAATCCATATCACAGGGCACTACCCTACACGACACCACCGTTTCACATCACCAACTTGACAAAAACAGTGGATTTTGGCAGAATGTTAACAAGTGTGCTATTGTGCCGTTCAGCCTTCCAATGTTTTCGGGTTGCGGTTCAGCTTGACGTCTGCCGTGTCGCTACTCTAGGCGCTGGGGGCGGGGAGGGGTGGGAGCCTTCTTGAATTCAGTTCCTGAGGAAGCTCCTGGCATGGAGGCGCGAAATTTCAGGTGTCGTGGCGAACGATAGACGTAACCCGAGGACGCATTTTTTTTGGTCTACGACGGTGTGATCCGTTAGCCTCACCTTGCGCTTGTTGTGGTAGCCGATGTACAGCACGGCAACCAGGGCTGCAGCGACCACCAGGTACGTGATGAAGTGGCTATCCTCCTCTTCATCGTCAGCCAAGACGTCGATTCGCGGTTTCACTTCTTGCAATGATTCGTCGGCATCTTGTTGGTTTGCGTCCTCGTCATCATCGTCTGCATCCTTTGGATTCTCGTCCTCGTCATCATTATCGTCACCCTGGTCAGTTGCCACGTTGTTGTAATCGTCGTCTTCTGGCACATTGGCTTCTTCTTCTTCTTGTGGTTCATTAATGCTGTTGTTGCCTTCTTCCACGATGGTGGTCGATGGAGAAGATGTAGAGGTTGCGACTTTTGTCTTAACAGGTGTCTGAACTCCTCCGACTGTAGTTGGCAGCTTACTGGTCGTCGTCGTTGGCTCTTTTTTTCCTGAAAAGTGGTTAATAAAATACATCAAAGATGGTACTCTACAGCAGTTTAACAATGCACAAACACATGGTGTTTAGCTTGGCTCATTTTCCAATTAAAGCGCACACATGGAATACGCCTAAACCGTTTGAAAAATACAATTGATCTATAAAATGTAGTAAAAAAAATGGGCGGCCCTATTGTGAAATCCACTACTGCCCGAAGGCTCCCCCCCACTCCCACGTTGCGCAGGTAATGGGGGTTGTTTTACCATATTTCACCACACCGTTTAGTGCGAGTTGGTGAAGTGGCGGAGAGTCCAAGACCAGTTCAGATTTCACACGCCATTTATGGTATCTGAGGGCAGGAAACGAACTTAGGGGCTTTGTCTGGTTCTTTGCACAGCGTGCTGATAACTGCGTCAGCACGCCAGCAAGTACTCTCGCTAAACTAACCGAAAACACCCAAAACCACCGTTATGGGACCTCCTTTGCCAGTAGCAAAATATGAGAATTGGTTATAATGTAGCAGCTCACCCCGAGCTCTCATTACTGTAATAGTGCATTGTCTCTGTGCTATACTCCTTTTGGCGTCCTCTGGTCTAACACCTTTTGAGTCGAGGCTCCAAAGAAATCTGTCTCTGGTGTGGACCAATCCGTTTCAAAGACAATGCATATTATATCAGAGTATGTTTTTTGTTTGCATTCTGACCACAAGTATTGTGCTTAATGCAGACATGATTCCTTGTAAAAGGTTTCAGTTTGGTGTTTTAATATCTTAACACCTGTTTTGTTGCCAGAAAAAAGGGGAAAACCTATTCTCATACCAAGCCACCGTTTAAGTCCTAACTAACACGGGGAAACGCACACACACACACGCGTACAACAATACATGATTAGGATTTTTTTTTACCGAGCTTTTGTGGGTAAAAGTGTTGTGGATGTCAAGGTATGCGAGAGAAAACAGGCAGGTAAACTATGAAATGAAGTACTGAGAAGCAGGGGGCAGACCAAATGAAAGCCCACTCCTCTACAGCTCGTCGTCTTTCCAGAAGTCAGCTCAAGTGGCACCTTGCCACACTCACCGCTGCCACGAAAGCGATGGTCAAACCCAGTGGGGGCCCAACCCCAGTGGTCAAACCCAGTGGTGGGGGGGGGGGGGGCAGCATATGACCCCAAAAGGCCCCGATCAATGTGCCGCTTTCAAATACGGGCAACGATGATAGATATTATAATTGTTTTTTTACCCTTCTATCTGGCAACAAAACTGACACATTTTTTTACAAGTAGTCATGTTTGCATAGACCACAATACCTGCAGTCATAATGCAAAAAAAACATAACTCTGATAATGTGCACTGTCCTTGAAGTTGATTGGTCCACACCCGAGACAGCTTTCCTTAGAGCCTAGTCTCACATGGGTTGGACCAGATGACGCCAAAAGGCACACAACTTAAAGACAATGCACCATCAGAGTATGAGAGTTCGGGATAAGCATTTACAACCATTGGAACCTCATTTGCCATTTGCCAGCATTATGACTGCAGGTATTGTGGCCTATGGAAACATGACTCCTTGTAAAAATGGTGTCAGTTTTGTTGCCAGATAGAAGGGTAAAAAAACAATGATCATATTTTTTACTGGCAAACGAGGTTCCAATGGTGATGATAGATATTTTTTTTACAAAAAAGCCAGCAAACACGTCGGCGTGTGTGTCTGTTACTCTCTACGGTGGCAATGTCATTGACGAGCACCATTGCAACATCGTCTAAAACAGTGGTACCAAAATAAGCGTTTACACCTCCCTCGCCACCAAAACGCAGTTTAACACGTAAGGCTTTCGCGACTAAAATTACATTTTTATCGATTTAACCACACCGCCCCCCCCCAAAATAAAATTATTTATCGCGAACTAAATGCATTGCTCACTTTTTGTTTAAACAAATACACAAAATTGACGGCACGCTTTCGTCCACCGACGCTCCACATGGAGTGTGTGGGCCCTCTCGTCAAGCCGCTGTATTCGATTACATCGATCGGCTGCGAGTCGGTTCGTGTTAAGAACTAAAAGAAGATGCAACTAGGGTGAGCTGGGAAGATGCCGTGAGATGTGTGAGATGTGACGATGATGAATAGGCGCAGAAATAGAAGCTACGTTAAAGACGGCCTCCTGAGCAAGCCGATCAAATGGACATCGGTGATACAAGAGCTCCGTCCGTAGCTCTTCGGATTCCTCCCGTTGTACATAAATATCCCGATTGTGACCCCATGCAGGCATGGGGACTTCTGGCTTTAGTTAAACTCACCTGCCACGGTCGATGGCTTCGTCGGCACGTTTGCAGTCGGAGATGTTGGCTTGGCGGTCTTCTGGGTTGATGCCTGGGTGTCTGCCTCATCCCCGCCCTGGGAGTTTGCCTCATCCTTGACCTGGGTGACTGCCCCATTCTCGATCTGGGTGTTTGCCCCACCGTTGACCTGGGTGTTTGCCCCATCCTTGCCATGGGTGACTGCCGTATCATTGTCCTGGGCGGCTGCCACATCTTTTTTCTGGTTGGCTACCTCCTCACCCTTGCCCTGGGTGGTTGTCACACCCTTCTCCTTGGTGGCTGCCAGAATATTGGCCTCTTCGGGTATCACACCATCAGTCTCGCTGGATGGTGACGGATCAGGAGCAGCGAATGCAACGTCGCACAGCGCAGCGACGAGAGCGAGCGCCAGCGCCGCGTACACACAACGAGCCCTCCTCATGGCGGGCGGGGAGACGAGCGGGGGTTGTTGGTGAAAGCGACGTTCTAACGTGGAGACGAGAAGGCGGAGTGACCCCCGTGCGTGGCGTGAACTCGCTCCGTGTCTCGTCCTCTTGAGCGTCCGTCTCGCACCGCCCCGGACACGCGGCGAGTCACATCCGCGTGACGCATCCACATTCCCCACAGCGCATGCGCGTAGTGGATTCGATTTCACACATCCCATGCGCGTAGTGGATTAGATTCTCTACACCGCATGCGCGTAGTGGATTAGATTTCCCACATCTTACGCGCGTAGTGGATTAGATTTCACACAGCGCATGCGCGTAGTGGATTAGATTTCCTACATCTTACGCGCGTAGTAGATTAGATTCCCCACACCGCATGCACATAGTGGATTAGATTTCACACATCGTACGCGCGTAGTGGATTAGATTATCTACACCGCATGCGCGTAGTGGATTAGATTTCCCACATCGTACGCGCGTAGTGGATTAGATTATCTACACCGCATGCGCGTAGTGGATTAGATTAGCCACATCTCACGCGCATAGTGGATTAGATTCCCCACACCGCATGCGCGTAGTAGATTAGATTCCCCACACCGCCTGCGCGTAGTGGGTTAGATTCTTTACACCACATACGCATAGTGGGGAATCTAATCCACTATGCGTATGCGGTGTGGGGAATCTAATCCACTATGCGTATGCGGTGTAGAGACTCTAGTAGAGTCTCTACACCGCATAGAGTCTCTACACCGCATACGCATAGTGGATTAGATTCCCCACACAGCATGCGCGTAATGGATTAGATTCCCCACAACGCATGCGCATAATAGATTAGATTCCCCACACCGCATGCACATAGTGGTTTAGATTCCCCACACCGCATGCGCGTAGTGGATTAGATTCCCTACACCGCATGCGCATAGTGGACTAGATTCCCCACACCGCATGCGCATAGTGGATTAGACTCCCCCAACACCGCATGCGCGTATTGGATTAGATTCCCTACACCGCATGCGCATAGTGGATTAGATTCCCCACACCGCATGCGCATAGTGGATTAGACTCCCCCAACACCGCACGCGCGTTTATACGAGCGTATTAAACAATTGCTCTAACAAAATCGTCAACGACACTGTTGGCCTTAAAAAATTGAAAACCAAGTATGCGCATAAACAAGGGCCGGGTTCGTACAAATGGCCCTTCTCCGTAAGCGCGTACACCGCGGCGATTGTGCCTGGCACATCGATTAGACGTAACGGGAGGAGCGGTGGCTCAGTGGTTAGCGCACTGTGGGCTTTACGTGATAAAACACATTCCTGCGGAGGGAGCTGGTAGGAACGTTGGGTTGCTCGGTCAATGGCCAGGGTCAACGGCGGCGTGGTGTGTTCCGCAAATATGCCCGACTGTGAGGGCGAGCACAAGCCGGCGTGAGTAGGTTAAACGTTGAGTTTTATAAGGGCACCACGGGGTGACCAGCCCCTCCTTACCCAGCCCCACCCTCCCCACCCAACCCCTCCCCCACCCAGCCCCTCCCCCACCCAACCCCTCCCCCACCCAGCCCCTCCCCTCCCCACCCAGCCCCACCCCTCCCACCCCCCACCCAGCCCCACCCCACCCAGCCCCTCCCTGCACGACGGACGGACGGACACAATAATCCCCTGTGGGCTGGTGGAACCAGTGGGTTCCTACCAGTAAAATAAATATTTTCTTTAATTTGGAGTGATATCTAAACTCACCCCCCCCCACAACCCACTCCCGCCCTCTTCGCCAAACCGAACTGACCAGAGTGGTGAAGTATGGTCAAACCATACCCCCAATGACTGACACTGAGTGGGGGGGGGGGGGTGAGGCCTTCATCCAGCAGTGGATAACGCAGAGGCGTGACAGTATCGCATTGTCTGTTGGCATGCACGTCATTGGCCCACAATTTCGATCTCGTTACATTTCTTAAGGTCCGCGCACACGGTTTCCGGAGATAACGGCAAATGAACGAGAGTTGATTCTACACTGGTTAATACTGCAGCAAGAGATGAACCGGACATTGTTTATTGAATCAAAATGTTGAAGTCCGAAGACTGAATACGTTGAGCTTGTGAAAAAGCTCGTTTTTTTTTCACAGATGTCCACAACATGGGCGAGTCAGCGAGTCACAACAACAATTGAGATGGTGGTGAAAGCAGAGGTCAGTGTAGATAAGGGGCCGTCCATAAATGACGTCACGCGATTTTGAACGATTTTTGACCCCCCCCCCCCCCCATCGTCACACGGCGTCACAAAAAGTCAGACCACCCCATCAAATATGACGTCACAAAGCTCTGCCCCCCCCCCCAAATAAAACATGCTTCAAATCGCTTTAAACTATTGTCATCAGGTGTGAAATCAAATGTTCTTGCTGTGGATTTCACACCTGACGACGATTGCTTGTGTTGCAGTCGAAACGTCGTGAGAATTTTTATTGTTTTATATTTTTATTATTTTATTATTTCCCTTCTACGTGACTTTACCGAAAGAACCAAAAATATGCTTCCCTGCAGTCACGAAAGCTTTACATCGAAAAGGTATGTATGTGTGAAGTTCACAAGTGTAAAATAACATTTGAAAATGATAATGTCTGAAAGTTATTACCGGCATTGCTCAAAATAAAGGAATGACTAACAGCATATGGGGAACAGGATGAGAGGAACAACACTGGCCACCTCGTGTGCCGTGTGGCTGTGGTGGCACACACCTCTTGGAACCATTTTTATTTTCCTGCCTCTGGGTAGAGGTGCCGCCTGTCCTGGTTTTTGTAATAAGGTAGGGCACTGATAATTGTTTTTTTACCCTTTTATCTAGCAACAAAACTGACACCTTTTATACAAGGAGTCATGTTTGCATAGACCACAATACCTGCAGTCATAATGCAAACAAAAACACAACTCTGATAATATATGCACTGTCCTTGAAGGTCCACACCCGAGACAGCTTTCCTTAGAGCCTAGTCTCACATGATGTTGGACCAGATGACGCCTTTTGGCGTCATCTGGTCCAACACCAACACCATGTGAGACTACATTATCAGAGTTGTGTTTTTTGTTTGCATTATTATTGCAAGTATTGTGGTCTATGCAAACATGACTCCTTGTAAAAAAAGGTGTCAGTTTTGTTGCCAGATAAAAGGGTAAAAAACCAATTATATTTTTTACTGGCAAATGAGGTTCCAATGGTGTAAGGTAGGGCACTGATAAGGGGTTGACAGGTATGAGGTTATACCACGGCAATCTAATGTCAATTCACTCAATGCAACACGCAAAAAAAGTGTATTAAATTTTCTGTAATCTGCGTGTAAATGTTGCACGTGATGGTTGTTCAATGCCAGTTGTACGACTGTGTTGATACGTGAGATTAGATGCGTGGTAACCACCAGGTTTGTTTGTGTATGGAGGGGTTTCTGTTTGAGAGTAAAGTCCAATACCAAACACATTGTTTAAAGAGTAATAAACAATTAGAATGGATCCGGTTTGCTTAGCGAATGATATCCATGCGTTGGGTAAACATCTGTTTCAGGTAAATGACCTTAATAATAGGCCAGGTAAGCCAACTGAGAACAAGAACACTGAACAGAAAAGGTCAACTCAGTTCAATTGGAAATGGAATTTTGTTCAAAGCACGGAGTCGTGCAGTATTCTTGTTCTGTGCAGGCAGAATTGTATGAAAGCAATGGAAACATTCGGAATAAACCTCAAACTGTACCATAGCACGTGACGATAACAACTATCAGGGATTGAATCTGTGTTGAGCGGTCGCAGTTAGGCACCCAGATTAAACTTTCTGGAAGGGGTCAGATTGAAGTGATTAATTTTGGGAAAATATTCATTGCATATACAATACATGATTTCAATTATATCATGTGAAATGTATCGAAAATGTGATGTACTAAAGCATTTCAATTACTTTATATACAATTTCAACATTTGTAAAAAAAAAATCTGTAGAATGGTTTATGGGGCAGTTGACCCCCCACCAACTCTATGAAACTGCTGTGGGTGGTCATGAATAGGGATGACTATTATTTCACAGGCACGCTCAGTTTAATGTGAAGAAAACACACACACACACAACCAGTTCCACACATATCACATTTTAGACTCATCTCTGCAAACAAAACAAGTCTGTACAGTACTCACACTTGACCTTACAGATCAGTGTGCCTTGGCACTAAACTATCTGCGTGGACCGTACGTCACCAAACCAGAATATTCTAGAATATTCATGGGGCTGGGTGAGCTCAAAAGTACGTGCCCTTTTCTGTGACTTAAGTTTCACAGCTGCTGAAAACGTGGATTGTCTTTCATGTAGAGCTTTGGCCTGTTTCTTAAACCTGTAATTATTGAAGTGTTTGTTTCTTAAACCAGTGTGTTTATGGCACGGCACTGACCACCCTTATTCATCACAACGAACCCGTTTAAAATGTATGGGTGGGGGATGCGAATATACCATATCCCACTATGTGACAGTAACGATATACAACTAACTGCATTACGCAATGCTTTTGTGTGGCAGCTCGTTTAAGTCTGTGGTCTTGTGGGTTGGCAGTTGGTGGCAATGGAACTTGTGGCTTCCTGTGGCTCTCTGTGTCCGAAAGTCAAGCAAATCATTATCAAACATTTGTTTGCATTGCTTTGTTTTATTGGTTCAGTGCACAGCCACAGCTACTTTTGAAAATCGCGTTTTCTAGAAAAATTCCATGAGTAGGTAAAGACGGGGTCACTCGTCCGATTGTCGATTAAATCAAATAAAAATGAAAATCGACTACATTTTCTTTAGTCAATCACTCAAGCTCCCTCTAGTGGAAGCCCTTGTGCAAAGTAGTGGAGTTAGCAAGACATTGCAGGGCTTCGTTGTTACCTACTCGGGCCCCCTATAAAATATGCATCAGGGGTCGTTGAGTGACATAGAGAATTCACCGCGTCCATTGTCAGACGGGTTCACTTTACCAACAGGTTTAATGTAAATTCCATTGAAAGTTTTGGAATTTCCATGGAATTATTCTACCATGGCATTTCCATGTGAAGACTTCCATGGTCATTCCATGACATCTCCATTTGCCCTCTTCTCCCCTTAATTTAATCACACCTCACAGAAGATAACATGCACCCTGATCGATGATAAGGTTTGAGTGATAGGCTTCCTTAATACGTGTTTTTAAATAGCATCATTCATGCAGACTGCATCTCACAACACTGAGCACTCGAGGGAAAGTGTGTAGCTTATGAGGATGAGCAGGCATATATGTGTAAAGGGAAAACCACTAAGCACTTAGAGAAGAAGTGTTTGCAGTGATTTTTGTTTACTATCCGGGAGAAAATAGAGAAGAGCTGAGAATGTGCAGATTATATTTTATTTTGTAGACTTCAATCGAGCCTTTGATTCTTGTCACCTAAAAAAAACTATATTTTTAAATTATAAAAAAATAATGTTATACAGTTAATAAAAAGTAACCTCGACAATGAGATTGAATGAAGAAAGTAACAAAATCCAATATGATATTATTTTTTTTCGATTTAAAGCTTTCGTGACTGCAGGGATTCATCTTCTTGGTTCTTTCGGTAAAGTCACGTAGAATGGAAATAATAAAAATAAAACATAATACAATAATTCTGACAGAATTATTTTATTATGTTTTTATTTTTATTATTTCCATTCTCACAGAATTATTTTATTATGTTTTATTTTTATTATTTCCATTCTACAATATGAGAATCATTAAAATAATGTCTAGAAAGTACTGTACATGAAGGAGGCTTACAGCGAGGCTCAGAATAAAAGTCAACAAACGAAGAGTCACAGACAAGAGGTTCGCTAGACAATTGAGAACATCTGCCGGAGTGACACAACTGTAATACACACCAGAGTGTGCCGACCCACGTCATTGATTGACGGTGGACGACTTAACAAGATAATTATGAAATAAAGATGCAGACATGAGCAGGTTTGAGCGTTTTTGGGAAACTGAACTTAAAAATGAAAATCAACATACCAATGTACCTAAATAAATACGTTTGCAACGATATCACCTGCGATGACATCGGAGCAGAAACAAAACATGAACTAATACAATTGAACAAAAGATGAAAAGTGTGTAAGCAAGCGTTGGGAAAGATAGATTTGGAATTACACATGGATACAAGAAGAGGGACAAGGATTAGAGAACGCATGTATACAGACAAAGACAACAATATCCCGTATAGCCTTGACAGACTGTTGGGGCAAGTGCTGTCAGTGAGCACCTATGAAGGCCGGCACGGCACACGAGGGGATGGGTGGTCAGCACCACGGCCGGCCGCCTTTGTCTCTGCAGTGGCGATGTTTACATATCGCACCAGGTGCTAATTTGAGGCTGAGTAGACCTAGGGGAAACCCAGGACCTATTCAGTTTATCGTCACTGGTGTTGTCCGTGAGCGGGAATCTGGTCACCGGTTCGGAGCGCAGCGTGCTTATCCGTTCCACGATCACACCCCAGTCTGCCAAGGCTATACGGGAGATCTTTGTCTTAAGTCAACAGAGACACCATATTGACAGTTATGAGAAGTGAGTGGGCCTGGGCAGGAGATGTCACTGGAAGTGACGATGTCCGGTAGTTGAGACCAGAGGTCGCAACCGGGTACCCGATACCCGTACCCTACCCGATACCCGGCTACTCGTACCCGGCCGGGTACGGGTACCCGTTTGCGACCCTGGTGCGGCCGGGTACGGGTACGGGTAGACCGTGAGTCACTGGTGAGTAACTGTTTGTCACTCATTTCCCAACGTCTTGTCTCTTCTCACAATTCAAGTTCCTAGAATCAACCCACCCGCGCCTACAACATGGCTTCATCCCAGAGGTCGCAATCAGGTACCCGATACCCGTACCCTACCCGTACCCGGCCGGGTACGGGTAGGGTACGGGTACGGCCGGGTACGGGTACGGGTACCCGTTTACGACCCTAGTACGGCCGGGTACGGGTACGGGTAAGGAATCAAACCCGTTTGCGACCTCTGGTTGAGACTCACGACAGAGTGACAGCAAAAGGAGGGAACGCGTTTGAGGGTCCCGTCCACCGCGGAGATGGAGCGATGAGATCAGCCCATAGGCAGCAGCTGAGATGGATTCTTTCTTCACAGGACCATAAACGATGGCGAAAGCTGACGAAGACTTTCATCCAGCAGTGGGTAGATCCTGGCTGATGAAAATAATGATTATATGATGAATGTTGCAGTTAATAATACAGAACTGAATATAGATTTGTAACTCATCGGTGTTGATGGAAGGACATGTACCATTTTGCAGTTGTTTGGAAAAACTTCTTGAATGGGATATTAGCAGCCATCAGCATGCTATAATTACAAAGTGTGTTTGAACACGCGTTTCAATTTAATATAGCAGCAAGAGCGCATGATTGGATTTAAATAGATCAAATCTGTTCAGCTTCCCAAAAAAAGACCATGCCAACTACGGAGAAAAGTTTCACACACCATATTCGGTCAGAATCAACATAATGCACACTTGCTTAAAATACGCGACTGATTATTGTTCACAGAATGCTTAGGAAATTGACAACAACAAAAAAACGACTGTACATTGAGATAGGTTGCAGCAATATTTAATTTCTGACCTCTGACGGCAACTTGGTATTATTGGGCAGTGCACATTCCCGGCTGGGCTAAGATTAGCCGGGCGACATGATGCCCTGAAAATAGCCACCGACAAGCAGAGGCAGCGAGAGAGAAAACGGGCAGTTGGGAAGCGAGCGTGAGTAGTAGATTGGATCTGAGCGTGTGCGTTGAGTGTGGAAGAGATAGCGGTGATTTTTGAGTGTTTCGTACTCTTGCCTGAGATTTCAAGATGAACAAGCCGTGTGCACGATGCCAGCACCCAGTTTACCCACTGGAAAAACTTGACTGCCTGGGCCAGGTAAGATATTCTTTTCTATTCTTTTTTAAAAATAAGACAAACGGCTGATGTTATATCTCAAGTTATGTGGGATAAGTCGCACTAACTATTAGTACCTCCGATTAGCACGGTCGGTGCGAAAGGAGTTCAACATACGTACATGCATTTACTATTTTATTTTACCGAGTATAGTCCACTGAGCTATGAGCTCGTTTTAGAAGCGACCTGGTCACACGTGATAACTAATCGAAGTGGCTTATATCAAGTGTGGGGATGTATACTATCCAAATAATGTAAACGCATGTTTCTAAATGTGGAATGCAAAACCGGAGAAAAGTCAACGTGACTATGGGGAGGGAGAACACACAAACTCCAAATATACAGGCGTCGGGGTCAGAGTCGAACTCGTGACCTCCTGCGTTATCAGGCGAGGGAGATAACATCTCACCATAACATGCGGAACATCTTACAATGCATTGGAAAGTCTTGTTCAGTCATGTTTTTGTACAAATCGTTGTGTAAATTGGATGCCACGGAGAGCAACGGTTGATGGGAATTAGACATTTGGGAAAGTTTTGTTTTGGCATTAAAGGATGTCGCATAGCTGCTATTATTTTTGGCTATATAACACGGTACTAAAAGTGATTATACTTTTCGGAGGTGCGTGTGGTGTTAATATTTAGAATTGAATATGTTAAAGCTGTGACAAAATGTTAATTTTGGACGGGATATTTAAATACAAAATTAGATTTTCTGTAACCCAAGTGTATATTATCAGCCTAAAACATACTCTATGTATATTTAAGTGTATTCACATTGTTGGTTAGAAATATATTCCGTTTGTTTTTTATCACATTTAAGAACGTGCTAAGATTAGCTTATCAAATGCACTACATTAATCAAATACAGCCAATGTGTCCCATTTCTATAAGTTCCACATGTGAATACATCAGAGTAAAAAACGAAATATAAGTACCGTACGGTAATACCAATTTTTAGAGGTGTAACGGTTGATTGTTCCACAGCTATTAGGTTGAGATTTGAATTAATAATGTATTTTTTACATTGTGGGGAATTTAGCGGCCTCTAGTGACTGCAGGACCATCACACGAACCTATTACCTAAAAATAAACTACATAGCCTAGTACAAAAATTCTGATATTCTTGAAACTTGGCCTGATTGTGTTCATGGATGATGTGCACTTGTAAAATGTCTTTTGCTTTCTGTCCTGACAGACATGGCACAAGATGTGTTTCTACTGCGAGGAGTGTGAAACGGTGCTCACAGTCAACAACTTCAAAAGCTTCGAGAAGCGACCGTACTGCCATGCGTGAGTCTGAACATCTGTGACATCTGTTGTATTTCACTTTGATGCTATATGTCTATTCTGCATAAGATTTAAGGAAGCCAAGGAGGAACCACATGCACTACAACAGGACATACTATCGTGTCTTATTTACACTTGATCATAATTGGCAGTGTACAGTGATGGACATGTGTTCACAACATGACGTTGTTAAAAACAAATCCATGAATAGTCCCATGAGCCCAGACGAGATATTTCACTTCTCGGTTCCACCTGAGGTGGCATAACATTTGTGGTTCCAGTTTCTTTATCTTTCCATGACCTGATGACCATTTGAAATGAGCGGATTATCGAATAATCAACTCGTATTAGCCATATAAATAAATAGGCACCTTAGGTGGTTCCGATTTATTCTCATGCCCGTGGACGATAACTGGAAGATTCTGGAAGAACATTAATCGCACAAACAGGCAGTTTAACATTTGAATGAGAAAACAAACATCGTAAACTTGTAAATATAATGAAATACAACACAGAGAGTCGGCCAACACAGCAGTCAACACCCCACCTGGTTTAATACGTTCTTCCAAAGATTGCTGAATTTGAGAGAGAGACAAAACATCGGCACACAGAAAATGTGTGCCTATGTGTGTGTGTCTCTCTCTCTGTGTGTCTCTGTGTGAGTCTCTCTCTGCTTGTGTGTCTGTGTGTCTCCGTGTCTATGTTTTGTCTCTCTCTCAAATTTAGCAATCTTTGGAAGAACGTAATCAACCAGGTGGGGTGTTGACTGTTGTGTTGGCCGACTCTCTGTGTTGTATTGCATTATATTTCCAAGTTTACTTTGTTTTCTCATTCATTTGTGCCTGATGATGGTTGCTTGTGTTGTAATCGAAACGCCGTATTCTATTATTATTAAATTTAATTTCTTTCCACGTGACTTTACCGAAAGAACCAAAGAGTAATTATGCAAAACTGTCTCTTCCCAACAAGTCTTTGGTGTAATCCAAAAAGTGCACTTCTACGGAATGTCGTCCACCTGTAGACTAAGTGTGTTATTGCACGTGTGCCCGGTCTATTGATGTCGAGAACTCACGCTTCATTGCTTTGGTTGCGCAGGCACTGTCCCAAACCCAACAAGTTCACGAGCGTGCTGGAGACTCCTCTCAATCTCAACGTGAAGCAGCAGAGCGTCAATGCCAGCGAGGTGAGCCCATCGCTACATCGCCTCGACCCCATCGCTACATCCACTCGACCTCATCGCTACATCCACTCGATCTCATCGCTACATCGCATCGACCTAATCGCTACATCCACTCGATCTCATCGCTACATCGACTCGACCTCATCACTACATCGACCTGACCTCATGGCTCCATCCACTTGACCTCATCGCTACATCCACTCGACCTCATCGCTACATCCACTCGACCTCATCGCTACATCAACTTGACCTCATGGCTACATCCACTCGATCTCATTGCTACATCCACTCGACCTCATCGCTACATCCACTCGATCTCATCGCTACATCAACTTGACCTCATGGCTACATCCACTCGATCTCATTGCTACATCCACTCGATCTCATCGCTACATCAACTTGACCCCATCGTTACATCCACTCGACCTCATCACTACATCGACCTGACCTCATGGCTACATCCACTTGACCTCATCGCTACATCCCAGGAGCTTGGGCCTGGGTACAAGTTCCTGGACGTTGTTGCTTAGCCCCTAGGGTTGGCACCCTTCCAAACTGTGATCGAACCGTTCGAACTGTGACCATGCTCGCCTGTGTCTGATCAATACAGGGCCCAAAGCAGGACACCTCCTGAAAATGTGAATTAATTGAATTATTTAAATGTACAATCAATTATTGGACCTCCACCGTGCTGCGTGGAACGTGGGGGGCTATTGGACTAAACTTCAGCACGGGATTGGTGAAGATAAGAAGTGTACATATGGGGCCATATAAACAGAACACAACCAATAGACTGTGTTCCACTGCCCTCTGCTGACCACAGCTTAGCACGGCGGCAGCCTGTAACACTTGTTGAGCTCAGCACTCATCCAGGGCTCAACCTGGACAAGTGCTGAGATCTGATCGGATCGTTCGCAATCCAGTCGATGCGGCCAAAGGTAGAGGAGATCGCATTGTCATTACGGCATTGTGGATTTAACCAGACTAATCTAATGTTAAGTTAGAGCAGCATTAAATGCCGTGCTCCAGTGCGCATGCCGTTTGCTTCTCCTGGCCGTGTGCTTGAAGCGTGAGTGAGTCCCTATTTCAGCACGAGTGAGACTCGATATGAGATTCCAAACCGAGGCGTCACATGGATAACAGTGAAGCTGTTGTTGTGGCCTCGGATGAGGTGACAGGTTATTCTGGGCGAAGCTCAAGTGGCGTGACCTGTCCACCCACCATTAGCAGGGCCCCATTAGCGCACAATGCCAAAGATCCCCCGTATAGCCTCGACGTGCTTATCGCGCAAGTGCTGTTAGCGGGCACCAATGAAGGCTGCTTCGGCACACACACACACGTGTACATGTGTAATGCGGGCGTAAATGGGCGGGGCGGATATGACGATCCGAGAGGGAGGAGTCAGGGTGACGTGGGGGAGAAGTTATAGCGGGGAGACAGGAAGCTATCTGGGGCAGTCGGGGGAGTGAAGGGTGGTGAACACGTTGGGTGGTCGCCGTGCCTCAGCCTGGTGGCTGAGGGGCTCATGACGGCGCCAGCCAGCGGGGTGGAAGAGAGAGTGGAGGATTGAGGTAGGAGATGGCGAGATAGCCACAGAGGCCACGAAGGGCTGACGTTGGGAGGTGGCGAGATCGCCACGCACGGAGGAACAGGGAGCAGAGATGGAGCTGCTGGGGGAGCAGCCAGAGGGCTGTACCAAGAGCCTGCAGCGGAGCTGCAGGAGCGTGGAAGGCTACGGGAGCGAAGGCAAATGTGGGGCTGCCAGGGAGAGAGTCTCAGGAGGAGTGCCGTGTGGGAAGGAGAACGCGAACCCCAAATAAAGGACACGGAGTCAGCAAGAAGTGTCTGAGTCCTTTTATTACACATGTAACATGTACACAGTATAATACAGGTTTTTTTTTTTGGGGGGGGGGGGTTAGATCGCATAAATATATAAATGTGTCGTTAAACCCACCACCACCCGACACAGCCAATTAGTAAGGTTTGTCACGTAAACAGCACGTGCCAATTCGTTACTATTAAGGCGAAAGCCTGCGCGTTAAAATGTAGACAGTAGTGGCTAGCAAATTGCGCTGCAAACCCAGCTATCTGGATTCCATTCCTGGTCACGGCTCACATCAGTGCCGACTGATGTCTGAATCCAGTTCTGGGCCCGCGCCTATGTACAAACAAACGACGCATATACACGTAAACAACAACACAGCAGTAAACAAGCACAGACTAAGGTACATTCACGTAGGCAAAGGGCAAAGACCCCCCTATAGCCTACATAGACTGTGGGGACAAGTGCTGTTAGCGAGCACCTATGAAGGTTGGAAGAGCGTGCAAGGGGATTTTGGGGTGAGAACCACGCCTAAGATGCTTGTATCTACCCAGCGCTGATGTTCTAACACTCACACCGCATCAGGTCGTAATTTATGGCCGGGTCGACATAGGGGAAGCCCAGGACCGGTTCAAATATCACTGGACACTGATGCGAGCCTTGGCCAGGAATCGAACCCAGGTTGCCGGGTTGGTAGCGGCGCACGCTAACCACTACCCCTGGGTTCTCAGCACCAGTGTGTGCTGACTACCGCTGACACAACACGAACAACAACAACAACAAACGCCGTTCGCCACTAACAAGTGGCGGGTACTGAGCTTGTGCCGGGCTAGGTGCCACCTTGAGTCCACGCGAAGTGTGGCTGGCTGGCTGGCAGGAGAGAGACGCTGCGCGCACGGTCACAGCTGTCTCTGCCACTCCTGCTGCTGCTGCTGAAGCCGAAGCTGTTTACGGCGAGAAGGCCGCATTGAGCTCCCGTGGGATCCAGTGACAGCTCCTGAGATTATTTTGTTAACATTCTGAGGTTTACTTCCCCCCCCTCCTCTCGAAGTCGATTTTATTTTGAACGGACGCAATTTTGCACCCGGAATTAAGCTGGGCGTGACTGGGAGCTTGTTCTCATATTGGAAATAAAGCGTGCAACTTAGTGGATTCTGAGATTGAAATGTATTCTCAAGCTCCCAGTCATCTGGTCCAACACCATGTGAGACTAGGCTCTAAGAAAAGCTGTCTCGGCTGTGGACCAATCAATTTCAAGGACAGTGCATACATTATCAGAGTTGTGTTTTTGGTTTGCATTCCGACCGCAGGTATTGTGGTCAATGCAAACATGACTCCTTGTAAAAAAAGGTGTCAGTTTTGTTGCCAGATAAAAGGGTAAAAAAAAATCAATGATCATATTTTGCTACTGGCAAAGGAGGTTCCAATATGTGATTCTATACCTTTCAAGCAAATGCGACGCTAATGTTAAAATTGGGCTTCGTGAGTAATCAAAACCACAACCGAGACAAAATAAAACATAAACAATGTGAAGGAAGCGATAAAGAAAGGCGAAAATAAATATTCTCGTTTTTAATCACGGATCTGAATTCTGGCAAATCATTTACACCCCCTGGGGTGTTGAATCGTTCCATTCCGAATATAAATACACTGACGTTTACAGCACATTTCAGTCACAATAAACTATAACTTACAGCCCTTTGTCAATCCACTGCTGGATGAAGCCCGTCCATTCCCGAGCCGATCATAGAAGTTGTTAGAACTTTCCTCACCACGCTGGTCAGTGCCGGATGGTAATGACGGGCCCACATATCAGTGGGCACTGGTGTTAGCCATGGCTGGGAATTGAACTCAAGTTGCTGAGCCCACTGTGCAGTGTGCTAACCTCTGTGCCACCGCTCCCCCCCACCAACAGTTATTGGCTGCACGGTACTTAATTAATTAACGCATAGCTTTATGCATGCGTGTAGCACGGACAGACTTATGTCCGTATCTGTCTGCTACGGCGTAAACAATAACACATTCGGAAAAAATATATATAATGTGTAACGCATGGATTCTGCAACACTTTCCAGTATGTGTGTTTAACTTTGGAAGTGTTGTATTTAATTAGGAGTAAGGAGGCCGACGGGTAATTGTTATGTCATTCCTGTCCACCCCTTATCAGTGCCCTACCTTACTTACTACAGAACAATTCAGACCTTATTGGTCACCCCGTACCCCTTATACATCTCAACGTTCACCCTACAGAGTTCCATCACAAGGGAGAAACACAAACAAATAGACACTTTTTTTTAAATTGCCCGTATTGAAACGGCTGTGCGCCGTTTCCCTGTACAAGAATACGGGGATAAAACCGTATGGGTCGACGGCTACGTTGTGTTTTCATATATCCCATGGGTATCCATGCAGTTGCATTCTCGCAAATGCAGTGCCTGTAGTCGTTTCGCTCTACACCTCCAAGTGTGAGACACCTACAATCTGATGGATTTGTCCGGTCTTCAACAGGGATAGTCCCGAACACCGACTGAACTCACCCTCTAGGTTCGAGCTCAGGGTGCTTGCAACGTTGCGTCTTCCTGTCACGGACAGAGGGACGGGGGTGGGGGGAGTCGGCAACGAAAATAACTCGACATTTTTGTTGGGGTATATGTTAAAAACAAACTCAAAATTTCAAGAGGCGATGCAATGCGGTGAATACGGGACGGCGGTCCTTGATCAAGAACGTGACGCAGCAGCAGCAGCCCTTCACAGAGCCGCACGCGACTTCCGAGCTAATGCACACGCGCTTTCAACTTTGCTTCGACGGCGTTCGGAAGCGATTGACGCCGATCCTAGGGCTACATAGGGCGCGACATAAGTTCAACATACATACTACACCACACACTACACGATACACCACAATACACAACACTATACACCACAATACATTACACTATACACTGCAATACACTGCACGATACTACATAAAAAAACTAATTTTCTTTAGAATTTATTTTTGTGTTCAGATGTGTTGTCCTTCCCCCACGCCTCCGATTAGCGCGGGCCGGTTACGTACGGCGCGAAAGAAGTTTCAACACCCACACAGCACGTACAATGATACAGCCACGTGCACGCCGCGCAAACACAGCACATACAATGATACAGCTACGTGCACACACACACCGGAGCCGATCCCGAAGCTCGCCATGACCAGGGCGTCCCATCCTCGTTGTGCGCGCAGAACAAATACCGCGAGGCGAGCGAGAAGTTCCGCACCGAGTACCACTGGGACATGCAGTCGCGCGAGATGGAACACATCCGACAAGTGGCTCACCTCTCCAGCCAGGTAACGTAGGGCCCACCCACCCCACCCACCCCGGTCCCCGCTCACATCTCCCTCGCCTGCCTGGTTACGCACGAGGTCGTGGGTTCCGATCCCAACCCCTGACGCCTGTTGTATATTGAGAGTTTGCGTGTCTCTCTCTCTCTCCAATGATGGCTATGACCAAATCACCAGGTTATAATGTCCCGTTTTGGAAGATCTGGAAAGTTAAGCAGGAATTTAAGCCTGGATAGCGCTTGGATGCGTGATCACCTTGCACGAACAGGTTGTTATAGGCTGCGGTCAGCAAAGGGGCAGTGCAACACAGTCCATTGTTATAATTGAATGATAGTGTGTTTATGGTTTCACGTCTATGGGCGCCGCGGTGGCGAGATGCTAACTACCTCGCCTGGTATGCAGGAGGTCGTGGGCTCGATCTTGACCCTGACCCCTGCTGTATACTACTCTATAAGACCTCCTTTACCAGTGGCAAAATCTAGTAATAGGTTTTTACCCTTTCAACTGGTACAAAAACTGACACCTTTATACAAGGCATCATGTTTGCAATAACCACAACACAAGCAGTCAAAATGCAAACAAAAAGAAACAACTCTGATAATGATAATGATATGCACTGTCCTTGCAGTTGATTGGTCCACACCCGAGACAGCTTTTCTTAGAGCCTGCTGTATAGTTGGAGTTTGCGTGTCTCTCTCTCGCCGTGGTCGCGTGGATTTGTCTCCCGGTCCTCCGGGGTCTTCCTCCTCATTTACAAACATGCGTTTCGAGTATTTGGCTGCTACTTTAACTTTCAACATGACAAACTACTTCGTTGAGCTATCATTTGTGGCCAGGTCGCTTCTGAAAGAGGGCTATATAGCTCAGTGGGCCTTACATGGTGAAATAAAATTTGTTTATAGTATTTATTTATTTATTTATAGTTTATAAACCATCGGGGCTCTACCGCTCGACCTCCACAACCCTCAGCCAGTATTTTCGATGCTCAAGCAAGGTTAGCGAGGTGCGATTATATTTATCCCTTTGAGTCAGAAATTGCCAGTACCTTTGTTGCATGTACATGTGTACATCTGCAGCCCTTGTGGCGGTCCACTATTGCATTGTAACAACTGTGACCCATCAGGCAGGTCACGCACACATTGATTGTACTGTGGAGCCTTATGCGGTCTGCATCGCATCCAAACACAGCGTTGCGCTGTACTTCTATGCTTCCCGCTATTACCAACTCCCAAGAATCCGCACATCGCGTGAAGGCCTCCATCCAGCAGCGCGTGGACAAAGTGGGCTGCACGTGGCCTGCCCCACACATTGGTGTGACCTGCGCAAAACGTGATTTGAAAAATGAGAAGAAATAAAATATTAAAAAATACTTAAAAAAAAAACACGCTTAATGAAATGTACTGTCCGAGCTGCCCTTCCTCCATCGCTCCTCCCCTCCTTCCACATCCCCCGTCCCTCGGCGTGGCTCCCCGAGGCTTGCCGTGACGTAAGGGACCGTGGTGATTGACAGGCAACGCGAGTTGAGCGTCGACAATTAGAGCCGTTAAAAAGATTGTTTAAAAATATATATTTTTCATTTTCAATGATAGAATATAGTATTGTCATCAGTATGACATAGCTATACCAAGTTTGCAGTCGATAGGACATTGGAAATACGGTTAAAATTGAGTTACAATATTTTAGCATACGACAACACACAGAGTAAGTTAAATAAAAGCGTGTAAAATGTTTAAAAATATATGTTTTGGATTTTTCTGATAGAATATAGTGTTGTCATTAGTATGACATAGGTATTTCAAGTTTGCAGTCGATAGCACATTGGGAAGTGGGTTAAAGTTGAGTTACAAGATTTATTTTTTGGAGTGAGTTAAATAAAAGCATGTAATTAAAATAATAATAAAAAACGTAAATATATCGTGCTGTTATTGTGCACTCGTTGTATTTGTTGCGTTTTAACAAACACTCCTCCACGTTAAAAAAATGTTCCATTCGGAGGTGGAAAGTACTCGAAGCCCGTGTTGCTGAAGCTTGATGGCTCGTAACCGAGGTGGCGTTTGTGCCGCAGGTGGAGTACACAAAGTCATGGGATGCTCAGAAGGAGTTCTACCATCTCCCTCCCGACGTTATCGCCAGGAACTCCGCGAGCGAACAACTCTATGAGCAGGTGATCACAACCTTGCTACACTCTTACAACACCTCCCCCGCGTGTCGTGCAGTCAACTCGAGATTCTGTGTCGGGTGGAATACCCCAGTTGTGGATTAACCGAGCTTTGGAATATAAATCTTTCTGCGAGCCGTGCTGGTTTTCATTGTCAGATGTTACTCATTCGTCGAGGCTCAGTGAGTCCGTTCCCACTTTTGACCGATTTTTTTCAGAAACAATTCAAACAGAACGCGCATTATTTTTTTTATATTTCTCCCATTATACATAGGTAAACAATAAGCACATTGATTCATCGTTGATATTTAATTTAGGCCGCATAAAGATCTTGTCAAAGTTGTGTTAGGATCATGCACCACCTGACAGTGAAATATGACGTGTTTAGTGAATACATTTCATCGTATAATTTAATTACGTTTTGCATTTTTGTGTTTTCGTTTAATCTTGGTCCCCTGCATTTACCCTGAATAATTGAGAGTTGACTCTTAAACCCCAAAGTGATGTTCCTGGAAATACCATTGTCTGTTTGTGTATTCCAAACGTTCACACTCAAAAAACTATGTGGGGATGTTGTTTACTAAGTTTATTTGCTTAAACAGCTGATAACTCAGGAGGCCATGCCTCTCTACATGCTGTATGTTGAAATCCTTTCACAGTTGGCTAAGTATGGTGCGAAAAAAATATCAACACATATTGTATTCTTTTTATTTTTAAGACGGTGTTGTTAACGAATGGGTTGAGGATAATTAAAAAAAAAATGTGCAAGATAAAACCTCGGTCACGAAAGTAAAATAAATATAATAATATAGAACAGCAACGAAGCAAATATAAATCAGTGCAAAAACAATTGTTTGCCATTGGAGATTTGCTAGCTGCAGCTGGCAAATGCTCGGCGGACGTCTGTTACCTGCTGGAGGTGAAACGTTGGCTGCGTGTGTCGTGATGCCCCATCCCTCATTAGGAGATGTTGGTGGAGGGGAATCTCGTCTACACGGAGACTCCCGAGTACAAGCGCATGGTGCAGGCACAGAAGAACGTCAGCGATGTATGTCCTGCACGCACAAAGACAAAGATCCCCCGTGTAGCCTTAACAGGCTGTAGGGGCAAGTGCTGTTAGCAAGCACCTATGAAGGCCGGAACGGTACACGAGGGGGTGGGTGGGTGGCCAGCACCACGCCCGACGCCTTTGTCTCTCTAGTGGCGATGTTTACTACACTCCGCATCAGGTACTCGTTTGAGGCTGAGTCGACCTAGGGGAAGCCCAGGACTGGTTCAGATAATCGTCACTGGGTGTTGGCCGTGAGCGGGAATCGAACCCGGGTCGCCGGGTTCATAGCGCAGCGCGCTAACCACTACACTGCCGCTCCCCACGGGCACACACACACACACACCCATATCATCGTCGTCATCGTAACCCTCATTGATTGCTTCATGTCTATCGCACCTCACACAAATGGAACAAAAAAAAAGTCCCGTAGAGGCGAATGGAATTAAGAAGCACATAGGTATCTTCCGGTTGCCCAACGAATATGTTACAAGGTCGTACTCGTTACGCACAAAGTGCTTGACACAAATGAATCAAAATACCTTGCTGATATCATGAAGGAGCATAAACCATCACGCAGACTCTGGTCATCTTCACAGCAGCGGCTTTTGTCTAGGCGTCGAACAAAGACGGATCACCGCATCGCGCGCTTTCAGATGCGCTTCTGCGGCCGTCTGGAACGCTCTTCCTTCCGATATTAGGAAGCCGCTGGAGCTATGCATTTTTAAATCTAAAGTAGATTAAAAACTCACTTCTTTAAGAACTGCTTTTTGTGTTAAATTTGTTGTCCTTCCACCCGCACCTCCGCTGAGCGCAGTTGGCTACCTCCGGTGAAAATGATAAAAGCTGTATACAATAATAACAACAGTAATAAGTGGAAGTCACAGCGAGGCAGGCGGGTGAGAGTGTTTACGCTTGCCTCATGGGTGGATGGATGTGTGTGTGTGTGTGCAGGTGCAGTACAAGCGCGAGTTCAAGGAAAAGAAGGATCAATTCACGTCCGTGGCAGAGAGCTGGGACATGCGGCACGCGCGCGTCGGATCCGCTCTCGCCAGCGAGGTGAGCCGCGCGCACGCGTACAAAGATCGCCCCTTTTGTAACATCATGCTACAGGCCCCGCACGAGCTTAGTCCGGCACTGACTGGCACCGTTATTAGTTGGAGCCTGTTATTAATCGGCGCTGGCAGCTCATATGCAGCCAGCCGATAAACGACCTCGTCACGGCATTGCCGACGGACTTGAGCTGTCTTGACGGCTGCCGTGAAGGACGGCGCGCACCTGGATTTAAGACGGAGATGTTCATTTACAACTACATTTAGTTTTTGATGCAGCAGTCTGCATGCGCTCCACCGAACGGTCCGACGTGGTTTGCCGTAACTTCCACAGCATCTGTATTGGCCTGATGGGGCTGTATTGTTGGCTTGTGGCATTATTGTTTTTTTTGTTATTCCCGAGGGATTTCTGGCAGTGTCTATGATCCTTATGGTATAGCAAGCAACGCCCACTGATTGAAAACTTTGCTGGGGGTGTTGTTCTTCATCATACAATTACAAATTTTCTTCAATACTTGTATTGCAATCTGTTGTTTGGCACTTTTTAACTCGGAAATGCATTCGTCACGTGACATTACTGAGGATTTAAGTCAGCTATTGCGCAACGTACGTTGGGACACTGAGAAGCGTTTAGACAATTGGGTGTACAGCCACTCCAAGTTGTGCATAATGTATAAGCTTGCAAATTAATGAATACGTGCATTTCTGGAGTTAGTTATGATGGTGAACGTTTAGTATTTTTTTCCACCACTCATCCATCATCATCATCTTTGGCAATGTTCAATCCACTGCTGGACGAAGGCCTCCCAAAGCCGTCGCAGTCTCTCACATTCCTGCAATGTAACAATCCACCTGGCAACTGCACACGAGCTGATTTCATTGCTCCATCTCCACGATGAGAGTCCGGTAAAATCTAAATGTATTAATCATTCTTAAAACAAAAACATTATTTTGTTTGACAAGCACCTCGTGATGCGCTGTGAATCCACGATACTCCCACGTGCTTCCCTGAGATTACCGCTCCGTCTCTCCTTCGGTGGTCTCGTTTGCTCGCGTTTCTCTCCACGGTTGACGTTCTAGTGCGTGCTGGTCTTTCGGCCGAAGTGTGGCCGGTAGCTGCCGTTCCGAGCGGTGCGTCCGCCTTGCGTGGTGCCATGCTTAGTAGTGCGGCCCGGCCCGAGTGGTGCCGTGCCGTGCGGTGTGTCCGGGGTGAGTGGTGCCAGACCGAGCGGGGTGTCCGGGGCTGCGTGCGCGAGCAGGTGAAGTATCGAGAGGCGTACGACAAGGAGATGAAGGGCCACCAGGCGAGCGGAGGGCTGGAGATCACCGCCGGCGCTCAGAGAGTCATCGAGGAGCAACAGGTGGGTGGGTTAGGATGGCACGAGGCGTTAGTAATAAGCATATTCAGCGATAGGCTAAGGGACCCTAACCACTGCTCCCCCGATGGGGGTAGGGGTCAAGTTTTGACAGGTTTTTGCGCACCTACTCAATGTAATGCTCCCTTAGCGCACCGTGCTACAGATCCGGCGACCCGAGTTCGTTTCCGGCTCAGTGACAATTATCTGAACTGGTCCTTTGCCCTCCCCTAGGTTGGATCAGTCATAAATAAGTGCCTGGTTCGGCACTGGGGAGACAAAGGCGGTCGAGCGTGGTGTTGGCCACCCAACCCCTCGTGTGCGGTGCCGGCTTTCGTAGGTACTCTAGAACAGCACTTGCCCCAACAGTCTGTAAAGGCTATATGGGGGATCTGTATCTTTTTATGCGTGTGCACTTTGTGTGTTTTTTTAACAACAAAGACAAAGACCCCCCCCCCCCCCCGTGTAGCCTTAACAGACTGTAGGAGCAAGTGCTGTTAGCGAACACCTATGAAGGCCGGCACGGCACACGAGGGGGTGGGTGGCCAACACCACGCCCGGCCGCCTTAGTCTCCCCAGTGGCGATGTTTACACATCGCGCCCAGGTACTCATTTGAGGCTGAGTCGATCTAGTGGAGGCCCAGGACCGGTTAAGATAATCGTCATCGGTGTTGGCCATGAGCGAGAATCGAACCCCGGGTCGTCAGGTTCGCAGCGCAGCGCTAACCTCTACAACACACACACGCGTGTGCATTACGTGTACAAAAGCTCCGAGACTTATTCAGGCGATGCACAGACTCCAATGCCCCCCACCCCCCCCCCCCCGTGCGTGTTGTCCGACAGGAGGGGCGTCAGCTGAGAAAGATCCGCGGTTCGTTCCCGGCCAACGAGACCCCAGGCTACCGCTGCGCCAAGCAAGCCCACGAGCTCGCCAGCGACGTGAGTGCCTCTCCTACCCGACTACTGCCTCGCCTGCTGGGGGAGTGGGGCGGGGGCACAGGGGGCGGAGGGGTGGGATGGACACGGGGGGGACAGGCGGGCACGGGGCGTTGGGGGCACAGCGAAAGCAGTGTTCCTATTCATTTAACAGTGGGAGGTGGTGATGAGAAATGTGGCCTCAAAGTGCACCTGGCATGGCACAAGAGCTGTGGTGATGTCACCACCACTTAGTGGCGAGCGGCAGTTGTTGTTGTCAAAATTATGATTACTGGAGGGGTGCTGGAGAAGGTGGTGATGCTGTTTTGGTGTTTTTGTGATGCTGGTGTTTGTCTCTGGTGGTGGTGATGGTGGTGTTGGTGGCAGAGAAGGCAGACGGGCGTTTGAGGCTGACGGTTATGGTGGTGGTGGTGTCCGTGATTGAGACGGTGATGGAGGAGGCGATGGTGGTATTGCCATGTGGTTGCGGTTAGTGATCGGGGAATCTGGTGGCAGAAATCTGGTTACGCCGGTGGCAAGCGCAGTTTTTGTCACCCGAGTCCAGAGGCCGTATAGATATGCAGGCAGGACCTTGGAGCTCTAAGATGTAAGCCCTGTGAGATTTGAAGAGGATAAAACAGTCTTTGACAAAGTACTTTCTGGCTGAGCCAGGTGCTAGTCAGGCTCATAAAAGGTCTGCACGAGCCCGTAATTTAACGCCGGCCACGAAGCCGGCGGAGTTTTCGGAGGGTGATGCATGCCCCACGCATTTCAGAGAATCTTCCAGATAGATTTGTGGACCGGCCTGTCGTGCCAGCCGGGAGCGTCCCCGCGGTTATTTGCGACCGCGTAACCCCCATGAAACTGTACGGTTATAATTAGCCACCCCACTGCCACCCCACACCCCACTGCCACCCCCCCCCCTCCTCGTGACCGCTCGTCGGAAAGAGCTATTTCCCACTAAATTTACGGTGGGCACTTCCTTTTTAATACCTGGGTGTAAATTGTAGGTTTTCCCACTTCTATGCCAGGAGTCGGCATCCGAAATAACATGAAGAGCCTTGACAAGGCGCTCTTCCTCCCCTAACCCAGCTTAAATATACGCTGCCAAGCTTGGTGGTGTTCATTCAGACGCTGTCTTTCTGACAGACCTGTTCTTCACCTGAGGATGGCTGCTTGCGTTGTGGCCGAAACGTCGTGAGAATTGTATTATTTTATTATGTTTAATTTTTATTATTTTATTATCTCCCTTCTACGTGACTTTACCGAAAGAACCAAGAAGATGAATCCCTGCAGTCACGAAAGCTTTAAGTCGAAACATGTGGAGCTTTTAATTTAAAATTCATGCAAAAGTCATATTTCAGGAGCCACAATGGCACGTCAATATGAGAAGGTCACGAAGCTCCGGAGTTGCAGGTTGCCGACCCCTGTTCTAGCGGCGTCCGGACAGCGTGGCTGATTGATTCAAAACACCCTCCAGAGGGGCTCTCTCGAGAGTTGCCTCGAGCCGGAGGGCTTTTCGCCAGCAGTGGCTCGAACCGAGATACCGTGGGACTGCACTTCTACCCTTGATACTCAAGCCGCGTCATCATCGTCTCGTGCCGCGGCACCGTAGCGATGCAGTAGTCATCTTCTTGGTTCTTTCGGTAAAGTCATGTAGAAGGGAAGTAATAAAATAATAAAAATGAAACATAATAAAATAATATTATATAGATTGGTATGTTTTATTTTTATTATTTTATTATTTCCCTTGTACGTGACTTTACCGAAAGAACCAAGAAGATGAATCCCTGCAGTCACGAAAGCTTTAAATCGAAATTTTATGCAGTAGTCCGTCAATAGAGGTGCAGTCAATCGGCCCTCCCACTCCCCCGTTGGAATCGAATCCCGTTGGCTGCACTGAAATGAGTGTGCCTAGGGGCTTACGTTAAAAACATAAGGATACAAAACTCTTGGAAATTAAGACTCTTGGAAGATGCTAGGGTAGTTTAGTTTTTTTTCCATAGCGATGTGCCAAAGGGGTATGGGTTGAGTATCAGTGTACGTGAGATGCTGTACTTTCCTCTCCCTGCTCCATGCAGAGTGACTAATTGCAGTCGGAGTGTTATTTAAATTCGGTTTTCAGTTACCTCCATAGCTGCCAACTGGTCCTGATCGTGTCGCATAACAAACAGCAGCCTTCTCGGGAATTAGCGGGTGAGCAAGCGGAGTGGTGATGGGAAGCAGGCAGGGTGAGCGATCGTTTGTGTGTGGGTGGGGAGGTGAGCGATGATAATTGTTTTTTTTACCCTTTTATCTGGCAACAAAACTGACACCTTTTCGACACCTGCGCCTTTTGGGCGTCATCTGGTCCAACACCATGTGAAACTAGGCTCTAAGGAAAGCTGTCTCGGGTGTGGACCAATCAAATTCAAGGACAGTGCATACATTATCAGAGTTGTGTTTTTTGTTTGCATTACGACTGCAGGTATTGTGGTCTATGCAAACATGACTCCTTGTAAAAAAAGGTGTCAGTTTTGTTGCCAGATAAAAGGGTAAAAAAAACAATTATCATATTTTTCTACTGGCAAATGAGGTTCCATTGGTGTAGAGGTGAGCGATGTCGGTGAGCGTCGTCTGAGCAGGCTCGCGCGTGCATCGTGCGCAGGTCAAGTACAAGGCAGGGAGGGAGCAGATGAAGGGCGCTGCGCGGTTCCACTCGCTGCACAGTGAGGGAAACCTGGAGCTGCAACGCACGCAGAAGGTCAACAAGCTCGTCAGTGAGGTCAGTACCACAGCGACATCACCACCACTCATAACAACAACAACCATAATTATAATGCAATCAAGTGAAGCTGAAGAATCTCAGTTCCGTTAGACCACGTAGAAGGGAAATAATAAAAGAATTAAAATAAAACATAATAAAATACAAGGGCTGTCGGAAAGACAGCGTCTGAATGCTGTATTTCCGACAGCCCTGTTCTTCACCTGAAGACGGCTGCTTGCGTTGTGGCGAAAGGTCGTGAGAATTTTATTTTATTATGTTTAATTTTTATTATTTTATTATTTTCCTTCTACGTGACTTTACCGAAAGAACCAAGAAGATGAATCCCTGCAGTCACGAAAGCTTTAAATCGAAAATTCCGTTAGACCGTTTGGAGCCGCATGTTCGAGGCCAACCTGCCATTTGAGCGATCTAGATTTGGAAAAAGGTTTTTCTACCAATGCCCGAAGATCCGCGGATCCAGAATTGGACTCCTCAGCCACCATCAAGAGCCACCACCAAAGCTGATGGACATCATCTTCGGACCCCGAGGGACTGCCGACGACTAATAATACAGTAAATGTGAAATCAAATTATAATCATAAAAATGATCGCGTCATATTTATGTGGGTTGTATACTGCAGGTCGAGTATCCAGCATCAGCGAGAGTAAAGTAAAACAACAACGACAACGCAGCCGTTGCGTTGCGATCCGCTGAGCGTGAACCCCTCGCGGGCAATCCCTGTGCCCCCCCCCCTGTGCCCCCCCCCCCACTTTCGACAGAACGCGTACCGGAGGGACATGAAGAGCGCCAAGGGGCACAGCGTGAACTACTGCGAGACGCAGCAGTTCAAGAGCGCCAGCAAGGCCGGGGATCTCGCCAGCGACGTGAGCGTCGCACGCGCGCGGCGCCCGGGATCCCACCGCGCGCTCCGGTTGGGCCCTCGCGGAAACGTGGCGGCTCTTCACGCTTCGCGGTCACGCTTCGCTTCATTCGGCCCGCGCGTTGGGTGGACGGGGGCTGCACGACGCGCATTTTGCTTTTTGCGCTGCGTTGCACCGCTAGCTGAGTAGTTAACCTCGCGTTCAATAAACCCTCGGAGCCAGGATGAACGTCCGACTCCAAACGTCATTTATTGAGTTTAACGAGGTTAACTACTCAGCTAGCGGTGCAACGCAGCGCACAGCGAGGCCGAGACAAAAAAAAAGACATTGGTCAACGATCTTGATTTGAATCTTTCGTGACTGCAGAAATCCATACTCTTTGGTTCTTTCGGTAAAGTTACGTCGGTATAAAAACTCTGTGACATATTATTTTTAGTTTAATTTTTCTACCTGCGTGACTTTACCGAAAGAACCAAAGAGTATTGGTCAACAAATTTACATCGAGCGTTTTGCGGGATCCTTGTTGGCACGAATGACGTGATGTAAAAATGGAAGTGTCATTATTAAGTATCGTCGCGTCTTCGCGTGGTGTCGGCGAGCAGCTCAAGTACAAGGAGGCGTACGAGACGCAGGTGAAGGGCCACTACGCCGGCGTGGCGATGGTGGACAAGCGCACCGAGCACTGCATGAAGGTGGCCAATCTGGCCAGCAAGGTGAGCCCAGCCACCACGTCCACCTCTGCCCAACCTCCGGCTCGTCGAGATGGCGCCAGCTGCAGCATTGGGCTCAATCTAACCCTCGGCAACGCGCTTGCGCCAAGCGTAGCTGGCTACGTACGGTGGGAAGGAAGTTCAACAGAACAACCACAACCGCCGTTCGCCACTAATTGGCGGTGATGTCACCACGGCGCTTGTGCCAGGCCACCAGGGACGTGCGGTCCGGGGAGGCAGGGGAGGCACAGCCTCACCTGTCATACTCCGATGAAAATAGCTGTTAAGAAAAGTAAAAAATAAGAAACTAAAAATTCAGATTTTTCCGCTGATCTGTGTTATAAATGTCATTTCTGTACGATTCCAATCATTTTTATAGTCAGAATCGCCAAATTTGCGGAGCTCCGCTGCAAATACAGGGAGAGACGAGAGGTGAGGCAGCGACGAGCTCAGCCTCCCCTCTGATTGCGCAACCCCTCAGTAACTGAATGGAGCGCAGGCAATAAGCGCGTGCCTGTTACTATCTCAGTATCTTACCAATGTAATGTTTGTAGACCCCTTCATTTCATGTCCTCGCCTTCCATACTCCAGGTAACTTATTTCACGTATGTGTATAAAGATATTTAGGCTCGCTGGTCTCGTCATGAAACTGCAATGAAAAAGCACCAGGGGAGGCAGCTATCACATCTACTTCACTGAGGGGGACGTGTCAGAAACGCCCCCCTCAGTGAAGGCCACGTGAACTATAAGACCACGCGAAGTGTCGAACGCCCGCTGACAGGAGGTCACCTGGGACAGACCCAGGTGCCATGGCTCGACTGACTGATATGACCGGCAGATGCACCACCTGTGCCCACTACTGTGCCAACTTGCTGTGTATTAGCCGCCCGGCGCACAGCTCCGTTGAAGTTCAACACACGTGCAAAGAGACGCGCGCACTACGATCTTGACACTTTGTCCTTACTCATCTAAACAAGCACCACGAAAGAAGTTCTGGGGATTGAATTTTCTCTGCGCAGAGGAACTACCGCGCGGAGTACGAGGAGGACAAGGCGTACGTCAACTTCCCAGCCACCGTCACGCCCGCGTACGAGTCGCACAAAAAGCAGGAGCTGTACCGTGACGTAAGCACGCAAACACGCTCGTATGGAGACGTCTGAAACATCACGCACCCGCACAGCGCACTTGACTACAGCATTAAGCATTCAATGGCCGTCCGTCGTAGCAAGCCAATCATACTAGGCCACTATCAGCAAATATCACCAGTTTTTACCCTTTCTGGCAACTAAACAGTTTGTGTTAATATGTGCAAACACCAAACTGAAACCTTTTGCAAGGAATCATGTCTGCGTGAACCACACATGACAGTGGCATTGTCTTTGTGCTGTTCGCCTTTTGGCGTTGACCTCTGGTCTACCGCTGTTTGAGACGAGGCTCTAAAGAAATCTGTCTCTGGTGTGGGCCAATCAGTTTCAAAGACAATGCACGTACTGTCAGAGCATGTTTTTTGTTTGCATTCTGACCACAAGTACGTATGTGTGGTTAATGCAGACATGATTCCGTGAAAAAGGTTTCAGTTTGGTGTTTTAACATATTAACACAAACTGTTTAGTTGCCAGAAAGGATCAAACCTATTCTTATACCTTGGTGTGCGTCACGTGTATCTCGCGCGTACTGTACGATTACACGATGCATAATAAATCCTCATCCTGCATCCATACTCAATAGCTCCATCTCTGTGTGTTCCACCAACCTCACTCACGAATTGCTCGATTAGAAACGTGCGCCACCGCGCGTGACAGGACAGCGTGACGATTCCGTACATCGAGGGACTCCGGCGCCCTAGGATGACGCCTGCCGCTGCTAGAACTGTGGCTGCCCGTGTTTCCACAGCCCCAGTACCGCCAGCGCGTGGAGAAGCTCAAGTTCACCAGCGTGTCGGAGACTCCCGAGATCGCGCAGGCCCGGATCAACGCCCACCAGCTCAGCGACGTACGCGGGGGGGGGGGGGGGGTCAGGGTCGTTTGAAGGAAAAAAAAACTGAGGTGGTTTTCGCGGATGGGACGGAGCTTGGCTGTGTTCGCGAAGGAGAAGTTTGTGCCAGGGTGATGAGCTTGTGGGTGCCATGGTGGCAAGATGTTAACTACCTCGCCTGGTATACAGGAGGTCGTGGCTTCGATCCCGACCCTGACGCATGGAAAACTTGGCGTTTGCGTGTTCTCTCTTTCCCTGTCGTCGCGTGGATTTTTCTCCGGGTCCTCCGGGTTTTCCCCCCTCCACATTTAGAATCAGCGTGCGTTTAGGGCATTTGGCTGCTAGAAATTCCCACGTGATAAGTCACTTCGTTTGGTGGCCAGGTCGTTTCTGAAATAGAGCCGTATAGCGCAGTACCTGCTAAAATATTTTTTAAAAATTGCTTAAGTTTTGAAGTCCGGGAAGAACGTTCAGATCGTCGAGGATGCGGCGAGAGCATTCGTAACCGCACCGCTGCGTAGGCCGTCGCGGTTCGTGCCGCGATGGGTTTTCCGGGTCGTGCCGCGCGTCGTTGGGTGCACTGTCCGAAGTGCCGCTTCTCGCGGCCGGCAGCTACTTCAGCAACTGCTCCAGGAACTCCTGAAAAAGGCCCACTTCTGCACGCGGAGCGAAACGTCGGCCAACGTTGCCGAACGACGCGCGGCGCAGCCCGCAGAAGCGCTGCATTTCTCACGTCGTCGCCTCGTTCCCCCCCCCCACCCCCCCGCGGCATTCCGCAGATGAACTACCGGGCCGACTACGAGAAGAACAAGACGCGCTTCACCATCACGCAGGACAACCCGCAGATGGAGCACGCCAAGGCGAGCGGAGACCTCCTCAGCGACGTGAGTGCTCGTTACCTCGGCGTCGGCTCGTGTGTGCGTACGTACATTCGTGCGTTGAGCGATTTTTGCACCGTACGTAGCCAACCGTGCTAAGCGGAGGTGTTCGTGGGAACGTAAGAATGTACGCATGTATTTTGAACTTCTTTCGCACTGTACGTAGCCAACCGTGCTAATTGGAGGTGCGGGGGGAAGGATAACAAACTAAATACAAAAGCAGTTCTAAAGAAATGAGTTTTCAATCTAGATTTTAAAAAATGCAAGCTCAAGTGGCTTCCTAATATCGGAAGAGTGTTCAGACTCCCGCCGAAGTGCATTTGCAGACATTGGTGTGAGTAGGTGTTGTGTGTCGTGTCTGTTTTTCCGTTTCTGCTGCTTCGTGGAACCTGGAATCATGATGGATGCCTCCCACGCCGCGGTTGCCTTCACCAGATCAAGTACCACGAGCAGTGGCAGAAGACCAAGGGCAAGGGCTTTGAGATGAAGATGGACGACATCTCGCTCCTGGCCGCTCGTGCCTCCGGCGCGTTGGCGAGCGACGTGAGTTTCTCCCGCGACTCGGCTCCCCCCCCCCCCGGCTTCCCGCGTTACGACGGCTACCGTCGACCGTGGCAGCGTGGCGGAGGTTCGCGGCTGACGTGCCGGATGTTTCGTGCGCGCAGATTAAGTACCGGGAGGCTTACGAGAAGACCAAAGGCCGATCCGTGGGATCGTCCGAGTACGACACCAAAACCCTGCACTCCATGCATGCCGGCAAGCTGATGAACGAGGTGAGGAGTGCGCACGGTCAGGTTTTAAGTGCTATGAAGGGTCATTGTCTGTCGCCTATTACCGTATATATACTTTTTCTGTTTAAGGCCACATTGTTTTTGACGAATGCGTTGTGTCTGCCCGGAGTGGTTTAAAATATGTTTCTTTGCACCAGATCTCACTTCCAACCAACGTGACCCATTCCAGTTATTCGTCGATCGAGAACACCATTTTCTTTCTCATATGCATCCATTGCCTGTAAGTGAATGTAGCCGAATGGGTCTGTGCGGCAGTGTGAGTGTTACTTATCCCATTCCAATCTTCCCTGGACTCTCCCTGCCCTCCCCCCCACGGTCCCCGCAGCGCGAGTACAAGAAGGGCTTCGAGGAGGCCAAGGGGCGGCTGCACATGCCCATGGACATGCTGCAGATGCAGCATGCGCAGAAGGCGCAGAGCCTGGCCAGTGACAGGGACTACCGCACGCTGCTGCACCGCTACACCGCGCTGCCCTCTGACCTCAAGGTGGAGTGGGCCAAGAAGGCCCACCAGCTGCAGAGCAATGTGAGTGAGCGACCCGCCTGGCTCGTGCTCGCTTGCTCGGCCTCGGCCCTCCAGCCAGAGCCACCCTTGTCGCTGACGGTCACTGTGTGCGTGTGCACGTGTGTACGTGTGTGTGCGCGTGTGTCCGCACAGATGGATTACAGGGCGGATCTGACGTGGATGAGGGGTGTGGGCTGGGGGGCTGAGGGTAGCCTCAACATGGAGCAGGCCAAGAAGGCCGGGGACATCCTGAGCGAGGTGGGCCTCAATGATGTCCACGATCTCATCACAAACTTCCACGAGCACCCATGTTAAGATTGCGTGAATAAAACCAGAATCTTGCAGCCTATTAGGAATGACTGTGTGCATCTAACCCGTGTTTGTGTGCATGTGTACGTTTATGCGTACATCTCGGTCGGTTCGCCCACAACACATGGGGTCTGTCGGGTGACCTCCTGCTAGTGGCCTCAAAGTGCACATAGCCTGGCACAATCGCTGCGGTGATGTCACCTTCACTCAGTGGTGAATGGCGGCTGCTACTGCTGTTGTTGATGTTGTTTGTGCGATCAGCCCAAGTACCGCCAGCGCGTGGACCAGCTCAAGTTCACCAGCGTGTCGCAGACTCCAGAGATGGCGCAGGCCCGGATCAACGCCCACCAGCTCAGCAACGTACGGATCACTTGAGTTGATCAAACTCTTTCTGTTTAGCTCATAAGAAACCGCACCAGTGCCACTTTATCCTAGCAGCAAAAGTAGCACATGCTACGGGCCTCGCAATTTTCAAGGGCCCCGCGCTAAATGCTTTAAAGCTATCAATTCCAGTTCAGTGATTCTGCACTTGCTCTATTACTATAGTACTATACTGCCTTCAACTTTTACGAACGACTGGGTGTTTAAGGTTAGCGATTTGTCGTATTATCTGAATGTATAGTAAATAAAAAAGTACAATTACTTTACTATGCAAGTAAAAAATGTGTGTTTTAATATTTACGTGTTTTATTTTTACTTAGGGCTGCTTAATAACATATGCTACAGGCCCCACACTAGCTTAATCCGGCACTGAACCACATCAGCCAGGAAAATGTGTGCGGGGCAGAAACACGATGGTAATTATTAAAAAAAACGTTGGATCTGAAGAGCACAACAAAAAGTCTCGGCATCCTTTGCGCATCAAGATTAGAGGGACATTATTATATCCAGCTCGCGGCCGTTCACGGACTGTGCAGGATATATGCTAGAATGGTGTTGTCATCTCAACAAATTATGCATGGCAGCATCGCTGTTGTGCTTTCATAGCCTCAAAACTTTTTGGCAGAATTGTTTTCATCGCATTCATATTAATCAAACGTGTATGTTTGATTATATAAATAGTAAAAACAAAAAAACGCGCAGAACCCTCGAGCTGTTGCGAGTGTGTCTTTGCTCACACCGTGTCTCCCGAATGTGCAGACGAGCTACCGCTCTCAGTACGAGCAGAACAAGTCTCGCTACACCCTGACGCACGACACCCCTGAGCTGCTGCAGGCCAAAGCCAACGCCAGCACCTTCAGCGACGTAAGACACCGGACGGCCGTCGCGCGGCAACGATTTAAAAAGTTTCGACGGTGAAACGATCCTTGAACAACAAAAAACCTAATCAGTCTCACCGTCATCACCTTCATTAATTACACTGGTCAAAACACTTTTTCTGGCATAAGATATTCCAACGGTTTCAAGGTAATTTTGGGGTGCTGATTCCAAATCTGGCATCAGTTTTTGTCTATCTCATCATGAGATATCAAATATTGCATTTTCAATAAAAACTGCAGAAGAAAATATTAAATAAATGTGGATATCTACATAAAATGACATTATAAACACACTATCCTAAAAATACAGCACCATATTTTAACACTAAAGCAGTCACTGACTCGCAACAACTTGCAATCATAAGTGACAGAGTTAATTTCGGGTAAAATCAATGAAAATGGGGTATGCCGATAGCATAAAAATGAGATGTGATAGAGCAAATCTGAGATCAGATTTGGAATCAGCACCCTGAAATTAGTCTAAAACAGCTGCAAAAGTCCAGGCCAGAAATTTTTTTTTTTGTTGACCAGTGTTATATACGCTTCTTGGAAATAACATCGATCACCGTGTTTGTGACAATTCAGGCTTTGTTGTTTTGCTGCGTGGCTATACATTTCTCCTTTTACATCCTAACCGACTCCCAAGACACTAGGGCTTGAACCTTTTTTTTTAAACCCTCACACAGTTTCGTTCGGGAACGTTCGAACGGTTGCCGTCGTTTATGACTGGTGCCTCTACGCCGTGTTTGCCTTCACCAGCTCAAGTACCACGAGCAGTGGGAGAAGACCAAGGGCAAGGGCTTTGAGATGAAGATGGACGACATCTCGCTCATCGCCGCTCGCGCCTCCGGGGTGTTGGCGAGCGACGTGAGTCTCTCTCGCGATTCGGCTCCCCCCCCCCCCCCCCCGTCTTCCCGCGTAGCGACGGCTACCGTCGACCGTGGCAGCGTGGCGGAGGCCCGCGGCTGATGTGCCGGATGTTCCGTGCGCGCAGATTAAGTACCGGGAGGCTTACGAGAAGACCAAAGGCCGATCCGTGGGATCGTCCGAGTACGACACCAAAACCCTGCACTCCATGCACGCCGGCAGGCTGATGAACGAGGTGAGGAGTGCGCACGGTCTGGGGTAAAAATTACACCTTGAAAAAAAATATTTAACAAAGAATATAATAGGTTCTTTAGCCATTCAGCGGGGCTGGTTGTGAGCCGGTAAATTGCTTAGGAATGGCGTGACAATACTTGTGCGTACATGGTCAGCCTCGTGCCACCTCTGCTCTTTCGTGCGGCGCGCTGCGCAGAGGACCAACCGATTTTGGGAACAGCAACAGAAGTTCTAAATCGATGTCCACGTTCTTTAGCCGTCCAGCGGGACTGGTTGTCACCTGCAGGATCGCTTTGGTGCTGCCGCTAAATCAGCGTTCTTCATTGCAACGCCCGCGGGGCCACCGGCGGCCTTAAGTGCGGCCCCTGACGTGCCCCCCCCCCCCCCCCCCCGACAATACACAACGAGTGACAAACACCCCCTATCATAAGCATCATCGTTCAGTCAAATCCCAATGGTTATCAAATGCGTGGGGGCCCTCGCACGCTGATGATGTCTTATCGGCGAAAGTGGCGGCCCCCCTCCACCTCTGAAAATGTGTGAAGAGCCACTGCTGCTAATTGTTCGCAATGAGCGGCGGGTGAACCCATGTGCTCCGGCGTTTGCTCCGTTCTGCGGCCGCAGTTGGCGTTGCCCCTGCTTCACGAGCTGTCTGTCATGACGTGAAATGAAGCAATCGACCTCAACTCAGGACCCCCTTCCCAGAGAGGGTTTTGAGTCTAGACGAAGTTCTGCTGGGTCAAGGGCTTTATTATTATAATAGGGTTTTCCCCTTTTTTCTGGCAACAAAACTGACACCTTTTGCAAGGAATCATGCTTACATTAACCACAATACTTGCAGTCAAATGCAAACAAAAAACAATACTCTGATAATTTATGCATTGTCTTTGAAACTGATTGGTCCACACCAGAGACAGCTTTCTTTAGAGCCTAGTCTCATATGGTGTTCGACCAGATGATGCCAAAAGGCGCACACAAGAAAGGGGAAAAACCCTATTAGTATATTTTGGTACTGGCAAAGGATGTCACATGATATATGGCATTATTATTATTACCTGTGCAGTCTTCAGTCTCGTCGTAGTATTGCGTGGTGTGGATATCCGAGCTCATCTGGATCTCGGCAACAAAAACTAAAACTACACGATGACATCCCAATGACAGTGACAGCTTATCTCTTTTTAATTGAACAACAGCAGTTTTGTGATGCGGTGTTCACGTAGCGGCACACAAAGCAAATAATAGTAACTCAATGTGTTCGTTTTAACACGTAGCAGGCTATCGCGACCAATGTTACTCTCAATAAAGGTTTTTGGGTTAGATCGCGTAAGTATAAATTTGTCGAAACCCTCCACCACCCGACACGGCCAATCAGTAAGGGATTTGTCACGTAAACAAAACGCCAATTAGTTACTACTCCAGCCCATCAGTGTGTTGAAGAGTGAATCCACAACATTTACAATTTGAGTTCCGTGACGTTTCGCTGGTAATTACATCCAGCATCATCGTCAACATCACTGCTCTGAAGAGGAAACAATATACAGAGTAGGCGGTGTTTCTTCAAGATTATGTTTGACCTTCTGCACTGTGGGATGATGCCCGGTTGATTCACATGCAATAAGGGTTTCGAGTGATTTATCTCAGCACTATGATCTCATTGTTGAGCACTCCTGATGTGGCTCCCACCACCGTCCCCGCAGCGCGAGTACAAGAAGGGCTTCGAGGAGGCCAAGGGGCGGCTGCACATGCCCATGGACATGCTGCAGATGCAGCATGCGCAGAAGGCGCAGAGCCTGGCCAGTGACAGGGACTACCGCACGCTGCTGCACCACTACACCGCGCTGCCCTCTGACCTCAACGTGGAGTGGGCCAAGAAGGCCCACCAGCTGCAGAGCAATGTGAGTGAGCGACCCGTGCCCGCCTGGCTCGTGCTCGCTTGCTTGGCCTCTAGCCTCCATCCTGTATTCCGTTCGCAATGCGTGCATGTGTACGTGAGCGGTAGCGCAACAGTTAGCGCGCTGCGCTACTATCTGGGTGAGTTTGATTCCCACTCACGGCCAACACCGGTGACGATTATCTGAATTGGTCCTGTGCCTCCACCTAGATTCACTCAGCCTCAAATGAGTACCCGGTGCGGTGTTTAAACATCTGGGGAGACAAAGGCGGTGGGGGGGCGTGGTGCTGGCCACCCACCTTCTCGTGTGCCGTGACAGCACTTTCTCCAACAGTCTGTTTAGGCTACACGGGGAATCTTTGTCTTTGTGTGTGTATCCGCACAGATGGATTACAGGGCGGACCTGACATGGATGAGGGGCGTGGGCTGGGGGGCGGAGGGCAGCCTCAACATGGAGCAGGCCAAGAAGGCCGGGGACATCCTGAGCGAGGTGGGGCAACGCCGACCTCATAACTTTTTTTTTCACTTGCTGATTGGGTCTGTGATGTGGGGATTCCTCGGAGTGTCACCAACGCCTCTGTGTCTTCCATTGACGTTGTTCTGCAAATCTCATCAACTCCTTTGTCATCGCCTGTGCTCTTCTCTGTGCATTGCGTGCTCATCGATGAGCACGGTGGGACGGTTGTTGTTTTTTTTGTTGCAGGATGATTAGAAAAACTCCTGTTTAGATTCTTAGCCTTGCACGTATGTTGTACTTTTTTCGCACCGTACGTAGCTAAGCGTGCTAATCGGAGGTGCGGGAAAAAAGCAACACAGCTGGCAAGAAGTAACTGATTCTGCTCTAGGCTTCCCGTAGGTTGACTCAGCCTTAAATGCGCGGCTGATGCAGTGTGTAAACATCAGGACTGCAAAGGCAAACCTGGTCGGGCGTCGTGATGGTAACGCGACCTCCTCGCGTTAAGCGATGGCCTTGATGAGAGTTCATTGATGGCAATGCATTTTGTTGTTGTCTTGTTTGTTGTTGTAATTTGCTGACCCGCCCCTCCTGGACACCTGTGAAAAAGAGCTTCATAGCCCATCGGATACCTCCAGTCTCCATAAATATCCCGATTCTGAATAGCGCCGACAGTTCCGTGTGGCGTCGCGGGGGGGGGGGGGGGGGTGGAGAAACTTTGTCCTTATCTTCGTCCGTGTTTTTGTTGTTGTTGTTGTTGTTTTCACGACGTCTCTCAGCCCAAGTACCGGCAACGGGCGAAAGACTTCAAGTTCACCAGCGTGTCGGAGACGCCGGAGATCGCGCAGGCCAGGATCAACGCGCGTCAGCTCAGTGACGTACGTGCTGGAAGAGGACGTTGATGAAGGGGCCGGCGGGGGTCAGAAGGGAGCAGGGAAATGTTATCCTCCGATTGCCTTTCGTCTACGTTGGGTCATCGGGCGCGAGCGACGACGGCTAATATTCCTGTTTAACCTTGCTGAGCAAGTCGAAACCGATTTAAAGCTTTCGTGACTGCAGGGATTCATCTTCTTGGTTCTTTCGGTAAAGTCACGTAGAAGGGAAATAAAATAATAAAATAAAACATAAAATACAATTCTCACGACGTTTCGGCCACAACGCAAGCAGCCGTCCTCAGGTGAAGAACAGGTCTGTCGGAAAGACAGCGTCTGAATGAACACCACCAAGTGGTGTCTTTCCGACAGACCTGTTCTTCACCTGTGGACGGCTGCTTGCATTGTGGCCGAAACGTCGTGAGAATTGTATTTTATAATGTTTTATTTTTATTATTTTATTATTTTCCTTCTACGTGACTTTACCGAAAGAACCAAGAAGAAGTCGAAACCGGTCAAAATTGGCCTACTTGATTTTCACGTTCGTTGATCTTTTTGTCCGCGCTGTGGATGCGATGAATAGTCCATTCCGAACGCTCTAAGAGCGGTGCGTCGGCCTGTGTTCGACGACGATCTGCGGATGGGAACATCACAGGAGCTGCTTCTGAAATCCTTCATCCTTACCGGCACTTTCACACCGGCATGACTCCCAAACTGATCATTTGAATTCTTACAGCCAAGAGTTAAACACGTGGATAAAAAAAAAATCAAGTCTTCCATCCAGTCATAGACGACCAAGCTGAGACCATCAACTTCCTACACTTGAGAATCTGTTTTGATCACGGCAGCTGCTGGGATTCACACCCAGGATGTCAGTGGTGCAAGTTCAGGGCTATGCCACCTTGCCACCTCTAGGGATTGCCTCCTTCAATCAATGCGGGTGCCAAACGTTGCTTCAGAATGCCCATAGTCGGAAAGGACCGTCTTGTCAGAACAAAAAAAGTAGTGCGTATGCGCCCTCGTTCACTGTCCATCTGCTGTGTGTGCAGACGAACTACCGCTCTCAGTACGAGCAGAACAAGTCTCACTACACCCTGACGCACGACACCCCAGACCTGCTGCAGGCCAAAGCCAACGCCAGCACCTTCAGCGACGTGAGTTCCGCGTCGCGTTCTAGAGAAAGCACAACACGCGATTCGTTTTCGTTCACGTTGGATTAAAACGCACCTTGAATAACAGGTGCGCCGAGTTGTTTCGCCAGTTCAGGAAACGTGATCACAATATATCCCCTTGTCTGCGAAAGCGCATTGGTCAGTCTCCAACAGGTGGGAAAGGAAAAGGAAGCTGGGGTGGGGATGAGGGTTGGTGGGAATCAAACGACGTCAACTGGTGGAACAACCTCGAGCCAACCCGGTCGGTGTCAAAGGGGTTAATTGGCCGGTCCAGGTTCGGATCTGGGGAGTAGAGACAGAGCGGCCACGGTATCTCTTCCAGGGTGACAGCCGCCGCAATTATATTGGCAGTGAAGTGTTTCGCAGCTCATGTCGCTGCTGAGTGAAAGTTTCGTTCGGAGGAAGTGTGTGCCGTGCCTTTCACATTGTACGCACGTTTAACTTCTATATAGCCAACCGTGCTAATCGGAGGTGCGCTCTGCTTACTTGCGTGCGCTCACCTCTCACCCGCAGCTCAAGTACCGTGAGCAGTGGGAGAAGACCAAGGGCAAGGGCTTTGAGATGAAGATGGACGACATCTCGCTCCTGGCCGCTCGCGCCTCTGGGGTGTTGGCGAGCGATGTGAGTTTCTCCCGCGACTCGGTTCCCGCCCCCCCCCCCCCCCCCCCCCCCGGCTTCCCGCGTAGCGACGGCTACCGTCGACCGTGGCAGCGTGGCGGAGGCCCGCGGCTGACGTGCCGGATGTTCCGTGCGCGCAGATTAAGTACCGGGAGGCTTACGAGAAGACCAAAGGCCGATCCGTGGGATCGTCCGAGTACGACACCAAAACCCTGCACTCCATGCACGCCGGCAGGCTGATGAACGAGGTGAGGAGTGCGCACGGTCTGGGGTAGAAATTACTCCTTGAAAAAAGAAAATGTGCGCTCGTTGAACTTACGCATATTTAATAAAGAATATAATAGGTTCCTTAGCCATTCAGCGGGGCTGGCTGTGAGCTGGTAAATTGTTTAGGAATGGCGTGACAATATTTGTGCGTACATGGTCAGCCTCGTGCCACCTCTGCTCACGCTTCAGCGCCGTTCAGATTGCCGTCCTCGGCTATGCTCTGGGTTTTCCGTAAATAGTCTCTTGAGTTGCTTCGTTTCCTGTTCACCCGACTGAACTCAACACCTTAAAGGAAGAATAAAGAGAACATACTCATCATATGGCTGTCACTCATGCATTCAATCCATTCAACATAATTTACTGTCACCAACTTCGCTTTGACCGAATTCACGCATCATCACAGATTTGCCCCCATTGCTTACTCTCATCTATTTCATTCACCTCATCACCGCCATTACATTTTTTATTCTCTGTAAAGCGCCTTGGTTAAGGCGCAATCTAAATTTTGTTTCGGTAGGATAAGATTCACAAGTTCGAGACGCCATCACAAAAAACTGGATATTCATTTTTTAATTACCACCTCTGCTACCTACAAAATATCTCATTGAATATTTTCCTCTATGAAGGTGTGGGAATTTGCAAAAGCGTAAGGCAAGGATATTTCGTTTACTTGAAGGAATATCAAAAGTATTCCATAATATCCCTTCTCGGGGACACTCGAAACACACACAGGGTGACTCACGGCTCTGCGAGAGTTCCGTACGGCGACTTCGTCTCATCACACGACGCAGACAGCAAAATTGGACTGCCATTTGGAAAATAATTTTTTAGAATATATTTAATTTTTCACTCATGCCCCACCCCCCGCACCGTCCCCACAGCGCGAGTACAAGAAGGGCTTCGAGGAGGCCAAGGGGCGGCTGCACATGCCCATGGACATGCTGCAGATGCAGCATGCGCAGAAGGCGCAGAGCCTGGCCAGTGACAGGGACTACCGCACGCTGCTGCACAACTACACCGCGCTGCCCTCTGACCTCAAGGTGGAGTGGGCCAAGAAGGCCCACCAGCTGCAGAGCGACGTGAGTGAGCGACCCGCCTGGCTCGTGCTCGCTTGCTTGGCCTCAGCCCTCCAGCCAGAGCCACCCTTGTCGCTGACGGTCACTGTGTGTGTTTGTGTATGTGTACGCGAGTGTGCGCGTGTCTCTCTGTGGGAAGTGGCGGCATAGTAGTTAGTGCGCTGCGCTATGGCCAACACCGGTGACGATGATCTGAACCGGTCCTGGGCCTCCCCTAGGTCGCCACTGGGGGGACAAGGGCAGCCTGGCGTGGTGCTGGCCACCCACCCCTTCGTATGCCGTGCCGGCCTTCATAGGTGCTCGCTCGCAGCACTTGCCCCAAGAGTTAACGCTACACGGGGAATCTTTGCCTTTGTGTGTCTCCGCACAGACGGATTACAGGGCGGACCTGACGTGGATGAGGGGCGTGGGCTGGGGGGCGGAGGGCAGCCTCAACATGGAGCAGGCCAAGAAGGCCGGGGACATCCTGAGCGAGGTGAGGATCGGTGACGTCGAGGGCCTCGTCACAAACCACTCCGGCACCAGTACGAGATCGTCTTTTAGAATCTACCACCGTGTGCGGCGTCTCAGGAGTAACCGGTTCAGCACTTCTACCTGGGATGTGGTCGCGTGGTAGCGTGCTTGCTGCTTGTTAAACAGCCTCATGGTAAAAAGAAAAATCAATGTTAAGAAATAAATCAATTGCAACGCAGCCTCGCTGTTAGAACCCCATGGCCGCCCTGGTTAATACTGCAGGTGCATTAATCACAATGGACGTTAAAGGTTCCCGTGACGCTATTCGAAAAAGTAGGCCATCCGTGCCGATGTAGTAGTTCACATTTTGATAAATTCACTGACGCATTACATAATCGGGAAGCTGCAAAGCAACATCGCTTGCATACTTTGCCGGCTAATGCCCACTTGCAGGCCGAGGCTGCGTTCCCCTTGTGCTGCGCAGGACAGCTGCCACTGGGGGTCCTCTTAACTTGATTGTAGCAGGGGATTGGAATGGTCGAGATGAAGATGTTATGCATTTAGTCACTTTGAGTTCCTGGGGCATTTAAGAACCCTATGAATGGGAATCCTTAAATCTTTAACCGCGCTCTGTGCTTGTGTGTGCGTCTGTGTGTGTGTACGTTCAGCCCAAGTACCGCCAGCGCGTGGACCAGCTCAAGTTCACCAGCGTGTCGCAGACTCCAGAGATGGCGCAGGCCCGGATCAACGCCCACCAGCTCAGCGACGTACGGGAGACCCACGCACCGCCGCTCACTCAAGCAGAGGATAGCCACCGTTCTACTTGAATTTCGCACCAAGAGTATAAAAAAATGTTGCTGCAAATGTGCATGGCTTTTTTGTGTGTGTAAATGAACGTGTTTTGGACACTCTCCTGTGTTTGCGTATTTCTCCAACTCTGCGCTCTACCTGTCTGTGCAGACGAGCTACCGCTCTCAGTACGAGCAGAACAAGTCTCACTACACCCTGACGCACGACACCCCAGACCTGCTGCAGGCCAAAGCCAACGCCAGTGCGTTCAGCGACGTGAGTTCAACGGCCGTGACACAAAACAGATTACTTGGTTGCTTCTTTACACCTGGACACAATATTAGTGCTGAGGAGTCGTTCAGAGGACTCTTGACCCCGTGTCTGCTGTGTTCTTGACCCTTGCCTCGGCCGTTCCCGTTCCAGATCAAGTACCGCGAGCAGTGGGAGAAGACCAAGGGCAAGGGCTTTGAGATGAAGATGGACGACATCTCGCTCCTCGCCGCTCGTGCCTCCGGGGTGTTGGCGAGCGATGTGAGTTTCTCCCGCGACTCGGTTCCTGCCCCCCCCCCCCCCGGCTTCCCGCGTAGCGACGGCTACCGTCGACCGTGGCAGCGTGGCGGAGGCTCGCGGCTGACGTGCCGGATGTTCCGTGCGCGCAGATTAAGTACCGGGAGGCTTACGAGAAGACCAAAGGCCGATCCGTGGGATCGTCCGAGTACGACACCAAAACCCTGCACTCCATGCACGCCGGCAGGCTGATGAGCGAGGTGAGGAGTGCACACGGTCACGCTTTACATGCTATGAAGAAGGGTCATTGCTTGAAACCTCGCCTATTATAGTGTTCTTGATGAATGTCCGGAGTGTGGTTTAAAATATTATTATTTGCACCAGATCTCACTTCCAACCAATGTGACCCAATGGAAGTTATGAGTTGGTAGAGTCCATAGTTTCGTTTTATCACTTGCATCGTCGTCTCTGGATGAATATGGATACATCTGCACGTAGTCTTGAATTGGCTCAAATATTTAAATGCAGCAACTGCCTGTAACATGTTGAGACTCAGTGAGATTGGCTGATGGTGAACGATAAACTCAAGGCTTGAAAAGGCTCCTTTTAGAAACACATGGTTTAAGAGACATCGATGCATGCTGCTTATTTTCATTCCACATTCACATTAGCAGACGAAGTGAGTATAGCAACACAATACAAATATGACTCCCAAACGAAGTATTCCGTTTGTTTGCTTTTTAATCGCAGCAGAACAACTCGTTTTAACAACTCGTGCATTTTAACGTCACGAACGACACGAAGCAACTCGAGTCATCCGGGAGTAAATGTCGGAGCGGCGGTCACAGCTAAGGGACCATTTCCTCGCTCCACCTGTGTTGAATTAAACTTGCATCGTCCCTGGACTCTCTCTGCCCCCCCCCCCAACCCCGCGCCGTCCCCGCAGCGCGAGTACAAGAAGGGCTTCGAGGAGGCCAAGGGGCGGCTGCACATGCCCATGGACATGCTGCAGATGCAGCACGCGCAGAAGGCGCAGAGCCTGGCCAGTGACAGGGACTACCGCACGCTGCTGCACCGCTACACCGCGCTGCCCTCTGACCTCAACGTGGAGTGGGCCAAGAAGGCCCACCAGCTGCAGAGCGACGTGAGTGAGCGACCCGCGCCTCCGTGAGGAAATGTTAACTACCTTGCCCTGTACACAACCCATGACCCTCCTGGTATAGCGGAGGTCGTGGATTCGATCCCAACCCTGAAGCTCGCTGTATACTTGAAGTCATCATGATCTCCCCGTGGCCGCGTGGATCTTTCTCCGGGTCCTCCGGTTTTTCCCCTCCACATTCGAAATTAACGTGCGTTTTAAAGCTGTCACTTGTGGCCAGGTCGCTTCTGACAAACAGAGCTAAACAGCTCAGTGGGCCTCACCTCGTAAAATAAAAATCGTTTGTAGTTTCGTTTAGAGTGAGCGCCCCGCAGAGTTTGTGTCGCGTGGATTTACAACCCTTCATCGTGACGGCGTCACGTGGCCTGCGTCCACTCGGTGCTGCTCGAGCTGCTGGAGGGAGGCTCGGTGGCTCACGGCTGTGTGTGTTTGTTTGTGTTGTGTGTTGTTGTTGTTTGCGGTAGACCGAGTACCGCGCCGACCTGGCGTGGATGCGGGGAGTGAATTGGGCGGCCCAAGGCTCGGTGCACGTGGAGCAGGCGAAGCGTGCGGGCGAGCTCGTCAGTGACGTGAGAGCCCTCAACTCGCCCTCACAGTCACCCCCGACACTCACACAATCACTCCCACACTCACCCCCACGCTCACACAGTGACCCTCACAGCCACACTCATCCTCAAACTCACCCGAACGCTCACAGTCACACTCACCCTCGCAGACACTCCCTGCCACCATAAACACAAAAACGGACCCATAACTTCTCTCCACGTGAGTGGCCTCGCTCTCGTGAGCTCCTCTATCCCTGCATTTGCGGGGAAGATCCAGTGACCTCAGCGTCTGGGGACGACGGTTGCCACGAAATGTTCAACCCTCTACGAAATCTCGAGTGCCCCCCCCGGGACCTCCGCCGCGGTCACCTCGCGGCATTCGTTTGACGGCGCGCTCGCTCCTCTGTGCTCCTGTGCGGCTTTTCAGAAATCCTACCGGCAGCACCCGAACTCGATGAGGTTCACGTCAGTGTTGGACACTCCGGAGATGAACCAGGCCAAGATCAGCTACCAGCAAGCGGTCGATGTGAGTCTCTCCCTCTCTCTCTGGCCGCAGTCACGATGACGGTGACGGTGACGATTATTATCGTCATATGCATACGATCAAATCACTCACGGATCAGGAATTGGTCTGCTGTACAAACATGGCCCGAAATAAAGACAATGATCCCCCGTGCAGCCTTAATAGACTGTTGGGGAAAGTGCTGTAAGCGAGCACCTATGAAGGTCGTCAAGGCACATGAGGGGGTGAGTGGCCAACACCACGCCCCCCCCCCCGCTTTTGTCTCCCTAGTGGCGATGTTTACACACCACACCACGTATTCATTTGAGGCTGAGTCGACCTATGGGAGACCTATGACCGATTCGGACAATCGTCACTGGTTTTGGCCGTAAGCGGGAATCAAACTCTGGTCGCCGGCGTCGTAGTGCAACGAGCTAACCGTTTACACCGCCGCTACTCGCTACATCGCCACATGGCGAACAAGGCCCACACACCCACACAACCACCCACACTTCAATCCGAGTGTCCACCCTGACCGTGCGTGACACGTGCTGTCGCTGGCAGAGGCTGTACCGGGAGGACGGGGAGGCCGTCAAGCACGGCTACACGGGGCCTGCCGACCTGCCCGAGATGGCCCGCGCGCGCACCAATGCGCAGAACATCAGCGAGGTCCCCCTGCTGCTTCCAACATTCAACCTGCCCTTGCAAAGGACACAGATAACGATCCACCATAGACCCCCCCCCCCCCGCTCCCTCTACTTACTCCCTTACCTAAGCTCTTCTTACTCTTTGGTTCTTTCAGTAAAGTCTCGTCGGTGACTTTAAATTTTTTATATTTTATTTATTTATTTTCACCTACGTGACTTTACCGAAAGAACCGAAAGAACCAAAGAGTATGAATCCTTGCAGTCACGAAAACTTCAAATCCAGAATTTAGCTCTTCTTCCCTCATCTTCCACTTCCCACGTAAGAGGACAGGCACCCCGCTCGCAGCTCCCAGCGAGCCCAATCCCCTCCATCCTCTCAACTTACGAGCACAGAATTCGGGACTTGTGTCCGCAGAGTTTCGGGACCCCCCCCCCCCCTCCCGGCTCCACGTCGCGGTTTGTGCTCTGTGCTGAGCTCCTACTGAAATATGGAAACCATAAAAAAAAGATCTCCCATAGAGCCGCGACAGACTGTCGGGGGCGGGCGCTGTTGGCGCGTGTCACGACGAACATAACGACGAGCGGGATGACGAGCGGGATGACGAGTGGGATGAGGAGTGGGATGAGGAGTGGGATGAGGAGTGGGATGAGGAGTGGGATGAGGAGTGGGATGAGGAGTGGGATGAGGAGTGGGATGAGGAGTGGGATGAGGAGTGGGATGAGGAGTGGGATGACGAATGTGATGACGAGTGGGATGAGTGGGATGACGAGTGGGATGACGAGTGGGATGAGGAGCGGGATGACGAGTGGGATGACGAGTGTGACGAGGAGTTGGATGACGAGTGAGACGACGAGGAGCGTGACGAGCGTGTTGTGCCGGCGCTCCGTGCTGCGTGCAGAGCGGGTACCGGCGCTTGGGGCAGCAGAGCCGCGCCCGCGGCTACAACCTCCACCCCGACGCGATCCCCTTCCAGGCCGCCCGCGCCTCCCGCGAGATCATCAGCGACGTGAGTGTCCTCCTCCTCCGACGACGACGACGCGCCAGCGTGCACCCCGCTGCGCCTGGAACGTAGCCGCTTCTCTACGATCCCCTCGCTGCGGTGTGGCTGTATGGGGCTACGTCGTGACCGTCTACGTAGTGGAGCTGTGTCTGTGTGTACATTGGTGTAGTTGCGATATGGCTCCGTCTCAATCCTCCTGGTGGTGTGTACGCAAGCTGTGTCAGCATGTGCACCTCTACAGCTGTTGTGGGGAACGGTATTGCAGTGACTTTTGACTTGAAACTTTCGTGACTGCAGGAATTCATATTCTTTGGTTCTTTTGGTAAAGTCACGTAGATGGGATTTTAAAAAAAAAATACAAAAATGTAATAAAAAAACTAAAACTCACGACGTTTCGATTGCAACACATCTCCGCCTGATGACGATCGAAACGTCGTGAGTTTTCAGGTTTTTATAAATTTGTAATGTATTACTTTTATTATTTTGATTGAATTATCTTCTATCTACGTGACTTTAGCGAAAGAACCAAAGAATAGGTAGTGCAGTTGTTAGCACGCTGCGCTACGAACCTGGTGACCCAGGTTTGATTCCCACTCATTGGCAACACCAGTGACGCTTATTTGAACCGGTCCTGGGACCTCCCCGAGGTCGAGTATCTGGTGTGGCGTGCAAACATCGCCACTAGGGAGACAAAGACGGCCGGGCGTGGTGCTGGCCACCCACCCCGTCGTGTGCCGTGCCAGCCTTCATAGGTGCTTGCGAACAGCACTTGCCCCAACAGTCTGTAGAGGCTATACGGGGGATCTCTGTCTTCATCTTATAGCTCTAACACAGCAGTACGTGCATCTGTGTACACGTATTGCTGTTAGTCTGCTGTGGCTATATTTAATCAGCACTGGCGTGCAGTGCTACGATGCGGCTAATACATCAGCCCACTCGTGCGTACATTGCATGTACGTACGTTGAACCTCTTTCGCACCATACTTCGACAGGCGCGCTAATCGGAGCTGTGTGTGTACGCCCTCCTCGCGCACAGTACAAGTACAAGGAAGCGTTTGAGAAGCGCAAGGGCCACTATGTGGGAGCGTCGGCGAAGCAGAACCTCAACCTCCTGCACCTCCTGCAATCGTCACACCTGCAGAGCGACGTACGCACCGAGCAGGGAGCAAAACGAGGCGCACGCAACCGCCGGGACGACACCGAGGAGTTTGCGTCATCCGATATCTCACGCGGAAGGAAACGTGTGGCCAGGAGATGGCGGCACCGTGATGGGCTCAATCCACCTTTGTGGCGATTTTGAAATGTTAACTCCTGACATGCATGGAGAGTTTTTTTTCTTTCTCTCTGGGTACTCTGGTTTCCTCCGACTAGCCATGGACTCGTTGAATTCGAATTGGCCAAGCATGGCAACGAACGATTCTCCTAAAAGAGAGAGGTTTGAGGCTCCGTGAGGCTTTCTTGGATAAACAAATGGCAGTATTATTATTCATGATTATTTAGAGGGGAAAACGCGGGTGGTTAAGTCTCATCGTGGAACTCTGGTACCGTATCTCACTCCACGATACATTTTCATAGTCCCTGGACTCTCCCTCCCCCCCACCACCGTCCCCACAGCGCGAGTACAAGAAGGGCTTCGAGGAGGCCAAAGGGCGGCTGCACCTGCCCATGGACATGCTGCAGCTGCTGCACGCGCAGAAGGCGCAGAGCCTGGCCAGTGACAGGGACTACCGCACGCTGCTGCACAACTACACCGCGCTGCCCTCTGACCTCAAGGTGGAGTGGGCCAAGAAGGCCCACCAGCTGCAGAGCGACGTGAGTAACGGCGTTCTCCGAAAGCGCACGTGTAATGTTTTTTTTTCCGGGTCTTAAAAAGATCAAGGCGTCCTCATGGCTGGAGCCGTTGATGCCACCGTGCCTCGCCAACTCTTTATACCCTCTGCCAGATTCCGCAGCTGCAAAATATTAGTCTTGTCTTTTCCCCCAATTAAATCCCAATTGTGCCCTCGGTGCCAGGCAATCAGACAAAAGTATCCGAACGGGATATCTTGCAGAGCAGTGCCGCGTTTCATGATAGAGAAAGGCCCACGAAAGTGGATATCATAGAGTTACCTCTGAGGTCACCTTCAATTCTCGCTGCATCGCACGCTTTCAGATGCCCTGTTGTGGCCACTCTTCCTTCTGATATTAGGAAGCCACTGGAGCTTTGCACGTTTACATCTAGACTTAACTTCTTTTGCACCGTACATAGCCAACCATGCTAACTGGAGGTGCGGGGAAGGACACCAAAAACTAAACACATGAAGCAGCTCTAAAGAAATGAGTTTTTCACGTGTGATGGTTCTATGTTCCTTGACGAGATCATAAAGGCAATTTGGTTTATTTGTGGCTTGTGTGCAATGAGTGCGACCTGAAACAACGTATTCGTTCGGCAACCGGAAGCCAATCCATCTCGGCGAGCACTGCACGGGCATGGTCCGATCCTGCAGTACCCGTCACGACACGTGCCAGAGAATTTTGCACACGCTTCAGCTCGGTGATGTGTTTTTTTGCCAGACGTCCCGTAGAGTAGCCAGTTGCAATGAGAGTAGTGATTGCCGCGCGTCCTCACGGCTCGGCTCTGCTCGGTGGTGGCAGAACCTGTATCGCTCGGAGGGAGGGGCCCTGCGTGGCGTTGGGTGGACGCCGCTTGGATCCCTGCAGACCGCGTACGTGAAGCATGCGGGGGACATCATCAGCGAGGTGAGGCGCCCGCAACAAAATGGCAAACTCGCGATCCGCAAAATGAACGCAGCTGAGGTCGTTTGTTTTTTCTTCGGCCAGTAATTGTGTGTTTGTTTGTTAAACTGTGGGGAGCGGTAGTGTAGTGGTTAGCGGGCTGCGCTACGAACCGGTCTTGGGCTTCTCTTAGGTGGACTCAGCCTCAAATGAGTACCTGGTGCAGTGTGTAAAATCATCGTCATTGGGGAGACAAAGGCGGCCGGGCATTGTGTTTGCCACCCACTCCCTCATGTGCTATGCCGGCCTTCATAGGTGTTTGCTAACAGCACTTGTCTTTTTGTTTGTGTTAAACTGAGAAATTAGTGCCACATCATTATTATCATTATCATCTTCATCATCACTATCATCATCCTGCTCAATGCGCCCTGCCTAAGAATCAGATTCTTTATTTATGCAGGTGGAAGCAGTGAAGCTCTTTTTCACATATGTCCAGTAGGGGCAGGTCAGAAAGTTACAATCACAAACAATATGAAAAAAACGATAAGAGTGCAAAGTATAGAAAAGGTAAGTATATCACATTTATGAAATATCTACGTTAATTTTACCAGGTAAAGTCCACTAAGCCATTAGCTTCTTCTTCAGAAGTGACCTGGCCACGAATGATAGTTCAACGAGGTGGCTTATCATGTGCCAAATTTATCGCAGCCAAATATTTTTTAAACGCATGTTGATTCTAAATGTAGAGGGAAAAACCAGAGGACCCGGAGAAACATCAACGCGACCACGGGGAGAACTTGCAAACTCCAAATATACAGGCTTCAGGGTCGGGATCGAAGCCAAAACTTCCTGTATACCAGGCGAGGTAGTTAACATCTCGCCCTCGCCACCGTGTTGACCTGACCTGGAGAGCGAGCAACACGTGTAACGTAATGTTTGTTGGGTCGCGACGAGAGACGTCTAATTGAAGGGATCTCAGCTGCAATATTTATCAAATCATCACGATGATATCGATTTGTTGTGTGGAATGGTATTTATCTGTCTGTCGTCCCACATTTTTCTTGACGACCAAAAATCGGCACGCGGGGACCCCACGGGCACGGCCCGCCTTGGCGCAACCGCGCACGGCCACGGCGGCGATGCGACGCCGAGATTATCGTCTTTTTTTCGCCACAGAAAAAATACCGGCAGCACCCGGACGCCCTGAAGTTCACCATGGTGGCCGACTCTGTTGGGATCCTGCACGCCAAGAACGCGTACCTGCAGTCCAGCGAGGTGAGAGAGCCGCCAACGGACCGGTGGTGGCGAGCCGTTGAACGTTCTGTGGCCATTTTGGCCTTTCAGAATCAGAATCTTTATTTATATTGCAGAAGGAATCTGACGAGCTATGAAGCTCTTTTTCACAGATGTCCAGTCGGAGCAAGTAATAACAACAGACAATACAAAAAGCATCTGGAGGGAAACATAGATGAAAGATGATCAAGCCACTAAAAAGAAATAAAATTTCGATTTAAAGCTTTCGTGACTGCAGGGATTCATCTTCTTGGTTCTTTCGGTAAAGTCATGGAGAAGGGAAATAATAAAATAATACAAATAAACCATTATAAAATAACAAAATAACTATTTATTTATGTTTTATTATTATTATTTTATTATTCCCCTTCTATGTGACTTTACCGAAAGAACCAAGAAGATATATTAATACAAATTGCATCAGTACGTAAATTCCTGCCGATTTGTGAATACCAAGTGCAAAAGCTTGGGAAAGGCAGCAAAACAGTAACAAGAACAGTCCCAGATCACACCAATGCAACACACAGTCCCTCAAATTAAATTGCACTTGAAAATTGAACAAAATTGCCGGGGCAAGCCACGGTATGGAGGGTGTGAATGCGCAGCGATTCGTAGCGTGCGGTTGCTCTGCCCGTCCACAGCGGCGGTACCGGGAGGCTGGGATGAGCAGTCAGCACCAGTACACCCTGACCTCTGACCTGCCCGAGCACATTCAGGCCCGGATCAACACGCACAACCTGAGCGATGTAAGTGGCTCGCGATTTGCTCTGCAGGGTCTGGTTTCTTTACGTTGTTTTGAAGAAAATAAGCGGGGTTCTCGTCGTCTTGTGGCTCAAGACACTTTACACAAGGGTGGGGTTCTGCTCTGGGTGACACTGCTCTGCAGCAGAGTTTATAAACACAATTTATTATGATGGTTTTAACCATTCAGAAAAAAAACCCAACTCCCGCGAGAACGTCAATTATGATATATTCTGCAATTATTTGAGATTTAATTTGTTCAGGGGTGCCGCAGTGGTGAGATGTTATCTCCCTCACCTGGGATTCAGGAGGTCGTGGTTTCGATCCCGACCCTGACGCCTGCATATTTGGTCGTGTAGATTTTTCTTCACTTCCTCTGGTTTTTCCACGTGATAAGCCACTTCACTGAGCTTTCATTTGTGGCCAGGCCAGCTCAGTGGGCCGTCCCTGGTCAAAAAATAAAAAAATAGCGTCGTATAATCCCATGTGAGTGGGTTTAAAAAAAATTATATTAAATAAAAAAATTTCGGTATGGTCTCTGCTGCGGACACGGCGATGGGGCGGATTGTACGATGCATGTTGTAACGGTCCCGGACCCCCGCCACGTGCGTGTGAACTGTGTCTGCCGTGTGGCACTCAGACGCAGTACCGCGACCTGTGGAGGAAGTCGCGCTCGCTGGGCTACACGCTGCACGCCTACGACATCCCCTTCCAGGCGGCCAAGTCCTCGCAGGAGATCTCCAGCCAGGTGAGGCGAGGTGCACGCGTCTGTGCTGCAGTACTTCACTCATCTCAGTCACGCTTTCATTCATCTTCCCTTCCTGATCCAGTTCACTGGAACAAACTCCAACTGCACATTAAGATAATCGTCTCCACTGACCTGCTTCTCTTCCTCCCTTCAAACAAACTATCTCTCCTCCCCTGCCTATCCTACTGCTGTCCCCTGCCCCGGCCAAACAGCTACGACCAGGCCTACCCCAACCCCTGTCACTACCCCTACCCCAAATCCCTCCTTGACCACTCCCACCTTGTCCTGCTGTCACCATAATTACACCACAACTTGTAATAAACACACTCTCTATTTTAACCACTATCATCTAATGTACAATTTTATGATTATTTTAAAGCGCCTGGGACTAAGGCGCTATATAAATCCATGGAAGGAAAGATAAGATCTCTAGTTCACAGCGTTTTCCATGCATTTCAGTGTTTAAGGAGATTGGTTTTGTAGGGCATTTAAATGCCCCAGCAACTCGGAGCACTTCTTAACTCATGCTCTCATCTCAGCCATTCCGATGGCCTGTTGCAGTCTGGCCAATGTGGCAGCTGTCCCTTTGCGGCACAAGCTTCACGCAGCACCGGCCTGCATGTGGTCGCTGTGGGTTTCCTGAAAATTAAGTGCATTGTCTGCTTGACAATAACTATTGAGTTCTTGGTCAGCTCTAGCCATTAGTAGGAATTCGAATAAGTGAGTAATAATCCGTGCTAACTTAGTCATAATAATTCTACTGATTTGATTACTCCGCTAGTTACTGGGGGGGAGGTGGTTGTAGGTAGTGGTTTGTGCGATGTGATGTTAACCCACATTTTGTAACAGTTGCCAATACTCCTTTGTCTTGGTAAATATTTCATCAGCAGTATTGAGCCAACGGGTATCCGTTAGTATAAAGCACGTTCACATATTTGCAAATTGTAATTTTGGCTCTGGTGTGCGTCTCCAAGATTCGTTGCAGCCCTTTGAACTATGAGCATCACAACTTTATTGTACGACGATGTTCATACTTGCATCATCTTAACGAGTAACAGAGGGCTAAGTCACAAACGCCTTCAACCTTGTCTGGAAAACCGAGCTCCGTGTCACTCTCTGCCTGCAGTACAACTACCGGCAGGCGTTTGAGAGGCAGAAGGGCCGCCACGTGGGGGCGCAGAGCGCCGAGGGCGACCAGAACCTGCAGCACTGCTTGCACGCCAGCCAGCTGAGCAGCGGCCAGGGTTATCGCCGCGGCTTCGAGGACACCAAGGGGGCACTGCACCTGCCCAATGACATGCTGCAGCTGCTGCACGCGCAGAAGGCCCAGAGTCTGGCGAGCGACAGGGATTACCGCACCCTGCTGCACCACTACACCGCGCTGCCCGAAGACATGAAGATACTGGCCGCCAAGAGGGCCTACCAGCTGCAGAGTGAGGTCAGTGTCGTGGTGTTCCAGGATTCCAGTGGCAATGAGCCACCATCGCAGCCCCATCACCACGGCCACCGTCACAGTCCCACCACGACAGCCCACCACCATGGGCCTACCAGCACACCCCCACCACTACGGCCCACCACCATGGGCCTACCATCACACTCCCACCACTACAGCCCACCACCATGGGCCTACCATCACACCCCCACCACCACAGCCCACCACCATGGGCCTACCATCACACCCCCACCACCACGGCCCACCACCATGGGCCTACCATCACACCCCCACCACCACAGCCCACCACCATGGGCCTACCATCACACCCCCACCACCACAGCCCACCACCATGGGCCTACCATCACACTCCCACCACTACGGCCCACCACCATGGGCCTACCATCACACTCCCACCACTACGGCCCACCACCATGGGCCTACCATCACACTCCCACCACTACGGCCCACCACCATGGGCCTACCAGCACACCCCCACCACTACGGCCCACCACCATGGGCCTACCATCACACCCCCACCACTACGGCCCACCACCATGGGCCTACCATCACACCCCCACCACTACGGCCCACCACCATGGGCCTACCATCACACTTCCACCACTACGGCCCACCACCATGGGCCTACCATCACACCCCCACCACTACGGCCCACCACCATGGGCCTACCAGCACACCCCCACCACTACGGCCCACCACCATGGGCCTACCATCACACCCCCACCACCACGGTCCACCACCATGGGCCTACCATCACACCCCTACCACTAAAGCCCACCTCCACGGGCCACCATCACAACCCTACCATCACAGCCCCAACACCACGGCACCCCCACTGTGGTGTTGGCCACACCAACACCACAGTGCCGACGTTCATAGGTGTTCACTTAACAGCCACTGTCCCAACAGTCTGTTGAAGGCTACACAGGCGATCTTTGTCTCTGTCCTGTGTGCGTAGTCGCTGTACAAGGCCGAGCTGTCTCAGCTGAAGGGCGTGGGCTGGCTCCCCCAGGGCTCCGTGCAGATGGAGGGTGCCCTCAGGGCAGGTCAGCTGGTCAGCGAGGTGAGTGCTGGAGCTCCAATTGATTTGCAAGTGTCCGTGGGAGCCACGAGCACCCTACACTCCCTCTCATTTAAACTGCGCGAGCCTTCATTGTGGTCCGTGTCCCTGCAGCGATCGTGACCAAGGCAGCAAGAGGTCAAACTAAAGGCGCATTTCTTTATATGGCATTTTGAAATGTCATACTGGATTCTGTGACAACACTGAACTGTTTACAGCCGTGGACCAGTGGTGGAATTAATATGGCAGGTGTCAATAGAATAGCCTCTTTTGGCTTCCGACAAAGTGGTACTCTTTTCGATTTAAAGCTTTCGTGACTGCAGGGATTCATCTTCTTGGTTCTTTCGGTAAAGTCACGTAGAAGGGAAATTATAAAAGAATAAAAATAATAACGCAAGCAGCCGTCCTCACCTGAGGACGGCTGCTTGCGTTGTAGCCGAAACGTCGTGAGAATAATTTAATTATGTCTTATTTTTTTTATTTTATTATTTCCCTTGTATGTGACTTTACCGAAAGAACCAAGAAAAAAAAAGTGGTACTCGTATAACTGAGTTACTGACTCCATTTTAACTTTGAATTACATTTAAAGTTTACATCTATTGAAGGGTTACATTTAACCCAGATGGGAATTTGAACTTGTAACCTTGCGATTGTCATTTGTGAGTCACGTTTTCTAACCACTGTAGCACCCAGTATGAATCTCAGTACGAATAACGATAATAATAATTTACAGTCCTTTGACGGCCTTCCAATGCCGTTTGTCATGGGGGGTTGTTTGTCCATACCTCACCACGCTAGTCCGGGTGAGTTGGAACCGGTTGAGTTACGGTCACTCAGCCATGGGGTGAGACTCAAACTCAGGTGGACGGACGGGTTCACGGCAAGGGGGCTTCAGCCACTCCGAGTCTCCGACACTGACTACCCTCGCACATCACGTTGACACCACAAAAGGAAGATGCCATTCTCCGTCACCGTTTTCATCAGTCGTTGCTCGCAAACTCATTTTACACGTACGCTTTTTTCCTTTCACTCGTATGAATTTTTCCCGTTCAGAAAAAGTACCGGCAGCAGCCGCACAACTTTCAGTTCACGAGCATCGCGGACTCTCCCGACATCCTGCACGCCAAGGCGAGCTACGAGAAGTCGAGCGAGGTGAGTAGTGCACGCCCTGGTCCTCGTCGCGGCAGCGGCCGCGGGAGCTCTCAGAATCTTTCAGAACCTCCGAGTAGCACGGTCGGTGATGCATGGTGCCAGAGAAAGCTAAACATGCGTACGTACGTACAAACGATCTTTATTTAGACTGGATGAGCTGCAAAGCTCCTTTTCACAGATGTCCAGAATCTTATTGACGCTGCCCAACTCCAGGTTGAAAGCGTCCAAATTTGCCAAATTTGAAAATGACCGTCAAATTACCCAATTGGCATTGCACAATTCGCAAACTTCGCACCTCTACCCTCGACAGAGAGGGGGTCATGATAGCGATCCGCAACGGTGTGGAGAAACCCTCGTCATCCAGCAGCGGGATGATAAAAGTGCCGGCCACACACACACACAGGCTAAAAGTTTCTACATTTTAATTTGACCAGGTAAGGCCCCACTGAGCTGTATAGCTCTTTTTTCAGAAGCGACCTGGCCACAAATGATAGCTCAACAAAGTGGCGTGTCACGTGCAAATGTATAGCAGCCATATACTCTAAAGGCACGTTGATTCGAAATGTAGAGGGAAAAACCGGAGGACCCGGAGAAAAATCCACGTGACCACGGGGAGAGAAAGAAAGAGAGAGAACACGCAAACTCCGACTGTGCAGCAGCGACCACTTTGCAGAAATGCATTTCATGGTGTCGACGGCGTGAAGATGAACGGTGCCTCGACTCTCCCCATTCCCCCCCCACTCCCCGCCCCCCCCCCCCCGTGCCCAGCTGGCGTACCGCTCGGCGGCAAGCGGCGGCTCGCACGCGTTCACGCTGCCGCCGGACCACCCCGAGTTCCTGCGAGCTCGTGCCAACGCCCTGCACAGCAGCGACGTGAGACTCGCGGCACCGCAGAGGCGCGGGGCGGGGGGGGGGCGGGGGGGCGGGGGGGGCGGGGGGGGGGGGACACGCGTACAGGGCTACGGGGTCGACAGCGGAAGGCGGTGCGGCAGAATCCGTTGTTGTACTGCACTCCGACTGTTGAGCTCCCACGTCGATTTCACGCCGACCACCACCACTACCACCTCCGCCTTGAAGCTGCATTGACCAGTTTGGTGAATTGTGGTCAGATGACCGCGCAGTTGCGATTTACTTGGCGATGCGCGTAACATTCAGCCATATGCTGCTTAGCAAGAGAGACCCGTGGAGTGCCTTATAAGAGATGCTACATCGTTATCATACAGCACAACAATAACTGAAAATGCAGAACAATGAATAGAAATCAACAAAGGTATGCAATCAAGGGCAACAGCGCACGAGGAACAACAAACGAGTTAGTAAGGAATTTAAATGAGGGCCGGGAAGGGGAGCTATTCTATTCGAAGTCACGAGGTGAGCTCGTTCCAATAACGGGGAGCGGCGACAGCAAGTGATCTCAGAGTAAAGTTTGGACTTCACTCTTGGCACGAAGAGGAGCAATAAGAGAGAGAGACTCTGAGTCAGCGTGAGGACGGCTGGGGGATCAGGTGGGGGAGGTTCTCATCCAGCAGTGGATTGACGAAGGGATGCCTGTTTACGTGACGAAAATATTCGTGATTTTTTATTGCGACGTCTTAAAAAAAATGCGTACTCATTTTCGTTATGTTACTTCGTGTTCAATCAAAAATCTCTCGTCCCCACGCGCGCGGCGGTGTGGCAGAGGGCGTACCGGGAGTCGTCGAGAAGCGCGCGGGCACGCGGCTACGACCTGCGCCTTGACGCGCTCTCCTTCCAGACGGCACGCGCCTCGCGCGACATCGCCAGCGACGTGAGCTCCCAGCGCCGGCACCCCCTCCCCCCCTCCTTTCCTCCACCTCATCTCAACTGCTACTCGTGTTTAGTTTGTTGTCCTTCCCTCGCACGCCTCCGCTTAGCACGGTTAACTACGTACGGTGCGACAAAAGTTCAACATACACACACTTGAACATAAACCCGTTCCCATCTCTCTGCAACGACGACGACGGCAGCCGATAAACCAGTCCCCCCCCCCGCCCGCCTCTCTCTCTCCGCTTGCCCGCTTGGCCGCCCCAGTACAAGTACAAGGAGACGTTCGCCCGCGAGCGCGGGCGGCTGGTGGGCACGCAGAGCGTGAGCGGCGACGCGCGCATCCTGCACGGGGTGAGCGCGTCGCGCATGCAGAGCTCGCTGCGCCAGCGGCGCGACTACGACGAGGCGCGCGTCGCCACCGGGGGCCACTACTCGCTGCCGGCCGACGTCGCCTCGCTGGTGCACGCCAAGCGGAGTCAGGAGCACGCCAGCGACGTGGGCTACCGGCAGCCTGTGGCCTCCGGGACGGCCACCTCCGAGCAGCTGTCCATCAAGCACGCCCAGCACTCCCACTCGCTGCAGAGCGAGGTGCGTGCGCAACGTGATTCGTCGCACCGTGGCGGCGATGCTGCTGCTGCCGCGGCGCTCGTGCCGGGATAGGCGCGCTATGAGGACAGGCGAGGTGGTGAAGGGCCCTCTCTTTTGTTTCTGCGCAGTCACTTGTAAAGGTGACCCCTTGTTGTTTAGAATCAGAATTTTTAGTTGTAATACTGGAGGAATCCGATGAGCTATGAAGCCCTTTTTCACAGATTGTTCAGTAGGGGGCGGGTCAGAACGTTGCAACAACAAAACAAGACAACGCGGTAGGAGTGCAAAGTAGAGGAGAGGTAAACAAATCGATAAACTATTGGTAGAACGTCAATGTGTGTGCGTGGGGTGTAGCGTGCGGCCAAAGGCATTTTGCAAGTCCTATTCGATGCCTGGGCAAGGCAAACACCCCCTACGTCTGTAGTAGAGGGTAGTGACACGAGCGCAGAAGATTCGCGACTCTCACAGGAGCATGCACGTGCTCAGGCAAGTCGTCGTTTCACTCCCCCTTCCCCGTCTGCCGCCTGCTATTACAGAAGCGCTACAAGGCAGACCTGGCGTGGATGCGCGGTGTGGGCTGGGTGCCCCCGGGTTCACACAAGGTGGAGGTGGCACGGAGGGCAGCAGAGAGGGCAGCATCTGGGGCAGACTCGGGCGGGCCGCAGCGACTGCCCCCCGCGAAGGTGAGGATTGTACCACGTGATCTTCGTCGTAATCGTTATCGCCGTCGTCACTGTCGTAATTGTCACTACCACCGCCACTGTCATCATCGTTATCACGAATACCGCCGCCATCATCACCATGATCACAACCACCGTAATCAACACCACCAGCATCACCATGCACATTATTGGCACGATTTCAACTGCCGTAATGATCATTTTCACCAATACCACCATCGGCACCACCACCATCATCACCAACGCTGTAGAAAGTTACGGTGACAAACCCCACAAAAGCAATACAAACAAGACGGTAAAAGCCAACAACAATCTTATCAATTCTTTGAATCGCCAGGGGGTGTATGGTACATCTATAGTTTCTTCATTTTATTTAAGTAAGAACAAGTGCTTGTTCTTTTACTACAGCTCCTACTGTATTGAAACACGACCAGTAAAAAAAACTTATTGTACTATATCTGCATCTTCACCGCCATTCAACACATGTAATCTTTAGTAAATTTTTTTCTTTAGTAAATTTGAACATGTTTTCAATTATCCCGAGCTTTTTGGTTTTCATCTCGGCCAACACCGCCCTCCATTTTCGCGGATAATCGAGAGATGACCGCATCGGTTGGTGCAAGTTCACAATCTGCGGCCGTTCGACCCCCTAACACCCCCGGGGTCCCACCAGCCCAAGGCGGAGATGGAGCGGCAGCGCGTCCAGGGAGAGGAGGTGATGCCGGACGCCTTCGAGGTGCTGCACAGCAAGCGGCGGGGCAAGCGGATGTGAGGTCAAGGGTCGTGCCCAGTGGCTGCACCGCACCTGGCGCAGCGCCACAGTTAAACGATGTCTTACGTACAGCCCCCCTCCCACCGCACCACCAACCCCCCCTCTCCTCCTCCCCCACACGAACATATTTATGAATGGTTTCGTACAGAAGCACGGCACGTGAGTGAGAGCTGACACGGTCACCGTCACGCGTTTTCAGAGAGCGGCTTAAACACCGCAGCTGCACGTCCCACTCATCACTTCTTCCGCACGCGGAATGAATAGCAGTGCTTTTACGATGATTGTTATTATTGCTGTATTTTTATTCAGGTTTTGTTTGAGTGACGGATTACTTTAAGTGTAAATCCTTTATAATGTTGCCGGCAAACGACTGTGCTAATTTAGGTGTGTTTTGCTACATTTTTTTTTTGCTGACGAAGTATATTTAATGATCAGGTGAACTGTGGAGCGGTAAGTTAATTGTGAAGGTGCACGCGTACATTGTGAGATCGCGGTGGGGGATAGAGGAAAGTAGCTCTGAGGTTAGCGGCGGTGTCGGCAATGAGACACCGTACGGGGAATGCTGTTCAAGGTTGTGAGTTCACATCTCGGTCAGGGTGGACAAAGCACATCATCCCTGTTTAAAGCTTTCGTGACTGCAGGGATTCATCTTCTTGGTTCTTTCGGTAAAGTCACGTAGAAGGGAAATAATAAAATAATAAAAATAAAGCATAATAAAATAATTCTCACGACGTCTCGGCTGCTTGCGTTGTGGCCGAAACGTCGTGAGAATTATTCTATTATGTTTTATTTTTATTATTTTATTATTACCCTTCTACGTGACTTCACCGAAAGAATCAAGAAGACACATCATCCCTGTTCTGGGTGGGTTAAACGACCATCACCTCGGTAACCAATCTTCGCCTGTTGGGATATCAGTGGAATGAAGTAAGGATCATTGTTTTCGTGTTGTTATTGCGAAGCCATACGAGCGATGTCACAACAGTGTCAAAACAGGTGATGTTAGCCAAACAGTGCAAATGGATCTTCAAGTGATTTGTGAAGGGGCATGAGGAAAGGAAGTCGGACAGAGGTGTGCGAGATAGCAAGTGAAACATAGCGAGTGATGTTTATTGAAAGATTTAAATGAATACTTTTAAGTCAGCATTTTCCGCCTGTTTTCCTAAATACGCCAATAATGTTACTAAACATTATGATGCTTTGCAATAAACCATGAGCACAAGGTTTGTTGGTACGGTGTTTGGAAAGTGTCCTTTGATTAAACATGAACGTGAAATTAATGCTCGGTGTCAATTTATTGTTAATTTCAGCAGCAGCAGCAGCAGCGGCGTAGCTACGGATGATTTGGGCAAATTGTGCCTTGAGCCATTGGGCCAAAAATGTTGTATGGATACCACCCAGGGGGACAAATGCTAACAGTGATTTTCTACGAACGTTTTATCTGAAGGTCGCCGTGGTAGCTGTTCATGAGACAAATATCGTTGTGAAAGAAGGGCACGATGATGAGTGCGTTTGATAGATAATATTAGTTTTGAACAAAAACGCGAATGCGATATGGCACACCTACAGAATATGAAAATACAGTTTTACGTGTATCAATAAAATAATATATACGTTCACATTTCTGCTCATGGTGAACACTACCCATGGTGGATCCTGGTGGAATTCGCCAGCCCCAAGTAGGTACCGGCAAACCACCCCTTTGCCTTACGGGCCCCAGAGTTGCAGTCCGAGCGAGCACTGTGCAATAATTTGCAAGCCGGCATTGACTCGCGAACTGGGCGCTTATTTTAACAGTGGGACAACCGGGCGCAGTCCTCTGACCACACACCAAGCGGCATCTCTGGGAGAGTGGCGACAGGAAACGGCTTAGTTTAACACGCAGAATGCTTAACCCATAATAGAGGTTTTTGGGGGTTAGATCGCGTCGTTAATCCTGCCCACACCCCGACACCAGCCAATTAGCAAGGTTTGTCACGTGAGCAGAAACGTTCAAATACGTTACTGGTTTAGCACACCGGAGCGTTGGAGAGTAAACCCGCAACATTGACTATTCGAGTGCCGTGACGTTTCGTTGGTATAATTACAACAACCGAGTCTCGGAGAGAGAGAAAAAAAATCCTCCTCCTCCTGTTTCGGGCTCATTGTGAGAGCAGAGCTCAGGCGCTCGGTGCCTCCCCTCGTTTTCTTTCAGCCACAGTTGCGTCTCATTCCGCGCACGAAGATGAACTCTGGCCTGGGTTTGGCTCACGCGGAGCCCTGCTTAGGTGTCCCCCCACGGGACATGCACCGAATGGCTACGGGACATTCTATGCTGTCTGCCGAGACCGGCGTAGAACGCCTGGGCCGTTCGGAGCCAAGCTTGAAATGCACTCGCCCGCCTTGAGAAGTCACTGCGCACCCATTGACGGCGACGTTCAACTCGAGTGCCGTGTTGTTTTATGGTTTGTACCCGCCACTTGGAAATATCCTTATCAGCGTGATCGCTACTGGTCATAATCTATCCGCTGCCGGACAATGAAGGCTTCCCTAGGCTTATTTTACTTGGAACTTAATGAGCGCAGTGACGTGCCGCAAGTAAAGAGCAAGGGCCATATCATGACTGCGGGATTTGACGTGAATTTTAAGATTCTGTGAACGTTTGAGAGGTGCACGCACAAAGGCGCTTTATTTTAACAAACAAGGAGACGCGTGTTGCTGTGCTTGATACATCACACAGGCACAGCGGTGTGGTTTGCAGTGCATCTCATAAACATTCTGGCCCCTTATGTGGGGCATCTGTTTTCGGGTTGACTAAAAAGCAAACGGCTTGAAGCAATAACGGCGGCGTGGGCCGATGAAATCAATGGGTACAGGGCCTCTCATGGGGCCGCAAAATCATGATGAGTGAAAAGCGACAGAAACTCCCTGGGGCGTTTCCCTTCCAACCCCCCCTTCGCGCACGTCCCTTGCCACCGCTGGTCGTTAACATTTGACCTTGTGACCCTCTCGCCGGCTCCCACTGTCTCCCTCGTTCACAAACCCCAAGCCCCTCGGTGCCGGGGAGCACGGAGAGGGCTGCGCGTTGTCTGAGCTCGCGGGGGTGGCGGAGGTGCGGCTCAATGTGACGCATCCCGCCACGGCTGGCACCTCCGAATTAGAGAGACGGTTGGTTACGTACGGTGCATAAGAAGTTCAACATACATATGTGCACGGAAACCGAGTTGCCTGACCTCCAGCCTCATCGTTCACGTTGGCTGGGCAATGCCCCGCGTGTGCCATCCTCGCATTTTTTTTTACCAAGGTTATTATTCGGCCCTCGGTTTGCGAGGGTTTGCGTGAATTGCACGCGTCGGGTTTTACGCTGAGTTAAAATGCCTTCCCGTACCCCACATCGGCGGCCCAAGGCGGCGTCAGACAGACGGATCCGACACCTGTGCCAGGTGAGCAGAAGCGTTCGTGTTGAGTGGGGTGCAGCCACACACGTGGCACAAGACGCGGGGGGGGGAGGGGGGGCTCGCTGAGAGACGCCCCTGGGGCAAAGGCGGTGAGACCAAATCCAATTCATCTCGCCAGAGATATTAACTACCTCGCCCGGTATACAGGAAGTCGTGGGTTCGATGCCGACCCTGACGCCTGCTACTGTATATTTGGAGTTTGCGTGTCTCTCTCTTCCCATGGTCGCGTGGATTTTTCTCCGGATCCTCCGGTTTTTCCCTCCCCATTTAGGAATACGCCGTGCGTTTCCACACGATAAGCCACTTCGTTCAGCGATCATTTGTGGCCAGGTCGCTTCTGAAAAAGAGCTACATAGCTCAGTGGGCCTTACCTGGTAAAAAAAAAAACATGTACTTTTAAATAGTTTAAATCCCGCAGTCGGAATGGGTTCGCAGCCTCGCCGGCGGTGGCTTCCCACGATGGACCGCGGCCCAGGAAAATCTTTCCACCTTTCTCGCTGCCACCGCATCGATACTGACAGAGCCATTCCACATGCAAATGTGACCCCGTGCCCACTTCGTGACAAAGGAGCCTGTTCGAATGGGCAGAGAGATAGCATCGGACCGTCCACGGACTGTACCTGTAAGGTGTAATGAGCGACGTGCCCCTTTGTGAAGATGCGGGAGCGTGCTCCGGAATTCTCTCGGTGGGTGGCGGGGTGCAGGGTGGAAAGTCCGTCTGTGCGCTGCGGCGTCGTCGTTAGAAGGAGACTTTATTATCGCAAGCACAATTCCAGCTCTGTCGCCCGCAGTAGTCGTGCTGCAGAGATGTCAAGCCAGACGGTTTACCCCGTGATCTTGTGCAGGGAAATTGAGTTTTCAGGTCCATACGGCCGTACATGCGTCTCAATACGGGCAGAAAATAAAAATGTTTTTGTCTCTTTGTTTGCGTTTTCTCTTTTGTGATGGGAGCTTGTAGGATGAACGTTGAGATTTTTAACGGCACGGTGCGACCAATAAGGTTTGGATTGGTCTGTATTCAGGTAAGGGGGTTTTGGTACGGTAGCAGCAACAGAAGCAGCAGCAGCAGCGCGTTACGGCGATGCTGGTGAAAGTACCGCGCTTCAGACGACGGCAGAGAGCGGCAATCGTTGCGGCTCTGCCAGCGCCCGATTCAAATGATGATGGGGCCGAAGGCGAATAGGAGGGAAGTTGCCCAAGTCTTACGTGCAAGTATCACGCACTGTCCTGCAACAACCAAAAAAGTACGAAGTCATAAAATGAACCACATGCTTTTATTTATTTACTTACCCGTGTAGAATATACACATTAAATTTCGATTTAAAGCTTTCGTGACTGCAGGGATTCATCTTCTTGGTTCTTTCGGTAAAGTCACGTAGAATGGAAATAATTAAATAATAAAACAACATTTGTATTATTTCCATTCTACGTGACTTTACCGAAAGAACCAAGAAGATGAATATACACATTGTGATTCGTACTGAAGGTAAATTCATCACTCGCCACGCTTAATTTCTCCCCCCCCCCAAAAAAGAGAGTTTTCCCAGCTTCAGCTTTGGCAAAGTCACGAATCTTCTTGGTTCTTTCGGTAAAGTCACGTAGAAGGGAAATAATAAAATAATAAAAATAAAACATAATAAAATAATTCTCACGACGTTTCGGCCACAACGCAAGCAATAATACAAATAAAACATAATTAAATAATTCTCACGACGTTTCGGCCACAACGCAAACAACCGTTGTGGCCGAAACGTCGTGAGAATTATTTAATTATGTTTTATTTGTATTATTGCTTGCGTTGTGGCCGAAACGTCGTGAGAATTATTTTATTATGTTTTATTTTTATTATTTTATTATTTCCCTTCTACGTGACTTTACCGAAAGAACCAAGAAGATGAATCCCTGCAGTCACGAAAGCTTTCAATCGAAAAAAAAGTCACCAATGTGATCACAAAACATTTCCGACGGTCGCGCGACCGTCGCTCTGCTGCTCCTGCGACGTTGAATGGAGGTCCGAAAGGGTGGCCCGCAGAACGAGGGCCCCTGGGTTAATCCGGCCCTAGGCTCTGCGTACCGATGCGAAAATTAAACTCACCACCCCCATCCCTGCTGCCTCCGTGCTTGGAAGTTGCACGTGCATCGTTCGCACTCTCGAGGGAGGTTCGTTTGCCGAGCGGCTTCAGAAGCTAGTCGCCTGAGACTCGCGACATTGCCTTTGAGAAAGCGCTGCGCAACTGGTAGGTCCGGCCACCACGTCCGTCTCCTCGTCTTCGTCAACGCCGCGAATCAACGTTGGCGTTGAGCTCCTTAGTTCGGCGACGTGGGCCCCCTTCTTTTGTGGAGCCGCGCTGAGGTCTCTCTCGCCTCGATGACGTTTCGCATTGAGCATCGACCGTTAACGTGAACGAATTCAAGCTCAGGTTTTGATGAATTTGTGCCACACACTAAGATGCCGTTTGAATTTTGCCGCGGCGTCTAAAATACCGAGGGCATCTCAAGACGCTTCACGCATCCGTGATCCCTACGCATTCACCGAGCCCACACTGACCGGCGTGGTGAAGTATGGTCAAAACAATACGTACGAGCGACACGTCGTGGGGGAGGCTTTCATCCAGCAGCGCACGGGCAGTCCTCGACTCCCGACGATGATTTGTTCCCGAGGCCCGTGCGTAAGTCGAACGGTTCGTAAGTCGGAACACACTCGCGGACAAAGAGATGTGAATTCTCATCGGACACTCTGAGCGCGTGCATCTGTTACACGGGGAAGTGTTGGCGAGCCGAGTCAAATTCATATCGCGTTCGTTTAAACGCATGCACAGCAGCTGCCTAACACCTTAAATCCT